AGCTAGCGCTTAGTGCAGACGTGGCCACGATGTACGGCTAGTCCGAGGAGGCAAGCCACATTCTTAGCAGCTCCTCCTTTTGCTTAGCTATGCCTGTATCAGCTGTGTATTAGGAGTAGCAGAGTAGCTCGGCTAGCGTAGTAGTATCGTCTTTTATCCGAATGTATAAGATGATCTTATTTCGAGCCCGATCCAAGAGCTAGCTATTCTCCCACGCGTCCCTTGCCCTCCGCGCGCCCTCTTCGAGCAGACTCCCTCGCCCAGTGGCCCGCTGTACCATATAGAACAGATTTCGCCAGTTTGTCGATGCTCGGATTACTTTAGGGCTCACTAAGTTGTTCTACTCTTCAAACGTAGCTTGTATTGTCGGAGGTAGAGTAGCTGTCAAGTAAACAAACTGCGTACGAACGTTGCGGATTAGGGCGAGGTCAACTATAGCCTAGCGATAGTCGGACGCTGTGATAGTTAAGTGAGCCTCGTCAAACACAATGCGGCCGAGGTCTTGCGTAGCTGCGAGCTTGTGGGCGTAGGTCCGAAACTATTCCGTACATACTACTTCAACTATAATAAACACCAAGGGCACATCTCGCTGCTCGCTAGGCGACCACACCAAGTGATCGATCCCTAACTCTCGGACTCGGTGGAGGAGGTCCCCTCGCAGAGACACGAGTAGCAAGACTAAGATCGTCACCCCAGCATTAGGGAGGATACAGGGTAGTATAAACAGCAGGCTCTTCCCTTCGCTAGTAGCCATGATGACTACTACCTGCTTAGTCTATGATATAATAGTAGTCATAGCCCGCTCCTAGGCTACTAACTTCCACTTCAGCGTGTTATCTAGGTATAGCTTTCTTACACTCTTTAGTAGAGCCGCAGCTAACCACTTCTTCTGTGGCCGGTAGATCCCTATAGCGATCTTCTTAAGCATTTGCGGACCGCTAATGTCTTTACCATCCCGCTTCCTCTTCCCAGCAGGTCCAAGCAGCTAGTTAAGCCCCCACAAGTCCTTCCACAGAGTTGAAGCACACAGATTCCGGCGGATAAGGCTATCCTATACATTCCCAAAGTTAGCATTATATTGGTTTGCATATGCCCGGTTAATAGTCCGCGTACTATGGTTCCACTACTTGGTTATAACCCGAATGTTAGCCTCAATCTCTTCGGCATCCTTGTCGTTAGCCCCATCGTCAACCTCAAAGCACCTAACGTTAGCTGCAAACTTAGTTTTAACGATATTGACTATCATCTGCCGCTAGTTGGCTATGTGTAGCTTAGGGATGCTGGCCCGACTACACGCCTGCTCCATGCACCGCGTGAGCCGGTTGTTAGCCCAGACCTTCCCGTCTTGCCACCACAAGTACGGAGAGATAATAGCATGCGGGGCAGACTAGCGGAGGAAGACTTGGCGGAGCGGGATAACAACTACCAAGTAGTCGAGCAAGAGGTCTCCAACGGGTGTAGGCAAGAACCGGATATTATCCTTAAACTTGCCCGTCTGCTGCTAACCTTTGTGGTATGTAGTGTGCAGCATAACTAGCCCGTGCTTAAGGTAGACGTTTCGCCGCCGCTAGGTGTTACGCCAAGTGACGGAGAATAGTTCACTCTCGCATAGAGGCTAGCCAGAACCCATATGGATCAAGACTAAGAGCCTTTTTAGGAACTTGTTAGCCACGGCCTCATACCGTTCAATCGCCTTCCCCCGCCAGACCTTGGCGCTATCTGCGGTGGCATCCAGGAACGAGTCCCGCAACGGCTTCGAGTCTTGGATAACGGTTAGCAAAGACCTCACTAGCGGCTTTACTAGCTCAACGTTCTCCCGGTACTGGCTAAAGAACCAGCCAAAGGCATCGGCGTCTAAGTTGTCCTTTAAAGCCCAAGCACGCATCCGCGGGAGGTTCTGGGCCCCGAACATTAGCTCGTCGTAGAGTAGGTGCTAGGCCTGCTAGAAGTCGGAGAGTAAGAGCCGCGGCACGTGATCTATATGCAAATCAACGTCTCGGTAGGTCAGGACCTTCTCGTCCACATCCCACTGTGCTTGGTGCGGCCCAACGACCTCCTTCGAGACAGTAAACAGCAGCAAGCGCCAGCCGAGGATCTCGCCTATGGGAGTCTTGGTGTCTTGCTTTAAGAACTTCCCGCAATACTGCTTAATGCGCTCGAGTGTATCACCTAGCTCCGCCTTCTCCAGATAGGCGCTAGTGTGGAAGATAATAAGCTGCGCAACCCAGATCACGCCAGACAAGTAGCTATTATAGTTGCCCAGCTCCTTCCAAGTCTTAGTGTGTGGCTTAACGCTGAGCATAGCGCAGAAGCTAAGCAATGGGGAGTTGTACCGATTGCCTCCAAATTCGTGGCAGACTAGCGCCATTGAGAGGTCCGATATGGCGTTTCTTAGCGCAGGCCGGTCTTGCTTTACAGCGCTTTGGGAGGCCGCTTCCCACGCATTTTCCTGGCTATCCGTGAGCTGGATGCAGCTCTCCGGGGTCCGCTGGTCGTCGTCGGCCGTGGTAAAGTGGCTGCCGCGGTAGGCCACCCGGTAGCAGTAAGTCAAGAACTGCTTCTAGTAGCCGAAGTTGGTCTTGAGCGTATTGAGCTCCTTCTTCGGGTCGAACGCGCGCGTCTTCTGCCCTGGGCCAGCGGCAGTATGGAAGCGGCTCAACGCTAGCTGCCGTGGCCAAGTTAGCATGCAGTCTGGGCCGTCGAAGCACCAGCTGTGCGCCTCTGTAAAGATCTCGTCCATGACCTCTAGCATTAAGAACAGCTCGGGCTCGCTCTCGGCATTCTTTGGCACCGCAAAAGAGGTGTGCATCTCGTCCTTCTTCAAGCCCCGCGTGTGCTCCTCGATGCCCGTCCGTCGAAGCCACGGCACCACAGCAGATTTATGGCTACCGAAGCCATGAACGGTGTTGGCTTCTGCTTTGGCATCCTCACCTGCAATAGCTGCGTCCTCGTCAAGCTGCGTAAAGAAGTCTGCCTCCCTCGAATCCAAGCTAGCTATAAAAGAGCATTCGGAGCTCCCTCTAGCAGCTACTTCTCCCTCCTCTACCACAAAATACCGAACCCAGCGGTTCTCGGCAAAGAAAGTCTGAAGCTTGCACCCCCGCCACAGAGGGCTCTTCTCATGCAACGCTAGCTTTTGCTGGTGGGCTTTCGACACGTGCCGTTGCATCGACTTGCAATCCCTTGTGAGGTGGGCTGAGCAGGTCAGGCACTGGAAGCCGTCGAGGAGCCTTAGCCCCGGGATGGCCTTCGCTGGCAGCCGCGCTGGCTCTGCCTCTGCCGCTCGTAGGTCGTAGCTGCTAAACAGCTCCACGAGAGCCTTCAATGACGCCCCTTTCAAGCAGTGCGGGTGCTGCCTCAGGTGTCGAACCCAGACGTCACGTCCAGGCCGGAGGCAGTAGCCGCAAGACGTACAGAGCAGCACCTACCACTCCGACAAGTAAATAAAAGGGTCACCCATGGCCCCCGATGGTCAGATCTCCCCCCTCTGCTCGCTGGTAGCCGTAGAGGGGACTCCCCCAGCGCCAGGACCATTCTGGATTTATGGTGCAGGATTTATGGTGAACTGGTCTGTGCCCTCCCCCTGATCCAGGGTCATTTCGCCTACGGATTCTGGATTTACGCCGCAAATCCGCCCATTTCTAGAGGTAGGTGGTAGTACTCCAAGAAGCCTTGAGTACACACAGCTTCGGCTGACACGATGACTAGGGAAGCTGATTGCTTGCACTCAATAGACCAGACCAAGGGCCGGATGCCCACTTCATGAAACCGCCTGAGCATATCACCCCGCAGAGCCACCATAGGCAGAACTAGGACCGTGGTCCCCGCATCTGCAGCGATAGCACTAGTCATAATAGGCAGCGTCTTACCAGAGCCGGTTCCTATTACTAGAACCACTTGCTCGGCTAGCTAAGGCCCTATGATGGCAAGCACGCCATTCCGCTGGCCGAGGACCCGGAATTGCAGGTCGGGCTTATTATACAGCTTCCGTACTACGGCCAGCAGGTTAGTCTCAGAGTAAGCACCCTTCTAGCGATGCTAACCACGCTTGGAAGCATCCAGCATTCGTAGTAAGAGCGTCTCCGAAGCCCCTCGAGGCCGCTTTCCCTAGAGGAGATGATCAAACCGGAAGAACGTCCGCCAGCTCTCAGACGCTCGGTAACTGCGGTGTAGCAGGGCACTTATAGTCAGTGTGGTCGTGCTAGCATAGGCATAATTAAACGTATAGTAGCTGTAGTTGCTGAGCTTAGCCAAGGCCACAAGATCCAGCTCGTCCTCGATCTCCTCTCCCATACCATCTTCAAGCTCGAAATCGGCCCGCTCTTTAGCTAAGAACTTCTCCTTCGTGATCGATGCTGCCATCTGCCGCTAGTTGGAGCTATAGAGTACTAGCACCTAGGCACAAGTGTAAGCCTTACATAAGCAAGCTAACAAAGCCTCGTCCGTCCAAACGCTCCCATCAAGCTTGGCTCAGAGGTAGGGAGAGAGTAGGGCACCGGGCTTCTGTTGGCGGAGGAAGAGCTGTCGTAGAGGCAAAACGTAGGCGATGTATATAAGGAGCAGATCGCTAATAGCCTTAGGTAAGAAGCGAATATTATCCTTATAAGCGCCTAACTATTGCTAGCTCTTATAGTATTGCGTATAGATCATAACTAGCTTCTCCCAAATGAACAAGTGGCGCTAGCGAGTTGTATTGCGCCATGTGACTAACAGCAGCTCTAGGGCCCGCAGCGGGGGGCTAGGTGCAATGTAGCAGAGGACTAATAGCCGCTTAAGGAAGTCCTAAGCGTGTGCCTCGTAGATGGCTATAGCTGTAGGGTTGAGAGCTTTGCATCTACCGTCCCCATTAGCTAAGAACATAGTCCGAAGCTCAGTGCTGCCTTAGATCCGCTGGAGCAGAGCTTGCTCAGCACCCTCTAAGAACTCGGCATTATGGGCATGCGAGAGCCAAGAGCCGCCAAAATCGTCCAGGTCTAAGTCGTCCTTCAGCCTCCACGATTCCATAGGCGTCAAGTCTCGGGCACCAAACATTAGCTCATCGTGGAGCAGAGAGTAGGCTTGCTGGTACTCAGACAGAACCAGCTGCGAGATCTAGGCCATCTGTAGCTCTACTCCTCGATATCCGACTATCTGACCGTCTAAGGACCACCGGGCCTAGTGCTTAGCAATAGCAGCTTTGCCCACCTTGAAGAGGTAGAGCCGCCACTGCAAGATGTGGCCAAAGGGCGTCTCGGCTAGCTACTAGAAGAACTTCTTGCAGATCTTGGCTAAGAAAATAGGAATCTAGTCCTCATCTTCTTGCTCTTGAAAGCAGGTATAGTCGAAGAGCACCATCTGAGCCGTCCAGGTCAAGGCAGACAAGTGGCTATTGTAGTTGCCCGGCTCCATCCACTAGCCCTGGCCTACCCCACTACCCCGCACTTTGCGACTAAGCATGGCACAGAAGCTGAGCACTGGGGACTTGAAGGGCACGCTCCCAACCGTCTGACAGATCAGGGCGAGGTAGAGCCGTCGAATGGCATGCTTGAGCGCCAGCGTAGCCTCTTCCTCATCCTCAAGAGCTAGGGCTTCTATGATCTCGTCCATGGCCTGGACCTGCTGAGCAGTAGGCTGGATGGCGTCTTGGGGCAGCTTCTGGTCTGGCTGAGTCCGCGTAAAGTGGCCCTCCTCACAGTACACGACCCGGTAGTAGTACGCCAGCAGCTGCTTCGTAGTGGTGAAGTACTTAGTTAGCGTCGACGCGTTCTTGTAGTACCGGAACCCGTCTGCCCTTCCTGATGCCCCGGCGTAGAATTCGTTCAGGATATTGGCCCGCTGCTGTGTTATTTTCCGGTCTGGCGAGGTGTCGCTGTAGAGCTGGTACGCGTCTCTTAAAACAGCCTCAGCTGCAACTAGAATTCGGACGAGATTAGGATCCTCAGCATCCTCGGCACCGGCATCTAGCACCTTCTTTGGCGGCAGGGCGTACGAGCTCTTGATCTCGTCGTCCTTTAGCCTAGCTAGGTGAGATAGGAAGTCCGTCCGCTCGAGCTACGGAACCCTCTCTGATCGAGAATCCCCGAAGTTATGGACAGTGCTAGCTTGCTCCTCCAAATTACGTGCTACATCTTTATAGTTCCTTTCCAGCTTCTTAAACAGCTCTTGTTCGGGTTGTGTTAGCGGAAGGGAGGAGCCCTAGCGTATAACGCTAGCTTGAGGATTCTCTACGACTACAAAGTAATCGATCCGCCCAAATGCGGTAAAGTATGTCTAAAGCTTAACTATCCTCCATTGTACAAACGAATTATAAACAGTAGCCCTGATTTGATGTACAAAAGACGTATGTTTTCTGATTTTACGGGCATAGCGGGTCCCGTACCGACATTCTGGCTGCAGGCAATAAAACCCATCGTATACTGCGAGATGATCGATCACTTGGCATTTATCCTCGGCTTGAGGCTTACACTATTTCAGCTCCTCGAGGGTTCTAAGGCTGTAAGTACTAAACAATTCAAGCGTCGTCTTTAGCTCCGCGCCTAACAGTCGGTGTGGTTCTGCTCGTAAGTGATATTCTTGACTTCGACTGCCTGGAACAATACAAGAGTGACAAATACGACATACAACCACTTGGTGAACTGAGTTGTAAGAAAAGACGCTCATATTTAAAGGTTCGGGGGAGGTGTGAAGAACTTAGGGAGGGCTAGGGTAAGTAAACCCTCACCCGAAGAACTCTGAATCAAAAGCTGCTTAATCAGCAACACACGGGCCAACCATCCACCCCGCCACCTGAACTCTGAATCAAAGACCCGCCCCGCATAGGGGGTAGGTATACGGCTTGACGCTGAGCATGGCACAGAAGCTAAGTAGTGGGGAGCTGTACCGATTGCCTCCAAATTCGTGGCAGATCAGCGCTATTGAGAGGACGGACATAGCATCTCTTAGCGCAGGCCGGTCCTACTCGACAGCACTTTGGAAGGCCGCTTCCCACGCCTTCTCCTGGGCATCCGTGAGCTGGATGCAGCTCTCAGGGGTCCGCTGGTCGTCGTCTGCCGTGGTGAAGTGGCCGCCGCAATACGCCACCCGGTAGCAGTAAGTCAAAAACTGCTTCTAGTAGCCGAAGTTGGTCTTGCGCGTATTAGGCTCCTTCTTGGGGTCGAACGCGCGTAGTTTCTGCCCTGGGGCAGCAGCAGTGTGGAAGCGGCTTAGCGCTAGCTGCCGTGGCTAGGTTAGCATGCAGTCGGGACCGTCGAAGCACTAGCTGTGTGCCTCTGTAAAGATCTCGTCCATGACCTCTAGCATCAAGAACAGCTCGGGCTCGTCGTCGGCATTCCTCGGCGCCAGAAAGGAGGCGTGCATCTCGTCCTTCTTTAAGCCCCATGTGTGCTCCTCGATGCCGGTCCGTCTTAGCCACGGCACTACTGCAGATCTGTGACTATCAAAGCCGTGAACAATGTTAGCTTCTGCTTTAGCATCCTCCTCTGCAGTAACTGCGTCTTCATCTAGCTGCCTGAAGAAGTCTGCCTCCCCCGAGTCCAAGCTCTTTGTGCTAGCGTCTATAGCTCCTGTAGCCCCACTAACAACAAAATACCGAACCCAGCGATTCTCGGCAAAGAAGGTCTGGAGCTTGTACTCCCGCCATAAAGGGCTCTTCTCGTGCAACGCTGGCTTCTGCTGGTGGGCCTTCGACACGTGACGCTGCATGGCCTTGTAGTCCCTGGTGAGGTAAGCCGAGCAGGTAAGGCACTGGAAGCCGTTAAGGAGCCGTAGTCCCGAGATGACCTCTGTCGGCAGCTGCCCTGGCTCGGCCTCTGCGGCTCGCAGGACATAGCTGGCAAATAGCTCAACGAGAGCCTTTAAGGACGCTCCTCGCAGGAGATGAGGTGCCTGCCTCAGGTGTCGAACCCAGACGTCACGTCCCGGCCGGAGGCAGTAGCCACAGGACGTACAGAGCAGCACCTGCCACTCCGCCAAGTAAACAAAAGGGTCACCCATGGCCCCCGATGATCAGGTCTCCCCGCTGCTCGCTGGCAGCCGTAAAGGGGACTCCCCCAGCGCCCGGGGCATTCTGGATTTATGGTGCAGGATTTATGGTGGACTGGTCCGTGCTTGCCCCCCTGATCCAGGGTCATTTCGCCTAGGAGATTTGGATTTACGCCGCACATCCGCCGAATGCTAGGGGTAGCGTACAAGTGCAAAGTCCTGCCTTTCGGACTTACTAATGGGCCTGCTACGTATCAACGATATATGAACGATATATTGTTTGATTACTTAGACGATTTTTGTACTGCTTACCTCGATGATATCCTTATTTACTCCGATAATCCCCTCGAGCACGAAGAGCACGTGAGAAAAGTGCTGCAACGACTTCAAGACGCCGGCTTGCAAGCTGACCTCAAGAAGTGCGAATTCAACGTGACTCGTACGAAGTATTTGGGTTTCATTATTAGTACAGAAGGCATATCTGTAGACCCAGAGAAGACGAGAGTGATAGAGGAATGGAAGCGCCCTAGTACGGTTAAAGGCGTACAGTCATTCTTAGGCTTCTGCAACTTCTACCGCCGATTTATTAGGGAATATGGAAGGATTGCAGCTCCCTTGACTCAGCTTACGAACGCGAACGTCCCCTTCCACTTTAATAGCGATTGCGAGACTGCTTTTGAGAAGCTTAAGCTACAGCTTATTACAGCACCAATTCTACAACACTACGACCCCGCGCTCGAGTGTATGATAGAAACGGACGCCTCCGATGGTGTAGTTGCAGGAATCCTCAACCAGAAGCATGGAGAGCAGTGGCTACCTGTGGCCTATTTCTCTAAGACTATGGCCCCTGCTGAGTTGAATTACGAGATCCATGACAAGGAGATGCTGGCTATTGTGAAGACTATGAAGGAATGGAGAGCTGAACTAGCCTCTACCTCTGCACCTGTCAAGGTTTATACCGATCACAAAGCCTTGGAGTACTTTATGTCATCCAAGAAGCTGACAGCCAGGCAGGCCCGTTGGGCAGAGCTGCTAGCAGACTTCCATTTCATTATCTTGTACCGCTCTGGTAAAGACAACCTTAAAGCTAACGCTTTAACCCGCCGAAGTGATGAGACAAGCTCGCAAGACGCTATTAAGGAAGCCTCTCGTACCCAAACACTCCTTACAGCTAACAAGCTAGATCCTCAGATCTATAGCGAGTTACGGATATCCTCCTTGGCCTTAGCCCCTGTGGATAGAGCTACTGTAGAGCACTCTTTCGACTTGATCGACCGCATCTTGCAAGCCAACCGGGAAGCAGGAACGCTAGCTGCCCTCAGGCTACAAGCTAAACGTCCGGATGATAAGGACTTTTTGCTAAAGCATGGATTGCTCTTGTACCAAGATAGGCTAGTTGTACCTGATCAAGACTATCTACGAGTGCACCTGATTCGAGAAGCTCACAACTAGATGCTTACAGCCCACCCTAGAAGAGACAAGACGTACTAGATCCTCCGTCAAAGGTATTACTAGCCTCACATGCTCCGTAATGTGGCTCAATACGTACGGAACTGCCATGCTTATGCTAGAGCCTCCTCCCCTCGGAACAAGACTCCTGGCTTACTGCAACCTCTGCCGATTCCGGAACGCCCCTAGCAACAACTCTCGATGGACTTCTGCTCTTTCCCTCCTGACAAGCACGGCTATGACAGTGTCTGCGTAATCATCGACCGTCTCAGCAAGCAAGCTGTCTCCATACCCTGCCACAAGACAATTAATGCAGAGCAACTAGCCCGCTTATTTCTCACGAATATCTTCCGATACTACGGACGCCCTCTGGAGATCGTTAGCGATCGTGGTCCTCAATTTATCTCTAAGTTCTGGCAAGAGCTTTGCCGCATCATAGGCACTAAGATCACACTTTCAACTGGTTACCACCCACAAACAGACGGCCAAACAGAGAATTATAACCAAGTTCTTTAGGCTAGATTAACACCATTTGTGTCGTACTACCAAGACAATTGGTCAGACATGCTACCAATAATGGATTATGCCCAGCTGTGCCTCCCTCAAGCTAGCATAGGCATGTCTCCACACGAAGTGTTATATGGTACAGCACTAGTATTACACTTCGACTGGAACCACCATCTGGATAGAGATAAGACAGCTAGTACACGGCTAAGCCGGGAGAAGGCAGAACGGCTAGCACGCCGAATGGATAAAGCAATTGGGATTGTAAGGCAGAACTTGGAGCAGGCTCAAACCCGCATGAAGCGTTCACAAGACGCCGGCCGAAGAGAAGTTGACTGGAAAGTAGGTGACAAAGCCTACGTTACTATCACTCAGTACAACACTTAGCGGCCTAGCCACAAGCTCGACAATTCCCGAGCCGGCCCTTTCGAGATCTTAGAGAAGAAAGGCCACTCGTACAAGCTTGACTTACCCGCTTCCATAAAGGTTCACCCTGTGTTCTCCGCAGACAAGCTAAGAAAAGACCCCGCTGACCCGCTGCCCGGTCAAGAGGAAGATCCTCCGCCAGAGGTCAATATAACTGGCGATATCGAGTGGGAAGTAGACGAGGTGCTAGCTTCTCAGATACTACAAAAGAAGCTGTAGTACCGAGTGAAATGGCTTAATATGGACGAAGACCTAGACTGGTACCCGGCGTCCGACCTTAAATACGCTCCTGACAAGCTTATAGCGTATCACATGACTAACCCAAGCAAGCCTGGCCCCCCAAAGGCTCTTCCAGCTTGGAAAAAACAATACGACGATGGATTAGATGACTACAATCATCTAGATAACGATAAGGAGATGGATCAAACGACGAGGACGTCGTTCTTCGGAAGGGGGGGGTAATATCACAGTTCTGGAGTCACGTGGCTAGAATATGCACGTGACCTGTGACCTCTATATGTATCTCGCGTTCCCCTCTCCCCTCTTTCTCCTTTACCTTTAGATTCTAAGAGATAGCCTAATCGATTCCTCGTCTACGTACTTGAGTCCAACCGTGCTGTCATAAGTATCGTAAAATAATTTAAAATAAATACGTTAATTTTAAATAATTTTTTATACAGTGCTAAAAAAGCTTTATTATAACGTGATAAAAAAAGTCGCGCACGGGCCGCCGCCCACCCAAAAAACGCTTTATTACGCCGTAATAGAGCGCGCAATACTGCTAGGGCGATTAACCCGGGGCGCTTTTTGCGCGTAGAATGCGGGTGGCCTCCTTACGATTAATGGATTTTGCTATTACGACGTAATGGCGATGGCCGCGCACGGGCCGCCGCCCGCCAAAAAAAACGCCATTACGCCGTAATAGCGGCGGCAATATAGTTATGGATTAAGCAGGGCTTTATTTCGAAGAGTTATTCGTTTGTATAAACAGGAGTGGAGATCTGGTCGAAGGCTCGAAGCTGGATAAGTTTCAACATGATACTGAGATAATGAGACTTAAGTTAATATTGAATTAGGATGACGTTACTTGTGGTGCAACAGGAATGTGTTACTGGTGGATTTTGAGCGCTCAGAGGTTTTGAAGCAGGTGTCAGTTTTTTACGCTCAAAATTGTGGTTTCTTTCGGAACCAGGAGATACTAAAGTTCTCGAGTGGAAGGTAGTCTCTGGGCTACTGAAATGAGCACCGTTCGACTCTGCGCTTTCGGCACGCTGGCTACCGTAAATCGACGTCGGTTTCGTAGTCGTCTCCCAGAAAAATTGTGCCATCTAGGTAGCATATAAATTTTATTCAGATAATGTGTAACTCTATTAATACTTGAAAATGCAGTGTGACAGCCCTTAAATCCTCGATCACGCATTCGACTTTGATCCCACCAACTCGAAAGACGGGCCGAAATTGCATGCTACACTTGCTCGCCGATTGTCCCTCGCCATCTTAGTCTCCTGTTTCTCTATCTCCTCGCCCATTTTTTCTCTCTCCTTCGCTTCAGATATCACCTCTTGACTTCCCTCCATCGCTTCTCGAATCTCCTGATCATGCTTCCTCTCAAATTCCATTGCAGCATTCAATCGTTCCTGGAAAGCATTCTGTGCTGCAGTCTCAGCAATGACAGCATAATGACAGCGACGGTAAACTCCAACTGCACTCAAGAACCATCCTAGAACTTCTAAACTGAACATGATTGGAAGCGCGTATGACAAATGGGGATTGCATCCTCCTGACCAGATATCAATGAGAGTCAAGTAGACTTCATGCGCAGGCATCGCAAAGGCCCATCTGTAGAAACCTGGCGATAGCTCAAATGGGAGAAGGATCGATGCAACGTTGAAGACAACCCAGGTTATCAGCGCCATTGGAAGAAATTGAACGGGCAACCAAACAGAGAAGACGTCGAGCCAGAGAAAATTCACCTTGAAACGCAGATTAGTACAATATCCTCAGTCGGGAATGGAAACTTACATGAGCGAAAAGCCAGAGAATCGCCCAACTCAAGGCGAATTGATTCCCATTCACATTCCATCCAGCTCGAAAAGCCCAAATTGCACCAGTCACACATAGTGATCCACAGAAAGTGTATGCCAGTGAAACTAGGCCACGGTACAGGATGATGCGATGAGGAAGGAAACGAACATAGAATTTGAATTGGGCGTACAGGCCGTTGATCACTCCGAGGTAGAAGAACTCTTGGATCAAGATGAGGATGATGACCAGTGTGTTGTAAATCAATCTTGAGCCTTGTGTCGTGGGCTGGAGATTGACGCTAGACAATTGCCACGGGTTTGCAAAGACAGTGATGGAAGTGGGATCGCTGGTGTTCAGCATTTGGAGAGCTCCAGTCCCATTGATCGCTGAGTAGGCAACACGAGCAGCTGAAGAGAGGGTTTCGATGTTGGCTGAGAGTGAGCTATCGGCGACTGTTGGATACCGCGCTTCATTCCAAATGTATGTCAACGCATCTGAGCGGTTGTAAGTTGCGGCCGACGAGCTCCCATCAAGAGCATTCTCCAATCTTTGGCTAGCACCTGGGGCGACATAAAGGGCAGCCCAGAAGTCCGTCTTGCACACAGCTTTCGTCAATTGATCGGGTGATGGATATTGCGCGGCTGGTCGTTCTTGAAGAGATGGAAAGGTATCGGCCTGTAACTCTGCATATGCATTCCGAATCGATCTACCTATGACTCCATTGTCGTAATCAACAAAGACAATGTTGAGATTGTGTGTATGTGGACCTTGCTGAAATATTGCACCGAAGATGTAACAGAAGAGTCCTAGGAAGAGGACTTGTAGCATCAAGAAGTTGAGGCCCGCCGCTTTAAAATAAGCTTTTCGGGAAATCCGGGTCGCGGAATCGTGACCTTTGGTTCGACCGGAGCGATCTCGTGCTTTTGGATAACCTTGGAGGAGCGCCATGTTGTCGATCTTATTTAAAATAGGTGAATTCAAGTGAAGTGATCCAATGGTTCTGAAAGGAAAACCATCCAAGATATACTGGAACTTTTCACCAAATCTACTTCACGTGAGAGTGCCAAGCCCTGCAGATGGCTTATTAAGCTCCGTTCCAGTTGCTGGTGTGGGGTGCTGCTCCGACGTCAGAGGCTTCCTCCGACATACAATTACTATGCCGTTTGATGTGCCCAAATCTTATTAATCTGGCCGGCATCTTTGACGGCAACTCGGAGTTTGCACCTGTACCTGCATCTCCTGTTCACTTTTGACTTCTCCAACCAATCTCAAGGCAGGCAAAAAGTTTTCCGAGGTGGTTGATACGTAAGCATCTCGAGGTCGGTGATCGAGATCCCTGAACGCTGTGGGTGTTTGCTCTCGAGAACCCTCGTTCAGCTATGTTCTCCATGCAAGTGCATCTCGTCGCAGTCCCAGTCTCGGTATCGTCGCCGCACTCGCCGTTGACGTTCAAATGCCGAAGTTGCTGCATTTCCGTGAAGTCCGCTTATGCAGCAAAAACTTGAAACATCATGAGAATGAATGTCTGGTCACGATGACTGGGTCTACAAGCGAGAAACTCCCATTCGTTCACATCAAGCAAACTTCCATGCTATCAACATAGTTCATTCTCTGGTCCAATGTCTGGCACTACCTTTGAAGATCGACAAGATCTAATCAATCACACGTGGGCAGAGACATTCCGATACATATCAGAGATAGCAAAACCCCATCAACTTCATCTTGTTGACACTGAATTGGTCTTTTCTCTGCAGGAGGTGCGGGGTAGCAATTGTTGGTACTGGAGTATTCGTCATCATGGTACTCTTATCGGGCCAAGAGGGGGTATATGCCCTGGATTTGAATATGTTCTTATGCCCACTCGATTGCTTCAAGTTGGTGGTGACCTCTTTTTCAGGTCAGAATTGCTCAAAATGTCTTCAGATCCCCAAGCGGCAGCATCGGACTCTATTGCACATCAGCAGGAGCCCTTGATTGTTAACGGCGACGTTGAAGCTCAAGCAAGAACGAAGGATAAGGTCTCATACAGGGCTCTACCCAATAAGAAGCAGCTTGCTATCCTTTGTATTGCCCGATTGGCAGATCCTCTAGCCGCATCGTCTATCCAGGTAAAGTCTTGCCGAACCAGACATCGAGCCATGGCTGACTTTTCTAGACGTACATGTTCTATCAGCTCCGGTATTTCAACCCGTCTGCCTCTGAATCTTTGATCTCTACTCAAGCAGGTATTCTTGTGGGATCAAAGACTGCTGCGCAGGTATGTACAGGGATGCTCTGGGGTCGACTTGCGGACTCTGAATGGGGTGGAAGAAAGAGCGTTTTGATGATTGGACTATTGAGTTCTGGTGTGCTGGATACCGAATCATCTTGTTATGTTGCTAATGTGTGATAGGTATTGCATGCATTGGCTATGGATTCTCGAAAACGTTCGTCTCTGGTATGTCTCAATTCCGTATAATGAACAGCTCTTCTGCGCCAAGCACTTCAGAGCTAGATTTAAGGTCGACAAACATAGTCTTCCAGCAGCTATCGAATATTCTCTTCTTCCAAACCTTAATGTATACCAGTTTCAGCGTTGACTCTAGGCAGCGGTGATATGGCAGGTCTTCGGGGGAGCTATGAGTAGCAATGTGGGGATCGTCAGATGTGTGGTAGCGGAGCTGAATCCCGAGAAACGGTTTGTACATCTCTATTCTCTGCGAATCTTGCTGAAACGACAGATTTCGCACACGAGCCCTCCTTCTCCTGCCGCTATTCGCAAACGCTGGCATGCTCCTTGGCCCTCTGATTGGAGGCCTCCTGAGTTCACAACATGGCGGAGGAACGTTCGAGGCTCATCCTTATGCACCTCCCAATATCTTCGCCGCAGCTGTGTATGCTATTGCAGCGATAGGGGTGCTCTTCGGCCTGCACGAGACTTTGGAAAGCCTCAAGCACACTGAGGGAAGTCTAGCTCAGCGGGTCTGGAACAAAATCACAAGTCGGGAGAAGCCAATGCACGATTACCAAGCGATCGACTCTGATGAACCAGACTCTCCTATCAAGATGTCCCAGCTACCTGAGCACATCGAATTCCAAACGCCGCCCAAGAAACCAGCGAAGCTGGCATTCAAACGAATTTGGACATGGAACGTCGTCTGCACAATGATTGCACACTTCATTATTGCTGGACATATTGCGACCTTTACGAATCTCTGGGCAATCTTCCTCAGTACACCAGTGGAAGCATCAGAGCACCAGCACCCGCCTTTCCTCTTCAGTGGTGGTCTGGGAATGCAACCACGTGATGTGGGATTCGCCATGAGCACACTTGGAGCAGTCGGGGTCGTGTTACAACTTGTTATCTATCCAAAACTGAATGATCGATTTGGAACTGTCAATATCTGGAGATCAGCGTTGTATGTGTTCCCAATGGCGTACGCTCTTGCTCCATTCCCAGCATTGGTGGGATCAGCAAATCTTGTGAGCGGGAAGACAGTTCTCGTTTGGCTCTCAGTTGGCTTCGTCCTCCTTCTTTTCATCATCGGACGCACAGGAGTAACTCCGGCCACAACGTTGCTCATCAACGATTGCACGCCTGTAAGTCTATTTCTATTATACGTTGGTTGCTGGGACTCTGAGTTGCGAGTTGTACTAAGACAGAAGTCAAATCGGCATCAACAGCTCAAGACTTACCAGCTTTGCTTCCAGAGCTTCTTCATAGTCCTCAGAGGTTGATTGTGCTAAGTTCTTGAATAGCATCCTTCCGTTAGAGGCACAATCCATACAGCTGGAACGGTAATCGGGAATTTGAGCAGATCAGTCTTCCCGGTAGTAGCATTTGCCATATTTGGAAAGGGTCTTGATATCGGTGTTGTAGGACTTGGGTTCTGGTGCCTTGCTTGTCTGGGTGTCTTGGCCTGTGTCGCTAGTAGGTGGGTGACTGAAGGAACGAACGGCAAAGAAATCGTCCTTGAGGGAGAAGAGCCAGCAAATCCGCCGCAGTCAACGAAGGCTTCCAGGAAGTGATGATATGGTCTTCAGGGGACGCGTGAGAGATTGGTTTGGAGGACGCGACTTGTGGTTAGGAAGTGGAGTGTCATCGGAATTGGGATGATTTGGAAGATAGGTACCAATATCGGTTATAGCTTTCCGCTTGCTCACTAAATAAACGACATGAGGAGAAGTTTGAGGTTTCGTTGACAACGGTAATCCTAACAATCCTCAATCTAGGAATAAATACTTTCCCCGAGCTCGAGTTCTTTCTTCTCGGCTCTTTCTTGACAATTTTGTCATTCACAATCTTCCTCATCACATGAGAGTATAGTTTTCTGTCCTCTAACCACCAGCGAGAATTATTGGGGTCTTCGTCAGACGGCCACTGCGAAAAAGGGCAGCTTGAAGCATGTTTGAGAACCACCCTACGGGTAATTTCGAGTCCGAATGTAAGGCTTTGCTAGTTTGTGAGCAATTGAAAGTCGCCTCGAGACACTTACAATGGAGAATTATCTTGCAGTCCGAATAAGGGATGCATACCGTCTTCACTTCTTTTAGTCCTAAGTAAAGCTGAGTCTCTGCTTAGTGCTGCAGGAGAGGAGCCTCTGAGGGGTTCGCTTGTAGTGGCTAAATGGAAAAAGCTTGTCGCTGAAATATTGCCCCGAAAGCCAAAAGGCGCCGCTTCTTTCCACGACTCACCTTCTTCCATCTCTTGTTCCTCTCTTTTAGACACTCTTCGACCCTCGGAATAACAATCATCCAGTGCAGGTTAGACATCATGAGTTGGAATTTCACCAGGGCGGGGGAACTCTCAACTCCACAGAATTTCCGCATCTTGGGATAGCTTCACGGAAGCCGGGCCTTCTTTGCCTTGATCAACGACTGCAGTAGTAGGACGACATGGCAGGGCCTCACGAGATTTCGAGATTCCCATGCAGACCATGGGTGATCAGCGCATATTATCCAGGGCCGAGGGGAGGAGTATAAGATGGCGCGGTTCGCAGGTAATTGGATTTTGTCCACCTGCAGATTCTCTGAAAGCTCACAATACCAGGTGCTCGTAGACAGACAATCGAACGGCAATGAAGCTCTCTCCTTTAGTCGCGGCAGCTGCCTTCATCCTTTCCTCCCATGCCTACAGTACGAAATCTACCCCTCTTTACAAGAACCCCGATGCCAGCGTCGACGACCGAGTTGCAGATCTACTCTCACGAATGACAATCGAGGAGAAAACCGCACAATTGATACAGGGCGATATTTCGAATTGGATCAATACAACGGATAAGTCTTTCAATGCATCTGGTCTGGTGTGGAATATGGAGACGAGAGCTGGGCAATTCTATGTTGGATATCCTGTCCCTCAACAATGGATCGCCGATGGGGTCAAGACAGCACAAGACTATCTCATGCAAAATACAACATTGGGCATCCCGGCCTTGGTCCAGAGCGAGGGGATCCATGGATTCCTGATCGGAAATGCCACGATCTTCAATTCTCCCATCGCATATGCCTGCTCTTGGAACCCCGCTTTGATTCAGAAGATGGGCGCTGCGATAGCCCAGGAAGCTTTAGCTCTCGGAGTCAACCAGATATTCGCACCTCTGGGAGATCTAGCCAGAGAATTGAGGTATGGCAGAGTAGAGGAAACGTTTGGAGAAGATGGATATCTGGCGGGGGAAATTGGCTATGCATACATCGTCGGTATGTTTAGTGTTAAAAGCATGTCAAACATTGCTAACCTGTATGACAGGTCTGCAGGGAGGTAATGTCAGCGCTACGGTCAAACACTTTGCAGCCTATGCCACACCAGAACAAGGCTTGAATGCTGGACCAGTTCATGGTGGGGAGCGAGAGCTTCGAACAACCTATCTACCTTCCTACAAACGTCAAATTATGGACGCCGGGGCTTACTCGATCATGTCCTCATACTCGGCTTATGATGGAGTTCCGTTGATTGCAGACTGGCACATTCTTACAGACATCTTGCGAAACGAGTGGGGTTACAAATATTGGGTCACCAGTGACGCCGGTGCTACAGATCGAATTTGCACTGGATTTAAGATGTGCCAATCTAGTCCACTTGATAAAGAAGCTGTGACGCTCTATGTGAGTTGGAATGCATACTCCTTCCTGCTTGTTGCTGATAGGTACAGGCATTACCAGCAGGAAACGATGTCGAGATGGGTGGAGGATCGTACAACTTCGAGACAATTCCAGCGCTTGTGAACTCCGGCAAGCTGACCGAGGACATAGTCGACACGGCAGTTTCCCGTATCTTGCGTGCTAAATTTGCCATGGGCCTGTTCGAGAATCCTTACTTAGGAGTACCAGCCAGTGAGACGGCTTCGAAGATTCATACTCCGGAAACAATTGCTTTGGCTCGAGAAATTGATGGAGAGTCTATCGTGCTACTTGAAAATCACAACGATCTCCTACCGTTAAAGAAATCTGCAAATGTTGCCGTTATCGGACCGATGGCCTATGGTTATATGAATGTTAGTGTACTCCTTTCTTTCATGCTACGAGAAAACAATCCTAGAAGCTATATGAGATCCTTCAGAAGCCCACGATCTGCAAATTATTAGAGAAGGAAGGTTTGAGGATTTTTCTAACGTCGAAATTCTCTAGTACGGTGATTACGTCGTGAAAGACTCCCAATGGCGAGGCGTCACCCCGCTTGATGGAATCAAAGCTGCAAGCCAAGGAGGTACGAGACACCTTTCTGTCACTGACAAATTGTATTGTACTGATAGTCTTAGTGATTTCCTACGCCCAGGGATGCGAGCGGTGGTCGAGTGATCAATCTGGGTTTCCTGAAGCTATTGCCGCAGCAGAAGCAGCAGATGTAGCAGTGGTGGTGGTGGGCACTTGGAGTGTATGTCGATACAAGTCATGCTAAGCTTCAGGGCTAACATTTATCTAGAGAGACCAATACCAACTGTGGGCAGGATACAATGCCACTACTGGCGAGCATATTGACACTTCGTCCCTCAACCTGGTTGGCGCGATGCCCCATTTGGTATCTGCTATCATCAATACTGGCAAGCCCACCGTGGTTGTCTTTTCTTCTGGGAAACCTATCACCGAAGCTTGGATTTCGCAAAATGCATCAGCGCTAGTACAACAGTTCTACCCCTCAGAGCAAGGTGGAAATGCTCTGGCTGACATCCTTTTCGGTGATCTCAATCCCAGTGGCAAGCTATCAGTTGGATTCCCGTATGACGTCGGAACAACGCCAATCTACTATGATTATCTGAACACAGGCCGTGGATCTGATCCTGGCCACATCTATCCAAACGGAACATTGGTCTTCGGTCCTGAGTATGTTCTCAATTCCCCTCTTCCGCTCTACGAGTTCGGGTACGGGAAATCCTACTCGACCTTCCAGTATTCCAATGTGACACTTTCACAATCCAATGCTTCCACCACCGATACAATCACAGCTACGGTCGAAGTCACCAACAACTCTACACGTGATGGAACGGAAGTCGTTCAACTTTACGTCAAAGATCTCATCGCTAGTGTTGCAGTTCCAAATATCGTCCTGAGGGGCTTCTCCAAGGTTCCCATAGCTGCAGGAAAGACAGCAACGGTGGAAATGCCACTGGCCGTGGCAGATCTAGGGTTGTGGAATATCAAGATGGAATATGTTGTCGAGCCAGGAGACTTCGTGATTTATGTTGGAAGCTCAAGTGCTGATCTCAGGTCCAACGCAACACTGACAGTTGGATAATTCGTAAGGAATGTACGTAATGTAATGCTCAATCAAAGCTTCCTCCATGGTCTATATACAGCCACTTCCCCTCTCGCTTTCTCTTCTCACAACATTGCAGCAATTATCATTACGAAAGTCAATAGCCTGAACATGCTGAAGCGTTCACACCTGACAAATTTTGAGGTATCACCCCAGCCGCAACGGCATCTAGACCTGTCAGTATAGAACGAGGTTTCGCTCCCCGTAGCCCACTACATACCTTGGTAACTCCATCTATAATCTCCAAGCTGGCTTTTCCATGTCCAAAATATCCATCCATTGGTGTTCTTTTCGTATGTCAAAACCTGTGCTGCAAACCACTGGCTATAGAATGATTGCTGCGTGCTGGGATCCCATGCTGAGGTCCATTGCACATCATCTGGAACACTCAAGCTCCACTCGCCTACGATCGTGGGTGTATCGCCATCACTATCTGTGGTTAGTGTACGCCTTGATAGTTCTTGGGCTTTACCAACCTAGCTCTATTATTGGTACATGAATCCGATAGATAGGCGGACATGGAAGTTGTGATGTTAGACCATTTGAGATACCTTGACGAAATGTCAGCAGAAAGCATCTTGTCGTGCCGCTATGCTTACCGATGGTCATCATATGCCATGAAATTTTGATTGGTGAGATATTGTTTTGGGTCTCCGGATCCCCAGAGTTCATTCATGACTTGAACATGCAGAGCGTTCGATGCCGTTATACCGAGAGCAGATTCCGCGGATCTGATAGCCTGAAGTCACGTCAGGCGATTCTTCTAAGGAACACCGAGAACTTACTGCATAAGCATTAGGATAATAGCTTGAACGCATTGTGGCAACTGTGTCTGCATTCTGGACTGGTTCATTCACGATTTCAATCATCCCAACATTTCGAAAAGCGTTTGTGGTGTGAGTTAGGTTGGTCAGCCAAGACAGAAAGGTTTCTGCTCGAGAATATTGGTAGTCAACGTAGAATCCCGGGCTTGGCGCAAACTGGATTGTTTGTTAATGAAATGTTCATGGGTGGCTGAAATCTCAACCTTTTGGATAGTAGGCAAAGAGATCAGATGGAATCACTGACCTGTCCGGTATCAGAGTTGTTGGCAACCTGTGCTCCTGGTGCTCCGTGCAGATCAATAATGATATAAAAACCTGCATCACTAGCCCAACCACAGACTTGTTCCAGGTAAGAAAGTCCTCCCTGTGGGAAATGCTCGCTATCACTGTAGACGAGGTCTTCTTTCATCCAGTATCCAACAGGAATGCGAATAGTGTTTAAGCCATAACTTTGCATTTGAGTAATATCACTCTGAGTAATCCAAGAACTCCAATGAGCCTGAAAAACGGAATTTGCCTGTGCTTGTCCGAGGTGAGAAACGCAGTCAAATTCAGAGTTCAAACCTCCACATCCCATATTCGTCCATGCGGTTTGCGCAAGCCATGGCTCAAAGACGAACATTGACCCGAGATTCACACCTCTGATTTTTGCCGAACTCGGCAGCCATCTCTTGGAAGATGCATTTGTTGCAAGTGCCGTATTATTGAACAGATTCGAACCATCAGCGGCGTAAATCTCTTTATCTTGTCCAGGAATCCAAGCCCTTGCTGGACCCGTGAGTAACAAAATGACAAAAAGAGAAAATATATACATGATGAAGATAGAGTGAATGAATGGCTAGAGACACCAGAACACTCAAGAGAAAAAGAAATGAGAAGTACTTGAATTATAGAAATGGATCCTTCAAGGGGTCAGCTCTATGTGACTGTACTCAATGGAGGTTGAGCCACATCACTAGGCATACTGGTGATCCTACGAGAAACAACATCAAGTCGGACCATGTCATGCTCGCAAGGATTCCGACCTTGATCGCAAAGATAACCAGTGAAAAAGAGCAGCGCCGCACGCATCTGGCAATGCGAATGTCAACGTCGAGCCTTCACGGACATCCAAACTTCGTAAGACCACCAAGCCAGCGCGGAGATGACTACAACGGACACGACTACAATAGAGACCCGATGACTTTGGAGGATGATTGTAGGATCACCTACTCATTTTGAAGTTTAACGTAGGTAGAGCTCAATTCGGTCCGTTACTTTAAACTTTCTCTGCTCACAAGAATAAGAAAGCGATGGTGTCGTTCAACCCATGACGATACCACGCGCAGGCATTTCAAGAGCAAATACCTAGGTAGTAAAGCCCCAACCACGAGATGATCCAGCTCGCATCAGCAGGGAAAATGTCTGATAGGCGACGAATGAGGGATGTTGCGCATCGCCAGGTATGATTTTTTGAGCCTTGGATCCAAATGTTGCCCCTGTTGACAGTCTAGATCAGTTCTCAGAACTTGGAGCTGAGTGAGAATGTGAGGACATTCAGTGGATGATTTCCGCACAAGCTTTCATCTTCAAACTGCAGCTTAGAGGCGCAATCCCAGTTCGTCCGGAATGCCTCAGTACGTACAAACATCCGCAGTAGATGTGCCAGCAATTTCGGTCTGAAGATAGGAACTCGAATGCAAAGAAGGATTCCTTTTATCAATACTAAGCTGTATAAGCTTTAACCTTAAGTGTAGCTCGCACGCATTGTCCGACACCGAGGCTGGGCAGATTAACGCTCATCCTGCAGGAAGTCAAGGGGGGGGGGGCTCATGGGCTGACAACTAACAAATAGCTTTGATTGGAGCTATTTTTATTCCTCATCCTGCACTCGCATGTGAAGAACGAGCAGTGTCTCGAGAGATGCTTCTCGAAAGCAGTATGAAATGACAAGAGGGTTGTGATCAAGAAGGCGTCAGCAATCATGACTTTACGGGGATCCGCAAGGTGAATGACCCAGGCGAGAGGAGAGATTGGTGAAAGTGCACCAGGTGAACTCGCTAGTAACTCTCGCTAGAGCTTCTGTAAGGTTATCAGCAAGCGCGCAGCCCCCCAGATCGCCTCACCTCCACTCCAAAACCCCACCAGCAGATCTGCCGTGCCGCATCTCCAACCTCTTCTCCTCTTTGATCAATCCCCAGACCGCTAGTATCGATGCGAAATCTGTCCCTACACCATGTTTGCGTTCTGCAGTACTGGCCTGATCAGTTCTCAATCGACAATTCCTCGAATTCGAGAGACAAGAAAGGAGGAAACACCTTTGACGCGCAAGGGTGCAACAACCGAACGGAGATCCAGCCTCGTTGACTAGGTAGGTACGAATCCAAGAATGCGAGCTCGACGAATGTCAGTTTATCTGCCATGAAAATCACAACATGATCGGTCGCATGAGAGAGAAAACAATTGCCCCCGAGTGGTGGATATGCTCGGCCTTCAAAGCCAACAGCTGGAGACGCTTGAAGCTCAAGAGCAAGCTACCAAGACCCAAATGGGGGCGGTTATACACAATGAGTTGGTGAAGAATCATGAGAAATCTATTCCATTGAGCAGGATCTGCTGACACCTTTCAAGATATAGTTGTGGTCGTGATGCTGATTTCCTTGCGACGATCGTTTTCTTCTAGAGAGACGAGGAATGCCCCTCCAACTACGAACGCTATCATGGCACGACCATCACATTATACTTCTATACACATCCTTCTTGTTCGATTTCTATTCATGGTCAATGCGAGGATATTCTTCTACAAATCTATGGTGGACTGTTCGCTTGTACGGTCACATAGACGCACTCTCCGAAAAGAGGTGCGCAACTTACAAGATTGATCCTTCTGATTACATTCAGGTCTATGGACGTGCTTTCCAGCGTGCCTGGCGTCGGCGATGATGCCCAGTACGTTCAATGTCTGGCATTGGATGGTGCTGGAAGATGGTACAACTCATCTCCAGGAGTATTCACACTTTGCATTCTTGGGCCGAACAAGCGTTTACAGTCATCATGATTGCCAAGAAGCAAATTATGCGGTTTCCATTCCCTCGCTGCCCCAGTCAGATTGACTATTCGGGTACACTCGTCAATGAACCGGCTGCGGTGCAATTTGCTTAAAGCTCTAGCTCTCCTACATCCAGCCGAAAGTTCGGTCCCGCTGCCGTTGCTCATGACTCTCAGAGGCCTTCATTCTACTCCAATCGTTCGTATGGTACGGCGTTGCCAGCTGTTGATCTTCATCAAGTGATGAAGATATTGGCATGCGAGATGGTAACTTCTGGTCAAGAGAGCTCATGAAAATGATGCGCCCCAGTACTCTGATTTTGAGATTGGGTGGAAGCAGAAGCGAAGTGTATCTAAGTAGCCGAAAGTAAGTTATATCTTGAAGATCTGAGACTGGACGATGAATTGGAATCCAGAATGAGAGTGGAAAGGCAAGTACGGAGTATGGAGAGCAATCATGGGCCACGTCCCGATCTTTGAAGTCACGATGGCGAAGTCTCCCAAACACTTTGGACTTCTGCTACAACAATGACCAAGTTACACATTTGGGACATCCTTCCCCACATTGTTGAAAAAGTGTCCTTTGTCACTTATCATGTTCTCCCTATCGTCTGCCAAGAATTTCTCCACAGTCTCCCCCGAGCCGAGCCGAGACGAAATCCTACAACAGCAGCGCCGACCATACCCAGAGTTCGGCATCGGCTCCCTCAAAAACACAATCAACGGCATGTGGAAGCGAGATGCTGATGCCTACAAGAGTGTAGAGCACTCCCAAGGAGACGGCATCAAACACGGAGCACGGTACGTCAAAGGAGTCCCTTGTCTTCTGTTCATCCTGTGGGTGGCACACAGAACGCAACTCCCACGGTAGACTGGATATGAATACGCTTGAACGGAACATGAATGGGTCCTCGCCCGACGAACTGCAAAGAAAGTTTGGACTGAAAGGGTAATGAAAATCGTGAAGTAGGTGTTACCTCTGGAGGAGGTTTGGGTGATCTACGCTAGATTTCTTGTACACAATCTAGATGGCCACATGGTCTTACAGAGATCTGATTGCACAGAAACGGTGCGCATTCAAACCAACCTGGCGGCCTTTGGATATACCTTCTCCCCCTTCATTCTTCTCTGGGACTTGAATTATTCATCCCACGGCAGGTATCTCACGCAGCTGCCTTTTGAAGGTTCAAAAGTCCTGCATGGCGCATGTAATGTCTCCCCCAGCACTTACGGACTTCGGGACACACCCTGGAAATATCTCCCAGATTAGAGGTAACTTCTGTCATGTTCAGTAGCATCAATCACTCGGAAATCACACCAGCCCCTATGCAGGTCGCCTCTACAACCAATTTGAAGAAAGCGATTGGTTACCTGCGGGCATCCGCTCGCCTTGGAGGACCGAATCCGACTACGGTCGTTGCACAAGGCGCCACCATCTCTTTACCGTGGAACATGAAAGGGTATCTTTCCGTGTATCTGTAACCGTTTGGGCGATCTGCATACCATAAGGTGTTGAATTATTGTTCTGCAAGGACGCGTTGCCGAGAACAAATACATTGCATGAATGCCAGCTGCCTACCAAGCATTTCCGCTGAGAACAGTTCATGGCGTTGCTTATAATGAAATGGCTTCATGGGACATTCAAAAATTTGAATAGGGGAATGAGGGGTAGGTGCCCAAGATATCTCGCCGACACGTAACTTGCGAGATTGTACATCCTCTCACAAACCGTTTGTAGCATCTGTCACATTCGTATTTCTGGCGAATCCTCATCGATCTACGGCCACCTTCTTATATTCTCAGCCCTGGCCTTTCGCCTTTTCCTCCCGCATATCCACTTTTCTGGAACTACGGCTCTGTCCAACCTTGATTCTTGGAACGCGGGGCGGGCAACGGCTCCTGAGCATCATTCTGACCAGGGACAAAATTCACTTCACCAGATCAGCAAACACAGACTTCACACAACAATCTCATCTAACCAACATGTACCTTTGGTTCCCAGGGTCTTTCTTTTGACGATGCAGTAGCATTTCAGATTCCATCCGCAACGAGGACCACATCGTCTTGGCCTCTTCAACTGAAATTTTCATCCCCAGGACGAACCATGGGGCTGACCACAGGGCAGAAGGAAGTCCTGATTACCATTGAGCGTACAACGGCATCCATATCAGTTATATCTTCAGTCATACTTATCCTCACTTACCTCTCCTTTAAAGATTTCCGAACCTTACCGAACACTATTATCTTTCTGGCCTCTCCTGCGAACCTCCTAGCTGGAGTAGCTGCTCTGATCGGAGGCAGCGGCCTCGACAATGTAGATGGCACGACTTGTCAAGCGCAGGCATTTCTATTAGAATGGTGAGTGCGGCCTCATTCCTATGCAACTCTTACTGACTGTTTCCAGGTTCATGCAATCTGATCCCTTCTGGTCTCTTGTTGCTGCTGTCACAGTATTTCTGGTGTTTTTTCGACGTTGGGGTGCTGAACGAATTACCAACTTGTACTGGGTGTACATTCTTTTCTGTTACGGCATTCCTGGGGTTGCGGCATTTGTTTGCCTGCTCTACAAGAAGAATGGACCTATTTATGGCAACGCATCTGTGAGTGTTCCCATTCGAGACCATTATCTCAACGCCAGCTCTAATTGAAGTCAGCTTTGGTGCTGGATCGACCAAGAGTATCATTGGGCTCGCATCTACACATACTATGGACCAGTCTGGGGCTCCATCGTATTCTCCCTCTCGATCTACGTGGCTGTTGGGATCCGAGTATACCAAACCCGCTCACAGTTGAACGATGCTCGAAACCATCCGTACTGCGGCACGGGCAGATCTTCGACCATCAGATCACCATCCTTACTGGAGCAAGCGACAGAAGTTCAAACTACAGATAAAGCACCCACCATCAAATACCCGGATGCTGTGTACAGTCCCACCTCCGCAACTTCGCCTCCTGCGACCCCTCCTTCCAACTACACGTCCACTTTGACCAGTACTCCTGTGCACTTAATGCCACTACATGTCATCTTCAGGTTCATGTCTCGAGCAGCAATGCTGTCGGTGTCTGGACTTAGACAAGCTTGGAAGAAATGGAAGAACATGGACGAAGTGAAATACAAATACACCAAGTGCGCTGGTCTATTCGCCATTTCCATCCTCGTAACGTGGGTCCCGGCATCCTTCAACCGCATATATGGCATCATCTATCCTGACGGTAGATACGTGTATGCTCTGAACATTGCTTCCGCTCTTGTACTTCCGCTGCAAGGATTTTGGAATGCGGTGATTTTCTTCTCGACGAGTGTGGGGATTGTGAAGATGGTGTGGGGGGACGTGAGGGCTTGCAGAAGGTTGGTCTTGGTTGGGAAGATGCTTGGGTGGGGGAGCAATGTGCAGGAAATCAACGTGCCTCTAGCTGAGCGAAGGAATTCGATTGTGGGAATGGGTAGAAGTAATGATAGTCAGACTAGACTTCGAGCTAGCACGAGGTTGGATGATGAGAGTTTATTGGATTCTTTGTGACTTCATGATTAGGAGAGGAATTTAGGCTAGCGGGGTGTTTGGGTGCTGAAAAGGATATGCCTTGAAATTTATTTGAGATGCAATGATTACCCATGAAAAACTAAAGCCGGTTCAATTTCCGAGTGAAGCAATCTGTCCCAACTTACTCTATTCAATTATTAACCTTATAAATCCAAAGATGGCTCGGGCTAAGCTTGACTTTCAAAGGCAGATGCAGAGTAGATCTGTTGTTCAAGTTCTCCCAAGAGAGGTTCAAAACTCGTCTCACTAACCGTTGGCTTCCGAAGCTCAAGATACTGTACACCAAGGGGAAAAGGAGCATGGGAATAAACATAGCGACGCACAATAGTGGAAACAGAAAAAGGGAAGGAGCTGCTGTGATCGAGTTGCCATTTTCGAGTCTATTCTTAAGGTGTTGCGTGAATTAAACTCGCATCACCACGTATCTGGACCAAAATGTGACCCATTAGGCACAATTCTGTAGGGACACGCATTCCAATCACAACCCTGCTTGAAGATCTCCGTACCCCACCACTTAAATCCTGCCATCAATCCCGAATATACGAATCCGAAAAATACAATCACCAACCCAAATGCCAGTCCACTGTCCAGTGCGGCACTCAAAGTCATCGTGTACTTTGCCCACCATGCGGTGTATCGGTTCTTGATGACATAATTGAAGATATAGCAGACAACAGCCCAAACAGAAAAGTTGAGGCCAGTCGCAGGTGGAATCCAACTCAGGGAGCCAAATAGAACTGGAAGGTTGACCTTCCTGACGATATTGCCCTTCTTATTCCTGGCGTATAGCCACAAGATAATGGGAGCGATAGCGCCAACCGGGAAGCACCAGACGAGTATATGGTATGTGGCATTCTTGCCGAAGAATTCGCCAGGTCCTACAACACCCCAGAGAATACTACCGTTGAAATGTACCCTAGCAATGGGGCAAACAAATCCGTTGACAGCTTGCGGCGTGCAGATATTTGGGACATTTGCGAACATCCAATTCAGAACTGCAATCTGCGTGACGGAGGAGACAATGGTAGCGACCATCTGAACAGAGAAGAGGATTCGAGGCGGGATCTTCATGTAGTGTCCAAGCTTCAAGTCAGCAGAGAATTTGATTCCTTGAGCTGATGAGATGTAGCCGTAGGTAACGAAGACCATGTTCGCAACTGGTCGACCAGGGAAAACGGCTCCGCATACGAGTTGGCAGATAAGATAGATACTGCTATGTTGATTTGTGATTGCCATGACGATGCCGATTGGGATGAATAGAATGGCGCAGATGCCAAGAGCGAGAAGTAACCCATACCAGGGGAGATGTACTGGATAGCTGCAATTGTTAGTTTGATGTCTCGAAAGATACTATGGAAACCTACTATTCTACGACAAAGATGCCCACCGTAGTCATGGTCACAAATGTGGCCAAGTACCAGCTCAATGGTGCATCTTTGTATCTCCTCATCAGCCGATTGTGTACATCCTCCTGGCTGATTATGTTTTCCATGTGCGAGTCAGATCTGTGCAGCCCAGGTCTGCCATCGCCTGAAGAACCGCCATTCGACAAGGGCTTGTAGGTGGTTTTTGTTTCTCCTTCAACTTCTTTCAGGGACCTCCTCCACTGCTTCCAGATGTCCTTCCCATGCCAACAAGCAGTATGCGTCAAGAGAGACGCGAGAGCCGCAAATTGTAAGCCATAACTAAGGACATATGTGATTGGCAAGAACACTCGACTATAATTTCGATACGTTTCTCTGTCGAACAGAAAGTCTGGAGTCAAGATCTTGCTAACATCGTAGATCCCCCCAGTGTTGTCAAAAACTGCAGACGATAGAATTGGCATATAAGAAGAGGAGAACACATTCATATAATATGCGATAGGTGCAGCGATCCACATGACAATGACAAGACCTCCTACTACATTCATAGCGGCCCAGAATGGCGTCAAAAGCGGGGAGCCAATATAGGCGATCTGAGCCCAGTCGAAAGTTACTGGGAAAAGGCCAAGTCCAGAAGCAACACCGAACAGATTGGCAACAACGACGTTGTCAGGGGCAAACCAAGTAATGACGTTGAAATAGCTCAATGCTGGCATGAGAAGTCCCGGCAGGAAGTAGAAGAGGAATGAACTTAACCAAACAATGAAGAAGAACTTCCAACGGGTAATCTTCCACCCATTGGCCACTGTGTTCTCTTCCTTATGCAAAGTCGTGAACATAGCTGCTGACATCAAGGTGCCAGGCCAGATCATTCCTCCAGGTCGTACCAGAAACCTTCGAGTCAAGCCAGCAAATGTGTATCCCAGGATCTGGGTTGAAAGTATGAGCAGCAGTTGGTACGTAATGCTCACTTTCTGATTGTAGAATTGTGTTTGCTCCACAATAACATCCGTAGCAAAGGCAAAGCCAAAAGAGACATTGCTGCTGATGTATACACAACTATGCTCCTTCTCATTCCAGCTTCCTTGTGCCAACCATAGCCGCAATCTCCTGGATCTGCTGTCGGGGATCTTTCGCTGTGCGTCGTGTGATTCGTAATTCGTGGTATCATTAGAGGATGTCTGGCTTTTGGAGCCGTCTATAAACACTTCTGATGGATCGTCCAGTCGTTTGAGCACAGCGTCCCAGAGACGACCAAGAGGATGTGTAAGTAACAATGCTATGACTGGAGTAATGGAAACGCTGGGGTATCGTAACGAAAAGAAAAGATTTGAAGATGATCCAAGGATCGCAAAGAGCATGGACAATGCCCACATTCGAGGGGTATTGATCGATAGCGTTGTGTTGTCGACGGCAGACACGGAGGCGCGAACTTGGGGATATGGAGAATTATCCGGTGGATCTTCTTCGTTGTAGGTAGACGCATCGTCGACGGCTTCTTCGGATGAAGAGTCTGGAGAGTCTGTATCTGAGGGTTGTTCTGTGTTTGGTATAGGAATTCCGCCGCTGGCACATCTGCTCTCCAAGCCAATATCGTCAGCTACATCCTCCACCTCCGTCGAGGGCCGTCTTCTGGCATTCGAGGTTCTTCGCCGTGTGCTCCCTGAGCTTGTTGTGCCTAGTGTCGTCGAGCTGATGGCATTCCGCAACCCTGAACCCTTCTGCTTCTTCGTGGGCCTCCGACCATCATGGTCCTCCTCATCACTGTTCTCTGTGGAGGCACCGATGGGAGCGGCACCGTATGAGCCTGTCCCAAAGCCTGGCGACGACCGCAAGAGGAGAGGTGCCTTGGACATCAGTCCCATCAAACGCCGGAATGGACTTATGTATTCCGTTGGACTCGATTCTTCATCGTCGGCCGAGTCTCGTATATGTCTGCGGAGGAGGGCCGCGTTCGATTCAGGATCGAGTTCGTCGTCGTCGTCGTCGTCGTCGTCGTCGTTGTCGTCTGAATCATTCGAGTCGTGACGTGAGTCATGCCCGTGGGATGTTGAAGGAAGAACAGAGAGTGGGATATCTCTGCTTCCTATATTGTGCGCATTGTGGTGAATGGGATGGAGGCGACGAGCAGCAGCGGGAGGAGGAGGAGCTGTGGATCTGCTTGGGCCGTGGGGGGTTGTCATCTGCAGGAGGAAAGACTCGCAGGAGGGAGGAATTGGAGCAGCAGGTATTTCCAGGTTTCCGCTGTTTGGTGGTGCCGTGCAGTGCTGGCTGGTGGTGCAGCTGAGCCCCTCTTCGCGGGCCGTCGAGCATGGGATGAAATCGCTAGCTAGCTAGCATAGCAGATGCGCGGTGAGTGAGAAAAAGAACGGCCTGAACTAGGTACGTAGAGAACTGAACTTAACTCGAGGAGTGAAATGATGTTGTTTATGATGTCAAACTTTCGTTCAACATCTCCGACTTGTCAAGGTTTTCCTGCTCTCGGGAAGTCTATCTGCTGCGTGCAGTGAGTGCATACCTACCTAAACTACAGCTAAGGTTTTTGTTCTGTTCCCAAGGTGCATGTGCATCTTCAACCTGCAGCACCGAGCTGCAGCCGGTGTCCGTGGGATACCTAACCGGTTACCTACATAGCAATGACACCATCGCATGTCAACCCATCTCGATCGGGTAAGGGAAGGAAGAAACGCATGCCCACCTCACCCTGTCACCTCAAGAGTGGAGAGGAAAAGGGGGGGGGGAGATCCGCCTTATCTGATCGAAAGATTACGAGGAGGTGATGCTTGTCGCATACCTACCTACCTACCCTACCTAATTTATTATTGCCTCGTTCCGCTCCTTCCGCCCGTTACTCTTCTTTCCTGTCATTTTTTCTGACCGCTATCTATGCTATCGGTGGGTACAGTACTATGTGGCATATTTCATGGCCAGATATCTCTTCAAGCTGTCGTGTATTCGTTCCCTTTAACCAACCCTCCTCTACCAACCCCATTCTCTAGCTTTTACCACTGCCGTAATCTTTTTATAATTTATTTTTTTTGCTCCAGCAGACACAATGTCCCTGCAGTTTTGGGACAAGACGAAATCCCCTCAATTCCCTTAGTACTGCGTATCTCAACTCTATTAATAATTATGCTAGTTCTACTTAGACAATGCTCCTAGAGACTTGCAGCTTCGTTCTCTTCCGATCCTTCATGTTAAGTATTGGCTTTCACAATAGGACACCTGCACGGTTTCAATGTCTGGCCTAGCAAGAGAAGGTATTCCCAGACGACAAGAGCATTGAACAACTTTGACGTGTTTTCTACGTCTCAGATCTACTTTCCACATGATTAGTAAATATGTCCTTCTTTTGAGGTTTAGGTTTGATTTCACCCTTCTACTGAGAATTGGATACATTAGATCCAATTCCCATAAGTTTTGAAGTCGGATTGGAATCATTGAGGTTGTTCTCAAGCTCACGCAATTCAAATATCCTCCAATATTAAAAGTCTTCCCAAGTTTACACCAACTATATGGATACTCCGCAACCACTCCATATCCATATAGTGATGTTCTACAAGTTTCTCAGGTCCCAGTTGAGTGGTATGAGACTTCACATAAACTTATCGTTGTCGATAATTAGAGTTATTGATCCTGTGCTGTTGTTTGGATGGCCACCTTCCACTGCGTCTAGCTGAGACAAGACGACTGTGTGGAAAGGATCGCAGAAGTGTTCACTCCTAAATGATCGCAGAAAGGTGCTTTTATGTGCAGGCATTTCCTTGGTAAACTCAATATGGACACATACCTTACCTATCCTGGAAACTTTGTCATGGTATATCTAGAAGTAAAAGTAGGTATGCTGGCCGTCCTTTTCAAGCCGCTAGCATCCGAGTGGTGATTGTACAAGACATTGACCGAAACCGAGACACAGTAACTCCAGACCACTTGTCCTTATCGTCTCTCAAAACGAGGCATAGATCCAACACTGTGAGACAGGACGACAAGTGTAAAATGTATCTAACAATCCTTTGGGCGTTGAGACAAAAGCTGAAATCCAACAAGGCGCAGCACCGCACGTGCAGGTCTCCAATTGATTGGCTGTGACGTCGGGAAGGTCGGAAAGTCGGGGGTCTCACTGACGCTGACCTTAATTCTAATCAGGCCCCAGCTCCAACTCCAACGGAGAGAATATCGACATCAGCTCATCGCTGACACTTGGCGATCGCATCCCCATCACCACAATTCATTACATCGTCAAACAATGGCGCACGTCACAGGCCTCGGTGCCTTCTTCATCATCGTGCTCTTCCTCATCGTATTTGGGGTTGCCGGTTGGATCATATACACCCATCTGCGGGCAAGACGGCTCGGTCTCCCACAACCTACCCTCTCCTCCTACAATCCCTTCCAGCGCTCATCTGAACGATACGGCGCACCGAGTCCGGCGAGCGGAGGAATCGTTGGATGGGTCAATGATAAGGTTCGCGCGTTCAAGAACCGCAACAATCGTTCAGCCGGCGGCGCATACGAAGAACCGCTCAGCAGCAATGTACGGGGACGAGCGAGCAACCGTGGTTTCGGCCCTCTGGACCCAGATGATGCATGGGATGCGAGAGTAGGAACGGAGGCAGATGCATATGGACCGGGAGGATACTACGAGGAGCAAGAACTCGGCCTACATCATGACCGCCTTGCACCAACACCAGGTCAGGCTCCCCCAGGGTATGGAGAGGGCAGCAGAGGACGAAGCTTGAGCAGAGAGCCAGAACCCTACATCGGCGGAAGTCAGGCAGGATTGGATCGAAGATATGACGAGGAAATGGGAAGGAAGCCAGCACAAAACCCATTCGATGATTCTGCGGCGGAACCAAGCAATGTCAGCTTGAGGGGAGTCAGTCCAAGACCGATCGACACGACCGTGAAGGGACACAAGTCGCAGGACAGTCAGGAGAGTCCATCCGAGAGACGGTCGATGTTCAGAGAGAATATGTAAGGTCTATAACATAGGATCTGGGATCTGGCGAATGGGGTTTGGTAATGGGTTTTCTTTCAGCGTTTACTCATGATCTGAAAAGCTTTGAGGATTCAATGGGATGGGATCAGAACGTAGTTTTCAAGCATTGAAGAACAATGGATCTATTCCCTTCCGTACAAGACTCTTCTCCATACAGTACATGCACTACCCATAAGACATGATCTTCGTGATCCTCCGTCAGCCATGTCTGTCAGCATTGACAGACTAGGATAAGCTCAAAATAACCCCACCATTTCCACTCCACCTCACTTGAGTAACCTCTCCTAAGATACTCTGCACGAATATATCGAGCCCTTCAATCATGGCAGACCTCAACCTCCAGGAGATCCATGATCTCCTGGTCAACGTAGCTCATGAAGCTGGCCAGATGATGCTCACAGCAACGCCGTCGTATCTCTCCTCTGGGACCAAGAAGAACTGTAAACAACCCCGCGTTTACCATTCACCCCATACTCGCAGATTGCCAAGTAGCTACCACGTTAAATAATGCGCTAGCGCTCACTAAAACACCAAAAAAATCATAGGATTTAATCTCATAATATATAATATATCCTCAAATTTTGGGCATTTTAACTACTTGATATAACTTCACGAAACTATTATCGCATTCACCAAAGATTAATAATTCACTAATAAAGCGATGTGTTCGCAAATAAATTATTTTACGAGTAAATCGGAATAGTGCTTTTATTCACTATAAGACTAAAAAGCTTAGCTATTTTCCATCCTGTGCTCATTCTCTGCTGATTTAATTCACTCACCCAGCCTTACCACTCTCCGAACCGTTCTCCGCGGCTAGTGAATCTATAAATTCACCTCTTTCGGTCCTTTGCTCTCCGTTTTCTACTCTTCGCCCTCCATTCACCTCCCTCGGCCCCCGTCCTCCGTCCTCCGTCCCCTCTATATAAACCCCCCTCCAGCCTCTCTATAATCCGCACAAAAACGTTCCTTAAACGAGACGAACATAGGAACGGATGGCGGTGGTGTTTGGAGTGCCATCCTGGCCGCGGCTTTGGTTGTATAAAACTAGTGTAGTTTGTTATGCTACGCTTTTTCCGTAGCGTTATTTGCTATAAAGGGTTGTGGGGTATTATTATTGTTAATTAAGATATTGTTAATAATAATTAGGTTATTATTATCAAGTCTTAGTATTATTTTCTTTAGAAAATAGTATTATAACTTATTTCGATTACTTTACTTTATTTAAATCGAAAATCAATTGTGGAGGCTTTTATGGTCCGTATCATCTTGTTTAGTCGAGTATGGTTGCTTTCCTTCTTTTAGTTCTGGCATTGGATGGAATTATATATCGGTACAGTTAATGGCCGCTGTTCCGATTTACTTGTAAAATAATTTATCCACTAATAAATCACCCCTTTTCATGAAATCCAGGCCCTTTTGGCGAATCAAACGTGCTTCACGAACGCGACGAGAGTTTCATAAAGATTACTAACTATCACATAGCCGCAGATTTAGTCACAGAAACCGACAAAGCCGTAGAGAAAATAGTCTCAACACGCCTCCTTACCGCCTACCCCACCTTCAAATTTATCGGCGAAGAAACCTACTACCCAGGCCAAACTCTTACGGCAGAACCAACATTCATCGTTGACCCCATTGATGGTACAACCAACTTTGTACACGCGTTCTCAACATTCTGCATTTCTCTTGGTTTTGCAGTCAACAAGGTCCCAACTGTTGGTGTCATTTACAATGCCTACCTCGACGAATTATACACTGCCATAAAAGGACAAGGAGCATATCTTTTGCGGAAAGGGGGAAAGAAAGAGAAGCTGCCACTCAAGAAAGAGCCAGATCCATTGAAGGACCTCAGCACATGTTTGGTAGGCGCAGAATGGGGCAATGATCGGACAGGAGTGAATTTTGAAGTCAGGTCTGAAGTTTTCACGAAGGTCGCAGCAACCAAAGAGGACGGAGGAGCAATGGTACACAGCATTCGTTCCATGGGATCCGCAGCTTTGAATCTAGCTGCTGTGGCAGCCGGGCAATTGGACTTGTACTGGGAGGGAGGATGCTGGGCTTGGGACGTTTGTGCCGGCTGGTGTATACTTGTTGAAGCTGGAGGGATTATGGTCAGTGGGAACCCAGGAGACTGGGAGCCGACGATTGAGGGGAGGAAATACTTGGCCATCAGGGGAGCTCCTAGTGGACAGAAAGATATCGCGGAAGAGCTTTGGGGTGTAATTGGCGACGGGAGGCTGGATTATTCGACCTGAGAATAAAGACCGCCACGAATAATAAGTTGCGCCTGTGCGGTACTTGAATTGGTCTAATTTGCGTGGCATTTGTTTAGACTTCTAGATAGATAGAAAAGAGCCATAGAACGAAAGCAGTGTTTTCCAAGAGTATCTCACACGAGAGATCAACGATATTTTCTCACTTCAGGAACTTTGATACCAGATGCAGCCCAGCAGATTCAAGCTTGACTCAAAGTCTCCTGCCCATTGGTTCACTCCGCCATCGCCGCATTCCCAGGCCCATTTCAGTAGAACTTGCAGCGACAAACCTAGCATCAAAAGTCTCTGTCACTGTCTTTGAACTCGCCAGCTGGTTATCAGAATCTTTCTCCACCACATACAAACACTTGTCGGCAGTCTTCATTAGCACGTCGTCATCTCCATACCGTTGAAGATCACTTGGTAAGACAATCTTCCCCTTTCCATCCACAATCTTGTAATGGCACATCTGTGTCAACATCGGAAAAGGGCCCAAGTTCCTTCCTGCTTCTGTGCAAGACCCCACTGAAGTCACAATGAAACACAACAATAGCGTAACCCCAGCAAGGACAATATAAGCAATCAATGAACTTTGTCCAACTTGGAGACTGTACCTGACGAACGCTGGGAAGATGTCTGTGTCCGGCTCAACGAATGGGAACTGATTCACTAGGTCCAGACCCAAGGTCTCGATAATCGCCGTGGTATTGTTGATTTGCTCCAGCAGGAGACGTCGAAGTTCCTGGCCTAAATCTTACATAACGCCGCGCACGCCATAACCTTAACCTTATCACATCACTCACTAATCCTCCTGTATCTTCCCTGGCTTGGCTCTCCTGCAACGACCCCTACCGCCATTGCTTCCTGTAATCATGGGCAATCAATCATCCTTTGTCTGCTCCGCATCGGTGGGATTCATTCGCGATGACTTCCTCGAACGGTCCACCACATTTCGAATACCATGATGGAGCCTTAAGCTGGGGCACGACGAAGCTCCTAGACGAAAATATCATCTGTGTTACTACCGACCACAGCCAGAGCACGATCTTCAGTCTGACTGCTACTGAAGAGGGCTCGCAGAAACAATTCGAGCTTCAAATCACGAATACAACATCCCTTCCACCAGAGTTCCTCAACCGACATCTGCTCAAAGGTCTGCCAGCTTATCTACATCCTGACGATAATGTCATCCACGTCCTGATTTCAACCTTGTCTGGCACTGGCCTCGCCCCAAGCTTCTTTGATGATGTGCTACATCCAGTCCTGCTAGGCATAGGGCTTTTAGACTCAAGCTACCACGTCCTGCGTACCGAGAATACGAACTCCGTCGCCGAATTTGCAAAAGCTACACTGCTGCCAGCAGCCGCTGCAGGAAAGAAGCAGACAGTTTTGATACTCAGCGGTGATGGTGGACTGGTGGATACTGTCAATGGAATCCTGGAGGAGGGAAACCCGCCAAGGTAAGCTCGTTCCACTGTCGCCGAATCCCAGTTGACTGACCATCGTAGCACATACAGGCGGCCGGTTCTTGCTCAGCTGCCACTAGGGACCGGCAATGCTCTCTTCCATTCCTTACACAAACCAACGAGCGCTGGTGTGCCATCGCTCTATATCCAAGGTCTCCGAACGCTTCTTCACGGAACTCCAAGACCACTTCCTATATTCCGGGCAACCTTCTCTCCTAGTGCAAGACTTCTCACGAATGAAGCACGAACTGCAAGTCCTCTGAAAAACAATACATTATATGGTGCTGTAGTGGCTAGTTATGGTCTGCATTCCACACTTGTGGCGGATTCGGATACCACAGAATATCGGAAGCATGGGGACAAGAGGTTTGGTCTTGTTGCAAATGATCTTCTTTTTCCTGATGATGGTACTCGACCGCACGCATACTTGGCCGAAGTCGTCTTGAGTTATGACGGGCACAAGGATACCGTCCCGAGGGGAGAGCATGGCTATGTTCTTGCAACCTTGGTCTCTAACTTGGAGAAGACCTTCACAATATCTCCTGAGAGTGCTCCATTCGATCGAGCTCTGAGGGTGGTTCACTTTGGCGCTCTAAGTGGAGAGGAAACTATGGAAATCATGAAAGCTGCTTATGATGACGGGAAACATGTCCAGTCAGACGAAGTTGGCTACGAAAATGTTGAAAGCATGAGGATCAATTTCAAAGAAAGCGGTGAAAGCTGGAAATGGAGGAGGTGTTGTGTCGACGGTTCGATTGTCGGAGTCGAAGAAGGAGGCTGGATGGAAGTGAGTCTCCTTGGCAGTGGCGAGGAAGTTGTCGACGTGGTCGCAGACCCGTAACGCCTTTGGGACCGATTCCATCAAGTGTCTCGAAGGTGGCAATACGAGAAACTCGCAACTTACTTTGCAAATCCAACAGTCGATCTTCTAATGCTTCTCATACATTCAAAACTCTGCTCATTTCTAGCCTTGTGGCAAGTGTCTGCAAGGCTCAGTCGAGGTACGCATTCGCAGCCGTTACGTGTGTTCCTCACTTTCGCCCATGAGATTTCGCAAAATGGGGAAGCTCGGCCCTCGTTCCATTGAGAGATCGTCTCAGCAGATGTTAGTCAGTCATCTAGATGATATGTCTGATACAGGAGTATAAATTGAGGAGCTTTGGTAGATCAGGTCTATGAAATAGGGTTTAGACACGGTACCTCGGCGGGGATGGTCCGTCGTACCGGATGCCGCTTCAATGAACCTCTTGACGTTAGAATCTTTGGATAATGCTAGTAGACTATTCATAGACATGTCCCTGTGATGATCATCGCGAATGGCTGGACGCAGATCTCCAATCCACTACCCGTTGCTCGGTACTCAATGATTCTACGCCAAAATGGCTCGGCCCGATATACTTCCAACGAGATAAAATCAGCTCGGCATCTCGCAATGCTGACGCGTTAACCCACGTCTTATGTCCGTTGATCAGGATATTCTATGAATGGCTAATCGCTCAAATTCGAACGTAATTCTCCTTCTAAATGTCCAGATGCGATTCAGCCGTTGATGTTCCTTCTCAGATCAGATTTTCCTTTTCATTTCGTTCAAAGATTTAGCGAGACTTCCCGTTACCTCGTTAGCATCCAACACAGAGGTCAATGACTGATCACAATCAGTAACAATCACCTCGAAACTCCAGCCGTTCACATTATTCTGTAATTCTGCTCTTACTCAGCAAGTTTTGACCGAAAAAAATCCTCATTTGCCAAACTTTGCCCACATCCGGACTATCCAACACTATTGATTCGTACCAACACGCCGTCTGTCAAAGTCTTCCTTGCCACCCGATCGCGTACCAGACATTGAAATGCGACGTGCAACAAAACCACTTGCAGAAACAAGGAATGAGGCTGGGACGCCAATGGTGTCCATATTCACGTTGGTTTTACGGGTTCCCAAACATTGTTGATGTTGGGAGGCGAGGAAAAAGCAAAGTTGTAGTGGATTTAGCGAGTCAGCCCTTTTTCAACATGCGAGGTCTCTTGACTCACTTCATGGGGGTTTTCCGATGATCTCTCTAGGACCCGAGAAACAGATTAGCAGAGCCTCAGGGGCTATTGCAGGACGTTATTGATTCAGCTTGCTTGCAGATTCGCACTAGTCAGCTCGTACCAGTCATGACCGGAAAGCCCCCGACGTTTTGAACTGTCTATGGAAGTGCAATGCATCCCCGTCTGGCTTCAAGAGCTGAATCAAGGAGCTCAAGAAGCATCTTTCAAGCATCTTCTGGACTACGTTTCTCGATCAAGACGTGCGGATCAGTTCGACGTCGTAAGCCAGTCACCTATGCCAAAGCAATGGCAGAGGCATATGATATGAAGCCAATTTCATCCTCGTTAGCGCGCCTCGATCAAAAGTCAAAAGCAAAGAAGTTCTGACTGCTGCAGGAGCAGAGGTAAAGGCTGGTTTTGAAGTTAACATGCGAAATGCGCCAACTACTGCAGAGGAAGGGATCCTTTGTCCAACAGAGAGACTGGTACCAAACTCTAACCCGGGTTTTATTCATTGGGTATCTCAAAGTGCGCTGGGGAATTATGGGACACGACACAGAAGACAATCTTTTAAGACATATGGGGATCACAGGAACGGCGTTGAATATGGTTCAATGGTCCGAAACATGTTGTCGAGATCGGAGGAGTTGTCAAATAAGAAAGACTTAAACTTCACGAGGATTTGTGATTCGAGGAATATCGAGAACGAATGGTGATGCTCAAGCCTGATGCTCACGGTCCTATCTCTTTGCTTGACTTGTGTTAATCATTCGCTTTCTATGCCATCTCAAGTTAAATTCATGCCATGTGGATGACACGTGCACTCTAGGCGACCGAAAAAAGCGTTCTCATTGCAAAGTGCAACATATTCTTTGGTCGTTTCACGCATATGCTCGATGTCAATTGTGACTCGTTTGAACATTGATAAAGTTTGAAAATGGGCTTTTGGATTCACTACCCCTAGATGAAATTTTCGGCGCAGGTTGATCCGGTTCCTGAACATCATGGAAGACTGCAGCAGTTCTAATCCTACCATGCTCATAACACACCTTCCTCGCATAGAGCCTGCAGATTGAACCTGTCACCTGCTGCCCATCAGATCTTCATTTCCCCTATATTTATGTCCACCTATGCGAGGCACATGTAGCTCGGCTACGAGGATACAAAATTCTCACTTTGACCTGTCATTTCTTCTTCAATGCTTCTTTAGGTCTTTATTCTATCCCAAACAACTAGCTTCGTATTCAAAAATACACATAATCTTCGGCTGGAGCGAAACGTGCTAATTGCGGGGAAACACTACCCTATGCAGGTCGTCTAGCATATCGAGGAAGGGTCCTTCCTTCCTGCTGATCAGATCTTATTTTGAGGCGGGGTCGGGGAGGAGGCTCCATCTTGCTGATGCCGGACTCTGGATGCATGACATGATATACGAAATGCGGGGGTCTTCAGACGTATGTCATTCCCTTTCCCAGACATGGTTATTGGTGGAAAATACGTGCTGGGATGCGGATAGAGTTGAATTGAGCTGGGATGATGTATGCGGGCTGTGAGTGAAGATCTGGAGACGAAGTGGACTATATGCCGACATCTATGGTTGATGCTGAATTTGGCATCCGAGATAAGCGCGCGGGGGAAAGGGGCTGTCTCAGAGAAAGTACATTAGTACATTGGTACTTTATTTTAGGACTTCTACGGCCTGGCCATTCACAGACTTAGGGCTGTGGACGAGAGTAATTCCGGGGAAGACCGAGTCACAACACTTTTACTACTCCAGCATCGCACAGTGTACAGCATATACAGTCGAGGCTTGTGGTGGCAAGTCCGCTTTGTGCCGGTCAAAATAAATTCATTGCCATCAAGGCTTCGTACGAATATGCCGACCTCATTCCCACGCTATGCCCGGAACTCCACCATGCCGCCCGTTCGTATTGCCATTCATTTGTGCCCAACCTCAATATACATCTCCATCCCGTCTCCGACGCACGTGACTGTAGAAATCCCTCATTGCACAAAGCACTCCACAATCACTGCATACCCCATACCCCCATATCCCCCCCATCTCATATCATCTGTGGCGGTGCACTCCAGTGGTCTCCATATTGAAGCTGTATGTGATGCGGGGTACAGCTGGAATTCCCTCCCGGAATCTCGGCCCGGATTTTCCTTTTGACAGCCACACCTCCTACGATTCGCCTCCTCTCGATCCCGAGCAATATAAGATGTGGCTTTTCCCAGTACCGTGGCAGATAGTCGGGCCTTCTTTATAAATCCCACCTCTCGGCGCACCCTCATCTTCTTCGGCGCAATGGCTGTAATGCACCTGATTGTACAACGGGAGATCAGCTCTGCGCCTCTTCCCGGTCGGTCGGTTCAACTCAACCACCCAGGTAGTTTCGTCGTCGCATCTCAGCTTCTCTGATTATCTCAGCAGAGAGGGAGAGACTAGGTGCCAAATGGGCATAGCGTTCAATCTCCATGACGACGTCGTTGATGATTCGATCCACGCTGTCCATTGGAGCAACAAGAGTGATAATAATGTTGTTGAGAGTTGGTGACATTGTCGCGCCCATGACAAGAAGTGTCTGTGATACGATCGACAGAGCACCCTGCCAGAGATAAGGCATGTGTCCAGCATGACTGTTCTCGTTAGTGACGTGCCGCATGCATATAGATTGAGTGCAAGGTACATACTGCGCAGTGATGTGCTCGAGTTGCCTTATCGAAGCCTCGAGACACTTTCGACAATTCTCACGGACCGAAGGATCCATGGCTGCTTGTTCGTTATCCAGTACTGCGAGGATGTAAGGCCTGTAGATGATCGTTCTGCATGCGAAGTACCGTAGTCGTAACACAGTTTGCACGGGATCCGCAAGAGTGGTTCGACCAAACGGAAACTGGAGAGCCATAGGGAGACTCTCGTACCATTGAACAAGCTGAAAGTCGAGCTCTGCTACGACTGGTTCGAGGCTCTGGGTTGAGGACATGGAATCTTTCGAGTAGATGAGTTGGCTGACACGATTGAGGAGGCGACGGAGTGCAATCTCAGCTAGGAAATACCACAGATCGTCTCTGCCCACGCCTTCGTCATCTTCTGGCTCGAATCCTCCAGGGAGTCCAACCATTTCCTCGAACTGAACAATCCCGGAATGCGGTAGGTCCATCTCAGCTAGCAGATCACTCTCGAACAGCAGAGCATTCCAATAGACTCTCTCGTTGAGCTCTCTTTGGCCTGCTGGGACTCTTCCAGGGGCACTGAGGAGAAGCTGAAGCTTGGTACTCGTACTGCTCAGCAGTGTCCATGCTTCAAGTGGACGAACGAGGTAAAATAAGTATGCAGATGCGAGAACGGTGCATTGAGCAGAGAGCACAGAATTCCTAGTCATCAGTCCAGGAAGAAGCGCCCAAGCTGCAGCAAAGTATGGTAGCCCTAGAGGGTTTTCGTTGGGAGCGAGTCTGGAGATGCTGCCGCTGCAACTGGCTTGACCCAATGCTAAAACCAACAGTACAATGCAACTTTCAGGGCCCTCACGAAATCCGTTGGAAAGTGCGATGCGGTAGTGGCTAGTCCAGTTGAAAGGATTGACACAAGCATACCAAACGTTGACCTTCGCGAAAAAGGCCTCGATGTATGCTGAAGTGTTGGAAAGATCGAGACAAGGAGTCTTGGACAGTACCAGAGGCTCTCGTGCCATCTCGAGCTGAAGTAAAATTTGAGGATCGTAAGGTCGTGAAACGAGATCTCTGATCAGAGGCCACTGGAGAAGGTGCAGAGCAGCATTAGTGTGGACTTTAGGCATCGTAGAAATGTTAGTGGGGGCATTCCAAGTGCCAAGACCCGTAGCCGGAATCATAGACACAAAGTTGCTTCCATTTTGCATCAGAACATCATCGTTGCTGATGGTGGTTGCACCGTTGACCGATGGCGATCTAGTAGATAAAGCAAGATTCGAGGTCTGGCCTACCAAGTTGGATTGCAGTAGGCCTTCGATTCGGGTGAGGTGCTCCAAGATGAGTTTGTCTCCAGCGTCCAGCTTGATGCCAGGTTCCCGATAGATACACTCAGCACCTAATTCGGTGCAAAGCTTGCATTTTGGTTTCGTACCATCACATCGCGATTTACGAGAACGGCATATCTCACACTAGTAGCATGTAAGCAAGTGAATATGAGAGGCGTTGTATTGTACTTACAGCAATGGTGGCTCTCCTCCTCGGATAGTCGATGCCTACATCTGTACTACGCCTCTTCAGAGGATTGATCCCATCATCGCTGTTCTGCTTGTTCTGGAGTCCATTGATCATGGATTCTCGATCCCCAGAAGATTGAGACAAATTCCTTGCTTTTTGAGCTGAGCCCAGAATGCCTTCTCGAGAGAAGGATTGCATGCGACGTGCGGTAGGTGATTTCAGAGGATTGGGAGAATTCAGACTCCCATGATTGTTTGTGTTCAAAGCACCGTTCGTGACCAGCTGGAGACGTGGTGACGGGATGTCGATGGTAAATTTATCTCTGCTCATGGAGAAGTGCCTCCCGCCACCCGTTGCTGAGGTTGGAGAAGCGTCTGGCGATGAACTTGACATGCTGCCTGGCATAGTTCGACCGTTGTGCTCATTCGACTATGGCCCAAGGATAAAAAGAATTGGAAGTCGACAGTGTCAGTCATAGAATCGAAACAGTTTCTATGTGCTACGTTTGCGTGTGAGGAAAATGAAGGCAAAGCGTTGTTGATACGAGTTCCATATCTATTTTGGAGAGAGATTGATTACTTGCCGCGTGCCCTCGCTGACATGGGTGGAACGATGCTGCCGGGGTGCGTGAGATGCGCCCTCTGGGTTTCGATTGGTAGATCAGACGATGTGCTCCAACGGGTACACGATGAGGAGATTCCCACGAGGGCCGTGAAGGTCGACCCTGGGGCGCTCATGCAGGTTCGTGCGGTAGAGAATCTGGGGTTCGGTAGGTGACGGCCGAAGGGAACCCTTCTAGAAACAGGGTGGTACAGCGAGGAGAGTGATATTAACCAGCAGTAGGTTCCATCTCAGGGGGAAACTGGGGAAGCAGGAGGATGCGGGTGAGGGTTGCAGATGACGGAGTCTGGAGAAATGATGGGGGGTGAAGATTATGCAGAATGTCAAAGTATCATGTTTTGAAGAGACATTTGACGTTGCTGGAGTCGAGTGGCTTGACCTGGCATCGGCTAGTACTGGAGCCCGTCGAAGGGTGTCGAGAGTGGGATAGTGGAGTTTATACGAACCACCACCAATCATGACATTGAATGTTCATGAATCAGTAGCTCTTGGTCGGCCCTTTGGGGCAACCGAGGAATATTAAGTTGCAGCTGTCGCCGCCGGCAACGCCTCGTTCGTGGCCCTCCCTGGTGGGATGACTTTGGGGTGGAATTGTGCGGACAGCTCTCGATGATGCGTGTGACAATGCAACGTGCAGTTCTCCTATCTCGTTGGAGGAAATGCGGTTGTGAGGGTTCCGTCGGCAAGAGAAAAATCATCATTTCAACATTTTACATTTGATTTCGGGGCGGCAAGACAAGGCAAGGCAGGCAGGCAGACAGAGAATGGCCTCGCATGGCATGGTCATGGTTGATGGGTGGTGATGGGTGGTGATGGGTGATGATGTTCGTCGCTCGAGATTACTCAGGACTCTTCTTTCGCTGGCCCTCGAATTTTGAGTGGACCCTGAGCGGCGCTATGCCCCTTTGACTTGACGACGTGCATTTGGTGGCCTTGTCGCCTGCTGGTCATGCAAGGCTGACATCGGGGACATCCCATCCATATCCATGCAGCTCGCAGCGTGTGGCGGAAGATGTGTACAGTACAGTAGGTGTTAACGCTTCGTACCTGGGGAGCTGAACAGGAGACGGAAGAGGAAGCGTGAAGAAAGATCTGCGAGACCGGGGAAGACAGACAGACAGACACTTGGCTGAGGGAACATCTCAAACTTTACAAGACCACAAGATATCGTATCGTATCATCGATGATATGAGGAGAAAGCATGCCATGCATGCATGTGCAGGTATTGTTTTTACTTTTTGATAGCAACATCCAAAGCTTGATGCAATATCAAGGAACTCATTTTGCAGAACTTTTGCAGAACAGAATGCAACTCTTTCACTCCCTGATTTCTGGACTAGCCGCGAGTCACGTGAACCTCTCGGAGCTGGAACATCCTTATCGCGGAGGGAGGGCTCGCTAATCTCGACTTCCCCTCGGGACTTCAGTGGGACCTGCTTTTCACATCGGATACCATTCAGCCTGAACTCTTGGTGGCATTTTTTCTCACGCTCTCACAGTCCGTCTCTTCCTAAGTCTTCACCAAGACGCGCTTTACTTTCTTGGTCTCTGAAAGTCCCTGTTTCGAACATCTTCGGGTCTTTTTCTCCTTGTCTGCTGTTCACCTTCGCGATCAGCACCACTTTTGAACGTGGAAGTACTCCTCCTTCTGCTTACATATCTGCACTCTACCCCGCCGAAAGGATCTCCACGCACCCCTCATTTTCCACCGGTAGATATCATACTAGCGGTCGCTCATGATTTCCTCTACATTGCCCTTTCGGGCCGCCGGAGAAGTCTTCACCATGACAATGATTGACCTACATGTAAGGATTTTCTATTCTCCCGTTGCTCATTTCCTGGTAGGTATACCATCTGACCTCGAGACAGTTCCAAAATGGTTGTCAGCCTCATTTTCTTCCTTTACCCCAATCAAAAGTCTTTTGCTATGTTTGCCTCGGTGCTTTTCGCTTTAGTTGTCGCTTCACAGGTAATTCGTGCAGTACCTTCGCCGAACTCTCTAGGCTCAGATCTCACCATTTTAATCAACAACGTTATTCTTGGTAAGGATCAACCATCTCAATCAGAAATCTTGGCTGACGATCTGCTGCTCAGGTCCTCAAAGTCCATCAGCTGATTCTGGCATTATCTCGAGACTCTGCTGCAGATGATTGTGCTGCACTGGGTGAGCAGCTATGGAGTCCGCCGACAGCAACCACGAATATCCAACCGAATCTTGATTACCTGACATACTCTTCCAATTACTCTTCGGATCAACAGTATTGGATTGCTCCACAGAACTCCACTCCAAGAGCGATCGATGGTCTAGGGCACATTTGGGATAATTCAACACTCAGTCCCCATTCCAGACTTCCAGCATTTTGCACACAGTCTGCGCCGTTCTCCAACTCTTCTTTTCAAGATCCCAGTCGACGTTGGCAAGTAACTGTTCATTCCAACAACGAGTATCTTACCGGGTATGTTACCCATTTCCATATCAGCACTGAGCTAGGACTGACCTGACTCTCTGTCCAGATTCCGTGATCGATTGAGCTTCCGCTTCCTCGGCGTTCGATACGCTCCTCAACCAAAACGTTTTACGTATTCGACTCGATACGTTGGCACGGGAAGCAATGTCAGCGCGACTTCATACGGATCAGAATGTGTACAATCTGGAGGAGGCTCCGAAGACTGCCTCTTCTTAAACATATGGACTCCATATCTTCCCGCTCACGGCGGAGCCCCAGCTAGCAAGCTGAAGCCTGTAATGTTTTGGATACATGGGGGAGCATTCACTGGTGGAACTGGTAACGATCCTACCTTTGATGGAGGTAATGTCGTTTCTCGAGGTGACGTCGTGATGGTTGCAATCAATTATCAACTTTCAACTCTGGGTTTCCTGGCTCTTAATGACGGTGTTACGAAAGGTAATTTTGGCATCGCAGATCAAATTAATGCTCTGGACTGGGTTCGAAAAAACATTCAAGATTTTGGAGGCGATCTGGACCGAATCACCGTCTTCGGCCAATCCGCAGGTGCGGCCTCTGTGAGAGCCCTTCTTGCCTCTCCGAAATCGGTTGGGAAATTCCAAGGTGCAATCCCTCAAAGTAACCTTGGAGGAGGTGGATACGGAACAACCTATTCGTCATGGCTGAGCATTGACTCTGAGATGACTATGGCTGCTGATGCAATCCTGAGCGCCACCAACTGCTCGTCTGCTGCCTCACAGGTGGATTGTCTACGTGCCATTAATGCATCTACTTTGGTCAGTCTACCCACGGTAGCTCGGTACCTGGTCGTAGACGGGACATACCTTACGTCCTCGGAACTGATCGTGAATGGTAGCGCGAATGCTGCCCTGAAAGGTGTCCACATCATGGAGGGACTCATGCGTGACGACGGAGCTGCGATTATCTCTTATGTTCAGACCACAAACCTGACTACATCTTTGAACCAAGATGGATTCAGTGCCGCGTCTATCATTCCTTCAGATCTCTTTCCCCAACCAACTGGCACAAACACATCCCTCGATGTTTTCAACGTCACATCGCGGGTGGGTACTGATACCATCTTTCGATGTATCGATCAAGCGACCGCCTATTCAGTGATGTTGAACAATGTCTTTGCACCGGACCAATACTTCTATGAATTCAATCGCTCCTACCAAACCCCAGGGTTTGATCCAAATGCTCCTGTCTGCGACGCACCAAAGAGCGCGGCATACCCCAACGGTGATCCCAACCAAGAGTATTTCAAATGTCACTCAGGTGAACTCTATTTCGTTTTCGGGAATCTCTGGTTCAATGGTCTTCCTTTGAGGGATTGGAATGATCTAACATTTCAACAATTTGTCCTCGATTCCTGGACCAGTTTTGCACGAACCTACAATCCTAATCCCGAGCCTGGACTTTTGACCGCGAGAGGTTACACTAATACGAGCATGGAGATTGAGGTGGCCGGGATGTGGCAGCCGGTCAAGAGTGGAATGGAGATGAGGGAGCTGGAGTGGCCGAGTTACCAGACAGCGTTCCGGGATGTAGAGCAATGCGCAGCGCTTGGGTGGCCAATCACTTATTATTCTGGGTAACAGAGGACACATAAAATGGAGGTCTCATTCATGGTCTTTCCCTTATTGTGCTCTGTCGAATGGCGCGTCGAACAAGCTCTTTCTCAATTTCTCTTGTACAGCACTTCAAAACTTGAAGGCATCTCATCCGACCAAGCTGCTGGGACGTTACAATACGTGGGGACATTGACAACGCGCTCGTTCCTACACAATTCGCTTCTTCTTCTTCTGCTTTGTTTTGGCAATGGCAAATTTCATTCACAGCAAGTGCTACTACCACATGTTACACAACATTCCCTAGCGATGGTAAGCTGACATATATGCTTGCGAATGCAGGCACCTTCGCTGCAGATATTTTCAGCTGTCAGCGATATTCAATAATCAGCTGATGAGGACGGCCGCCGCTAATCATCTTCGCAGTCCTCTATAGATGTCTATAAGTTGTGTTCATTCAACCCTTTAGTCAATTGTATTCTTTCAACCTGCTTGAGTCTCAATATTCGCAAGCGCAAATCAAGTTTACAGATTCATTTGCTCTTCAATCTTGACCATGCTTTCCCAAGAGATCCAAGAGGCTGTTGCTGCTCATAATGCCGGTACGACGTTCTCCCCCTCCTAAAAGTTACAGCTCTGACAACAATAGCTCGTCATGCTGCTCAGGGTGTGAAGCGTCCTGATCTTGTCTGGGATGAACGCCTTGCAGCTGATGCACAGAAATGGGTTCGTGAACTTTACCTGATTCGCCATAGTACCTCAGATTTCTCGGTTCTGTTTTGCCTCCTTTCAAGGAAAACCCATGAAGCTCAAGTAACTTCATGTACGATAAACTCACAATTCAGCAGGCCGACCATTTAGCCGCCACAGGCACTTTCCAACATGAAGGCATGCGAGGTGAGGGCGAGAACCTCTTCATGCAGATGGGAGGTGGACATCAACCATTAAAGAAAGGAGTCGAAGCCTGGAATGATGAGAAGCCACATTATCATGGCGAGAAAATTGCTGGGGGAAATTTCTCGAGCTATGGACATTATACGCAGGTCATCTGGCCAACGACGACGCACGTAGGCATGGCCAGTGCGACAGCGAAGAATGGACATCAGGTTATTGTTGGGAGGTACTCACCTCCGGGAAATTTCAGTGGGAAGACTGCTTTTGAGGCATGATCATGGGTGGGATGAGCACCTTGAGCAGAATCTCCTAATAACATTCTGTCGACAATTCATCTTTCTTTCTCCCTTTCTCTTCATTCATCTTCGACTTCATTTATGCTCCCTGCTTTTACCCCCCATTTACCCCGCCATTAATTCACGTCTCTCCTGACTTACCCCACCGTCGACCATCTTCTAAACAACTTATCTCTCTGGAATTCTAATCGTGAAAAACAACGATTGCATTCACTTCATCACTATCCTACATTCAAAACACCAACTTTTAATACGCATTCTTCACACTGCTACCGTCCCCCCAAAAAGCTCTTGACCTTTCACTAACAACTTAAGCACCTGCAAAACTTCAACTACAAACCTTGATATCAAACTTCTCCTTGCGTGTCAAGAATTCGCCAGCCATTATGACTCGTCCCATATACTATTCCTCCATCATCCGAGGTATTCTTCACCGATGCGGAGAGGCTTTGTACTGTCACAATATCTGCACGTTGGTATCGGGGAACCTTCACGCCATAAACCCCATGCCGTGCAATATTCGGTATTCGTGCAGTATGTGTAGAAATATCTTGGCTTTGATTGAGTTGGATCCATGTTGTGATGACGATTTAATGAGTAGAGGTTTTCTTAATGTCGAATTTGGATTGTGCTTTTGGTCTCTGAACATGAAGTATGAACAGTTTACAGGAAAAGGGGAATGTTTTATAGACAATAAAACTCAGTCATTTGATTCAGAAATTTTCGGACGTCGCGGATGTGATTGTACTTTCTGATGATTCGCAATAGCTGTCACCCCCACTCAGTGTCGACTTCCTGAAGCAACCAATGTTCCCTTCCTCATGCTAGAGATAACTTCTCAACCCTCTTCTCTAAGCTGTCCTCGAATCCACTTACTCCCCTCTCAAGGACCTTCAATATCCCACTCTTCAGCAAGAACACGGTTCTTCTCCTACTCTCATCCCCGTCTTCTCTCTCATTACCACCATCGCTGTCCTCGTCATCCTTCTCCCCTTCAACCACCCTCCGAATCATATACCGATCGTGACTGACCACCAAGATAGCCCCATTCCAAGACCCAAACGCATCAGTCAACGCAGTCACTGTGTGAAAATCCAAATGGGTTGTAATCTCATCAAGGATCAAAAGCTGAGGACTCTTCCATAGCAATCTTGCAAGAGCAAGACGAACGAGTTGACCTCCAGATAATTTGGTCAATGGAACATCAGATGCTGTACGACCAGGAAGACCAAGCGAGCCCAAAAGACCCCGTACTTCACCTTCGTCGAGCTCAGTTCCGACTTCTCTGATGAGTAGTACCAGAGCAGTAAGTTCTGGTTCAGCACGTCCAAGAGCTTGGAGGTCTTCCACGGCATGTTGGGCATAGTATCCCATCCGAAGTCGAGGATGTCGGGTTACTGTTCCTTTCGTGGGTTTCGTGGTGTCCGTCAGGAGCTTGATCAATGTAGATTTTCCGCAGCCATTCAGACCTACGACACCAACGCGATCTCCCATGTGGATTGTCAGATTGACATCTTGGAGCACTACTGGAGTAGGCGCCGAGGATTTCTTCAAGGTGGGGTATTTGAATGTAACATTTTCAACGGAAATCAATGGACCTGGGAAGCGCAAATCTGGAGCGGCAGGTAGCATGATTGAAACCCCTTTCTCGTCTTGTGGAATCTCAATCTCAGCTCTGGCCGTCAGATGATACCCAGCTAAATCTCGATTTAGTTTGAATCTACCTCCAGTCGCACTCTTCTCCATTCCCATACGATCATCTATTTTCTTCTGTCGGGACTTTGCCTGACGGAGTTTGTTATCATCGCCCGTCGCTTTTCCTTGTTTGATGTTCTGAGCAATGGTTTGTTGGATGTGAGCTTTCTGCTTTTCTTGAGCATCTTTCATACGTCCAAGGTACAGCTTCTTGTCGCGAATTGAGGCATCGTAAGATGGCAGATCCCCTCGAAAGTACGTGAGGTCGTGATCTCGGAGGATGATTAACTCTTGACAGACAGTGTTAATGAAGTCTCGATCGTGGGAAACAAGGACGAGAGTCGGTGGATTGGGTCCATCGTCACGTAGTCGGAGAAGATATTTCTGCAGCCAGATGATGCCAAGAAGATCGAGAAAGTTAGTAGGCTCATCAAGAATCAAGATATCAGTTGGCTGAAGTAAAGCACTAGCCAGATTCGTTCTCATTCGCCATCCACCGGATAGTGTCGTGACAGGTTTTCCGAATTGAGCTTTCGAGAAGCCTAACCCAGTCAAAATGCTGCGAGCTTTGACTTCAATGTTCGCCAGCCTAGCAGGTTCTAATTGTGCCTGAAGTTCAGCCAGAAGGTCGGTTGCTGCATGCGTCTCTTCTTTCACGGTATCTTCGTCTATCTCTTCATCCGTTTGAGAGAGTCTGACGATCAATCAGCTAGTTCCTTCTTCTGAGCTCTTATGAATTACTTCTCTGTTGATTCAGTAACCTTTTTCTCAAAAGCAGTCAGAGCTTTGCGTGCTGCCATACCGCGAGTTCCACTCCGAAGCCTCGCATCTTTGTCAAGTTCAAAGACTTCCCTCTTAAGTCGGTTGTGGTGCACTTGACGAAAGGCACGAAGAGGTGAAAGTGGTGTATCTGATTTGTCGATGGCATTGGACAACACTAGAACAACATAAGCTGTTGGGGCTCCTTATATGGAATTTCTTGCTCATACCGTCAATCTCTTGCTGGATCTCATTTCTTGAGGTTGCTCTATCAATGACAGCTTCGAGAACGGAGAACAGAGTTTGCGAGCTGACTGCTGGAACCGAAAAGCCTGCTTTCTCACCGTCTGCCGATCCATCTGTCGCTGTCTGCTGCAAAATAGATATTCTAGTCTGAATTGGGATACCAGGGATAAGCTTTTCAGCAACTGCTTTCAGAATCGCTAAGAGAGGTAGGTCAGGCTAATGATTCTGTGATCCATGTCAACGCACTCACTTGACTTTCCAGTCCCATTCCGTCCAATCAGAGCATAATGAACGCCAGCTTTGAGCTTGAGGTTAGCGTTTGATAGTATCTCGAGTCCCTCGGCCCTTGCTTTCCCTTTCGCTTTGGACGCAGACTTGCCACCAGAGGTGACCGTGATGTTTAGACTTTCGATGTCGAGCTGAAAGTATCTTTAGCAACAGTGTTTAGACTAATGAGATAAATACAGACCTCTTGGTATACCGGATTCTCGATATGAAAGCGAGTTTGCTTACACGATACAAGGATCGTTGTGGAAGGCTCTTCGAGGCTCATTGTCACGTGACGGGTGCCGGAATGAATGCTTCAGGTTAGGATCTTGCTCAATTTGGATTGTTCTTCAATCCAAAGTCAAGGAGTCGATCCGGTAGAGCGCTTTTGTCAGACTACAAAGGGGCATCGGGTTTTCATAATCCGAGTGGCTGTGGACTCTGGATGAGGAGCGATTTCTCGGCCTGACTCACTTCAAGTCCGCGATTAACGTTCATTCAATCTTCTTCCCCCGTTCATTCCTGCACCGGACGAATGTACTGTAGACAGATGCTGCGATGATCGTCATCTGGTGACGCATGCTGAATTGACTTGGATATTTGGCTTCGAAGTCTATCGAGGTTGATGTTTACTCGTCTGTCTGTCTACAATTGTTCCAGTCAGTCGCTGGAGTCCTGAGCACGCTAGTGAGTCAGCTGGATCATGCACCATGAGGATCCTTTCTCCCTCGAAAATCGGCGAGGGCGTCGAATTTTGCCCTGCTTGGCTAAAGCCGTATTTTCAAAATAAAACCTATCGACGTTCACTTCTTCTTTTGAAGTCCTCACAACATATGATGGAATCTCGCACGAACTGTTCTTATTACGAAGGCGTCGAGAGCACGAAACGAGGCTTTACAAGATGAAGTAGGAGGCCAAGCGGAACGAGAAGCCGGACCTTGTCAAGACGCTGACTGCGGTGAAAGCGAGATTTACACACAGTTTGGAAGGGTGCAAACAGGAGTCATGCCAGTTGCAGGATCATACGGAGATACGTTGAGCGGCTGGGCTGTTATGCTATGCTAGTCGAGCGTTGAGGGAGTATCGCTAGCAGCCAGCCGCTTCAGAAAGGGCGTTTGTTGGATGTCTTCTACCATTGTGATGCGCGTTATAAGAAAATGGTGGTCGTGATGGTCGGGAAGACAGTTGGAGGATGCATCAATGCAATTCACTAAGTCTAGCCCTGCCGCCCCCTACTGCAAAACTGCCAGGCCTTAACTGATAATCACCTAGAATTTGCGTCCTTTCTTTGTGTCCACTAACCACGCCCACATGTCCTCTGCACATGCGAGCTTTGGATAGATCGTGGTGTCCCGTTGTTCAACTGGCGCCTCTGCGAAGCCGTATGTGTAATAACATTTCCCACATGAGCACCTCGGCACGAAAGATCCTGTGTGCATTGCCTGTCCTTGCCGTCCGAGATAGAGGGCCGATTCCTGGGCCTGCAGAACCAATTCCTCAAGCCGGACAACCTTCATAGGACTCCCCGCCTCTGAACACAGCTGCATAGCACGGTGAACTTGATTATATCGTTGAGCCACCTGATGAGATCCTTTGATCCTCTTCAGCGCACTGCGTCGTTTGTCTCTGTATATCCCGCGGAGCTTGAAGGGGTCTTTGACCTCGATTTTATCATCATCATCTGAAGGTTGAAAGTCAAACTTCCAATGCAATGCATTTCCACCGATATGAAAGCCATACGCAGTTGAGGAAAGGAAGATGACCGTAGGGGCCGCGATCAATGTGCCCAGGCGGGGGAAGGCTTCAGGGAGGCATTCCTGGATACGGTCTACAAGGTGAGACAATAGGTTAACAGCAGAAGACAAAACTCAGGTGAGGAATGTCCGTACCGATGTCATACTGCTTTGGCTGCCGGTTCGGAACCCAGTCCAGATAGCATTGGATGCTCAATTCTAACAGACTCTCCAAAGGTACTTTGCCATCATCTGCCATTAGTCGTGGCCTGTCTGGTGATAGGAAGGCCTCGAGACTCTGGGCCCTCTGTTTGACGCCTTTTCGCAAGTCCTGCCATTGCTGGAAGAGCTTTGAGTATCGCTGGTCTCCAAACCATTGGGTGCAGAGATGCTCGTCAACTTCGGAGGTGTCGCTATAGTAACAATTCAGGATCTCGACAACCCCGTAGAGTGGATGGATGTATGGCGTGAAAGCTGGGTCTTCTGAACGGATGGAGTCCAACATGGTGCACAGCTTACCGCTGAACTGGCAGAACTGCTGTGCAAGCAGTACATGGGCGTTCAACTGCATACGGGCGCGAAATTTCTGTTGCACGCTGTCGACATGGGTTTTTGTTTTGAAGAGGAAGATGTTGAATTGGTTGCCCAGCGATTCCTTCTTCATGCGGAAACGGCCGGCCCATAAGGCCCGTGCTCTACAAGTAGCAGTATCAAGTGGAAGGGGAAGCGAGAGCGGCGTGGCCGAGAAGGAACGTCGGCACACAAAGCTCCTGAGGCGGCACATCAACATCTTCGACATTGAAATCTTCATCGCAGACTCTTGTTCTTGTTGTTATTGTCGTCTCCTTCCCTTTTTTCCCCCCTTCCGCCGTGTCTGGGTCCCTAACATTCTCACGTTAGGTGCCCTCTTGCCTTCTTTATGCTCCATCTCACCTTGTTGCTCGTTTGCTTCTGCACCAGAGTCTGCAGTCACTGCCAGACCAGAGACTAAGATCCTTTGACCTCCCGATACCACTCCCTGCGCAGGCCACCGTGCTGCCAACCAACAAGCCTAGCAGCATCTCGTCTCGTCTCAGCTCTTCTCCAGCAATCTTGACTACAAACGACTTCTCCAGCCTCTCAAAACATCAACATATCTGCCATACCATCCCTTGACCACTTAAACATCCTATGATGTTTAAATCAGTTACATCTTGGTCTCAAGTACTTGGGTTTAGACATGGGCGAATCGCTTTAACAGCAAGAGTCCTCAAAGACCTCTCGTAAGTCACCAAACACTGCTCACGTTTCATAAACTGATGCCCTCTATTATAGAGAGGCTCCAGGGTGCGACAATGATTCCTTTCAACAACACCTCACTTGTCACACCTCCCCGTATCATCCCTAGCTTGATCTTCAAGAGAAAGGAGAGTAATTTTCAATGCGCCATACACGCTAAGATCAAGGCCAGAAACGCAACTGAAACCTATACTAGACTCCCTAGGCCTGATGGCGTGGATATCCTTTCTGGGAATGATTACCTGGAAATGCTCGCCAACTTCGATTTGAAATCCAGCACCGATGCTTCATTGGACTCCCTCAGATGCGAAATGGACATGTTCATGTGGTATCGAACTGATTCTATCGAACTTGATCGCGGTCGCTATCTTTCGCCTTGCTTATTGTATTTGCGTGAGGGTTCTCTTAATAGCGAAGAGATCCCACCAGATGCTAAAATTTACGATCCTGCTTGGCGGACAATCAAAATAGTCCTACACAATGGGCTCCAGATATCGTTCAATGCCTTGGTGCTTGGCCGACTTGCCGTCAATCGTGTCTCTACATATTGGATCGTTGTTCTCGATGAGGAGAAGCACCTGTGGGCCCTTCGAGCAGCTGGAATTGATGAGGAGGAGTTAGATGACGATGAGGCCTGGATGGACGACCCTCGGTGGCCTGCGCCACAGTATGACGAGCAGTATATCTCTCTCGTATTACAAATGCAAGGGGGTCTATGGCTGACTTTTTCTTTAGGAAGGATCTCTTTGGTGCAGACTTACTCGTTGTGAGAGTGTGCTCACTGGCATCGCTGCAGCACTATCGGAAGTCAAGGCAACAATTCTCTCCTGAACCTTGTTATAGTGCCAAGTGTTGGACAAGCACGTATGCGCTTTTGAAGGCCTCTACTACAGCGGCGGCTGAGGAGTCGTGATTAAGGCACCTTTTCGGACGACAATTGAGGTGAATGGTCCTTGACGGCGAGAGTTTCTCGGGTTAGATAAAACTAATAGTGAGCTTGGTGCGACCATCGTCACATCCCAAATTGACGCTTGCGAGTAAAAGGGGTTGAGCGAGATATACAGTTGGCCAAAGCCTACTAGCTGCCACAAGAACAGCTTACTTCAGAGGCCTAGAACTTGAAGTCCGAGTTGCAGCTCGGAACAATAGAAGCTGCCAGGATCCAGAGTTTGTAGCAATAAAAGTTTTCTTTCATTTGATAAACGGTCATTCATTCGGTGCTCTCATCTTGCTCACTCGATCATGCTCGATACGAGCATCGACAGTCCTCCTGATTGCCACACCAATCCCCTCCAGTATATATTCCTCACCATCCGCATCAGCATCTCCTCTCAACTCCCTGATATCTTGCGTTACGGGACCACTACCCCTACTTTTGAACCTGTCGAGAGGATTCCTGGAAAGGGTATTCTTCAGTTCTGTGCCACGGCTGGAAATGGTGTTTGCAGTCCAATGCCCGTCTTCAATGTCGTTGCGGAGGGATATATTCTGATGTCGAGAAATAGAGCGTTAGTAAGCATGCGTGGAGTGATCACTGGAGAAACCGGAAAGGTTGAGGGCGCGGAGCAGAGGTCGAATTGTGACCAACGAGGCAGCGGTGATAGCTATCCCAGGTTCGATGAGGGTCCATACCATGGCTGTTGTTCCTGTGTCTTTGTATCTGTTAGGTAGGTTTCATGAAATGTGGGAGTCGAAGAAGCTCAGGAGATGTTGCATGATGCGCGCTGAGGAACATTTGAGAAGGTTATGTACATACAGAGAACGTCGGAGACATTAGTGAGGTCGACAATGTATTTCAAACGAATTAGAGTAGCAATACTTGCACTAGAACCATCTGTGTCAGCGCTCGAGACCAAGACAGTCTCGAAATCTACTCACAATATACCAAGCAAAAGAATAAAAGCCACCGTTGCCTTCGCTTGGATGCTCATCTGAACAGACCAAATCATCGGTATCGGTAGCAAAGCGTACAGCCAATCCGTCAGGATCGTCATCACCGATATAGAGTATGCAGCAGCTGCGAACGAATCGCCAGATACGCATCTCGCATTCTCGATAGCGAAATCCCACTGAGCTTGAACCGGGAGACACTGAAAAAGGTCGTAGATGAAAATTGCCAGGGACCAGATTACCACCACGGCCATACTAATTCGCAGAATCCAGATGTAAGGGCGCGCGATAGCGATACGAAGCAGGAAGATGGCAATGCTCAGTTTGATGAACATCATATTGACGACGTAGGAGAGAGTAGCGAAGGCTTGATACTACTCATAATTAGCATGCCGAGCATGAAATAGATCAAGATTTTTCTTGGTGTTGGAGAAGTCGCCTGTTTGCGTGGCTTCGATGGTACTTTTCAACGGAATGGAAAATGAGCGTACCTTCAGGGATTCTATTTGATTATCCTGTGAGAGGACAGCATTGTGTTTGCCAATGCCATAATGAACGCCTCGAAGAATGAAAGCGCAAGAACACTTAAAGACAGCCTTTATTTGCATGAGCGTTAAATAATTATTCAGACGGACAAGTGGGCTTACGAGTGACGCTAGCATAAGCCAATCGTCCAGTTGGAAGGCTCTTGTTATTCTAACTCGGACATAGCATCGTAGGAGGACTGAAATGTAGGTAAGACTCAAGAATATTGCAACAGTGATGGTAAGGTGGTTGCCATTGTAATCCAGAGAGCTCGTCATGACCGAACTGAGCAACAGGAGCAAATGGAACAACTCGAAAAAGCAATAAGTGAAGTACCTGGGTCCATCTTATCTAGGTTTCGGACGTTTGTTTGTCATCTGGACTTGACTGAGATCGCACTTGGCTACGCACAGAGTGCCGACACGCATGGATTCATAATCATCTACCCGACTGCACCGGCGGGATGTTGGGATGTTGCTTCAACAGCATCTCTCACACACAACGGCGGCGGAGATAGTCAGACGATCGTCAACATGGTCAAATATGCCGAAACGCATTACGGCAGTGATCTAGATAGAGTTTACATGACTGGGAGCAGCTTTGGAGCCATGATGACCAACGTCTTGGCTGGTGCTTATCCGGATGTTTTCAAGGCTGGAACTTTGTATGGAGGTGTTCCAGATGGTTGCTTTTATGTTGCAGGTGCAACTGCTGGAATGACTTCGCCTGGTTGGAATAACCAGTGTTCTGGTGGGAAGTTGATCAAGACAGCCCAGCAGTGGGGTGATCAGGTTCGCAGTTACTATCCTGGATACAATGGAACTCGCCCTAAGATGTTGATGTACGTATATCTGAATTCCTTCACGTGGTCTTGATCTCTGACTTGTAACTCCATAGTTTCCACGGGACAGCCGATACAACACTTTATTATGCCAACTTCGGCGAGGAACTGAAAGAATGGTCCAACGTACTTGGTGTATCCTTCAGTCACAATGAGACCAACACACCCATCTCAGGTTACACGAAGATGATATATGGCGATGGCACACAGCTGGTCGGCGTCTCCTGCTACAATGTTGGACACACGCCGCCTATTCGTCCCTCTGATGATCTGGCATGGTTTGGCCTTGCTTGAGATCATGGCTATAGCTGCAAAATATTTGCGGATCACAGTTCACATATCTTCTTGCTCAAAATTGCAATGACAAGCTTCTTGTATATGCTGCTATCTATTTTGCACATAAACTCTGTTGCCTATCAAACTGTCGTTAACGGAAGCAATATCAAAACCACCTATCTTCAAACTCAATAAAAAGCTAGCCTGTGAAAAGAATTTCTTGACGCTCACTCATGTAGAAGATAGGGAGGTTAAGCATAGATTTCTGACCATTTGCCATGTTGAAGATTAGGAAAATTAATCTGATCTCTGGGTACGCTGTTTATCGCACGCGCACGAGACACTGATCTGCGTGTCCCTACTGGAGCGCATGATACTTATCAATTCCGAGCAGCTCTGACTCGAAAGCTACGTGCGCCAAGAGGGAGCAAGCGGGACTAAGAGCGCAAGAACAGACTCAAAGACGGAAGGCGTGCCAATGTGAAGCTCCGAGCGAGCTGACTAATCTACTCGTGACCCTCGGTCACATGCTCCGATAACACCAGCAGCCGAGCGGCACACTGAATTTATCTCAGTGCCTTTTCTGTACATATTTGGGAATTGCCATCTTCAATCTCTAAAAGGCAATTTTCTCCGCCGGCACCAAACCCAAAACAGATCTCGGGTCAATATTCTCACGAAATTCTGGGTAAATCTGCAATTCTCTGAGACTCTCTCTCAACGGGTAAAGTAATGGCATAACACCCGATAAGGGCAAGAATCGCCGCGCGTTATAAGTATTCAACCTTTTTCATCATCCAGATGTTCTCTCAGTATCTTCCGTTGAACAATTAATATCATGGCAGACACACGATTCAAGCTGAACACCGGCGCCGAGATCCCCGCTCTTGGGTTGGGCACCTGGCAGAGCGACACGGGTTTGGTGAAGAAAGCTGTCGCGTATGCGCTTTCGGTTGGCTACAAGCACATTGATGCTGGTGAGTCGCTTTTGCGGTGGTTGAGAGCTGTCGCTGATTGATACAGCGTACTGCTATGGGAACGAAGATGAGGTGGGGGAGGGGTTGAAGGAGGCATTCGACGGCGGCATCAAGAGAGAAGACGTGTTTGTCACCACAAAGCTATGGTGTACCTACCATTCCAGAGTGGAGCAAAATTTGGATATGAGCTTGAAGAGCTTGGGATTAGACTATGTCGATTTATATTTAATGCACTGGCCGGTTGCGATGAACCCAGAAGGTAGAGTTAATCCCACCCTTCCCTCCTAGAATTATCTCCAACATTGTTGACTCGCAGGTAACCACGAGAAATTCCCCAAGCATCCTGACGGCTCGCGCGACTTGGTCAAAGATTGGTCCCACATCGAAACATGGAAATCAATGGAAAAATTATTGGCGACTGGGAAAGTCAAGGCAATTGGCGTTGCGAACTACTCAGTCCGATACCTCGAGCAACTTCTGCCACACTGCACAGTCGTACCTGCCGTCAATCAGATCGAGAATCATCCTTCTCTGCCACAGCAAGAGATCGTGGATTTCTGTAAAGCGAAAGGCATACATATCACGGCATACAGTCCTCTGGGCAGCACAGGAAGTCCCATGATGAAAGAGAAGGCTATACTTGAGGTTGCAGAGAAGAGAAGCATCACTCCAGCTTCAGTACTATTAAGCTATCATAGTACGTCAACTCTATCTTTTTTGGAGCCAGAATGTCCGTATTGAAGGGCGGACAACCTGTTCTCGGGTGTTCCAAGTTCCGAGAAGTTCTTGGATGAGAGCACATTACTGACTTATCAACAGTTTCCCGAGGAAGCTCTGTCCTCGCAAAATCGGTCAACCCTGAAAGGATAAAAGCCAATATGGACATTGTCAAACTTGATGCCTCCGACATGAAGACTCTAAACGATTATTCTCTTGAGCTGGTTAAATCTGGAAAGGTGGTGCGATATGTCTATCCGGCTTTTGGCGTCGAGTTCGGATTCCCAGACAAATCATAAGAATGGAAAATACGACACCCATCTGCATCTAGAACGGCATGAGTTATGATGGGATGCTTAGACGGTCCAAAGCTGCGGGAGTTCCAATAGAACAGAAATTTTGGTGAGCAATTGAATTACGCCTTGCTCGCAGCGTTTTCTTGCCAACGAAGTTGCATGGTGCTATCCCACTTTACACGACATCGGGTTCAATGTTCACTTTTCAATTATCTTTTCATTATTTTCCTCCCAGACAAAAACCTCCAAATTTGAATTCACCAGCACAGGGAGTTAGTCACCCCCAAAATGTACTCCCGGGAAAAACACATCACCGTTCATCCCACATATTATGCTATTCCCCAAACATATCACTCAAGGAAATAGCATCAGTATGCCTGCCTTAAAGTCTTCAATTTTGCGTCTTCACATCCTAAGCGTTCCATCACAGCATCCACATCCCCACGGCCAACCCAGCCAGCGCCAATCCTGCATTCCCCAATCCTTCAGCTTTCATCACACTCGCACCACTGACTTGCGTTGGAGTTGGGCTGGCGGTGGCACTTGAGGCACATCCGGGACAAACACTGAGAGTGACAGAGCTCTGGATGGTCGAAAACGTGGAATTGAGGACTGGCGTTGGCGAGTAAGTTGTTGTTGGACTGGGTACAGTCAAAGTCGAGCTGGTGAGCAAAGATGGAGCCCAGGTAGTGGTTGGGCTCGTCGAGGTGGGAACGGTGAGTGAGAGGGTTGTTGTGGTAAACACTGAAGCAGGAGGAGTGTATGGGATGGAGAGAGAGTATGTCCAAGTGCTTAGTGGACAACCTGGGCAGACGGTTGAGGTTGTGGTGAAGGCGATGATGGAGGTGGTGCATGGAGTCGAGGAGGGGAGGACTGGTGGGGTGGTGGTGGTAGTTTCTTCGCAAGGAGTGGTTGCTGGTGGAGTCCACTTTGGCCAAGTCTTTGTGGTACTTTCATCACAGTCCGAGGAGGACTTGGGCCACCAGTCTAAGTCTGCGACAACATTTGGAACCACGACCGCAAGGAGGACGGCCAGGATTGAGGTGCGCATATTGAGCTTTCTCGATTACTGATTATCCGAATGTGGTACTGAGTAATGAGGGGAACAAACGAATGTAGACCACAATAACGAGTGAGTGGTACGTTGAGCAGATGCAGCTGAGCAGCAGGAGAAGACTTGGGACGAAGACAGCTCTATATGCAATCCTCCTCTGACCCGCTGGACCGTCTTCTCAGCCTTGAGGACTTACCCTCCGATGACATGGCAACATCATCATAACTTCACCAATACTCAACCTCCAGTATTCATCTCCAGCCCCTACGCACGGTTCCAGAGGTCTCGGCCGAGCATACATGCTAAAATTCATCTGGCCACCATTGGTTGGGCGGAGACCAAGAATCAGGCATGATTGAGAGACCCTGAGAGTTATGTTTCGTTTTTGGTGGCTGTGCTGTATTGTTGATGCGCATTAGAGGTCCGTCATGGGGTCGGGTGCCTGCATATATATTGTTTCGAGTTTCTTCTGTTTAGCCAGACCAATCACATAGTGAGGTGTAGCGTCCACAATTTTGGGGATCATGCAATATCGATATCTCAAGTGATATACACACTACTTCCCGATAGAGCTGAGGTATGCTCAATCTGGGAAACTGCTCTGTGGATAAGTGAGGAAGTAAGAAGGGATTGCTCTGCCGAAGTTCGAATGGCTTGTCCGGATCTGCAACGTTGCGTCAAATCATCCAGGGGGTTTCAAGGCAGTAGCATTGAGTCAATGACAGTATATTCTTGGTGGTAACATTATCCACTGACTTCTTGTGTTGCTGCTCACTCGTTCCGTTTGAAGTGGTGCAAATAGCAGGTTCTCGATGCTAGACAAGATGAGAAACTCTTAGAAAGAAAGTTCCTGAATGCCCATAAAAAAGTTCAAACAAGCTACAAAGGAAGTGTTGATGAGTCAATAGTACATTTTATCTCTGCTTACTTTATTTCTCCTGGCTCTTTGCATGCTCAGCGCTTGACATTGCAATAAATACCAACCTTGGATGCGCATCTAACCTCGTCTTTCGTCGTGGTCTACAAAGGCTGGTGCTTCTTCGACTTTGTGAATCTTTTCATCCAAATATATTAGTAGTATCATTCCGGATACTATTGTTGGACGAAGTTCAAAGAATGTAAGAACTAACACTTGACTTTCAGGAAATTTGGAAGCCTCGAAAGGTTGGGCACTGAAAGCACCCATCCACCGCGGTGTGTATTGATGTGCCAAAGGGCGATTGGAGAGTTAAGAATTTCATGATGAAGTGGACGTTGGTTTTGTCGCAAGGGAGGCCCGACTTGCCATTACTTACACCAAAATTTGACACTTTGCTAGCTCGACACCTGAACAGCAAGCCCATGTTTGTCAAGCTCTGCATCGGTTCTAAACTTCAAAGACAACCTTCAAAGACGCTGACGTTCTATTTATTTCAATGAGACTTCCTTTTCACAGCTAATGTTACCCTAAGCAAGTGACTACTATATCTACGTCTGCTCTCCTATCAGCTTCTCAGCATCCCGATCCCCAGAATTTCTAATGACCCTAAATTCCTGGGCTGAAAGGTGGGCCGAAACGTGGGGATTGAGAGACAATTTCGAGTCCACGGGATTCAAGGTCGCTGCCTACGACATAATTTGGACCGGATGCAATGTCCCTGGACAAGGTGATCAGCCATACAATGCAGGAGAACGTATCCGGTTTCGAGAATATGACAACGAAGATGGAACAAGTTGCACTCATAAGATGTCATTTCAGTTCGGTACCTGGTTTGGGATTTTTAGTACGTGTGGAAATTATCGCCTGGGAGAGGTTTGCTAACGCGAATGTAGAGTGTCAAGCTTCCGAAGATTTCTATTCATACACAGCAACATTAAGCAACTTCGAGTTCTTGGATGGGAATCCAGACCTGAACGAAAATCTTGAACAGATTGGAGCTCGAGATGACTGGTTTACTTTCGAGTTCGTTGATACCTTCGACGATAACGGTTTGCCGTTTCTGTGGTGGAAAAAATTCGAAGGAAGTAGCATGATCGGATCGACCGCATTATTTGGATGGGCGAAGTGCTGTATGGATGAAACTGTAGAAACCGATTAGACTCCGGAGGAAAGAGCACGACTGAAAGAAAGGAGAGACTACTGTGATATTGATTGGTATGACGAGGAAGAAGAGAGAAAGGAAATAAGAGAGCGGGAAGCGGCGATAGAGAAACCCAGTGAAGACTGATCAATTTAGGCAAGTGAGCAGCGGATTTGATGGTGATCATGAGATTGATGTAGACATCGGGCTAGAAGCATTACCAGTGAAAAAAGACATTGAATGCAGCAATGAGGCAGGATCCTGAATTCCAATCCATATTCCCGCATGGTGGAGTTTTGTTGCACATCGAGATTCCGAGCGGAAAGTCCGACGGGCCCGACGGGTTCACAGTTACCAGACAAGAGAGCACACCTGCATCTTGAAGCGAACACCAATAACATCAGCACGAAGCGAATAATGAAATTCGTATCTCCAGCCTAAACTCCTCGCTATACTATACCCTCATCGTACTGTTTTCCAATATTACATTCTCCTGAGAATATCTCCAGTAAGCTTCGCTTCACCAAGCGAACCCCTTTTCGACGCCGCGACGCCAACAAATTTGTTTCCCGTCCAACATTAGACGTCATATTTCTCCTGATCCTTCTTCTTCCTCCAATATCCACCGGTGAGGAGGTACTTGAATCCCAACCATGGCGAATTGATAGGACTCTCTGGTCCCGTATACACAAACACATCGTACAACACAGCGCCGAATGTGCACCCGCAAAACGGTGCTACCATGGGAATCCAAAAGTAGTAACCCCCTGCGCTCCAAACTCCGTGACCGTATCCCAAGATGTATGACATGAGACGAGGACCGAAGTCTCGAGCGAGATTGATGGCATAGCCTGTCTCCCATCTACAGTCTCACATCAGTAAGGTTATTTCGTCTCTACGCGGGGTAAATGCGGGGCAGCTCACCCAAAACATGCCCCCAGCCCGAAGATCAAAAAGAACAACGCGAGCGGGAACATCTGCCCCGCGCCCGTCTTACCCATCGCGCCTGGATTGCTGTCATCCTTCAATGCAAATATGACGAACATCAAAATGGCGCTCGCAATGAATTCGCTAAAGAATTGGCTCGCCTTGGTCATGAACGCCTGGGGGTATGTGCAAAAGATACTAGCTGTCGCAGTCGTACTTGGAGGAACAGTTCTGATGCCATGGCCTTCGAGAGAGTTGATGGCATTGATGTAATTTGCGTAAACAACACCCGAGCCAACGAACCCACCAAGGAATTGGGCGAGGAAGTATATGGGAAAGCGACGCCAGGGCAGTTTGCGAAACAGACAGAAGCAGAATGTTACAGCGGGATTGAGAAAGCCTCCTGAATCGCCTGCAACATAGATTCCGAGCATGACGCCAAGTCCCCATCTGATGTGTGTAAGGATGCTGTGGAATGCTGTGGTAGTGTGGTGTGACTTACCCCCAACTGATGCTCTGATATTGTCCAAAGCCATTTCCTCCTGGTGCAGACTTCTCTCCTGTGCTGAGAAGTACTTGAGCCACACTTCCGTCGCCAAACAAGACCATTATGAACACACCAAAGAACTCGGCGAATGGTTCTCGAAAGATGTGTCTGACAGAACTCCATGTCAGATGTTCATGGACATCATGCTCATCAAGAATTGGGGCTTCTGGTGCAAGTCCTATCTTGGTGCGGATTGTGGACAATGTACTGTGATGCTCCAACTGCTGCTGCGTTTTGTTTGACATTCGTCGAGAACTATTCGTTTTATGTGTTGGAGCATTGGCGAGGTCGAGGTATTCGTTCTGTGTCGGTGCCAATCTAGGACTTCGTGCGTCCTCGCGGTGTGCGAAATGTTCGTATCTTGCGCCATTTGAGGGTCGTCGGGTTGCAGGACCAGAACCAACTGTGTCTGCCTGCTTCTCTAAATGACGGTCGTATGCGGCATCAGAGTTCTGGATAGGATCTCCAGGATCTTTGAGTCCAGGACCGCTGTCATACTTTCCCCCATTGTCTTGACCCAAATCTGCCCAATCCCTCGTCTTCGGACTTGATTCAGGGGAGTATGCAGTACTATCGGAAGACATTGTGACAAAGAAAATCGAAATAATAAATGCAACAGTATATCAAACTACTTGGTAGTTGGAGGAAACATGGGAATAGAGAGAAAAGAACAAGAAAGACAACGAGAAGCTAAGATCACTTACTCAGACATAAAATCAAAGTCCAAGATGACCATCGTGATCCTCGATCGTACATCTCGGCAGCGAACGAGCGTCATCGTGCTCCTACGGAGCCTTACGGAGGATATGCCAAAATGCATGGCGTCGGCGCTGTGCCAGATTCGAGCAGGTGTTTGCACCAAACTGATGAGGCTCTCCAATAAGGCAACGGTCCAAGACAGGGGACACGAACACCATCAGAGTCGGCAAGTGCAAGTGGAGGATGCGGGGAGGAGGACATCGCGGGGATGAGATATCAGACACGGAATCTGTGCCGTTTACCTCGGTGAGAGCCTGATGTGTGGGCGATGGTAGGATGAGGTGTCTCGGATCAGCAGCAATGACATCGACGTCGCCGGAAGAGGAATTGAGACATGACAATTGAAGCGGACAGGACATCAGCGGCTTACAACCCGAAGCCATCTTGCAATCATTGTAGCTGAGAGGATACAACTCTTCCATCGACCGTCGACGTCTATCTCGCAATTGAGTTTATCGTCTCGAGCACAGAACAGGAGGTAAACTCCGCACTGCCGCATGGGCCGAGAAGGCAAATTGTCGAAGCTGACGAATGGAAAGTGAGTGATGAGCCGAGGTGGCGGATGGAATTCTAGAATTCGATTATCAACGAACACACTGTGCATTAGTCCAACCATGGGGAAATAAATGGAGACAGCCTATTATGTCCATGGTAAGGCGAGCTGGAGGATGGAAGCAGAATCCGCTAATGAAAGTGTTCAAGACAAGAAGGCTGTGTCGTACATAGCCGGCCTCGTTTCTCTCCTTATATTTCATGCAATTATCTCGGCACCCGAAAAGCACAGCAGCATTCATCAGGGCAGAGAGATCGACTTCCAAACATTTTAATGTTTGGAGAATTTAGAAGTCCATATCCAACAGCGGCTTTTGCTGCGCGCATGATCGATACCTCAAAATATCCAGATCCTCTCGAAAATGCAGACAGGCACCCTTCACTCGGCTTTGCCTGAGATATTGCTGCGAAGTCGAACATTGTCTCTTGGGAAATGAAAATTCAAAAGGGTTGGACATTGCACTCAAATGACTTTTCTAAGACCTCAAGGATGGCCTTTTCATCGCGAGTTTGCATTTCGGTGATAAAAAAAGAAAAAAAAGAAAAGGAAGCGATTCCCAGTTGATTTCGGGGGCTGAGGATAATGCAAACAAATTCCTCGAGAGGTGTGTCTGTGTATTCCCACTCAAAGGTTCGTGGGATTTTAAGGAAGGCTGATGGACTTACCTGCAAATGTCAGCGGCAAACTCATCGTCCGAAAGCAATATGAGATGAGAATTTCGCGTCGCTACTGTACAGTATGTCGTCATCTGCTATTTGCAAAATTCTATTGCCTGTTTCTCCGAAGCCGAAGTTCGGGCTGGTGCTGCAAGCCCAATCACAGGGCTGGAGCTGATGTTTTTTCCACTACTAATTATAAAAAGGCTGTAAGGTTAAGGTTACGGTGGCTCGCTAGAACGGCTCAGCCCTTCTTCACTCCTCACGGGAACTCAACATCCGCCGGGAAAGGTACATCGGGCTGTCATCCAGCAAGCTGAGAAAAGTCTAATTTACTCGTACCGCGACAAACAAACATCCCCAACCATTTGGAATTGGCGCACGTGTGATGAAGATCGTACTCTCTGGCAAATAGCCAAGCTTTACGGACGCATTCGTTAAGCATTAGCTATAGTTAGCCTTCAACTCATCTGACCTACTCGACCTGTGTCGAGCAAAGTCAAGCTTCAGTAGTCCTGGAAGAAGTTGATCCGGGCCCTAACTTAGACAACCATTGTTATTCCATGATGTAAACCTTATTTGGGAGGCGGTCCTGCCGACTCTGGCTGTGTGATTCATGGCGGTACGAGTAGTGATTGCCCTTCAGCCTTCAGTGTCTGTATATGAATCACGGCGTACCCCGCTCTTCAATCTATAAATTGCTCCCTCAACCTGCATTTAAGTACTCGAGATCTTCTTCATTGTCAAACTCAAACCTTCTTCACTGCAAATCGACGTCTTTGTTTACCATACTACATCAAGATGCGTTTGTCAACCTTCGTTCTGGCATCCACTGCTGCCAACCTCGCCATCGCGGCACCACTCTCTTACCCTCTCCCAAATGGCTTCCCCAACTTGAACGCCACGGCCTTAGCAGAGGTCTACAAACTCGCAGGCGGCACTCTTCCAAACGGAGCACTCCCGACCCAACTCACTGCAGGTGCTACTCAAACTCTCCAGCTCATTGCAGCCAACGAGCTCTTCGAGGTAGCATACTTTACCGAGTTGGTTAACAATATCACCAACAAGGTCCCGGGATATGAGAATGCAGATTCATATGCTCTCAAAACTCTTACCGCTATCGTGAACGTGAGTCTCTTCCGTTATTCGCATTCCGTCAACATATACTTACTTTCCTTCAGCAAGAACAAATCCACGTGCTGGCCGCGAACGGCGTCTTGGCCAACGCCAACCAAACCAACATTCAACCTTGCCAGTATCAGTTCCCAGTCAGCGACTTTGACTCCGCCATTGCTCTTGCCGAGACATTCACCGAGGTCGTTCTTGGAGTCCTTCCACTTGCTCAAATGGCCTTCGGAGTCGACGGCGGTGACGAGACTGGTCTTATCCCAGTCATTGGGTCCATCATCGGTCAAGAGGCCGAGCAGAACGGTTATTACCGCGCCTTCCAGAAGAAGATCGCATCAGCTGCTCCATTGTTGACTGGTGGTGCACCTCAATTCGCATACACTGCTATCAGCCAGTTCATTGTCCCAGGGTCGTGTCCCAACATTGATGTCATCGGCTTGACTGCATTCCCGGCGTTGACCGTCGAGACTACACCTAAGGCCGAGAACAGCACGCAATTGTTCAGCGTCAACGGCACCGTCAGCGCTGCCAATGCAAGCATTGCTTATCTCTCTGGACAGAACCTTCCTGTCACTGTTCCGATTACCAATGTCAATACTGAGGGAGGGAAGACTTACTTCTTTGCCGAGTTCCCATACGAGGCTGGATTCGCTAGGGGTTTGACGATTGGTGCTTTGGTATCGGGATCAAGCCCAACTTTCAACTCCAGTGCTGATGTCGCGACTGCCACTTTGTATGGTCCTGCTCTCATCGAGATCGACTAAGTGAAGTTGATAGAAATTGGACATTTTAGAGGAATGGATGAAGAGGTTTTGAGACTTCTCGTAATTGTATGAACAAAAAGTTAATGTCTAAACGTAACGTAAAATCAATGTACAGCAAATGAGAAACGACATGGGAACGGATGGGTTTGGGTGATTGGCAGCCGACTTTTGGCGTTTATGTGTCAATGGGGTTGGTATTGGCGACTTCGAGGAGCCAACTGCTTTAGGTTTCTAATTCAGTTTAAATCATTCATACCCTGTCTTCCTTCATCTCTCCTGCTAGATCATCTTCACTGACACGTGACTCGAAGAGTGAAGATCGCGCTTCCAGGTTGTGAAGTATTTCCACTGATGATCAATAGTAGCTGATTGTTAGCCTTCAGCTGTATGGATAGTTTCCCGCTTATTGACTCAATAAGATTCAGCAACCGCCAAAACATCTTTCTCAAAATCAAGCTCCAACCAGTCGCCAAACACAACGTCCGACATCTGATGCTCCTTGGGAACTCGAATCGATCCGCTCATCATATAATTAACTCCCATAGCAGTCATTTCCGTCTTCACATCTCTCATGACTTTCCCCTTCATATACGTCGCAAATTGCCTGATCACTTCTCCCTTCTCCAACGAGAATTCGTCCCTGATTCCCTCTTTAGCTTCAGGAGCCACCACATCCAAGATCTCGAGCTCTTTCAGCCAGGGCGCTAGCAACGCATCTCCAGACATCTTCACATACGCTTCCCTAAGACACCACATAGCGTAGAACCGTCGTAGTTTGGCGTCGATAATCGGATCTGTCTGCATCTGCAGCTCCATATCCTCGCCATTCTTCCCTGTCATCTTAACAGCGATCCTCTCATGCCTCTTCTGGCAGCGTGAAATAGCGTCTTGACCATACCCGTTCAATTCCGCTCCCTTGACTCTCAGATCTACGGGCACAGGTGCAAGCTTCATGTAGCTCAATTCCGAGGGCGCGAAAACATCGGCATGCATATCGACCCAGTCGAAGAAACCATGTTTGTCGATGTGTTGATAATCGATCTTGATTCTCTCATTGTCACAAACGACGTCTGCTCCGACTTCGATACGGCTTTTAAATCCGACAGCTGCGATAAGGGCAACGACGCCGGCTTGGTGACTGACGTTGAAAGCGAAGCCGTCCGGTTCGGAGGTTTCTCCTTCGGGGACATAGCAGGGTTTCTTTTTGGCGTCTCTAGAGATGATACTTTTTGACCAAGGGACGTTGCAGAACTTGGTAACGATGAGATGTTTGAGGAGGTGGGAAACTAGTTTTGTCTTTGCGTCTCGGAGATAGTAGTACCTGAGCACGGAGTCTTGCTCTGCCTCGGTCAATAACGAGAGCTCTCTTGCGGCCTATAGTTGTGAGCACAAGCCATGTGATACGGACGGAGAAGTACTTACGACGTTCTTGAACTCTAGCACTTCATCTTTGGGTTTGGCTTTCTTGGGCACAGGCCACATGCGGCGTGTGTCGACGTACCATTGTATGATTCTGGGCCCTGGCGAGCCATCCGTGGTAGCCATCACCGGAGCGATGAGATCCGAGGGCTATGGGGGCAGAGCATCCCAGAAATACGTTCTTTTAAGAAGAAAGCAGTGTGGATCGAGGTTGATGCTGTCGTTGTGTGGCTAATGCGCCGAATGATGTTCGGTGTCCGATTGCACGTGAGATCAAAATCGCAAGTCAGATTATCCACACGTGACTGTTTATTTATATCTGATCGTGGAACAGTTTGTTAGAGGATGCCATTGAGCGGATATTATGTTTCTGGTGCAGCTTCGATATCTAAGCTCAGATACGAGGTTAAGCCTGTTTTGCATAGATCTTGTGATGCACTTGTCAATTGTCCGTTCTCAGATTTCAAGATTACCATCCAATGAACTGCCTTCTTCGATGAAACATAACTTCATAAATCATTGACTTCCATTCTCGATCTAAACTACCCATCACAACTTTCAAGGCATTAAAACGACCTGCTTCCCCCACCCCGCCTCCTTCCCCGCCATCAGCAACCCCTCCTCTATATCCTCAAGCCCAAACATTTTCAACGTCTTCGACCCCACCTTCTCCCCCAATTTCAGGTTCCCATTCTCAATCAACTTGATAGCCTGAACCACCATATCTCTTTCATACATAAACCTCCCCTGGATCCTCAAACTCTTCATCATCACTAGATTATAGTCAATTTCCACCTTCCCATATATCCCACCCATGAAAACAGCTTTGCCTTTGGGTCGTAGAGCAGCCATGCAGGATTGGATATGTGTAGATTTGGCTGCTGAAGCGGGAGAGAAATCTATGTATGCATCTGCACCTTGGCCATTGTTTGCGAGCTTGGTGAGATTTGCTGTGTCTTTTTCGACATCTCCAGTTAGGATGTGGGTCTTGAGTCGACCGGTTTCTTCGAAAACTGAAGACATCGTTGAAAGCGTAGATTCGTTACGGCCACATGCTATGACAGTAGCGCCCATTGTCAGAGCCATGGTAACAGCGCCTCCCCCAAAGCGACCAGTGGCAGGAGCAACGATGACGGTATCACCTGGGAGGAGATTGATTTCGGAAAATCCGCCATAGGGAACGAGGTATCCTGGAATCGAACAAAGATCTTTAATTGTGTATTCGAGCTTCCTACACACGACCTCTTCGTTCAGAGGAAACACATTTTCCAGTGGGAATTTGGCGAACTCGGCATAAGAACCATGTCTCCACTCCCCTTCCATCAACTTCATCGCTGCTCCGCCATGCAGGCCCATCAAAATCGCTTTGTTAGGATCATCTCTTGCTCGCACGGTGATGTCGCACAGCACCAGCTGACCTTCTTTCAAGGATATCGAATCAGCCCCAACAGAATGGACTCGTGCAACGCAATTGGAACCTGGGATCATGGGAAAAGTTATAGTATATTGGAGAGTTCCGTTGAGAATGTCTTTGAGATAAGGTAGGATGGTAGTACCGAGGACTTTGACGATGACGGAGCCTGGAGTTGCTGCGGGGATTGGCCATGTCTCTAGGGACAATGGGGAAGAGGTGGAATGCAGGACCAGAGCCTTGTGTGTATTCTTTGAACGCCAGTGGTCAGTCTTCAGAGCTAGGACGTATTTTAACATTGACGACAGGAAACTACTGAGGAACTTACAGCCATGTTTATGTATGCGATGCAGTGTTATCTGGAGTTTCAAGGAAACAATATGGGACTGGCAAGTACTCCAGAGTCAAGTAGATCAGTGCATCCTCTTATACCTCTTTCCTTAACATAGAAGCTCGGAATTAAATGGATTGCTGCTTTCTAAAGCAAGACACTTTCTTCACATCTCCGGTTAACAGCGGAGTGTACAGGGCGCCCGCCACTCTACAAAATGATCGTGGCAGATCTCATATCACATAGATATCCACCTTGGCAATTTGCAAGTAAGCCCAGGATCTTGGACTGTCTGGGTGGGAACTGCGCTTGGTAGGGTCGGCCGACATGCGCACCTCATCGCATTGTCGAGTATAAGGATTCGGATTTAATGGTATTAACCCCGCTTGGAGACTTCATGCTTCGTCCGCGGAAACATATGCAGTCAATTTGAAGAAGACATTAAGATGGAAAGAGATATGTTCACAAAATTTGCTTGATGACACGACCATGTCGACATGTATTCAACAGCTCCATCGATGCCTCGCATCAAGGAGGATCACGAGCATGTATCAAAGTCCAAGACTTGAACGGATGCAGTCCGTGAATGAGATTTGTAAGTACATACTAACTTCATTGGCACTGTAGCCATCGAGAAACAACTTATGAGGGGCAAAACCAGTATGATGCAATCCTCAAGGTGTGATAAAACTCGCCATCTATAAAATTCTCGCTCACTTCGAAAACTTGCTGCTTTCCTTCAGCCATTGGCCAAAAGTTTGCAAGCGAGGCTCTTCCTTTCTCAGTGCCGCGATATCAACTCCGTACCCCTCCTCTTTGAACCACTTGAACATGGTGCCAACTTCTTTGACCATGTACTGGACGGTTGGCGCGATGAAAGAGAATGTCTCGGGAATATCAGATCCTATGGTCTCCTTGAACACGGTCCTGATTTGGTCGGCAGTCATTTCGTCTCCTGCTAAAGAGATGCTTCTGCCCTTGTATGAAGCCGGATCTTGGAAAGCCCTTGCAGTGAAGAGACCAATGTCGCGACATGAGATGAGCTGTAGAGGTTTCGCCCCAAGACTTCCCACCATGCCGATAAACGTCTTGCCATAAAAACCGGGAGACAGGTTGTCCATGAATGCCACGGGTCTTAGTATTGTATATGGCATCTTCTTTCCATTCTCCGTTCTCTCCTTCAAGTATTGCTCAATTCTGTGCTTCGAAGCGAAATGTGGGATGTCCGTAGGATTCGTGTCACTCTTGTCTCCTCCCCTATCGACAGAAGAGAAGACAAATTGTTCGACTCCATTCTTAATGGATTCGTCGATTAACGGCTTGGCTTGATCTTCTTCGGCTTCTTTTCCCATCACCGTCACCGAGAACACGCCGTAGATGGGTTTGTGCTTTTCGAAAATTGCGGGAAGCGTCTTGTGGTCGCCTTGAACAACGGTGATGTTTGGTTTGGTGGCTAGAGCTTTTGCTCCATTCGAAGAAGCAGTACGGGTCAGGGCGAGGATCTGGAAGGATGGTGAGCTTTCTTGCAAGGCTTTGATCACAGCACCTCCTTGTTGACCCGTCGCGCCAGTAACGAGGATCTTTTTGTTGCTTGCCATGATTTCGATGTTGTTAATGATACTGTGGATTGGGTTCGTTCCTGCGAGTTTGTGAGTAGCATTGCAGACCAGCAGCGTTATGTAGGAGGGATTGCGTCAGGGCGGATGCGGTAACATTCCACGGCTCGCAACGCTGGGCTGGCCTTGAGACAGGGATATGACGAGAGACATACAGATGAAGCATTCTACCGGAGACATATTTGTGTGAATGAAATGTCTCCAGCCAATGAGACTTACCTCTTCACTGGGGGTCGCACTTGGATTTGAGCCGTACGAAACTTCGACGATTCGCGCTTAGATGGTGTCCGGAAGTCCGACCTGGAACCAGACCATCCGGAGCAGAAGGATCACGGTACGGGTAGACATGAGAAATACCGAGAGACATTTGGTCATATTCCAATATTGTTGCTTCGTGTAGTGATGAGTACTACTGTACTGTAGAGGGAAACTGTTGATGTTGATGTTGTGAGTCGCAAGGTTTAAGGTTGTTGGGAGGGGAAATGCGCCTGTGCGTGCGCTAACCTTAAACCCAAAATACACTGCAACTCCAAAAGTTCCTGAAGCTCGAGTGAAGCTTCACCTCCATTGGCTTCAGTTCAGCTCGTCCACGACAACGACAGCGCCAACCTGTCCTCTCCTCTCCTCTGCGGCCACAGCCCGCAATTTCACAATGATGCCCTGCAATGTCTGCCAAGTTTCGAATAACGAGATACATATCTCGTCTCGGCGTCCAAATTGAAGCTGCGTCGTAGCGTCAACATGTATTTCGCAGACCGATCGACGATGGTACCGATCCGCTCAGAAGGGACTGCTATGTATACAGGCCCCTTCACGAAGGACAGCTAGTGGAAGTAAACGATCATGAGCAAGGACACCCCAATCCAGGTGAAGTGCTCAGCAGACAAACCTCTGATCCGCAAATACCTAGCAAAGGGCGACCCTTTCAATTACAAGACCACCAAGATCAAGCACCTTTTCACCAAGCCGAAGCCTACCGGTAGCCAAACTCCCACTACCGGTTCGAATACGACCCCCAGATCATACAGAACCTTCTTCAGCGTCTTCTATTCGAGCCAGGACGTGAATCATAGTGCTTTGGGAAGCATTGCGAGATTTAGACGTTACGAAGTCTAGTGCGGAAGAGTGGCCAGCTCTCGACTATCCGGAGCAACATGCTACCACTGGTATTAATCATGAGCGTACGGCCTGAAGTTGAACATCACACAGTACCAATTTACACCTGCCAACATTTTCTAAGATGCTCGGCATTTCGAAGGAGCTGGCATACGAGAATAACTACCAAACCCAGGCCGGCTCCGTTACTTTCCAGACTATTGGGAGTTGCTTTGCAAGCCGCAGCAGCATCCCGTATCCCTCGTTCTGACGTACGACGTGTAGATAACCAATGTTTTCTGATCCAGCAGGACTGGGACAGCGAAAATGATGTGAAGGATCTACTTTGAAAGAATGGAACCCACCGGCTGATCCCTTGGACAGACACCATCTCGAGACTGGGTTTCTCCCCGTTGGCGGATTGGCGGAGAAGCAATATGTAGTCGCCCAGCAGACGATATCACTAAAAAGAGCAAAGTATCGATCACCATTTCGAGTGCGATCTTACCGCTTCCCACGGGAATCTTGGCTTCACAGTATAATATGATTGAAAGCAGTTCAAAATTCTGAGGTTGGCCCCGTACTTCCGAGTCGTATTTGCATTTGTTGAGATGCGGGTAGACGACAAGGTATGTGGGCGTTTTAACCCTCCCATGCTCGACTCATGGCTTCGCTTGTGGCAAATATGTTATTCCGCAGCCACAACCTCACGGCTGTTCTCCATCTGCTGATCTTGTAGTTCAAGCTGCATGTTCTATCGTTGCCGAGAAGTAATTAAGTTTTGATTTCATTTCGTTTCATTTGCGTATTTGCCTACGCGCATAATTTCCTCAAGCGCGCCATTCATACTTTTCCTAGGTCTCTGCGGCTTCTTTCAAAAGTCTCTGGTGCAGCTTCATGTCTTGAATCACAATATAGAAGCTCAGCACAGTACGTTTGTGGGATCAAATTGCAGTCAATTGCCCATTCGAGATCATTGTGACTACAGATGGAATTCAAGATGAGAGTGTCAATCATCACTCTCTCGGCTCTATGGCTGTTCATGCCGCCAACGTCGTCAACGACGACTTTTCCTGACTGTGTCAATGGACCACAAATTCTAATTACGAATCTTGTTTGTAATACTACAGCCTCGCCAGCGGATAGAGCAGCAGCTATCGTCTCAGCTTTTAATATCTCGGAGAAACTGGTCAATCTTGTCAAGTAAGTTTGTAAGTCATGTGCTATTGACAGAATACTGACATCACGAACAGCACAAGTCCTGGTGCACCACGTATAGGCCTGGCTGCTTACGAATGGTGGAGTGAAGCTCTTCATGGTCTCGGTTACTCCCCAGGCGTGAACTTTTCCCTCCGTGGAGATTACTCCTACGCAACATCTTTTCCTAACCCTATCACTATGTCGGCTGCTTTCGACGATGATATGATCGAATCAGTAGCTACCATTATCAGTACCGAGGCAAGAGCTTTCAGCAACGCTGGTCGAGCCGGCTTGGATTTCTGGACACCGAACGTCAATCCATACAAGGAGTGAGTACTCCTTTTCCTAGGCGCCGGTTGGTCACTGACTTCGAAATCTCTTAGTCCAAGGTGGGGTAGAGGAGCAGAGACACCAGGAGAAGATCCATTCAGAATCAAGGGCTACACCAAGTCGCTTCTTCTTGGTCTGGAAGGCGACCAAAGCTTCAAGAAGGTTATTGCAACGTGTAAGCACTTCGCTGCGTATGACTTGGAAAAATGGAACGGCGCTGTACGATATGGCTTCGATGCTGTTGTTGGCATGCAAGACCTTGTCGAATACTATCTACCGCCCTTCCAGCAATGTGCCCGTGATTCCAAGGTCGGGTCAATCATGTGTTCATACAATGCGGTGAACGGAACTCCAGCTTGCGCGAATACGTACTTGATGCAGACTATTCTACGTGAACACTGGGGCTGGACCGAAGACAACCAGTACATCACGAGTGATTGTAATGCCGTCCAGGGCTTCTACGCCAATCACAATTTTACAGCCACTGCGGCTCAAGCAGCTGGAAAGGCATACACTGCTGGATGTGATACTATCTGCCAGGTTGGACACAGCATTGATGTCACTAGTGCACACAACCAGTCACTACTTTCCGAAGCGACAGTCGACCAAGCACTGAGTCGAATGTACCAAATGTTAATCAGGGCAGGCTACTTTGACCCTGCGGAAGCTACACCATATCGATCATATGGTTGGGGTTATATCAACACACCTCACGCTCAGCTTCTAGCTCTTCAAGCGGCAGCCGACGGCATTTTATTGAAGAAGAACAATGGGGTTCTGCCTTTGAGCATGACTGCCAAGCCATCCCTTGCACTTATCGGCTTCTGGGCAAATGCTACTACTCAAATGCTGGGTGGCTATTCTGGACGACCGCCGTACATCAACTCGCCTATCTACGCCGCCCAACAGCTTGGGTATCAAACTTTTTACGCAACTGGCCCTCTTGCACAAACTTCTTCGGACAATGACACATGGACAAGTGCTGCTCTGGCTGCTGCTAAACAAGCTGATATAATTGTGTACTATGGAGGGACTGATAACTCTATCGCAGCTGAGGAACTCGATCGGTATAACATTACTTGGCCCTCTGCTCAACTTTCGCTCCTTACTGAGCTCTCTGCACTTGGAAAACCTCTGATCGTCGCCGAACTGGGCGATCAAGTCGATGACACTGCTCTCCTTGCCAACCATAACATTTCTGCGATCCTCTGGGCAGGCTACCCTGGCCAAGATGGCGGGACTGCTGTTCTCAATATCTTGACAGGAACAACTGCACCGGCTGGAAGACTACCGGTGACAGTATACCCCGGAAAGTACGTCAACCAAGTTCCAATGACCGACATGAGTCTTCGCCCGAGTGCTACGAACCCTGGGAGAACTTACATGTGGTACAACGAGTCGGTATTGCCATTTGGATATGGACTTCATTACACGACTTTCAATGCCTCTTTTGCAGCCTCGACACATTCCTACGATCAGAAGAAGTTCAGTATTCAAGATCTGATGAGTGCTTGTAATGAGACGAAACCGGATCTTTGCTCGTTCACATCTCTTCCCCTGTCAGTCTCAGTGCAGAATACAGGAAATGTGACATCGGATTTTGTGGTCCTGGCTTTTCTTTCTGGATCTCATGGACCGCTTCCGTACCCTATCAAGAGATTGACGGCGTACACGAGACTCCGAGGCATTACTGCCGGGAACACGGGTACAGCTGAGCTAGTAATGACGTTAGGAAGTCTAGCGAGAGTGGATGTGATAGGAAATCTGGTGTTGTATTCTGGGACTTATAAGGTGTTGTTGGATGTGGATGGTGTCGATAGTGTGAGCTTTGAGTTGGTGGGCACACAGGTTGTATTGGATTTGTGGCCACAACCGAACGTTTAGAGGGGAGCAAGGCGTCGAAAAGACATGGGCTGGCTAGTAAGTAATTGCACTAGCAACAGGTTCTTTAGGTGAAAAGCTCGGTCTTTGATGGAACAGTCTCTTGATATATTATAGGTTCACAATATCTGATTTACGTCCTATCCAAAATGCACTAGTTTCTTTTATGGTTATCGGACTATAGCGTCAGAGAGCAATCGAGGTTCTTTTTTTATACACAGGCCTTTGTAGGTTTCCGTTTTCGAGGGTGAATCCTGTCGAAACGAAGTTTGGCTTTGTGAGTCTCCTCTCGGATTGGACTCATCCTGGCTTGAAAGTTACTTGAATGACTCGCCTAATTGTGGGTTACTTCTAGTAAAGATATAATATTAATAGCTGCTTTCATGATCTGTTTGATACTTATCAGTGATCGGAATATCCATCAACAGAAAAGCAACCTACGTTGTAACTCAAGCACAACGTCCGACACATTGCAATCTCGCGTGTTCAGCTGAGCTATGTTGCTCCTCATCACGATCCTTATCTTCACCTTACTCACGACTAGTATTGCTACCCCCATCAAGCATGCTGCTCCCGCTTCAACCTCGAGCTTACCACCGACCGCTTCCCCCAACTCCCTTCTCGACGCACTCTTCGGCAAAGATGCAGGCTCACTTTCTCAACTTCCTCCACAACCCTGGCCGCCCAACGATAATCAATCGAAAAAGAACAATCTTGTCGGAACAGTCTGCGGGGTTGCTATTGCTCTGGGAATAGTCTTTGCAGTCCTCTATTTGCGGTGGATGAGCAGAAAGTACGGGAGGGCCGCTCCAGCCCCGCGACCTGCACCTGCTGTGGTTGTTACTAGGCCTATAGAGCATCCTCCAGTGACACACGCGCGCCATTGAAGGGTTGAGTGTCGGTAGCAGTCGGAGTTGAATCAGATGTCTTGTCTAAGCTGTTGGGCAGCGTGTGTGAAGATGCCTAGAAGTAATGGATTTGTTCGAGATGCTCTGCACAGTTCAAGATTATGGTAATAAAGGCTTAACATCACTGGTGAAGATTTTTCTTGGTCGACTAGGACATTCCTACAGATGACTTTTTCCATATCAAGAAGACGGTTCCGTCTGCGACTCTGCAAATAGCAAGTTCCTCTTATATCGAGAGATACAGCTAAAGTCTATGCGTGGAATAGGCGAGGATGGACCTTTTCCAATAACATCGGCTGTGAACAATGATTAATTCCAATTGTGGGAGAACTGTCATTCGTCTCCGATTCCATGAATCAAGCCAACGAAAAAGAATGCCGAGGATCTCCCTTGCTATATAAACCTCGCGTTACACCATTTCAACAAGTTCTACCTACTATGCTCGACTAAAACTCTTCCGAATCAACCACAATATCCAACAAAATGAATCTCGATTCCATTCCTTTCAAGCTGTACTTGGCAGTAGCTTGCAGCAGCAGTTGTCAAGCAGTTCCGATTACACCTCTGGGAAGATCCGAGTCCTCCATTCAAAGTGCCAAAGAGATTGACTCTGCGCTCCGACATTCAATCATCCTACCTCGAATCGATATGCCTGAGCCCGTGAAAGTTGGGTTATACGTCGCGGTAGCCATAATCATATTAGTTGCTCTTTTCTGGGGCTGTCACAGAAGGAAAAATACGGCGAAGGGTGGTTGATTAACAACTGTCCTTGGGGCTTGTTATTTGTAGGCAGGAGAGCTGTATTTATACTTGGGTCAATCACGCTGGATGTGAATACACCATGGAATGGTTATGGGACAAGACAATCTTACTCATAGATGGCAACACGTTATTATCTCACACGATCTCCTTTTGATCTTCTCTCTTCACTGTATCAATTCTAAAATAAAGTTCAATCCGAAACACCTATTAAAAATAAGTTCAATCTAGATGGAACATCTCTTACTTTTCGGATTTGTACGCCGAGCTTCGTATGCACATACGACGAACAACCCAAGCTCTGTTGACACAACTGTACCAACACAAACACCTTTCTTGCCGATAATACCATTCACTACGACTTCAGATGTGCCTCTAGCTACGGGTGGAACTGTCTCGGGTACTCAAGGTGGAGACAATGAATCACACGGAGAGTCCAATAATTTGGGATGGGGAACCATTCTTGGCATCGTCTTAGGGGGCGTCGCTTTCTTGTGGCTTGTTATGTGGTTCTGCGGGAAAGACAGACGCAAATCCTCTATGATTACATAGCCAACATATTAGAAGATGACTGTCGAGCAGGACGCAAGATGAAAGATCAAGGAAGTTTTGGACGATGGTCTGATGACTCTGTGAAAGACCCTGGGCCGAAGTTGACTTGCCTCATTATGTCAAATGAATCAATGCTATCTATATCAATCTAGTCACGAGGATCATCTTAGTAGTAATCGTCTTTATTCAAACCATAATTGGTTCATCCATCCTACTTTACAAAGCTCCAAAAGCATGATATAAGGCCAACTGTGCACCAAACCATTACATACCAAGCACTACAAACAGAGTCTTTGCTGCGGAGAGCATAACGATACGATTCTTCGTAATTGGTACGCTGGTGTTGTTGGCCTCCGAAGCCCAAGGAGCCATTATCCAGGCGTACAAAGGGGCTATGACGAAACGCGATACCGACGGTACGTACTGAATCTTGTGATAAAGTTTCATGCTGATGGTTTTAGTTCATATTGCTTGATACACTATACTCCTAGTACTCCTCCTGGTGGTTGCTGTATTCTGCGCGGTGGGAGATTACGGGTGCCTTTGTCTGCGACAATGCTGGGCTGAGACATGTACTGGGAGGAGGAGTCGACGCGAGACTGTGACAAAGAAGAGTCCGGATATAAACAGTCATCAACAACAGTTAGCTAAGGAAGTTCCATATGGTAGTGATGGATTCCGATTGGCTCAAGTCTATGGAAATCAATGAGATGTCGCGAGAGTCTTGTAGTTCCCACAAAACCAAATTATCAGTATCCATAATAGCATGAATACAAATTGGAATCTTATAAGTAGTAGAAGACATTTTTTACTCACACAAGAAGTGCTTAGCCTCAAACTAAACTGTTTCATTCCAAGGAAATGGGATGAATTTCCACATACCAAGAGTCCGAACAGAGTAGAATCGCCAAATATTAAGAAGAGAGGAACTCATTGACATAGATTGACTCTGAGGTTTGTGTACGGATCAGGCGCGGAAATACCTGCGCTCCCATGTACAGTGATAATGATCCTGACTTTACAATAGGGTAGTGAATCAGCGGAGCAACTCTCCACTGTAAAGTTATTGAGCTTGGGAGTCTTACTGATAAATTATTTCTGTGAATCGAAGAATGAAAAGAGATTCCGCGAAAGAGTCATCAGTATCCTCATATTCCAAGAAGCCGGGAGCCGTCATATATAAACCTTAGTGATTACCCCTAGACACCAGTTCTAGTTTCCTCGATCATTCATGTCCATCACCCAGCTCGAAAACTCACCAGCCAAGAAGGCTCATTGGGGTTTCCAAACCAAATTCTTCAAACACCACGCGAGAACCGATCATGTACGAGCAAGTCGCTTTTAGTGTGATCCTCTTCTTTGTTTGGCTTACATTTGTCGCTACGATCATGGGAGCCCTCTCTCCGTCTACTCCAAGACTACTTGTCAGAGATGGTTCAGCAGGATTGAGCACCGGAATCTTGGCCGCTTGTATTATCGGAGCTCTTGTGTTCCTTTGCGCCCTCCACTTCTTGGTGCAGAAGTGTCATAAGAAGCCATAGGAGATGAGCTTTCGAAGTATATTATTAGAGGGAATGCGCAATGGACGGGAAAGTTGTCACAAATATCGCTCGGGCTCTGGATAGGGAGACTTAGTGGAAATAGTTTCGAAGGGTGACTGAGTTTAAGCTGGGTCTCGCTTAATGTCCTCGCTTATAGTAATGTAGCCCCTGAATGCGGGGTAAATTGTTCGAGTGCTGCAACAGGAATTATCAATTTCATTCACCACAACCTATGAATCATAGAACTTTGTATGTGAATGAATAATTTACATGAAAATTGCACCTTCTTTAGATATATAAATTCTGGTTTTCTACTTACAAGCCGAAAGTAGTTGAGCACATACCACATCCGACGAGATTGATCCAACCCACCAAACCATCTCATACCACACTCAGCTTCATGGCGACTACCACTACCAGCTCAATGGTGACAATGAACTCTTATATCTCTCCCAGTGGCTCCTCGTATCTTTCAGCATCGACCACAAGCTTGACTTCGATTCTCGAGTTTTATGTCGTTCTGGTAAATCAACGACATCGCATGCGTAGAGGAGCTATTATGGCAATCATCGCCATGGGACTAGTCATGGCCGCAATTATTGGATTCTGCATGGTTAGAATGTTCACAAAGCACAGTCCCAACAAGAACTGGCAGTCATCTGACGGAGTTGTTGCAAATCATGAGCGGATGGTCATTGGGGAGAGGTTTCAAGGCAACCAGAACCAACGAATGGCACTCTGATTGCGGATTCAGATTCTTAATGGAATATCATGTAGCTCGGATGAGATACAATCAAGAGCGTTTGTCCAAGTCTTCTCAAAAGTTCTTCTGCTATGGACAACTGTAGCTACCCTCAATGTCCTGGCATTCTTGCAACATTATGTTGATTGGAGTAATAAGCACCTTATTCCGAGGATATATAGAGAAGAAACCAGCCCAGTGGTGTGACTTTGCTAGTGAATTTGCTCGATATACCGTCTTGCGCTAGCTCCCAAATTGCATCTATATATAGATCCAATTTCCACTTTCGGAAACCCAAACCTCTGTGCACGGCACACCATTGACCGACCATGTACTCCAAATCACCAAGAAAATCTACCAACAAGCGCAGACCATCTAAGCGCGTACACATCGAAGTCAATTACACTTACAGTCAAGGACCAACACCTCTCCTCGAACAGCCATTCTCGAGATCAAACACTCTCGCAACTTCGATCATCGTAGCACTATTCGTCATTCTCTTGCTCGTCATCTTCACGCCACGAGCAAAAGCTGACCCGCCAACACCAATCGATATTCGAAAGTCTCACTCTCCAATTGATCCTTGGCACTCGAGCGCAAGTACGACGGCCACTTCCTTACTTCGACCCACCAAACAACTTTCAAACACATACCAAGATCCATAACATGAGAGTCGAACTCCTTCGCAGAAGAGGCAATATTGTTGGGGCTCGAATTCGAGTTCGAATCGATTGGCAGACACTATTCGAGATGTGGGAATTCTTTGCGGATATATTGGAGGCAGTTCTGCTAGGACTTTCAATTGCACATGCATTTTGTTCAATGATGGATGCTAATCATTGATGCACGGGTACAAGTTTCGTCTCTGGGGATATAATTTTGGGAGCTGGCTGGGGGGCATGTCCACGGCGTTTTGGAAGCTTCCATTTATTCACATAGGGTCAACGGGTGATCAGAATGAAATGAAGAGAGCAGTCTCAATAACGTCCCTATGATTGGCTTATGATTCTGTGCTTTTTGGTAATTGTATGAAAGTCAGTGAACTCCTCGAACGCAGAAAAGTCTCATCAACTTCAACGCGGGTTGCAAGGTGGAAGCTAGGCAATTAATTGTGTCCCAACTCAGCTCAAACATCAAGATGAGGCTCGCAACTCCACCCTTCATCCTCTTTATACTTTTTGTTCTTTACATCAAGGCCACAGGCACAAGCTTAAACGGGATCTTACTTAAAGATGATGTCCAAGATACAAACAAAAGCATGGGGAATACTGGGAGCTGTGGAATTGTGGTGAGACATGGAACAAATGGGAAGATTGGGAACATCGAGATTGGCGATAAAGCCCAAGATAGTGGGACTACTGGAAGCATCACAATTGAAAGAAGGAATGCCAATACAGCTGCTTGGGTAAGCGCTACCGAGGTCTTGCTGATTATCGGCATCGTTTTTGTGGTTGTGGAGGAAATCTTGAGGTGTTTATGGGGCTAGTCAGGGAATGATAGACAAGATATGAGACAGAAAGGAAGAGGTGTTTGACGAGATATATTGTTGAGTGTGAAGTTACTTCAGAAATAGGAGATGAAGATATTTGTCAATTGTATGTCCCGAAGTCCAACTCTCGATGCCAGATCATCCAGTACCATCATTTGGCGATGTGCCTTGTAGGGCTTTTTCGCTGATTATTAATGGGGTTGCCACTGTGATATTAGGGTCGTGACTCTGCGGAATGGGGTTATTGGAAATGTGGCATGTGCTGAGAAAGCAAGCTAAGGGTAATGTGCCGATTCACAGCTTGACATGACTAGTGCACGAGCAAACTCACTACCTTTATTCTATGTTTGTTTTGTGATTGTTCTCGCGTGTAAATCAAATCCTATAAAAGCAATCAGTTCTTCGCAAAAGCAACTTCTTCAACAATCATCACTCATATGCAACATTTTTAAAGAGCTCCTTCATCGAAAAGAACCACAGAACAAAGTCCACAAGACTCCAAGACTTAAATCTAACTCAAATGAAGATCACCACTCCAGTCCTTTTGCTCGCCACCCTCTTTATCTTCTACGCCAGGGCCACAAACACTCTCCCAGACTCGAATCTTACATCTACCCAACTTCAAAACGGAACCGAGCACAAAGGCGGTGATGGTGGTGGTGGTGGAAAAGGTGGTAGGGGTGGAAAAGGTGGTAGGGGTGGAAAAGGTGGCGGGGGTGCGTATGGAGCCGCAAGTAGTGTGAGGGTGACTGAGACACTGCTCTTTGGCAGTGTTGCGTTTATGGTTCTGGAAGAGCTTCGGACTTTTTTGCTTTGAGGAATGAATGTGAGCAGAAGAGAGGCGTGTTGGTGTGGGATAGGTAGGATGGAGATCGGGAGGAGGCTTTTGGAAAATAAAATGCACAGTGAATATGAAGCGGAGCGAGGAACACATAGATAGTTGTATGAGTTTAAGAATGTAAACCGCTGTTTTCAAAAGGTGCGCTGTAGAGGAAGTGAGTTCGACCAACTGTTAACAAGTCACTCAAAACCTAACGTCTCCCCACTAAGTTCCCACCTGCACACGTGGTATTCTTGGTGAGAGTCGATAGTAGCTAGGTAGTTCATTTCTCATGAGTGAAGCTATCTTGAATACTGACGCAAGCTCAGAAAATACATGGGATATCCGAAAATGAAGAGAGTGGTTGGAGAGAAGAACCTCATACCCAGCAAATTTCTTGGTTCAATAAGCAAATTCCGAAAGCAATTCTCCAACGCCATCTAAGTAGAAGCTCCGGCAGGTCTACCAACAGTGACTTCGGGATGGTTCTCATAGACACCGCTTCGTTGTGGTCGACCATGGACAGGGATGGTGACTTCAGTTGTGGCAACAGTGATGGTGAGACCCGGAACATTCTCACGAGGATATTCAGATCCGTCTGCCAAGGTGACTCGCCAGTGGAGGTTCTTCGTCAGATAAGCAAGGACATTCTCCTTGTCCATGGAAGGACAGTTGCCTTTTTGGACTTCCTACGATGGGTTTAGTGGCAGGTCTTACAGGTTGGCATGGCTGGAATGTCCTATCGCGGGTAGCTTACCGAAAAGATTTGAGCAGTCAAGGGAACCGTGCCAGTGATGTAGACATCCCGCTTGGCATCCTTCTTGCACTTTCCGCATCCAGTCTCAGCCTCATCACCTGGTGTAGTATTCTTGCCAAAGGCTGCGGAAGTCAGCATGGAGGAGAAAGGATTTTGGAGTTGCCACTAACCCATGAAAGTACCAACAAGGGCATCTTGTGTGTGCCAAGACTTTAAGTCCGGAGTGAATTCGCCGAGGAAGATATGGACACGATACGATTCTCCGAGACCGTGCTTGGAAGTCTTGATATTGGCAATGTAATCAGTGTAGGTGATGGCTTTGGGCTCAGGTTTGTTCTCATCAGCTGCATATGATATCAGTATGGAGCTTCAAGACAGGTGACGGAAGTGATGACGTGGACAGAGTCTTGCTGACTGTGTTGTAATAGGAAGAGAAACTTACGTTTACCAATTTCAGCTTCAAGGTCGAGTCCACGAGCATTGTCAGTATCAGCCGGAGGAGACTCGTCGTGATGGAATATCTCTTGAACATGGTGTACTAAGCCCTTGATTGGATGGAAGCCAGACTCTTGCTTCGCAGCTGGTGCGGGAGCAGCATCGGAGATGGGCTTCTGGTTCTCAACTTGAGTGGCTTGGACGATCGGTGCAGTGGCGACTGCAGCCGGAGCTGACTGAACCACGAAGTTGTTGCCGTTCGCGAAACTGTTTGAAACACCACCGTAGAGCTGTTGAATGGTATTTTGAATACTGTTTTGATAGTCCGAATCGTTCTGGAACAGCCAGCGCTGGGTCTCGGGGTAAGCGTAGCCGAATGTTTGTGTGGAAACAACTTCCGCAGAGGTCCAGTAATTTTGACCAGACGGGTCGTTGAATGGTGCAAGGCCAGTTGTGGTGTTCTCGTCACTGCCAGAAGGAATGACAAATGTGCCGCCACCAAGAGTATCGACTCTGTCAAATGTGTATTGAGTGGGGTTGATAGCCTGCCAGATAGCGAAGAGACGGTCGACATTTCTACCAAGGGGAGTCAGCACGGAACATCAGAGATATCTGAATCAGCAAGAAGCAAAACCAATCATAAATGAGACATCCACGTTGGAGAATCTTGACTCGAAGTCAGGGTCAAAGTGGGATCTCCCAGACAGCGCAGGATATTCGAGGTGGTCCGGCTCAACACGAGCTTGATTACTCAGTATCTCTTGTCACTTGACACAACAAAGAAGAGGAGGTTACCTACACATGATGAAGCCAGAACACCTGTAAAATTGTTAGCCATGCCTCCATGAAACAATGATGAGACTTACAGGATCAAAAGCACTGTAGTCTAACTCCGCCATATGTCCACCAGGACCACCAACGGCGCCGTGAATGCCATTATGGATATCCTCCAAGCTAGCTTGATAACCAGGATCTTCGTTGATCAACTCATGGTTACTGAATGTCGTGAAATCGGTATAATTCGGATCAGTGAGTAGGATGTTGACATTCTGTTGGATGGAAGCGAATTGAGTGGTCATGGACTGGACAACTTGATCTTCTTCTGATACAGCTAAAGTCGATGTAGGCTTGTTTGGGCAGCGGAGGGTGGATGTCCATTTGGCGTACTGTGAAACTTGTTAGTGAGGGCGTCTTGGGAGGACAGGAAGCTTACGGGGATGGTTCCATTTCCGGATGGCTGCGAAACAAAATCGCCTGGCAGAAGAGGGTGGAACTTGTTGGTGTAGAGAGGGTTGGGGATAGAGACGGTTTTGCCGCCAGAAGTTGGTGTGATTACATCCACGTTGGTAGCACGTCCAACGCTGACGGGGAAGTAACCTCCATCTTCAGGTGCGGCAGCCCAGTCCCAGTCTATATGAAAGTAAGTCACAGCTCACAGCAGAGGTGCAGCACACTTACAAGGAATACGGAAAGTGGCAGCAGCAGCCTGGTAGCGTGCTTGTGACTCGGCAGGGAACTTTGAAGCAATGTCTTGAATGATACCGTACAATTGTTGCTCGAACAATGCAAGGTACGGACGATGCCAAGGGGCGAACAAGATGGAAGTATGTGTGCAGTATCCTTGCCATCCACCAGGATTGTCACCTTGAACACCACCCCATGGGCGATAGGGACGGCCGTGGATGCCTGCGATGCCATAATACGAGAGATCAGAAGTTTCGTCAAGGCTCTTGAACGCGTCGAGACCGAGCAGGTAGAGGTTCCATTGATCGGCATTCTTTTGGAGATCGCGAATCTCGATTCTGATTGGGAAGGATCCTATCTTTGTTAGTCTGGAGATCAGATGAAATTTTATTCGAAGATACCAGTAAAAGAAGCTTGGGAATAAGCTCAACGCACGCAGAATGCAGACGGGATGAAAGCTGGAGGTACATACCATCAGCCGGAGCTGGAAAGGGCATTGGAGGGCCTGTGATTGGGTAATTTACTGCAGCCATGACTGAGGAGTTTGAGGTGATTTGCGTGGATTGTATCTTTTGAAGAATTTGAAACTGTGGAGGAGAGAAATAGAGGGAATTGTGGCATGATATAAATAAGCTTAAATCAACAACCGCTTCATTTGACTGCCTACCCCACCCCACCATCGTGCCTCCTCTTCGCGGCCATGGAGCTGAGAACTGCTCAGCCCCGCCACAGTTACATAGCAAAAATCATGGTGCAACCACGAACACGGCATCTGACTGTATTCTCAAGATCGTAGGGCACGTCGGAATGTGGCTTGCTTTGCGTAAGCCGCCTTATGAGGGGTATGCTCAGCTGTGGCTTTATGTCTAGAACCCAACCACGAAACGAGACAGAAATTTGCAGCCTTGTGAATGAAAATGTCCCACGATTGCAGATAAGATGAACTATCGCTCCGCTGTGCATAACAGCTCTTCCCGAGCTCTCCCTGCATCGATAGCTTGGAATCGTGGAACCCTCCATCAAAACATGATACAATAACGGGAAATGCGGCGCAAAAGACGGTGAGAATAGCATTTCACAAACCGCCCATGTACAACTTGATCTGCACTCATTGTAATTCCTGAATGAATACGACGAGGCATAATTTGTCCTCGTCACACGGGCGAGAACTTGATCAGGCAATGTCCGTCTTATGGCTGACATTGAGTTTGTGTGACTCGGCTTGCGTGTCCATAGGGCTGGAGCCGCCGTACGATAACCAATAAGAATGAGATAACGCGGGTGGTGATCTTTCGAGCGCTGAACGGCGAAGGAGAGAAGACGGACGTTGTTCGAGGCTTGTAGAGCATGTCACCGATGTACGGCAGCCGAATGGTTCATTCCATGCAGTCGGTCGGATATTGAGTTAGGAGCATTACACAATTCGAAGCAAACAGCTGCCAGACCATTCTACTTCCCTTCCGAACAAGCAGACTCGCTGCAACAAGGCAGTGCGAAGGTAATTTGCCCAGGTGTGTCACAAGCATCTGACACTCCAAATTCTCTCTCGCGAACACTTTCCGAAGATCTACATACGTGAAGCTGGGAAGTTCGAATGGAGAAGCCTTTTATTATCATCATCATGATGTTCGTGGTTCTCATCTATGCAATTGGCTGATCAGCGCCACAATTGCAAATTAATATGTACAGTACAGCACCGCTCTTTGTCCTCATTGCGACTGCCCCTCCTTACTTTCATCTCTCCAGGAACATATTGTAGAGCAAATTCATGAACGCCATCCCCCTTGTAGATATCTACCAAGTCTCCTGGGTATAACGCTTAAACTTGACCATATCGGCCAGCAAAGCCTCTGCAAAGCCTGCGGGCCTCTCCTCCCTATCCCACTTCTCTAGAATCTCGAGAAATGCTGCCCTAACGCTCTTCGGCATATTTCCAGAGCTACCACAGACAAAGATCCGGGCATGTTGCTTGATGATGAGATCAGCAACCAATGACCCTTGCTCCTTGAGAACATCCTGCACATATCTCTTCTCCTTCTGGTCTCGAGAGAAGGCAGTGAAGACCGTGGCCAGCATATTGTCCTCCTTGTACTCATTCTCAAAGAAGAAATCATTCTTCTTGTTGCGTCCACCGAAGAAAAGGTAGGCATGGCCAACTGCCCGGTCGAGTTTGTCCGAATAGCGAGTTCTACGATCGTGTTCGAGAATGGCTCGTGACCAGATCAGTGCCCTGCAAGGAGCTACGCCAGTCCCAGGTGCGACGCAGATAATGGGATATCGAAGATGGTCCTTATTTTCGGAATTCAGGGTCCAAGAATTATACGGCTTCGTTTCACTCAGTTTTGAGCAGATCCAGGTACCAGGCTGGAGACTGGCTAGATAGCGAGAGCAGAGGCCTTGACGAACCTTTTTCAGCACCGTCTTGTACTTGACCATAGCAACGAGTATCTCGATCTTAAGATATCGATCATCCTCCCTTGCACCGGCGGCGGCTGCGCTGCAAATGCTGTATGCCCGTCCTCGAATGGCTGGGAAGGCGGCTAGGGCCCACTCGAAGGGGATCTTGACAGTCGGAAAGTCGTGAAGAACCTCCAGGATGCTGCGTCGAGGACGCGTTGCGTAGTCATAGTACTCGTCGGTATATGCCGCGCTAGAGAATTCTTGCAGGCGAAGCTTGTGAACAGGGTCATCGGTGTGGTTCGCAGCCAGCTCAAAGAAGTACCTGTTGGGTATAGCTGTGATATCGAGATTATGGGTAATAAGGTCTCTCAGTGTCGAGTTGGGAAGCGGTACGAAGCCCTCGGGGACGTTGTTCATAGCCATCTTGGCGCCGTAGTTGCGAACAACGGTATTGTTGAACGTCAGCTCTATGTCGGCCACATCATTCCATCCCATCAAGTCGATCAGAGCTTGGACGTCAGTTGGGAAGTTCTTGGGGTATATGGTGATCGTGTCTCCGACAAAGTAGTCGAATTCGTAGCCAAGATAGAAAGTCAGAAGGCGAACGTCTTGCCAGTGGGTATCTGGGGTAATTCGTTTGATTTCCTTGAGCTTTACGTTGTGGCTGTCGGGGAGTGGAAGCATGTTCGTTGGTGGTAGTCTCAAGTCGACGACTTCAGGCTCCTCCTTGTATTCCTCCTTCAGCATCGGACATGGAGGGCTTTCGGACAGGGGAGCCTTGGCGTGCTCATCCTCTGCTGGCTCGTACAACATCTTTGGATCTTGCGAGGTAATGTCGAGGCTTGGTAGTGGAGGCTTGGCGACAGCGTGTGAAGCGGGGTCGAGATGTATATCTTGTGCTGAAGATGGCGCGACGAGATTTGCTTCTATGGAAGGTGAAGTTATCGATTTTTGAGAACTTTTGTCTGTCGATGGATCTTTGCGTAGTCCAAGAAGAATCTTTGGAGGAAGGAGCGTGTCAGAGGGGATGGGGGCGACTCCTTCTGGTAATGGAAAAGTTGAAAGAAGATGTTTGCGAAAATCAGCGGACCATGACAAGAAAGTTCCGTCAGTTCTATTATTTTGTCAATAAAGAACTTTGTTCTTATCGATATCGATAGTAGATGGCTTTAGTGAGGGACGAAGCGAGAAGTACATACCCTTCGTCATGCCTTTCATCTGCCTCACCTCGAGGATATATTTCCTTGGCACCCAGTTGTTCGAGACGTTTCTGGAGTTTTCGAGCCGCATGATTAAACCTTCAGACACTTCAGTACTCGTAATATAATCTCTCAAATGCTAGACTACTAACTGTATATAAGAGCTGTCCCCAAGCCCGAAGGTGGTGAATGACACGTGACGGAGGCAATCTGGTGGCAAACGCTTCCTCAAGAGGCTCTTCCAGAATTTCTGTGCATTCTTTGGGAACTCGCCTTGCCCTGTCGTCGAAGTCACAAAGAGGACAATGGAGAATTGCGGGAGAAGGTTCTATTGCATATCAACATCCCCGCATGGCCGATCCTGGAGACGAGATTTGACATACAAGCTCGACAGAATCCATCTCGCACACCCTGGTCATGAAATGAAGTCTTTCCGCAACCCGACCCAGCTCCTCGGCCACCTCCTGACTGTTTCCCGTCTCGGATCCATAAAGGATGAGTGCAGTTCTATCATGCCGCTGGCCATCCACATCTTGTGTCATGATGAATTACCGGATGTAGGCGGAATGGGAGAAATATTCGTTACGATTTCGATATATTTTACACGGTCACGAGACCATGCGCATTAAAAATCGGAATGATCTGCAATCTCCGAAGCATGCATCCGTCTCCTGGATTTCTTCCTTGACAACAAAATTCGTCACTCTTCTATTTGTAGAGATTAGTTGGCTGTGATTGTTCTGAAGTTTGTGCCTAGAACCCGGGACTGTCGTGTTTGCGAAAGAGAGATCAGCGGCAAATTCAGCAAGCAGAGAAATCATTGGTTACAAAAGTAACGTGAGAGGAGCCCGAGAAAGTAATAGGTTACAACAAGGCCAAGTGTGCAGCCTTGCGCGGCGAATGACTCCGACCAAGCTGCATCGTGGATCACAGAACAATTCGTGACGGAGCCCAAAGCGGGCTTGTAAAATGGCTCCAAACCCCATCTTCAGATCACACAGACATGGATGCTAGACCGTTTTCAAGTTAGGAGGCTCTGCAAGTCAAGGTAAGGCTAGGCAAGGCGGGATGAACACCTACGCAGTACGGTCCCGTCATCCTTGATGAATGCTGGTCTTGGCAGAATTCGACCATAGATTGCTCACAGCATTATTTTCACACTTAAAGGCCACAATACAAATGTTGATCTCAAAGATATCACAAAAATAGAATAGAAATTAGCCTGAATGCTACCGACCCGTGAAATCTCAAGCAAGTAATGAATACAATAGTATCACCAAACATCATTATCTATCGAGGTACTTTACTGCTTCTCCTAGTGTGGTTATCTTGATGTTCGCCATCCAGGTACTGTGGTTTAAAAATATATTCAAACTGGAACACAATCAAGCCGAACGCCTAACAATCGTGAACTCCAATAAACAACCGCAAGAGCAACGACAGTATCATTGTCAAAGTCGAATAATAACCCACCCTGCTCTTTCCCCTATTACGCATTCTTTGAAACTCTCCTTCCTCCTTCCTCCTTCCTCCCTTTCCACTTGCCCTGTGCGGCTAAGCGAGATGGGCTCTTACCCCATCTGGCCTAACTCAGCCGGCGGCTGGAATTTTGATATATTTCTCCAGAACCGCAACTGCCCTCCCTTTCCCCTTCTCCCTTCCTTCATCTTCCAACAACACAACAAGATCCGATCAAGTTCATCAAACTCCAAACCCTCAAACATTCCCCAAAACACTTCGTTCTAGGGCACTCAGCTACCCTTACACAACTCCCCTCCATTGTTCAAGAGTCAACCCACACTCAGCGAACGTCGACAATTCCACACTTCAATCTACCTGTTCAGTACTTCACCAGTCAACCCACTCCCACAACTTCAATCAACCATGTCTACCATCGTGGAGAAAGTCTCTGACGCCGTCAACGACGTTACTGCCGCTCTTGGCAATGCAACCATTTCCGACAAGCCTGATACCGACAAGTCTGCCGCTCACAGCGACGCCGTCCTGGCCAGCGCTGCTGAGGGTCGCAGACTCTACATCGGAAACCTCGCGTACGCGACGACCGAGGGGGAGTTGCAAAGCTTCTTCAAGGGATACCTAATGTAAGTCGGCGCGCTTTTCTTGCTCGCCTTTGTGGTTCTTGTTCGCGCGGATCGCGACCTGGCAACCTGGGTCTGCACACGCGAAGAAAAAGGGTCACACTCTCGACTTTACCCCTACAGCAGACTTTCTGCCCGACATCTTCATTTGCTACATCTGCTAACATTTCTTGTCTAATAGTGAATCCACCTCTATCCCCAAGAACCCACGCACCGACCGTCCTGTTGGATACGCCTTCGTCGACCTTTCTACCCCAACCGAGGCTGAGCGTGCTATCGCTGAACTCTCAGGCAAGGAGATTCTCGACCGCAAAGTCTCTGTCCAACTTGCTCGCAAGCCTGAAGCCAACGCCGCCGAGAAGACAGAGGGAGCTGCGAGTGGAGGTGAGGGAGTTTCTGGAGGTGAAGGTGGTCGCCGTCGCCCAGCAGGCCGTGGACGTGGCCGTGGACGCGGTCGTGGAGGCCGTGGTGGTCGTGCCAACCGTGGTGTAAGTCTACAAACCCCCTCGATGCATGTAACAATACTAAATTTCTAAAGTCCCGAGGTGAGGAAGGTGCGGAGGTCCCATCTGCAGAGGTCCTTCCCTTGACCGAGACAACCAACCAAGCCACCGAGAGCAAGGAACCTAAGGAGGCAAAGGACAAGGAGGCCAAGGCACCAGCTAACCGTGCTCCCCGTGAACGTCGTGAGCGTGGCCCACCTGCTGATGGTATCCCATCCAAGAACAAGGTCATGGTCGCCAACCTTCCATATGATCTCTCTGAGGAGAAGGTATGCAACCCAAATTCTATTACTTGATTTACCACTGACTCTTTCGTAGCTCAAGGAACTTTTCGCCGCCTATGAGCCATCCTCCGCCAAGATCGCCCTCCGTCCTATTCCCCGATTCATGGTCAAGAAGCTCCAGGCCCGCAACGAGCCCCGCAAGGGTCGTGGATTCGGCTTTGTCACTCTTGCTTCTGAGGAGCAGCAACAAAAGGCCGTTTCTGAGATGAACGGAAAGGAGATTGAGGGTCGTGAGATCGCCGTCAAGGTCGCTATCGACAGCCCTGACAAGACCGATGAGGATGCCAATGCTCCAGCTGCTGAGGCTGCCGAGGGCACCAACGGCACTGCTGAGACTGCTGCTTAAGCAGCTGTGTATAACTTGTACGATGGGAGAGTGCTTCATGCGCACAGTCAATTTCAGATGCATTGCCTTATTCTGATTTTTGGTCATCGTCTCGTGTTGCGTTATGGAGGCACTTTGAAGATGGGGTTTGGTTCTTTGATTACTCGAGGGACAGATCCAGCTTCTAACGACTTTCTTTTTTCTATTGAACCTGGGTCTCACGTCGGTGGAAATAGTGCTGGCGTCACAGATATGCGGTCTCAAGGCTGATTTCTTAACGACAACTGGAACTCCTCTTGCGTGGGATCATAGTTTCTTGATGAATCCTCAAAAATGTCTTATTACCATTTCTCAAGCATTCTCAGGGCTGTACACTAGATTTTCCTTTCTGATGTGCTCTCATGGGAAGGAAAGGGAAATGGAAAAGTTCTTCTTTGATGATACCATCGCGCATCCTCATAATTCAATGGCTTTTGCAAATCCAATTCCAAATATGTGAAATGGCGTGATATGTGTAGAAAGAATGTGTAGGTCATTCCTTATATAAAATAGCAATTGCTCGTGTGACAAAGTGATACAAATGGTAGCCTTGGGCTCAGCCGCGCCTCAGCATAAGACGCTAACCGTCATTGAAATTCCAGCCGGCTTCTTCCTTTGTCGCTGGCTTCTACACTGCAGTTCCCCACTACCACACAAAGAACGACGACGAACAAGTATCTTGTAAGGCAATCCGATTATTCTGCCACGTATCGCACGACGTATGTGAATTATCCAGAGACTGTCTATCTCAGAATTGTGTTTGCGAGGAGAAAAAGAAGACTGCATCGGCCCTCTCTTGCCAGCGAAGCGCCCAGGAACGTGTGCGGATCGAAATAAAGAATTGGGTAGGATAGAGGAATCGATTGAGCGCCATCATGGCGAGCAAAGCTATGTGGGAGGTGGATCCAGAGACTCGGTCAAAGGTACAGTACATAACGTTCCTGTACTATCGTGTGCATCTTGCCGTTATTTCACTGCACCAATATCCCGTTCCATGGGCATTCTACCTCTCCCTACCTTCTCTCCAACAGGGCTTACAACCATACTAACAATTATGCACAGCTCCTTGAGATTCAGAAAACCTCCCAAAACGATCGTTGCTGCGACTGCGGTGCCCCTTCTCCACAATGGGCTTCTCCCAAATTCGGCGTCTTCATCTGCCTGAGCTGTGCGGGTGTGCATAGAGGATTAGGAGTACACATCAGTTTTGTGCGAAGTATCACTATGGATGCTTTCAAGGCGATGGAGATTGAGAGGATGAGATTGGGTGGTAATGGGCCTTGGAAGGAGTTCTTCGAGAAGGCGGAGTCTAATCAAATGGCGGGCATAACGTGAGTCTTCCTCTGGAATACTGGCTACATCTTGGAGTATTGGGCTGATAACGATAGCTGGGATGATGTAACAATCGCAGAAAGATACTCTGGCGAAGTAGGAGAGGAGTGGAAAGAACGCTTATCTGCAAAGGTTGAAGGAAAGGAATACGTCCCAGGCCAGAAGTCTGCACCATCTATAAACTCCAACTCGCGCAGCCAAACGCCCCTCGGGTCTAGAAGCCGAACGGACTCTCCAGCGCGACCAACTGGTGCCGCAGGCGTTGGAAGTAAAGCCAAAGTAGATGATAAATACTTTGCTGGTCTTGGTGCTGCAAACGCTGGCAGACCAGAAGATCTCCCTCCCAGCCAAGGAGGAAAGTATGCCGGTTTTGGAAGCACGCCCATCGAGCGACCAGGTCAAGACAAAGCATTGCCAGGTCTCGACGATCTACAAAAAGACCCATTGGCAGCGATTGGAAAGGGCTTTGGCTGGTTCACAAGCACGGTTGGAAAGACAGCAAAGACAGTCAATGATAGCTATATCCAGCCCACAGCACGACAGGTACAGCCTCCACCCCCGACCTACATGCCTGCTCGCAGTCATAGCCAGCAACGTTATCGAGACCCCGCTGACGCCTTTCCTTGAATCTTCTAGGTAGCGGAATCCGATTTTGCGAAGCAGGCAAGTCTTACTGCCGCCCAGGTGGCGAGGAACGCACAGACAGGAGCCAAGAGTGCGGCGGAGGGCTTCAATCGCTTTGTTGACGGAAGCGATGGGCCTTCGAGAACGGGCGGATACAGGAGTATGCCGCTGGATGAGAGTAAGAAGGATTTCTGGGACAGCTTTGCAGAAGCTGGGAGCGCCAAACAGAATTCTGCGGTAGGCACTAGTGCTATCAAGAAGAGTACGGGGCCAGCGCCGGGAACGAAGAGTGAGGAAGACAATTGGGATAAGTGGTGAAAAGAAACGAAGCCTTAGAGTTGTATGTATGATAGTGGTGTTAGAAGCGAGCGAGGAAATACATTGTGTGTTTGTTGTTTTAGTCAAATTTTGGCCTCCTGGGCTTCGTTGGTGTTGGCCTTGTTATCCTATTGCCCGGCCAAGTGGTCTTAGATGAACTTGGTGCAACATTTCTAGTGGCAGGCGACAGAAGACAGAGGACAACATGCAGAAGGATTTCGTGCAACTTGAAAGTTTGTTCTCCGTCATGCTCTATTTCTTACTGGACATAGATCTTTTATTTTGACCCTCTGCATATGTTGGACTTGAGTAGCCATTTCAGCAGAGACAGATCCTATTCTTATCAAGGGCCGTCAGACAAGTTGTGTGTTGTTAGGCGCGTTGCTTTTGCCCGTCAAATCCTGTTGGAGGCCTGTTTGAATTGATTCTCGTTTGAATTCAGCTGTCTGTTGCATAATGTTGGTAACTTTCAAAGGAAACAACGTCACTTCTCAAACCAAACCGCACCCCTAGATCGATTTCCTGACATCTCACGGTGCGAGGCTGAGCATTTGGACACTGATGATCTTGTCGTGCATGTTCAACCAATAGAAAACTCGGGTTCCCAAGGCATCCACTGATTAACATGCGTTTCATGCAGTCAAGCGGCAAAGCAGACCCCTAAGCCACAACCCCTCAGCTTCGGAAGCGCTCCTTCAGTATGTTTTTCGTATATATACCAGCTGCCCACAGAGTTTGTCTCCAGTGGCCATTTACAACTTGCAAAAATATTATCTACAAAAATTCTCAACGATTGCAAAATGACTTCAGGACCACCAGGACCACCGCCCTTCCCTCCTGCTGGGTCCCCTCCTCCGGTTCCCGAGGGATGGAGAGCAGAGTGGAGCAATGAGCACAGGACCTGGTAGGATTTCTATTTTCCTCACGTATCATTGTAATTTTCAATTGACACTCAATAGGTATTACTTCAATCCCTCAACCCAAGCATCAACATGGCAAAACCCCCTAAACAACGCACCTCCTCCACCTTCCCCACCACCCTACGCCAACGGCTCAAACAACCGCGATCTCTGGGATAATGACGAGAAGTCCTCCTCCTCCACAGCTCGTGGCTTCCCACCAGTCCTCAACCGCATCTTCGGTCACAGCCACAGTCCCGCTCCTCCTCCTCCAACGCACCCCACCGGTACTTTACCACTCTACATTCACTCTGCCTGCTTCTGCGACGCAGACATCACGCAAAAGCTCCGAGCAATGATCACGCCCCAGCAAACTCTCTCGCTCCGCTGCGATTCCTTGACCTTCCACTTCGGCGACCCGTGGCCTAATCACAGGAAGCAATTCTCGATGCTGTACTCCTACGGTCAACAGCCCTGGCAACTAATCGCCTGCGTCGAAGGTCCTGAAACCATCAACCTCCACCCCATCCATCCGGTCGACCATGCGCGTGCTGCATTCGTTCAGGCACCGAATAGCAGGGTCGTGGCTTTAGTGTGGGGAGCGAAGAACGCATTGGTTGATCCTGAGAGCTCGACGGGGAGGAGCAAGGACATGAAGATGATGGAGGTGGAGAGGGAGGGGCGGTTCGAGGCTAGTAATGCGTGGATGGGGTTTGATGGGGCGCCGAACATGGAGAAGATGGCGGTTGTTTATTATAGGCATGCGGATGGGAGTGTGGGGGTTTTGACGGCGAGGGAGGGCGAAACGGTTAGGTTGCCTTGGAATGCTTTTGCTGGTGCTATTTAGAGCTCGGGTCTCTGGTTTGAACCGGAATAGTGGTTTGCATGTGCACCTTTTTGTACAGTGTACCCCCTGATCATATGTTAGTTTTTTGCCATGACACTCGATTATTCTACTTTGACTTGAAGAGGAGAGAACTTATGCCGCTTCAAAGTACTGAATCCCTGACGGCCGTTAAATCTTAATGCAAAACCTACGCTTGTGCACTCTCTTCACTGGCAAACTAACACATGACCAGGGGGGGTACTCCGTATTGCTTGTTCTTCCTTCACAAGAGCCGATTGATATCCCCATCGAAGCCTTAGGCAATGGGATACTGTGGGGAATAGATTGGGTTGTAATGAGTTCCATTCGCGCTATCTAGGGCGTTGAGCACTGCTATAGCCCATCCATTTACTTACTAGGGGGCATCGGCAAGCCAACATTGACCCCCGGATTCAAGACAGTAATTTCGGGTTGCCAGTCATCCAACTCACACGCCACAGTAAAATAAAACGTCGTGACAATCCCCGCAGTACTTAACCCAGCAACATTAAACCCGTATTCCTGAGAAGCAAACGAGAATTGCACCCATGGAACGGCCGTGATTCGAATGGATGAGGGAATCCCAACCAGCCCGCTGGTTATGGTGCAATACGAGACTTCGGGGATTCCGAGGCAACAACGATTTATACTGGCGGTGTAGTAGAAGCTGAGAGCGGCGTGTTAGTTGCTGTGAACATGTGCAACGTGGGAAGGCATTTAGATGTTTATAAAAGTTACAATCACTCACCCAATTGTGTTAGGGCCGTTGCAGACTCGGACGTTAGCCTGGTAGACGGTGACATTTGATAGGAATGCTGGGCATCAAAATCATCAGTAAAGCATTTCAGCGAGGGCTTGGCCCTAAAAATTACTAGACAGAAATGAAACGTACGATCAGGTTGAGTACTTGGAAACGACACTACACTAAGTTGCATCAGCTTCCGAAAGGAGCAACATGCATCCCATTCAACTTACAGCGACCCGTAACCAGTGACACCACCGAGCCCATACGTTGGATATATGTTCTGTCTAGGGTTTTTATTGAGAGTGACGGCCCATGTAGGCTCCCCCGCCTGATATCCAACAAAATACGGGTCTGCGAGTGTAGAGTTCGCGCATGATGTAGTGGAAACAGGAGCGGACGACGTAGTCGTAGTGCTCAGACAAGAGCAAGCTGAACTGATTGCTAGGGGATTGGGACATGCAGTGGCGTATGATGGAAGAGCTGTTGTTGCTGTGTTCACCGTTTTGAAGTAGGTTGAGCAGAAGGGGCCGGCAGAGTAGCGAAGCAGAGCCCTAAGGCAGTTGTTGGGAGTGCATGCTGTGGAGAACGAGACCATGTATAGGGGAATGATGATGAATCGCGTGGATTGAGATGTAGGGAAAAGCATTTTCGTAGCCGTGTATTATGGTTTCCAACAGTTTTGAACTCCTATTGTTCGAGGATCTGGTCAGATGCGGAACGGAGTGTGAAAGTGTGGCCATTCCACGGACTCCACGATTCCAGGATTGCTTTCGCCCAATCAGGGGACTGGAATGCCGTCCCTTGCCAAATACTCGAGCTTACCATCTCCACTTGATCGTGACATTGTCTATCGTGCAGCGAGACTATGAGCTACGAGCAAGGGGGAGAGACAGTCAAATGTAACCTGTCGTTTTGTGCTCAAACAATCGCATTGGACTAAGCCTGATTTGTATGATGAAGACAAGTGCTTAATCATGTAGAATTCAAGGGCTACCAAGTGCTAATATGCTCCTCGGGTACTCCAGTAGAATTTGGAGCTCATGATCTTGACTGTAGTGTTGCTCAAGATACAAACATATTGACTCGCACTCCACATGCACTCTCCTCATCAAAAACCAATGTTTTGTTTCGGCGGCGAGCCTATACCAGTAGGCCATAAGGAGAAGGGCTCGAGGATCTTTGCTCCGGAGCAAGGTCTTATATCTGTTTTCCATGTTTGTGATGTAGAAAATCCAGTTCATAATGACTTGGAAGGCGGAGGTGAGTTTCCACGATTGCGCTAAGCTGTAGACTGACGCATAGTAAGGATTGTCGATAAGGTCGAAGCCGTCCCCGATAGCAAAGTATGCGAGAAAATTGCTTGGAAGGGTGCATATTCCTTCCTTGCTCCCATAAACAAGAGGGGGTTGGTAATTTCCTTGTTGCTCGTGAGCTAATATGCGAAAGTCACTTTCTTCCATGAATGCGTTTCCGTCTTTCCAGATTGTTTTCTTGCCTTCACTCATTTTAAGCCAGCTGAGATCCATAAGTGAAGGTGGTGCATATGGCCAGCTGTCTTTGGCTGTCCGGGCTTCAACGTGGGCTATAGAGAGAACGCCTAGGAAAGCAGCCGTCGCCCAAAGGGGATCTCGTGATGCGGGAGCAATTGGTTTTGTGAGCGCGAGGCTATATAGATTTAGGCTCCGTCCCCAGTGGTATACTTCACTGGGAGTGAGGCTTGAGTTAAGTCCAAGGGGAGAAAAGTAGCGATCGTGCAAAAGAGTCAGGGCTAGGACACCGTGGAGGAGATATGGGTGCTTAGAGCAAATTAGTAAGCATCATAGTTGGATTCAAAGACCCACAGAGCATGCATATTTGAGAATTGAAGATTGATATATGGCTAAAGACTTGGCTGTGGTGACCGTGTAGATAGTTCGGAGCTGAAATCTATGGAGGAGCTCAAATTCCCAGCGGCTCAGGCCGTCTGATGCATAGCTTTCAAGAGAAGCGGCTAGACCTTGTTTCAAGGATGGAGCGATTGATTTGGGCACTCCAGCCTCGGGAGAGGAGAGGGACGAATCATTGAGGACGCTGACATGGAAACCGCCACTGGATGATAGTTCGAGATCGGGCGATTTCCTACCATAATTGCATACTACGCCATAGGCTTTGCATCTCTTGCATATCGGTCTCGATTCATCGCACTGTAGCCTGATTAGTCGAATCAAGTCATCCTGGAACGGAGAGCATTTGCCTTGACAGCACGCAGCTTGCAATTACCGCACCCTTGACGGCTCTTCTTATGCGCACGGATCTTACGAACTGTTCCCTTGTCGGAATTTGAGACTGCTTCGGGCATCTTGAGTTGAGAATGAATGGGGAGAAAATTGTCAAGGAGTGATACTCCATCCGTGTTGCTTGAAGGCTTCAAGTCGTTGATGCGTCGGACTTCTGCTGAATGTCAAGCGAACCCAATCAGCGGCACTTTCGGAGTCTCTGAGATCTCGCGCTAACCTCTTGTCGGATTTGAAATGCGTCTAACCATATTCGGATTTGAGCTTCCGTGATATCATCGGCTCCAGATATTCTCAATCTTCCGGCCATCAAAGTCCATTGTTCCGACTCAACTCTCGACAATCTAAATCATTTGCAGGATGAAATTACCACACCAATTGTCCAACTATCCGCACTCGCTTACGATCTGGGCACTAACCTCTTCTCGGTTTTGGGATATGGCTCCAGGGGTGGTGGAGTGAGACATTTTGATCTCACGACTTTCAAGATGCACAACCTTCCATTGACGGAGTCTTTGATACTCCGACACGGTCAAGAATGTTATCCAACATCGAAGGAGGTCTTGACTATAAGACTCTCGTCTTGCCCACCGCAGTTGATCCCATCCTCTACGTCACACATCGAACATATCGAAGAAAGAATCCCATTCCTGAATTCTTCAAACACTGGAACAGCCGCACCTACTTGAATCGAGCATCGATACACCGTCCCATCTCTCCGACATTCACTTTTGCTTGTCTTCACGGCCTCTCAACTATAATGGCACCCAAAAACAGAGCAGCTTATCTCGAGGCCAAAATGTCCCCCAAACTCGTCGTTAGATCAGCGCCCTATACTTCAGCCAAAGCCGGTCAAATTGTCATCAAGAACCATGCTCTAGCCATTAACCCTCTTGAATGGCTCATCCAAGAAAGGGGCAATATCATGTTTGGCTGGTTGAAGTATCCTTTCGTCCTAGGTGCCGACAACGCTGGAGAAGTCGTGGAAGTAGGTCCAGGTGTAACAAGATTTAAGATCGGAGATCGAGTTTTGGGACATTGTGCAGGGACGAGTGAACCTATCAATGACTCGGCCCAAGGAGGGTTCCAGGAATATACAGTGTTGCTGGAGCATATGTCAACTCCCATTCCTGAGTCCATAAGTTATGAGAGGCATATCTCAATTATTCCGTTCAAGGCTCAGAAGCTAACCTCAAAGTAGAGCATGTGTTCTTCCTCTCGGTCTTTCTACTGCCGTTTGTGGTTTGTTCCAGACCGATCAGCTCTCGCTACCATTACCTACCTCCCCAGCTCGCAAACCAACGGGAAAGACTCTCCTCATTTGGGGCGGTTCGACGTCTGTAGGCGTGAACGCGATCCAGCTGGCTATATCAGCAGGTTACGAAGTGATCACGACCTGTTCTCCTCGCAACTACGAATTGGTTAAGAGCCTAGGTGCATGCGGAGCTTTCGACTACAATTCTCCCACTGTGGTGGCTGACATTGTCCGCGCTTTTAATTCTGCCAACAGGATATCAGGCGGCGCAATGTCGATCGGTCAAGGCGCAGCGACCAAATGTATCGACGTCCTCAGCCAAGTCCAGGGCGACAAGTTCCTATCTATGGCCAGCTACCCTGTTCCACAAGTTCTGCCTAAACATTTCGGTGCTGCCTACACGATTTGGACGTTCTTAACGGGGATGGTGGAAATCTGGTTCAAGAGTAAGATGAATGGTGTCAAGTTTGGGACCATTATTGCTAGTACTTTGATTGATAATGGAGTTGGAAAGAAGATTTATGAAGGATATCTTGAGAAGGCGTTGGAAATGGGAGATTTGAAGCCTTTTCCGGAACCTCTTGTGGTTGGAAAGGGTCTAGAATTCGTTCAGGAGGCGATGGACAGGCAGAAAAAGGGTGTGAGTGCGAAGAAAGTGGTTGTTCTTTTGTGACGACTCCTAGGTGGTGGTGGTGCGGTTTTTTGGGGCAAATATTGCTTAATTTGTGCTTTGTTTTGGTAATGGGTGGCAAGTGCGTGTTTGTCGTTAATTTGGTGTCTGGTTATGAAGCCTGCACAGAATGACCTTGGTGTATCAACATCTACTATTTTCAAACCATTCTTCCTGTCTGTAACGTTGCTTCCATCACCAACCTTACGCGCTTTCATTGTCTTCATCATATGCCCTACCAATCCTTCCAGGGGACCAAAGTTTCTTGGCACTCTTGGCACGTTGCCGTCCTTTCCATTTAGGCTTCTTGTGACAGATCTCGCAGACAAAGGGTGCCTTATTACTCAGTATCCTGTTATTTTCAGCGCCAGTGATCTGAACGTTTCTGTATTTTGAAAGCCGAGTTGGATAGCTCAAACATACTTTCCACGTTTTCAAGATGTTTGTCTTGCTCTTCCAATTGGAATCCATTTCGTTGTCCAAATCTCCATGGCCACTTTCTAGCAAGGCCTACAAATTAATATGTGAGGTTCTTGTAACCTTGTCAGCCGCAATGAATAGTGGACGCTCGGCAAGTGCCAAGTGTGGGGAAGCCAGGGAAAATCTGGGGAATCCCTGGCCGTAGCAATTTCGTTCCATGGGAATAAGCCTAGCCTATGAAAATATCAATGTTTCCTTCACGTCGCCTTTCACGCCTTTCATTAGATCAAGAGAGTAAAATTTATGTAATCAGCTGAATCGATGCTCAGTAGTCCCCACGAACTGCCATATTCTCCCTTTTTTCAAGGTTCAAGTGCCGCAGCGCGACCAAAATTTCACTCGCTTCCCAAAGTGTTATGTTTCGAAAACAATACTTATACTTATGGTTGTCGAATTATGATTGGACTAAGAGGTGAGGATAATATATATTGCCCGATAGAATTGACACGGCTTTTTGAGAGAATGATAATTTTGCGACTTCTAATCCTCACCACGCTTAGATGCTGGATGGATTGGCTGGCAAGAAGCCCGTATTTATGAGCCGGCGTGATCAAACTTGACATCTCAGAGAGGGACAATCTGATTGTAATGACTAGCGGAATTGTCGAGAATGCAGTCTCTATATACAAGCAATAACCCTCAAAACGTACGATCGTGTGTAACATCTCATCAGCGCGTGGAGGAAGTGGTTCAGGATGCTTTCACATATCGTCCCCCTCTGGGCCTACCTTTGCGTTTGTCTTTACTGCAACCGTGTCTTCGAACCCATTGACTCGGCGCGGGCCCGACGATGATCTTGCTCAGATCGCTTTGGACAATGTTTACAAGGTGTTCAATGGGAGCATCTCGGACGGAAGTACACGCACAAAGTGCACCAAAGCAAACTTGGCTGTGAGAAAAGAATAGTAAGGTTGACAGAGTTTCCTCTTTTTGTCCACTAAGCTAATATTAACTCTCAGTGGCAAACTTGACAACATATGAGAGGGATGACTATGTCAAGGCAGTGAAATGTCTGATGAGCACCCCTTCGAAGCTGGATGCAAAGTCATACCCAGGAGCGAAGACCAGGTATGATGATTTCGTTGTCGTACATATGAACATGACACCGTCGGTTCATGGTACAGTAAGTGCCTCGTCTTCTGAGCTGAGCATTACATTTCTAACTGTACAGGCCGATTTTCTTCACTGGCATCGATACTATGTTTGGGCATATGAAGAGGCGTTGCGGAATGAATGTGGATATAAAGGATATCAGCCGTAAGTAAAAGAAAAAAAAGCCGCAGTTTACAGAGCCCCCACTGACACCGAAAGATATTGGAATTGGGGAAAGTATGCCGACCCAACCACCTCGCCTATATTCAATGGGGATGCGCATAGTATGGGAGGCAACGGTGAATCAGTAAAACATTCTGGTGGATACTTGGGAATGGCATTCATCAATGTTCCAGCAGGCAAAGGAGGTGGATGTGTGAAAACAGGACCATTCGCCAAGTATGTCAACTGTTCTATGAAATCCGAGTTCATACTGACACGAACAGTACGACTGTCAATGTCGGTCCTTTGGCAGGGTCGATGGATCCAAGTCTGAAAATACCTAATAATCCACGATCTGATGGTTTCGGATACAACCCTCGCTGCCTTCGTCGAGACGTGAACAATTACTTCACAAGTCAATATCTTCGACCTATCGACATCGCAAATCACATCACCTCATCCCCGGATATCAATACCTTTCAGACAACTTTGCAAACCGACACCACCAAAGCTTTCTCTCTTCATACAGGTGGCCACTACACGATCTGGGGTGATCCTGGTGGAGACTTCTTCGTCTCGCCTGGCGAGCCGGTGTTCTGGTTGCATCACGGCCAGGTTGATAGGCATTGGTGGATTTGGCAGGATCAAGACCCTACAACTCGTGTGCAACAATATCAAGGAGGAACTCTCATGATGGTTCCAAATAGTCCAGCGGGTCACATCAGCGATCTACAGATGTTGTCGGTGGTGACTCCACCTTCGACTGGCGCGGAGCCAAGTGCGAACCTCGTTAGCTCTACTTCTGGGCCGTTCTGCTATGTCTATGAGTAGAAGGATAGACTTGGCTTTTCAGAACACCTTCATGTATGGATATTTGAAATTGACGCAGAGTTGAAGAGCATTCCGTAACAAACAATCCAGTATCAGTAATTCTGACAGCACGGTTCCTATCTACCATCCAATACCGAACATCCAACATCCCTCGAGCCTCACTGCATCTACATTCCTGCAACCAGCCCTTCCCTTCCTTCCCTTCCTTCCCATGTATGTCCAGCGTCTCTTTGCATCAAATGGCTCCGCCACGTAGAGCATCGAGCTATGAACGCACCTAAACAACCCAAGAAAGCCACTCCAATCAATACTGCGAGGGCAATTACACCCGCAGGAACAGCTTTCTCTTGTGAATGTGTTGATGAAATAGTAACATCGTCCTGACGTTTGATGCTTTTGAAAAGTAGCGAGGTGTTGGCCGATGTTGTTGTAAGGTGGAATGTATGATGTCGACAGTGTTGAAGAGTTGTTGTGGCCCAGTCTACTAGCGACGACCCAAGCGGCTAGAATGGCAACAAGTGCGAAGACTGTAAAGAGGACCTTCATTGTGCGCTTGATATTGTGGTGAGGTAACAACCTTTCAAATTCCAGTGGAAAGATAGTGAGAAATACTCGCTTTTTGTCGGTCAGATATGGATACAGAACGTGGTCAATCTGAAAGAAATTCCTTACAGAATGACTCTCGACCAATCACTCTTAGCCATTTAACTGAATCATACCACATGATTCGGTAGCTCAATCCCAGTCATCTTGTCCTTTTTATCTTTCTCCCTTGTCCCCTTTTTCTCCGCCCTCCATTTCTTGATCATATCACCAATGCAAACGTAGTAAGCAGCCCAGAGAATCATCAATCCAGCCAAAGGACCAAAAACGAGAAGTACAATCTTTCCTGTCTCGTTCATTCCGCTCGAGTTAGCTGCAGCGTCTTGGGTATCCTCGATTAAGGTTTGGCGGTCTGACAGTCGGTGGACATTGCTCTTCATATTGTGAGAGGGGATGGTTGAGGCCGAGATCTCTCGAAATAGCGTGTTGACGAATAGGAACCGGAAATTGCGGTCAGCTCGAGATAAGGACATTTTGCAGACTTCGCAAGTGCTAGAGTAGAGACGTTTCTCTTGTCCGGCTAAAATAGCTCTGGAGTGTCTAGACTGACTTTCAAAAAATATGGTCATGAAAGCGCGAAACAATTTATGAAGTTGTGACTAACAAATTATCAAATCTGATGGTTCATTGCCAAATCCTCGGCTTCAGGATTGGTCACTAGCATACTGCAGTGAGTAGTGAATGAGATGGAGATGACAGCGAACTCTCAGGTAGTCAATCCATTCTTGTGATTGAAGTTCACACATAAACTCCAAAGCCTTCATAAACCCTCATCAATACCCATTCCCAAATGAAATCAGTCCCGAGCCATTCAAATTCACACCTGTATCTGTGTCCCGAGCTCACTTCAATGCCTCTCCTTCCTCAGCATCTCGCAACTGTTTCCTCTTGTTGTCCAGGAAAATCCAAGCGGCCGTTCCGATGAACATAACAGCGCCCAAGGAGCAGAAAACGGCGAGCACGATCTCTTGTGTCAAGTTCATTGCGCCCGATGGTGGATAGCTTTCGTTGGTTTTGTTTGGCTTGGAAATCGGAAGCACGTGACGAGTGGCAAAAGCTCCCTTGAAGAAGTGGGTTGCGGTTCTACACAAGAGTTGTGAAGAGTTATTGACCGTCTGATGATCCAGCCGTGGAGTTCAACCGATCCTTGATACGTTCAAAGTCGATTTGTGTTTGCTGAAGTTCAGTCTTTTGTTCTGGTCGTAGCAAGAAACTTCGTGTGGTAGTTCTTTGTTCTTTCGAAATGGTTTCGGCGATGGATAGATGTTCTTTTGACAGTGACGAGTACTCGTTTCATTGTAATGGGGAGTCAAAGAAGGTGAATGGCAATGATAATTACGTCACAGCGAACGGTGAATAATAATGTCAAGGATGTGGCGTGGTTGAAACAGGCTTTCCCCTGAATTCGAACACATGTTTATGCGAACAACTCAGTGTGGGGCGTTCGACTTGATCGTCGATTGGAGTGAAGCTGTGGCGATTGCAGTAGTGTCTGAATTGAAGGAAACGTTGTTTTGAATAATATTTATAGAACCTCCTGTTGGGTCATAAGCACGTGTTCATTTGGTTCATACCTTATAACCTGGAGTTTAGCTTGGATTAGCAGATTGGGGAGTATATCTTCGTGTTCCCACTTTGCTAGTAATTCATGTCCGAATGCAATTATAGTCTTTTGACTTTGGATCAAGACCTAGGACCAAGACGCGATACAGCGAGTGCGAGCTTGTGGCCATTCAATCAGTCAGTCGATCAGCATCAATTGATTGGTCACGCCCACACGAAGTACGAACCTCGAAAAGACCAACAGGTTGGATGTTACACAGTCAATTAGAGGCTTATAAATCTCCGATCTTCTCAAGTACCCAATACTTGAGGCCTTTCAATCTTTCGAGTTATGTTACACAGGCAAATACAATAGTTGCAGCACCATTGTCACTCCCCCCTATCCTTCCTTTATTCATCTTCGTCCTGACAGGAGATATTTTTATTTAACTTCAGATATTCTCGCTTTTTCGCGGCCATCATCTTCCTCCTATTGCACACATGTCTTCTATGAAAGATTCAGTCTCGAGATATCTTTATACGAAGCGTCTTGTCCTCGAATTGTTCGACCATAATAATTCCGAGCACTACGAATGCCTTCTCGGATCAATGAACAGCCCGACAGCTCACGCACGAATGGGTGATTTTGGCATCAGAACGCCTACAGAATTCGATGCTCTCAACAGTGCAACACGGCTTGCGGGTCCTTATTGCCAAGGACTCGTACCTGATTTGGACTTCTACTACGTCCTAAGACTTGGTGACAAAGATGGTCCTATGATTGGAGGCGTCTCAGTTGCACAACGAAGTGCCTCCGTACCACCGGACGTTGGATGGTGCATTTTAGAGCCCTACATGGGCAAAGGATATGCAACCGAGGGTGCGAAAGAGTTCCTCCGCTACCTTCAAGAGGATTTCGGACTGCGAGAAGTTATGACTTGGCCGGGCGCGACAAATAAGGAGAGCCGCAGAGTGGCACAAAAGCTGGGGTTTGTGGAAGCTGGGACGATTCGCTTGAAGGAAGAGCCGGGAAAAGTCGATGTTGCCTACATTCTGCCAGGCATGGATTTCACTTTCGACAATATCAGCCTTTCCATGTGGGGGGATGAAGGACAAGTTTCAAAGACGAGCGCTCAGTTGACAAAGTAGAAATACCCCAAGTTCTCCAAGGTCTTCACTCCATGCTTCATGCAGAGGCTCCTGTCATATTAGATAGGCTCAAAGCATGTCAGAAGTGCTCGGATGAACATTATTTTATCTGTTATGTCGACCTTTCTCATAAAAAGTAATATAAAGGCGAAAAGGGCGGCCTCGCTTACAATATCGCACCCCTTTCTCACGAGAAGTACCTCTTTGCAGATGGCCCAGATGGCCCAACCGATTTGGGACTAGAATTATATCCAATAATAGCCTGCTTTCCCATAGTCGACAAAATATCATCAAAACAACTCATACACTTGGCCCAAAGCTGTCGGGTAGCCATCGGCCCCGCAAGTCGACCCAGAATAGCCAGGCGAGCACATGAACCATGCATACCGTTGAATGAAGGGTTGTGCATCCATCCACGGCATCAGTGTCTGTAGAAACACGGTTTGATTTCCAGTGGCAGAGAACTGGTTTATATTAGCGACAACACCGGCTTCAGGAATGCGGTTGAAAATACCTCTGTCAACCAGATCGGCCAACCTGTCTGATTCGCAATGTCCTTCATGTGCGCCTGGTAGTAGGCAATGTTCGTTGCGCTATTGTAGATGTGCATTGGAATAAAATCGATTGTGCAATTAGCACAAAGAGCAAGGAATTCAAGTAACCACTATACACTGTTAGAGTGGAGAGTAGTGTGGAGTTCTCAAGGCAAACTCACTGCTGTTCCAACCTCCGTGACAGCGGGACCTCCCAGTTTCACCTGACCAGCAAATGGTTGTACATATGTTAAGTAGGCATTTGCAGCTGCTTGAGGCGTCAAGCAAGATTGTCCACCACCACAAGCATCAGGTTCATTGAAAGCCAAGACTGCCTTGCTACCTCGGGAGAGAGCATTCTGAACATTCTTCTTCCAGTTCGTTGTATGAACAGAGCTATTTCCCCAAAGCATGGGCACAAATTCCAAGTAGCTCGGGAAATCGGTGTCCATTAAAGAATCCCAGTTGAACGCCCACGTGACCTTCGACCCACTGGCATTGAAGTGCTGAATGTTGGTTGCTGGACTATTGTATGGGATGCCGCGCTTGCCGGAATTTGCAGGAGAAGTTGGGGTCAGGTTTATGAGCAATGCTGACGTTGATGAGCTGATTGACTTGATTAGGGGCACGACGATACTTGTCTGAACTGTGCTTGAGCTTGACTTGAGGGTCAAAGTCGTGGATTTGGCCGTAGAAGTCGTTGGTTGGAACGATAAGCTTGCTGTCTTACTGCTGAGACTACTTGACTTGGAAGACAAGCTTGTTGACTTGAGACTTGGAATTGTTGACTCTGAAGTAGACGCAGTAGATTTCAAAGTTACACTGGTCGACTTCAGGATTGAGGTGACAGTTATTCTGATAGAACTGCTACTTGATTTGGATGTCAAGCTCGAACTTGTAGAACTGACAATTCCCACATCTTGGACCACATGTTTATGACGAGAATCAGGGCTTGTAAGTCCTTCCAAGGCGAAGATGCTCAGCTGTATGACTGCCAGGAAACAGAAATGCATGATTCTTGTGCCAAAGACTGCGTGCAGGCCCAGATAGTGAAATTCTGAAATTCAGTTTAGCATTAATGGTTCAATCCAAATCGCATTACTGAAAGTTTGCACGTAATGCAGACTCCAGCATGAGATGCATGTAAACCAGAGATTTCTGCTTCTCAGTCAGCTAAGACACAAATCATAAATACATTCGGTTGCCTCGAGAGACTCACTGGAATGTTGACGAGAACGACAATTATCGTGAACAATTTTCCAGGAACTTTACAGATAAGAAGACAGTTGGGGAAGTGGAGAAACAACACATTATGTTATTGAAAGCAGTGAAGCCACGATGGAACATATTTAGCTCAAAACAAGCTCAATCTCAAGGCAAAAGCAAAGAAAGACATAAAATGTGGCTTCGCGTAATTTATTGCATCTAATGCGGAAATTACTAGATTCATTTGGCGCAAAGACTGATATTTGGCTGGATTGATGGATCATTTTGGGACTTTTGGCTGTCTCTTCCCAGAGCAAGGATGGGAAGGTCATCACCGAGCGTGGGATGAAGTCCCAAGGGAGCGCAACTAAACTGAACACATTAGCCAGGCAGCTCGTCATCGGTAGAGGCTACCTCATAGTGATGAATGATCAGAGTTTCTCATCTCACGTATCAAGAGAGCGAGTTCTCTGTGGGAAATGCTAGGTAGTCACCTGAATTTAGTCATGTGACAGCTAAATTAAGGTAGACCTCTGGACCCTGGGCTGGGGACAAGACAGAGTGGAGGCAACGTGTCTGTATGATTGACTGTAGAAAGACGGCTGCAAGGTCGCCTAAGTGAGACCAACAGAGAGTAGAATGTAAAGTCACGTGTAACACTTGTTTTGTGATGCTCCCAACCTGGAATCTCGCGTCGACCGCGTGTCCCTTTCGTGTTCCGCACTCTTATCTACACAAGAGCCGGTACATGACCAACCGTCGGACGGTACTTGCTTCCAGAAGATTTCCAGGACTGGAAACTGGAAGATCAAACGTCTGAAACTCGCGATCCATTCTCGATTTGTCGGTTTGTCGCGCGTCGTCCGATGTCTCAGAAGCAGATGATCAACTCCGTGGATCTGCCGGACACGGACAGGAACAATTTACATGTTTCAAGTGACCATGTGATGGATTTCTACTTCTGTATGGAAGGATGCTCCTTGTTGAAGGGTTTTCCCAAGAGAAGGCTTGAAGTTCAGTGCGACATTGAGTTTTCTCTGACAGCAAAATCAATCTGCGTCGCCAAACGCCGGTGCACATCATCCATCTATCAAATGCAACCAGGTGGATGCAACGTACACCCCGCACTATCCCGAACCTGTCTCAGAATGACATGAGAACCTGGACCAATGTTTATGCCATATCAGAGGGCCTTATCTTGTCTCGACACAGCTTCCCAGCAGTTCGTTTTCTAGTGAGGCGATATGTAGCTGCTTTTATTGTTGTTAACCCTGGTGGTAGGTCGTTACGTGGAGACGGTACGTCGAGCTTCCTCGTATCGTTTCACAAAGAAAGCATCGATAAGGAAGCTCAGATTCACTGCTGGTGCTGATAGTCGCAGTCCTTCACTGTTTCATCTCCCGGAATCAGCTTCGGTCCGGGCTGTCTAGGTCACTAGGGAAAGCAGTGTGGAGCCACATGATTGTCTACTGGTCTTCAGTTCGTGCCATGACTTATGTAGTATGGGTCTAAGCCTCGTTGATGGCTACATAGATATGTTGCTCACGTTCGCCCGAAAGCCTCTAGCCTGAACCTTCTCTGTTTTGTTACTCGAATATCTCGCTGCACAACCGCTGAGCGGGTAATCGCCATCTCCAAAGCCGCATGTCATACATCAGTAAAGGCAACGGTCCAGCGCTGGTCGCGAGCGCAGTCGTTCCTCTCGTTATAACTTGGGGCTTCTCGTCTGTGAGGATCTATGTGCGATGGCTTATGCTGAGGTTGTGGAAGATTGAAGACTGGCTCTTTGTTGGCAGCCAGGAAAGTACCATGTTCTTCCATCTATTCCAATTTCTGACCAACTCAGATATGCTTTTCGATTCTTGCCTTCGATGCCTTGATGGCAGCCGTTCACGGTAATGGTCAGATGCTTGCTAGCATATCTCTTGCGGACCTTCCAGTCGCAATGCAGGTATGCGCCTTACCTACATTTCTATATGTATAAAAACTTACGCTACGATGCCAGTACTGGTTTACTGCTGAGCTATCCTACACATTGACCACGATCCTCATTCGTCTCTCCATTGGCTTCTTTCTGCTTCGAACTTGCAACTCGAGGTTGCACATATGGACGATAAAAATTGCTATGGTCATAATGACACTGCTTACAATCACCTACTTCTGGTTCATCTTTTTCCAATGTCATCCTGTCAGCTATTTCTGGCTCCAGTTTTCCGGAGGAGAAGGCACTTGCTTCTCGGGACAAGCAGTGGAGGATGCTACGATTATCTTCTCGGTCTTTGCGGTAGCTACCGATCTCATTTTTGGAGTTCTACCAATCTTCCTTATTTGGAACCTGCAAATGAATCCGAAGGCCAAAGCAGTTGTGGGAGGCCTCCTAACCCTCGGCATTGTGTAAGTCGCGCATCTGTATCACCAGCTCTAGCATATATTGATGTAGTGAGTTTTAGTGCTGGGTTGTCTGTCATCATTCGAATCTACTATGTCCATAAAGTCGATCTCGCCTCAGACTTTTTGTACGCTACTTCCAAGGTCTCAATCTGGTCAATGATTGAACCTGCCATTGGAATATGCTGCATGGCTGCTTCCACTTATCGACCACTTTTTAAATCTCTCTTGGAAAAAGTATCTGGCACTACCCATATTCAAACAAAACGTTCCATCCATACAAGATCGAAGTCAGATCCTGTTCGAAGTGGCAGCTCCATGTTCTCCAGAAGCAAGAGCGGCTCAGTGAAGAGCAATCATACCAAAAACTCGGATAGTTTCGATTTCGAGATGAGGATGGAAACCTTTGAGACCACGGCTGAAGGGCCAGGCAAGGGCAAGGGGAGGGGACGGAAGGAGGATAAGTGGGATATGAAGGATGGGATCATGCAGTCCACAACCGTGGAGATCCATCGAATGACGAGATCCGACGATATGGTATGAATAAAGTTACACCCCATTCCACTCTCACGATGGAATGTGACAGGAACTTCTCTCGTGTCTAAATTCATGGAGCTACAATGCTCTTGAGTTCATTCATGTGCGTTGAATGTGCTCCAAATCGACGATCTTTCAAGCCGAAGACTGCGCTGAAGGGTGGGGTCGTGGGGTAATCCTTCGAGGCGTTCACCACAAATTCTTCCACAGATCTTAAGCTACTCCAGCAGTTGCATTACACATAAGATATCAAGCTTCCAATACTTTCTGTATTTGCTCGACAAAGCATCAAGGATGTCCTTTGTCAGAGGCCAGTGGTTCGAATTTCGGAAAGTGTGCCAAGCATGACTTCAGCAAGTGCTGACATCTGAGCCGCATCGCGATAGCTTCAAGCCGATAAGACTAGTCTTATCTATCTTCTACCAGTAACATTACAAGCGAATCTGACTCATTGGCAGTCCCAAGCCGCAGTTGCGGGACACCAGCCATCGATTTCCTAAATCCCATTCTATCCGCTGGTAAAGTGGGACCTTAAGCAATTTTAGTAGGTACCTTGGACATGCAGGAACAAGAAATTATTCGAAGGGCGTCCCCATTCTTGAGGATCCCGACCACCGGGACCTTCTTAGATATGAGTGGGAATCCTGTCTTAGATCTACGATCTTGTTTGTGCTGTTCCATTTGACTATGTTGTCTAACATTCAGAGCTTTGCAGCGCTTGCTGTCGCCATTGCTTATAGCGCACTTGCTTCTACGTACAAGAGTGGCACTACGGTCAATGTTGATGGAACCTACTTTTACATCCCAGCTTCGCCAATCTCAAGTCTGGGGTTGGGACAGGATCAGCTCAGTAGTGCCTGTAGTCCCGGTGACGATTACATACCATTAACTGTCATGACTGGCGACTTCAATACTTTTGACGCAACTACATTACAATCAACGGTGACAAGTTATCTCGGTGGAGACGATGTATTCAATACTGGGTTTTTGCAAGGTACCCTGATATGTTTCTACTGTTGAAACCTCAATTGACCTCAGCAGCGATCTACCTTATCTCAACAACTCCAGCCGAGCTTCATGCTTCGCTGACATCACCCCTCGTTGAATATAACAACAAGTTGTTCATGGTGTCTGCAACCAGCAACTCCTCAGTAGCAACAACGAGCTGTACTTCCGAGCTACCCGCGGGCCCATATTTCCTCCACGCTTATACTGGCGATGTGTTTCAAGCTTACAGACTCTACTCAGACTATGAGGGAGCATTCACAGAAGGTACCATCGCAAATGCAGATGGAAATTTCAGCACGATGTCCGCCTCAATTCCAGTAAGCCGTATGTCCCAGATCGCGGTTTGAAGCTCACTATCGAAGGGAGTTCAATCACCAACAATCGGCGTCCCTTCAAGATTGTATTACGCAAAGTCAGACGCTCAGCCACTTGCCGGCGTATGTATATGTAACATTTTCCAAAGTTCACATCTAATGCCCCTAGGTCCGTCTTGGAGTCAAAGACATCTACGACGTCGCTGGAACACGTCGTGGTTGCGGCAACAGAGCTTATTATGACCTCTATCCCGAACGCCCAACAACCGCACCAGCGGTCCAAAGACTCCTAGATGCGGGTGCTGTCCTTGTTGGCAAGATGAAGACATCCCAATTCGCGAACGGGGAAATGGCAACTGCTGATTGGGTCGACTATCATTCTCCGTTCAACGCTCGCGGTGATGGGTACAATGATCCATCTTCGTCGTCCTCGGGCCCTGGCGCTGGTATCGGTGCATATGACTGGCTTGATCTCGGACTTGGGTCAGATACAGGTGGCAGTATCCGAAATCCTGCTCAAGTGAACGGAGCTTTTGGTAATAGACCCAGTCACGGTCTTGTAACTCTTGACAATGTGGTATGGAAGAGCTTTGACTTCAATAGTCATCTATACAAGCTGACTGACATGATTTCAGATGCCTCTGTCGCCCCTCATGGATACAGCAGGCTTCATCACTCGAGACGCAAGTCTTTGGAAAACGACAGGTCACGTGCTCTACAGCAACAACCTTTTCACGTTCACTTCGTTCCCAAAGAAACTCTATACATCGACATTCCCCACAAACATCACCTCTGAAGCAGATGCTGTCATCTTAGATTTTCTTTCCAAGCTTGAAACGTTCCTTGGTGTCAATGCTTCGGTCCTCGATTATGATTCCATGTGGGCATCCTCACCAGAAGCAGCATCCACAAACGCGAGCACGCTGAGCGACCTTCTCACACTCACATACCCCACCTTAATTGGAAAACAACAATATACCCTCTTCGGAGCCCCATTTATAGCTGATTATCAAGCTGCTCACGATGGTCGGCAACCCTTCTTGGATCCCAATCCTCTCGTACGATGGACTTGGGCTCAGACGAACGCGACGACTCTTGAGGAGGGCATTAACAACAAGACCATTTTCATGGATTGGTGGAATAGCGAAGTCATTAAATCAGATCCTGAAACTTGTTCCGATAGCTTGTTGTTGTATCCTGGGACATTGGCTACGCCGAATCCTCGCAATGTGTATCTTTCTCCACCTGTCATTCCAGCAGGATGGAGTATCCAGAATGTGGCGATTATGGCCGGCGTGCCGGATATGGTGTTGCCTGGTGAGTCAATAAGTGTACCAACTGTTCTGTGAGCGGTAAGGCTGATGTCAACGAAACAGTTGGCCAAGCACCGTACAACTCGACTATTTCACTCCACGAAGAATATTTACCAGTCGCTGTAGATATCATCGCTGCTCCAGGTTGCGACGCGGTGATCTTTGAGCTTGCAGAGCAGTTGCAAAATGCTGGTATCATCAATGCACCCAAGGCGGGAAGCACAATGTATCGACGCGAAGTATCTGCTCGCTTAGAATAGGGGCTGTGAAACATGGACAGAAAATTCGTAATTGGAGTACGACAATAACCAAAAGTCCCCGAAAGTATTATGTCAAGCATTCGAAGGACATTTCACAGATACGGCTCTGGGGAAATTCTTGCAGGCAACACTTAATCCTTTTTGCTGCGCAAAGGACTTTCAAGGCTATAAAGTACTCAAATTTTGTGGAACAATAAGATGAGCCAATTGTCATTGAAACTGCAGATATGCATCACAGTGCTTTCCATCTATCTCTGACGCGTGCTTCTTCAAAGTCAACACATATATTGTTGAGATAAGAAAAACTCCACCCAACCTAGAAGACGTATCTGAAGTTCGGATTTTCCTTGTCCGTCATATCCTCAAACGCATGGACGTACTGCTGGTCCTGCGCTTCCTGAATACCAGCCAAAGCCAAATCATCCTTCTTTACATTCTGCCGCCGCAGATACCAGCGAAGAAAGACAAGGACTACGACTAGAAGACTGTAGCAAACGAGATGGACTGTGAATGCAATGAGGTAGCGAGGGGCATTCCATTTGAGGAACACTTGAGGGCCTTGCGTGTTCAGTTAGCTATAAATTCTGAAGGGATTGTGATGGTGGCTTACCGATTGCATTCCCCACTGCCCAGGCAACAAAGTTGGTTGCGACCACTGTTGCTTTCTTGGTCTGGCCGGCGATGTTCCTTGAGATCATGGATAGAGCTAATGTTTGAGCAGACCAAAATGACAATGTTAGGTAATAGCTAATGAGCAACCCGATCTGATGGGCTCTGCTTGTGTTTCGAACGGTCATGAGAACAATTGTGCCTACGAACGAACTGAAAGTGTAATTTAGTAATGATCGAGATTTAGATCCGATGTTACTTACGGAATGAGAAATATGAGCATGAAAAGCAGATTCTGACCAGTCTTCTTCACCAGCCAAGCCGATGACAGAAGCACAATAATGATGTAGAATCCGAGAACCATGGCAAGTAGTTGAGTTTGAAGAACAGTGAAGTTGAATCCAGTAATGATGATATTGGCAAACGCTCCAAGTCCACTAGTAGGAAGGGTCGTGGTGATGGCGATACCGCAGTAGCACCAAGTCTGAGGATCCTTGAACGCCTCGATCATCTGCTCTCTTTTGAATGTCTTATTCTGCACACCTGTCTGGTTGGCACGAACTCGTTCGACCATCAGTCGTTTGTCCTCCTCACTGAAGCACTTTGCTCTCATTGGAGAATCTGGCATCCAAAAGAGTACGAAGACCCCCCAAAGTACAGCGACGCCGCCGTAGGAGATGAAAAGTGCTTGCCAAGATTTGAGAGGACCGGAGTGAAGAAGGGTAAAACAGTAAGCAAGGAGACCTCCGACGACTTGCTGAGCACCGTTCATCATGTACCTGAGTGAGTTAGCAATAGATAGTAGACACTTGCCTGAGATTCGAACTCACCAAAATGATACAGTTGCCGCTTGTTCATCTCTCAGATACCACATACTTGACAAAATTACAAATGATGGCTGACAGCATGCTTCGAATATTCCCAACAGTGTTCGAACAGCCACCAGACTTGCAAATTTCTTGCAGGCAGCATGAAGCATCAAAGTCATGCCCCACAGCATGATATTGATCGACAGATATTTAGCGATGGGAACTCGTTGGATTATCCAATTGGTAGGGTACTCCACAATGAGCACCGCAATGTAGATACAAGTTGTCAACCACGAGTACTGAAACGATACATTAGGCTTACGATGACAAGTTACCATAGTCGTGCACACTCACTTGTTGTCCAACAAGCCCAGTATCCTTTTGAATCCCCATGATGGACGCAAAAGACAGCGTCCCTTTGTCCAAAGCCTGGAGAAAATAGGTGAAGATCATGATAGCCAATACTCGTCGATCGATCAGCCTTCTCAGGCGTTTGTTGGTCGCTTCATCAATATCGATGCGAACGTTGCTGGTATACTTGGCGACTTCATCGTCGACACGGTCGAAGTCCGTTGCGTCTTTGCCGACATATTCCATCCGTTCAACATGGACGCTCTCAACATCGTCTCCTTTGCGAGAAGTATGCTGCTGGTCTTCATGGAGCTCCGGGGGAGTCGCCGTGTGAATTTCTGCTGCCATTTTAAGGTGATGTAAAGTTTCAAAATCGAGTCAAAGTTGAAGCTGAGCAAACTCCAACAACTTAAAGCACTTGAAGAAAGATTGTACAGAAATCCGCATCAAATCCGCTCTCGGTGTAAGTTGATCCAGTTCTAAATAAACAACCCATCTGCGCCAACAATTCTAGGGCAAATCCAGCTTCCCTTCCGCATTCGTCTCTAGAGTGGGACGTTGCATCCGAATTGCTCCCTCTGGAAGCGCCAAGCCCCACAACAGTTGGTGGAGAAAACATACGCGCCAAGCCCGTGGTGTTGTCGGAGGCATTAACAGTTGAGAAAATGGGAAGGCTGAGATCTCCAAAAATTCGTACGAGGGAGCAGCAGATTATTGGTGAAAGGACGGTGATCGGCAAGCTGGGAACGCCTGTGAATGACTCGCGCTCGGCCAAGGGCCCCCTATTCCGAGGGGTAAATTGGAGCCCCGCGTGGGGTCTTCGGGGTAGAGTCCACCGACGAGAAAAAATGCTGAACAGTTCTATCAGCCTCGTCTTGAATTATTTCGAGGGGACGAGGGTTGGAAGAGAAAGCTTCGAGCTCTTTCCTTTGCTGTGCTTTGCTGGACCCAGTGAATTTATCCTCTCGTTCGAGAATTTGGTCATTCAAACCGAGTACCATCACTGATTTGGGTGTGCAAAGATGCCAAAAACTGTCGATGGAATTGAGTCTGCAGCCGTGCATGATGCGATTAAACTCCTTACGAATAATCTCGTCAACATCAAAGACACGACCGGGAAATTCCTCATGACGATACCCGATGGACGAGTAATCGACACCAAAGGCTGGAACGAGAACAATTGGGAATGGACACATGGAGTTGGTCTCTATGGACTTTACAAATACTATTCTCTGACAGGAGATGTATCAACTCTCAAAATTGTGGAAGATTGGTTTCGAGACCGGTTCGCAGCTGGTGGAACTACGAAGAATATCAATACAATGGCCCCATTCTTGACGCTTGCATACCTCTACGAAGAGACGAACAATCAAACATATCTGCCATGGCTAGATTCGTGGGCTGAGTGGGCAATGTACGATTTGGAGAGAACGGAATACGGAGGCATGCAGCATATCACGTACCTGACACCGAACATGCAGCAACTGTGGGACGATACGCTTATGATGACGGTCTTACCACTTGCGAAAATAGGCAAGGTGTTGGGGAGACCGCACTACGTGGAAGAAGCGAAGAGGCAATTTTTGCTACATATCAATTACCTTTTCGACCCTCAGACCGGACTATGGTTCCATGGGTGGACCTTTGAAGATGGTAGACACAATTTTGCAAGAGCGAGGTGGGCGAGAGGCAATTCATGGATCACAATCGTCATTCCAGAATTCATCGAGCTACTTGATCTACCAGAGCACGATCCAATCAGGATACATTTGATTGATACCTTGGAAGCACAATGTCGAGCTTTGAAGAAATACCAAGATGCGTCGGGACTTTGGCGGACGTTGCTGGACCATGATGATGAGGGGTCATATGTTGAAGCTTCTGCAACTGCTGGCTTTGCATATGGTATTCTGAAGGCACAGCGGAAACGATACATTGGCAAGGAATACGAAGAAGTGGCGTCGAAAGCAGTAAAAGCAGTCATGGGGCAAATAGATTCTCAAGGCGAACTTCAAAATACGAGTTTCGGGACAGGGATGGGTGACAGTCTGCAGTTTTACAAAGATATTCCAAGAACGAGTATGCCGTATGGGCAATCGATGGCGATTATGGCCTTGGGGGAGTTTCTGAGAAGGTTTATATAGACATAGACAGGAAATCACTTTTCAACACACCCTTCATTTGTCCAATATTTCAACTATAGCATCGGTCTTCAGCTAATTGTATTCCGCTCGCCGCTCACAGTGGAGAAGAGAATTCTAAAATGCACAGATTGGGCATTCAAGAGACACTGACTAGATCTTGAATTTACTTTGTTCAATGTCTGTTTAATTCAGAGGAGTTTCACTTTATTCAATCTCCAACCTCAACGCGTCGTACTGCACATACACAGTTTGCGGCAAAACGGCACTTTCATAATCCGTCGCATTAGCTGGCAAGTGCAGCACAATCTCATTTGTGCCCTCAATCAGCAAATTTGGATCAAACGTGAACTTGTTCGCAATATTATAGCAGATGACCGCTGATCGAACAGCACAAGAGCTGCTGTGGTAGTACCTAGCAAAAGAGTTAGTCTAGCCACAAAGCAAGGAATATGATGAATACTCACGGGATAACCCAGGGCTCCAACTCTTTTCCATTCACCACAACCGTATACGGCAAATTGGCGTATGGTTCACTCGCATTATACACGTCCGTATTCCCCGCCGCTGTCTTGGCCCCCGCAAGCTGAACCGTAAAAGTGACCTCTCTCTTACTCTCAAATTGCTCTTTCTCCATATCCCACAAGATAGTCCAATTATTGACATTCTCATAATAAGGCTCAGGCCGTAAGACATTCGCGTATCCCCCGAAAACGCTCCAATGGACATAATTCAGATCTTGTGAGACGTCGTCTTTTCCGACATGGTAGATAACACCATCTGGGAAGTCGGTAGGAAAATCATAGACGGGCCAGTAGATTCGGTATTGAGCTGGATGGAGAGGATGTGTTTCATCCGGTGCATAGCCGTGACGATATTCTCCTGAAGATTTATCAGGAGTACCGATTCTCCAGATCTCTGTTCCCGCATTCTCTTCGCGCCATCGAGCATGGGTAGTATGAACCTCGCCGGCAATCACTTCGACATCATCTTTGGTGTACTGACCAAAGATACCTTCTGCGTAAACGGTCAAACGATACGTGCCTGCTTTTACAGCTGGGATCTCGACATCGCCCGTCGAAGGGTCGATATCGGCCCAGTACTGGTAAGCAGTGGTGTCAAAGACATTATCTTGAAAGTCGACCCCATTCTGAGCGAGGACGGCGATGGGCTTTGTGGCATTGGCCGGGAGGTCAATATGTCCTTTCCATGTCGTGCGGTTGGACGAGGGGACGTAATTAGGAACATACTTGGCAATTGAATCGTAAAATGCTTGATTCCATGTTGACGAGTAGAATTGCAACGCTTCTTGGCGAAGAGTCTCCATTGGTGTTCCTGGGGCGCCCTTATTGAAGAAGTAGAATTGCTTGAGTGTTTGTCAGTACGATGGGGTAAAAGGTTACAGCTGTACTCACTGGTCCAAAAGTCCGATCGAAGCCATCGGTGATGTTCGGCGTACCGTCACCGTGATGGTTTGAGACTACATGCTGTCAGCAAGGAATTTGAGAGTATTGAGAGTATCGGTTCACCACTTACCAATGTAGTTGTAGACAATGCCATCAACAATAAGATCTGAATGAAGAGGTCCTCCAAAGTACGTATCCTTAGTATTCATGACTAGCCAAGACCCAAAAGTCGAATTGTCATCACTAGTCGTTCCATCCGAATACATCCCATGCACATCATGGTCTCTCCACGTATCTTGGAAAGTATACTTCGTGAAATAATCCGCTTCTTGTTGTACATAAGGATCATTTGGATCTCCTCCAAGATACCATGTCGCATCTTGTACTGTAACCTCGTGTTCCGTCGCGTTCTTTGACGGTAAGGGAGCATATTGCTCAGAGTTTGTCAAAAGATGCGTCCAAAGCGGAGTGTTCGGTCTGAAAAGTGTTCGAAACTCCTGAAGATTTCTCAAGAAGGGAGTTGTCTTGTTGTAATATGACAATCGACTGAAAGTGTGTAGACCAGTCTCTCCTTCTCGAAGAAACCAGTATTGTTCTAAAGTCTGACCAGTTGGTGGGTATGTCTCACTCATCACAATTCCTCCATATAAAGTATTTGTTGAGTCGATGCCTTTAATGAGCTGGTACTTTGGTGCAATTGATCCTGGTGTATAGCTTCCAGCGGGTATGCAGTAGCAGTCGAGATAGGGTCCAATGCCACTATTTCCTGATCCGGTAGCACCTCCAGGAGTTGGGGTGACATAGTCAAGCGTACCGAGGAGATCTTGGCCATCGAGAAAAAGATAGTTTATAGCACCGGTGGACTTGTTGACAGCCGCAGTGAAGCGGTCATTGGCCAGTATCTGGCTATTGTCAGAATAGCAATGTACAGCATAGAAGTTTCCTCTTCAAGTGTATCGAGGGTTCGCTTACCAGTGAAGCACCTGTCTCAGTCGCATTGAGTATCGCAGTACCTCTCACAACCAAAATAAAAATTACAAGTACATGGGTTAGCCAATTGCCTCCACGATATCTCAACTCTGGGAAGCCCATGTTGCCAAATCAATTCCCCCGAGTGTCTCAGGTCACAAATTAGAAGCAACAAAGTTCGCACACCACAAGTCCAAAAGATACATCCTTACATATGTCAAATTCGGGGTAACAATTATCCAGCCAAGTTCATTTACTGGCTAAGTTCAGGGACATGATGTGCCCCTGAGCCCGCCGGACAGCACTTTACCGAAAATGCGGGGCTCCACAACTACCCCACCATTGCGCGGTTCGGGGCCTCTTCAGGCGAGCAGACCCGTTTGCAGGAAAAACTCTTACAGTGTGATCTCAAGTTACCTAGGTAGTTTGCTAGGAAGTGGAGACATGATCGTTCTATCTGAGGAGAGTGCACAGACAAGATTTATGTAAAGGTCTAAAGTCCGTCAGAAATTGAGTACTTTAAAGTGGCATGAAATCTCTCGTCTTCAAGTTAAAATGAACAGCTCGATTGCTAAGAAAATAATATTAGTAGTGAGGTACGTTGTAGAGTAATGTGGGAAGTTGTAGGCTTGTTGAATCTTACAAGCTAGCTAGATCTAATAGCTGAATGTGAAAACTCAAGTCTGTCCTTCTATCATGTCAACGTAATCCATTCTTAGCAAGACCATGACTCTGAACACGATCAGACGGACGGTGTGTGCGCCTCGACTAGCAACAATTGACACAATCTAAAATATCTATTATGAACTGCAATACTCTACAAAAGAGTCAGCGTCCATGAATACAACGGGCAAGAAGTAGCTTTACCCAATCACCAAAATCACAACGAAAGCAACCATGTTCCACCTATCCTGGACAGGAGAATTTTCGTCACCATCAGGGCTGCCCCCAATATTTGCAAGAGCCGTTACAAATATGGAGGTTGCAACTAGCACCATTATAACGTATTCAAACGCAATCATGCAAGCCGTGTTCTTGTATCCTTTTGGTTCCGCCCACAGGACTCCAAATCCAGCTACGTTGAGGAGAATTGCAAGGCAACACTGTATTAATTTTGTAAGTAGCTGTAAAGAAGTGCACTGGTAAAGATCTTACCACCACAAAATAGAACGCTAATACCGTTGAGCTGTTAACTGATAAACTGATGAGATATCCAAGAGCTGCGATGCTCCAGGCAGCAGCAAGCAATGTCAATCGTATGCAGGCAAGGATGGAGAGATCTAGCAGAGACATTGCTCTCAAGTCTGCGCGTGCTATTTTTGATAGGCAATCGGACAATGTCAAGTACGTCGAGTGCTGGGTTACAAAGGCAATAATGCTGCTGAGTTTTTTCAAAAGAGAAGAGAAGTGGATTGTGTCGTGGATAGAGATGTGCGACATGATGCTGCAATATCGGTTCCCGGTAAAACAGAGAGTTCCAACACCTCAGAGCACTCGAGGCAGAACGAAGTTGGACACACGAATAGAACATTATCATTGGACACGATTTGTGAGGAGCCAAAGCTATGAGCATTATCAATGTCCCCAGCGGATTCAGACAACACTGTGCTCATAAAGTCTGTCGTTTAGATATCGAAGCAGTGACTACTAACTCACCTAGCCCTGAACTGAAGTGAGTCTATATTTTACAATCTAGATTCTAAGATTTATCATACCAACAAAAGGAAAGCTCACAGCTGAAGTACATCTATCTCGCATCCCTCTACTACCCATACAACAAAAAAACCAAAAAGACATCGCCCATTCATCCCCTCGACCCCACAAAACCAATCAACTCATCTCCGTATCCTCATCCAAAACCTTCCCCTTCCCAAAACTAAAATCCGCCGCATGCCACGCCCCCTGAAAACAGTACCCCGGATGCAACCCCGTCAAACAACTCGTAGCAACGACAATCATCGCACCCTCCAGCACCATAAACGAGACCTGATTATTAGCCAACGGACCGTGGAAGCCGCCCGATACTTCCGCGACCCTGAACACGGATCGAATGAAGATCGTCAAAGTCGCGACGCAGAGACCAATAAGGAAGGATTTGAAGAGCCGGCTGTTGTATATGGCAGCGTGGTCGGTGCGCCACGCGTTGCGATGGGAGTGTAGACGCCAGGCGAATTCGGCGCACATGAGTGCGAAGAGGGTGAGGGAGGCGACTTGGACCGAGAGACCTGCTAGCATGACGTTTATGCCGAGTTGGAGTTTGCTCTGTGTTTTAGCGCCCGAGGCAATTCCGCCGCCTAGTGCTTGGAGGACGAGGGCGAAGATGTCGCAACCGCAGAAGATGATGGTGTATGTTCCGGGCTTGAATCTGGAGAGTTGTTCTCCGTATATGACGACGATGCAGGCGAGGCAGAGGTAGATTGCTGCTGAGAGGAAGGCGGGCGAGATGGTGAGAGGGACGAGATAGAGGAGGAAATCGTTGCCGGTGGGATCGAATGGATTTTTGTTAAGGAGGATCCGACCTATGTAGCCAACGACTTCTCCGGTAAGACTAAGGGACATTGCAGCTATGTACCCCTAAGTTCTGTAACGAATACCGAAAATGATGTTGAGTAGGATATAGATGCCGAATACTGCAGCGTAGAATGCGTTACCGCCGAGAGAAGGGATGTAGGTGAAATGTGCTAGTGAAAGGTCGCAGAGGGAAAGATTGCAGAGGTGCTGGTAATCTTCGAGAATCGTTACATTGCCGTAGCCTGTGTGGTTGTTTCTATTGAAGCCAGTGAGACCATTCGTAGGGATAAATGATTCGAGAACGCCGATGCCCTTAAAGAGACGTTGGCTGATATGTTTCCTGCCATTTTGAAGCTTATTAGAAGCAAGTTGAGCGAGACTGACAATAATAGTAAAAGACTAGGACGGTACACAGAGATGTTCTGCAAAAACAGGAGTTTAATCACAAACATAGGAGACTCATCATTTATAACTAACATTATAGCATGTCCTCGCTGTGCCTCAGCATCGATAACGGTATCGATTCGTATACATCGGTGTTGCGACAACCGTCGCTCCGCGAAGCCACTCTGACAGATTTGGTGACATTCCGCGAGCTTGACAAGTACAGTCAGCCATCATAAACATAAGATGCTGCGCCGAGTAAGCTTAATTCAGGGGTGGCTTGAGCCGCACTGAATATTTGGAAGAAACGCCCATCATGCTGATTTCGCATTTCGCACCTCAGATCCACAAAGCCCCAAGAAAACGGCACTTGCCAACCAACTCCCGTGTCAAATCACACCTCAACTTTGACAAAGTTACAGACAAAAGTCTTCATTCTTACAGAACCCCAATATCTCACGCTATAAACACCAACACCACGGGGTATTCAAGTTTCTTACAAACATCTCCATCAAACAAAGGCATGTACACCAATCATTCCCCTTTATTCCCCGCCATGGTATTTCCTCCTAGCAATCATAAAAACAGCATCTTATCAAGAAATTTGTAGTCGAAGGTCAAAAGCACCATATCCTCTCCTGTCCATATTTACTCAATCATACCCATCATCCCACGCTCCAGCCGCATAAGGATTCCTTCTCTCTCGTTAGCGACTCAATTCATCGATACGAAAGATAACAACTCACCACTCCATCCCCGGATAAGAAACAGCACTCATCTCCGGCTCATCATCATCACCAGCAACCGGCAATTCCGCCCTCCCCGCGACCCCATCCCTGTAAGCAATCTTCTCTTCCGCCTGCGAACTCGACGCTGCGCGCGTTACATGTCCATCAGCCCTATACTCCGTCGTTGGTGGGACCGCAGCGCTGAAACTCCTGCCCACATTCATATTCTCCTTGCCTTCGGGCTGGAGATGGCGATTCGCGGGTGTAGCGTTGGAGGTGGAGATTTGTGTTAGTTCGCGCGGGAGCATGTGTCCCTGTTTTGGGAGGCGGGGACTGGCGTTATAGAGATCCTCTTTGCTTCTCTTGGAATTTATTTCTGTTGTTCTGATGTCGTCTCCAGGAGTTATATTTCTGTCTGGCGTGCCTGGCATGGGACTTGGTGGTGATGGACTTGGGCTGGCAATGTGTCTTCTATCGCGATCTGTTTCGGTGGCATCACTGATTTGACGATCGGGTACGTTCAAGTTGCCACTTTGAGGACCCGAGAGGCCAGATACGGCGGACATGGCAGTGCGACGAGTGTTCGATCGGTCGAGATCACCATCCATTGTTGATAAAGAAGCTTCTCTTGTGTGCAGATGCTGATGTAAAATATCGGAGCGTTGAGACTCCTGGCGACCGGGCCACTGTGGCGGTGGTGGCGGTGGGATATCGTTCACACCTGGGTTCACTGGCGAAAATACAGTATCTTCAGGCAAAGGATAACCAGCAGGGGATTCGGGATGGCGAATCATTGGCTGTTGAAGGCGTTGGATAGCATCATGCTGTGGACGAACCTGTTTTAATGTAGGGTTTGAAGTAGGTGCGGGATGATCCTTCTCAAGAGGGGCCGGTCGTTCATCCTCGTCACCACCTGGAAGTGAGATCTGATATGGTCTCTGCTGGCCTTCGAGTGACTTTGGAGGAGATCTCGCAAGCAAGTCTTCTCGGCTCAGTCGGCGAGGTGCAGCGCGATTCGTATAATTCTCGTACGTTTCAAGAGCACCAAGATGAGGTTTTGGTTGAAGGAGCTGTCGAGATTCTTGTGACACTGGAGGCGATGTTCTTGGTCCAGGTCCGTACCTTTGGTCATTCACAAACTGTTGAGGAGGTGCTTGTGTTGGAACACCGTTGGGAAGAAAGTGTCCATTGGGAGCTCCTTGAGGATAACGAGGATCTATTGGCTGCTGCTGTACACGATTAAAGCCACGAGGGTCATAATCTGTCGCAACAGGCACGGCTCCTTGACCTCGAACGAGAGAGTATCCACCGGGGATAGGTACACTGTCATACTGGGGTTCACGGCTAGCTTGACGTCCACGATCTGCAAGCTGCATTGAAGGATCCTGGAAGGGCATTTCACGTCGCTGTTGTTGTGGTGGAGGAGGTCTAGGTTGCTCTTCGTGCAAGTCGCTATACGTCTGTGCAGGTGGAAGTGCCTGAGTGATTGTTCGTGCCTGACTGCTGCTGCCCTGTGACCTCGAATCGTCACTTCCTCTGTCTTGTTGATTTGACCTGCGTCCTATAAGTCCTCCGAGCAAACCGGAGGAAGAAGTTCGACGAGTCTTAGCGTCTGGGCGAGGAGAAGAGCGAGGAGAAGTGCTTGACGTAAGCTTCTGAAGTACTTGTCTAGTCTGACTTGGAGCGCGAGGCGTTCTTGGCGGTGGAGTATTCATGCTGGGTCTTTGTGCATTCATCTGAGGGGACTCGATTGGTTGTCGTTCGTTATAAGAAAGCTCTCTCGTAGCTTGTGGTCTCTCCTGAACTGGTCCCTTAGGCGATGGACTAGTCTTGCCAAACATGGTACTCAACCCTGAAAATCTATTCTTCTTTCCAGAAGCCTCCACCGATCCAGTGGGAGTTCTGACAAGCTTGTTTGCCTTCTCCTTTGGATCCTTCGAACTACTGCCAAAGAAGGATCGTTTCTTTTCTTGGTGAGTTGGCGAAGGTTGAGGTGAAGCGACAAGATCAGTCCTGGAAGCTGAGTTATGCGCGATTACACTTTCTCGACTCTGTGGTGGACCGAGCCCAGAGGTAGAATTGCGGCTGAGATGGCCGAAAAAGCTCGATCGGCGTTTTCGCTGCTCTTGTTCACCTTCCGAAGCAACACTGGACTCTGCGTACTCGTTCCCGCGAGACTCGAATTGTCTAACAGGAGAAGCGGGTGCGGGAGCTCCATCTCGAGTAACAGAGTTACGTCTTTCTCTTGAAGAAGCGCGTGACAGCTTTCCTCCAATCTCCTTGAAGAAGCCAGAATTTCGTTTAGACGAACCGTATCGAGGGTCATCAGATGGTGGACCTACACCAGGAATCTGATACTCGTTGGTTTGTTGCCTTGGGAGGAAAGCATCAGCTCGAGTGATGGGTGCTTGATAATAGTGAGCTGGAAGATCGGCACTATCCCTTGATGCGTCGGGACCGGCTTGTCCAGGTCGGAACAGGTCCGGATATCTCTGAGCCGAAGATGGAGGTTGTTGATATGGGCTTTGCTGGGCAGGTGGGCCATTCCAGCCTGGGCGTTCGTTGTATTGTCCATCTGGACGTTGGGAATAGCTCGGGCTTGCGCCGGAGTTGCCTCGAGGGCGCTGAGGCTCCCACGAATTCGAATGTCTTGGGGCGGGCACATCTACTTCTTTCCAAAATGTCGGCGAGACTTGTGCGGGAGGTTCGGTTGTCTTCGGTCGATTGAGTCTCCATTCAACTTGTGATTCTCTGAACTCAGGGCGTTGCAACACATCTGATGCTCTGGGAGCCAGGGGTGGGAAGTGCTGTTGAGAAGCTGGCGGTGGGCCCATGACGCGTTGGTTCTGTTCGATACGTTGCATTGATTCTGGTGATCCTGAATTCATTGCCTTCTGCTGCATCACTTGTTGGGGAAGAACTGTACGTTGACTTTGGGCTGACTTTTGACTATACTCAGAAGAGCCGGCTTGAGTTAATTGAGGTCTTGGAGGGCTACTTGGTGCAGGAGCAGTTTCTTTTGACAAAGCTGATTGGGGTTGCTCTCTTGGTGGTTGTTGCCTTAATTCTTCTCTCGGCTGGCTAGCTTCAGCATATCTTGGTGGGTTATGCAAGAACGCCTCATCCACAACTGGGCGTTGTTCAGCATGCCTGAATGGGGTATGAAGGACCTCTCCTGCGCCAAATGTCTGAACGAAGGAAAGTGGCCTTGGACTCTGCGCAGCTACAGGTTTCGAGGCAAGACGTTCTGGGGTAGGAGGGGAAATCGATTCAGCAGAGGGTCCAGGAGCAGGAACCGGAATACTACTGCTAGTTCGGACTTGTTCTTGTAAGAGGGTTGGTTTTGAGGCCGCGGGTCGCACCAGTTGTTCAATCGGCTTGGTGGGAGTTGGGTTGACGGGATTTTCCGGAACGCTATGTTCATCCTCATCCTCGAGCGGAAACCTAGGTTTGGCTTGACGCGGACCAAACCCGAGTCCAAAGGTAGAAGTGCGGCGAATAGGTGGCAGGAATGAGGTTGAAGCAGTCTGCTTCTCTGGTTCCGCCTGGACAGGCTTTGGTGGGGAAGGAGTAAATTGAACAGGAGCAGCAGCGACCGGCGTAGATTGTACAGATCTTGGAGTTGGCCCTTTGGCGGAAGGGGGAGGTGAGGGAATCTCATAGCTACTTCCACGCGGTCGATTGATGATACTTGTCACGGGTGCGTCCAAGCTCTTTCGATTGTCCGATTCCACATTAGCCACGGGTTTCAGTCCTTCTGGTGGAGAGACGTTGGGAAATGCGTCACTGCTCTCCGGAATTGGGGACACCATTACCCAGTCATGAGGTATATCAGACTCCTCCTCATGGGCACTATAGAAATGAGTATCCCCGCTGTTGGACCTCTCGCTGCTTGATTTGGCGCCTAATGGTACACCTAAAGAGCCATGACGATTACCAACATCGGACGGCAACTGACGTTGTTTTGGTCGCTCCTCGTACTGGAAGCCCTCCTCTTCAGCGATTGGTGTAGCATTGTATGGGTCCCAACTTGGTTGATGCTTCCCAATCGGGGCAGGTACCCCCAAAGAATCTCGAGCTTCAGACTCTTCCTCTGCTTGTTGAACTTGTCGGATGGTTGCAGGTTCTGGACGTTGTTGTTCTTGCTCACCATTCATAGATGGCAATGCTCCACTCATAACTCCAAGTGATTCACCGGTTGATACATCAGGGAGCTGTGGGGCGGCAAAACTTCGGTTTGAGGTTGTAGTCGCGGCTCGCGGGCGGTTTGACTGTGGAATGGACTCTTTTGATTGCCGAGCTGATCCGTCTTGTTGTATTGATGATCGAGAAAGGTTAAGAGGGAGGCCCCAAGATGTTCGACGCTCTTGTTTCGGCTGCTCAGCTTTGGGCTTGGGAGGTGGGGAAGTCTGTAATGGGCATAGAACTTAGTAACGTGTGCAATCAAGGCAAATATATCATGGTAACAAGGAGAGAACAGTTGAAAGGCTGCAATTTCCCCTAGTCGTACACAACCCGCTAAGCAGGAGGCCATCTGACGAGAAAAGAAAAGAAACCGCCGCGCTGATTAGTCTTGAAAATGCACGAAAGTACGTGGTAAATCAGATGAAACGCCCCGTCGCCCAATTGCGCTCCGGCACTGAAGGAGATGTGTCAATCTACCTTGTCTCCGCCACTACGAAACTTGCTCTTGCCCTTTGCAAGAAGACCTTTTCCTGCCTTGCCTGCTTTACCACCAAAGATACCAGCTGAGTGAAGGAGCTCTTTCCCTTTAGCTTGAACTTGCTGACTAGTGATTTTGCTACTATTAGAGTTAAAGCCCTGTTGCGACCCCGAAGTCATGCTGGGACCGGGGCCAGGTCGAGGTCCCACTGGCGTAGAAGGCATCGTTGGTGAGCTCGCGTTGAGATACTGCTGATAATAGGGTTGCTGCAGAGGAGGTGCTGTGCCACCAGTCGACCTGCCAAATTTGGACCTTCCTGTACCGCTAGGAACGCTAAATCTAGAGCCACCGAATGAAGCACCTGCACCTGCGTGCTCGGGATGTTGTTGCTGGAGAGCCACCATCCAGTTGTTCAAGCCCGAATCCATTATTGCAAACCGTTGTCTAGTTGTATTGAAAGCTTCAATTCTCTCTTGCGAAGATGGAATCTGTACAATGTTCTTGAATCCCAAAATTGGGCCCAAAGGAGGTGCAAATGGTTGTTGATGGACAGGTGAAGCAACAGGCGATACTGTGCTCGGAGCAGGAACTGGAGAATTCTGGTTTGGAGATGGGCTGAAATAAGATTGAGCAGCTCGAGCCGGGTGTTCGTCCTCAGGTGGTGTTGGCGAGACAGGGTGCGAGGAGACACGAGGATCTTTCTCTTCTGCTAGGGACAACCGGCGACTCTTGTTTTCCAATGGAGTAGAATCATATCTGGGAATGGCAGCAGCTGTTAGCGAAGCGGCACCAACAGCGGCTAATAATGCATTTGTGTTGTGATCTTCCGTTGATGAATGGCCAGGCTGGATTTCTTGCACTGGTGGCTCAACAGAATTGACATCCAGCGCCGATTGCTGTGGAGTGGAAAGAGTTGTAGTAGGAGCCACGTTGGTGTCTTCGGCCATGTGAGATATGTGTACAGGCGAGCTTGTAGCACTGACTTCTGACACTTGGTCATTCGAGGGTATGGCGTTCACATTCTCATTACTATCCTCCCACGAAAAGCGACTTTGCATCGGTGGTCGAGGCGGCTGAAGTGATGATTGTTCTGGTTTTCGTGGGCTCAAAGGTGCAACAATAGGCGATTCGGCCATATTGTGCTCCTGCTCTATTGTCTCGGGTTGGGAGATTTCTTTCTTGACAGGATCTTCTACCGGAGCCGGGGCCGTTTCAGGAACTTGTTCCTCATCATCGGAATTAGACGCCCAATAGTTGTCATATTCGCGAGGTAAATAGGTGCTTTCATGGCCTTGCTTGGGATAATTAGTCTCGTCAAATTCATCGGAGACCACACCGTCGTCGTGAGCATTTCCATCCGATGGCCTTGGAGTAAGACTCTTCACAATTTCTTGCCGAAGCTTATCATTCTCCTCATCGTTTGCATACGTATCAGTACTAAGTGCTGGTAGCATTTGAGGTCTCATCGGAGGAGCCAGAGTCTCATGTTCCTCGGCCTGAACTGGGGTTCTTGGCTTCAAAGGAACGGGAGGAGTTGCGAAATACTCAGAATCATCGTCGGCACCATCATTTTCAGGTGTATCTTTGAGCGGTGGCGTAGGAGCTACACTGGACTGTGCAGAGACATCTCTGTTGTCAGCATCTGGTCGCAGCTGGGTCTCGGCAGGGGCCTGTTCAAGCTTCGGGAGCAGTCTTGGATCAAGGTCCTTGGTGGAGTATAAATTACCACCCGGAGCCATGGCTGGGTCAGGGGTAGGCAAAGCACTGTTGCTTGGCACTGCTTTGCGGCTAGGAGTTCGACTTGGAGGAATATGACCGGTAGCGAGACTGTTGTTATCATGATGGCGTAGAGCTAATGAAGCAGTACCAGCGACAGCGGCGCCAAGTTCAGATGCAGGCATTCCGTGTTTTGTCGTAGTTGGAGTCAAGTCTGACTCATCATTTCGACCTTGGTTATTGGCAGTAGAGACATCTCGGATTGGGGTGTGTGCTCTGACAGATGGAGCTTGAGAAGGGTTCTCGCTCTGAGCTGTTGTTGCATAAGAGGTCCAGCCGCCAGGCAAAGATGGACGGAAACTGCCTTCACGCTCAGCAATTGGGCGTGGAGGTTGTAGTGGTTCGCTTTCTGCGGGCTCCATTTCAGGAGATGTTTCGGATACTACTGCATGCTGCCCACTGGTAATGATCCTGGCCTTGGCAAGATCTGGCGTTCTGGCAGGGCTGTTATCACTTCTAGGGGTGCTGATGTCTCGGCGATAACCTGGTTTGAAGCCTGGGATCTCTCGACCTCGTTGCTCGTCTCCAATGTCCTTGCTTGGCGCTGTTTCTGGCGAAATAGGTTCATTGACGACCTCCAGTATGGTTGGATTCGAGATATCTCGATGACGCGAATCCGGACCAGCTCCACTAGGTACTCTGCTCATAATAGGACTAATTCCAGTCGTGCCAGTGCTTTCACTATCAGTCCGTCTTGGACCACTGCCAGTATTTGAAGCGGGAGTCGGGGGCACGGAGGCATCGTCTGACCTATCGAATGCCTGATTGACAACAGATTTGAAGCCAAATGAGGGTTGGGTTCGAAGTTTGAGGTCCTCGTCGACGGGGGAAAGTGTTGTTGTCGAAGTCGTTGGAACGCTTCCTGCATCTCTGGTGGTTGGAGCCTTTGGGGCATCAGTACTTGGTTGAGAGAACATGTCCATTCCAAAGCCTGACATCCGGGTCAAATCTGGCAGCTTGGGGCTGATGGACAATCTCCTAGCCTCTTCTTCGTCGGTTTCTAAATCAGTTGCAGACTCGAAGGATTGCGTGCTATGCACTGGTCCTGTTTGAGGGGGTTGTTCACCAAGATTAACGCCTTCAAAACCGTACTCGCTCTTTCTCTCCCTCACCGGCTCTAGCATTGGCATCAATCGGCGTCCAGAATCGGAACCTTCATCGCCTTCGAAGCTTGTACGACGTCTTCCGGTGCCGCCCAGACTATCCGAGCTCGACTTCTCTCTCACTTGAGGCATAGCCGGAGAATCTGACCTATCGCTAGATTTAGCACCAGTAACAGAATCCATACTTGGTCTACCGGACTCAAGAGACTGTCTTCGTTCCTCCTCAGCACGGCGATAAATATCTGCCGGCCTAATAAAAGGCAGAGCTTTGCCAGTTGGTGTCCCTGGCGATCTTGCCGATGCCCCAGGAGAAGCTGACCGTCCAGATACCCATGGTTTCGGGGTAGTGTCTGCCGGAGAAGGTCGCATTATCTCCGATACTGGAGGTCCCATTGCTTGGCTCAGACTGCTTTTCCGTGCTGGAAATCTCGTGGAGGGAGAGTCCGTTGCGGATTGAGGAGCTGGTGACGCCCGGGAATTGAGTGGTTGAGGAACAGCAGACGGTGAGAAGTCCCGTCGGGCTTGGAAATCACTTGCAGTAGAAGGTGTTTCGGATGCAGGAGAGACGACTGAGCTTTCCCCCTGGTTGACTCTTCCCGGTTGCAATACATCAGGATGGGGAGATCCTGAGACCGGAGACACCATTTGACTTTGTTTTCGAAGTCCTGTAGGAGCTTGAGGCTGTTGGGTCTGGATGGAGAGAGCAGGAGGACCACTTGCATTGCGAGCAGAAGGTTGGCCAGTGATCTGGGAGAATCTGGTAGCAGGGCCAGCAGATGTAGCAGACGTAGGCGTCGCCGCTGCTGGAGATGGCTGCCTCATTGTACTGCTCGAAAAGTTCCGTTTCTCATCATCTGCATCGAATGAGTTCCTGCGGCCTCGAGGATCGTTCGCACCTGGCAAAGGTGGAAGTTCGCCATATTTCTTTGCACTATCAAACCCAGGAGATTCTGGCTTCGCAGAACTCTGTATGCCTTGCCCTTGCTGGCGAAAGCCGGTGGGTTTCGAGATGGGAGGAGGGGGAACATCGTATTCATCATCATCACCCCAATCGTCTCCTCCATAATTGACAGTCTTCGCTTCTGCCCACTTCTTCGTCTTCTGTCGATTTACATTCGTCTGATACGAGATGCTGGACGCAGATTGAGGGGTCCTGATGATGTGTTAGCATTGCGAAGGAATGTAGCGATGGAGGGAGCTCTGACATGGGCGAGTCCTGCTCAAATGTGTTTGGAAATGGTCGCGCCATGTTGGGCAATTATTATTGACCCGTCTGTTACGAGACATCTATCGTCGCGCCCATGTAGACATTGGTGAAGGGATTGATGGCGGGCAGAAATGCAAATGGCGCGCCGTGACGAGCGTCGATCGTTCTGTATTATTGTGCCCTGCTAATAACGTCAGGCTGGCAGATCTCGCTCTTACAGCCGGTAGACGCGAAGGCTGAAGGAAGCGGCGAAGGATGGAAAATTAAGATTAGAGGAAAGATCAGATGAAGCTGTAGATACTTCAATCCGATGACAGAATTTTGCTTGACTGGGAAGAACGACGACGACGATGCGAAGTGATATTTGTTCGATCTTCGTGCTGCAACAATGCAACAATCAAAAGTCTTGGTTCGGCTGGACAACTTGAAGGAACCCTGCACTCACTCGCACTCTGGCTGCACGCCAACCTCCAGTACTGTAATGATCGGCCCGCTTACCATCATTTCTCTCAGCTCAGCCACAGTCGTAGCCATTCATGATTGGCTTTTGCCACAGTCATACTGTCCCGCTACTCCAGATTGGCTCAAGCTTCTCGCCCTAATTTTAGTCTTGGCAACCTGAATTGCAGCCTTCGCTTCGAGGCCACCACAAACGGATCGACCTTTTGGCTGTGGCACATCGAAACACCAGCTGTCCTAACATCAAAACGATTCGCATTTCGACTTCGACTGAACCTCTATCTTCACTCAGCTTTCACTTCCTTTCTATTCGCGTCGACGATTACACTTCCTAATAAGAGATTGTATCCACACTCACTCCCTCGCCATTTCTTTGTCCTCAGCCACCTGTAATAATAATTCGACTTCGCGATCCGAGCCTCCGGAAGGTGGACCAGAAGGCGAACAAGGAGTACGAACCACCTGCGCCCCACGCTCCCAACGACATCAGCACGACCGTAACGTCGCCGCGACTTCGATACGCTCAGTCTTGCGCAGTCCATCACGATGGCGGTCTCTTCGATCCAGGACCGCACGAATGAGTTTCGATCGGTTCTCGTCCAAGTACAAAAACGACAAGCATCCTCAAAGGTTGGCGCACAAAGGCAATCGCTGCTCAGCGACTCCCAGAAAGCGGCCGCAAATGGAGATGCGAAGCCAAAAAGATCAGACTTCGCCAGAAGGGCAGCAGATATTGGAAGAGGGATCTCAGCTACAATGGGAAAACTAGAAAAGCTGGCACAATGTAGGATCTCCGCATGAATGCAGAGGCATCAAATACTGACTATGAATAGTGGCGAAGAGGAAAACTTTATTCGATGACCGGCCTGTTGAGATCAACGAATTGACATCCATCATCAAACAAGATCTTTCCGCGTTGAATGGACAGATTGGCCAGCTACAAGCGCTTTCCCGAGCGCAGCACCCAAAAGCCGACCAAGAAGGAGAGCACAACAAGAATGTGGTTTTCCTTCTGCAAGGAAAACTTACCGATGTATCGGCGAATTTCAAAGATGTCCTAGAAGTCAGAACGAAGAACATTCAAGCATCCAGAGCGAGAACAGAGAACTTCGTATCGTCCGTGTCCGCACACGTTGCCCCCCAAATATCACAATCCGCATCACCATTGTACAGCACACCAAACCGGGGCTCACCTGGACCTGGTCAAGATTCCTTATCGTTAAATCCCGTCGGAGATCAGCAACTCTTAATGATGGAGGAGGCACAGCCCCAAAATACATACATTCAACAGAGAGGCGAAGCAATTGAAGCCATAGAAAGAACGATCAGTGAATTGGGCGGCATTTTTGGGCAATTGGCGTCCATGGTTTCAGAGCAGAGCGAGATGATCCAAAGAATAGACGCCAATACCGAAGACGTGGTGGACAACGTACAAGGCGCCCAGAGGGAACTGCTGAAGTACTGGTCGAGAGTGTCTGGCAACCGCTGGCTCGTTGCTAAGATGTTTGGTGTTCTCATGATTTTCTTTTTGTGAGCATTTATTCCCTCTCTATAACCTTGCGAAGTTTTGGCTAACATACGATAGACTCTGGGTTCTGGTTGCAGGATAGAGCTGATTCTACAGCCGCGATGTACTGGCGGCTTCTGTGTTCTTGTATAACTATTGTAGAAAGTGCGCGCTGCATATACCATTTAATACAGTGGCTCTTGAGTCTCGAGCAAGTCTGAAGGTTCCACGCTTCCAGCATCACTTTCGTCCCTACTTTGTAGTTGATTCGGAGTATTGCTTCACTTTGTAAGTTCATGCGCGGCAAAAGCAAGTCATTGGACAAAACAGCCGAGTATCAAATCCAACCTGAGCTAGAATACATTTTCCCCGCGGTCTGCACTTCACCTCTGCTGTTAGATGCCGTCTTCGCATAGCTCCAAGCGGGTGTCTCTATAGAACCAAATATCAGAAGAAATGGCGGATCTGCTTCCAGAAATAGAATTCAGAATCAGCTCGAGTGAGCGTTGGAACATAGATCGATTGGCCGTTGATTCAAGACAGACGTTGGTAATTGCAGGACTACCAGACGTGATGCAGCCCTTGACTTGCGGTATCCGATCCCAAGACTTGATGTTACCTAGATATTGCAAATTTTGGATTTGATATCTTCTTGCCTATGGCCTTGTGTCATTGAATACTCAATAGTGCGACGGTATGAAGCTTTCCTCCGTTTTGCTTGTTGAGCCTAGTTTTTCTCTGGTGATGATTATGTCTGGATCCGTTCTTGCCCAGTACATGGATAATGCTTTAAAGAACTCGGAGATTTTACTTCGGAGCACGTCTGCAAGGCTTGGGGCATCACGATCGTCCTATGCTCATCCTGCTCCTATAAAAGTTGGTCAATGTCTATGTCCGGTTCAGAACTGTTGATGTCGAGATTGTCTCAAATGCTGATAGAATCTCACATTTCCACGTCGAATTTCAATTACAGACATTTTCCTTGCAAAGTATTAAACTTTGTTGTCGGACTTTCTAACATCTTCAGTCACGGTGCTCGAAATTGACAACGAGGAATAGCGTCGCCAAGGGCTTGTCACCTACACTTCTCGCTTCGCAGCCTTCTACGGTGCTATACAAGCCGCCTGGCTTGTCCCAACCAACCCGCTTCTGCGACCTCCTTGGCCTGTCTCCCCTGCTCCCTAACCCCCAGTGATTCATTTGAAGCGATTGCGGGACGAAGATGCAGGGCCTGACGTTCGATACTCCAGAGGAAAGGAGATTGCGTGCAATGGCCTGGTGGATGTTCAAGGTAGAAGGAGCCCAGCACACTTCGACCGGACCTGAGGCAGGAATCTGAGACGACGCGTGACTAAGACCAGACTTAAAAGTTGAGGTGACATTGGGCTTCAAAGATCATGTAGACTTTGTATTCTCCCAAGCCAATTAAAGATTCACCTTTACTCTCGGATCATGTGACTGTGCGCACTTGGAGCAGCTCCACTAAAAACAATCCAGCAAGAGCAAACCAGTTCTTCAACTTCCAACAAATATCAACTTCCAAACAACTTCAACTTCCAAAACATTTCGACTTGGAACCAATCTCAACCTCCAAAACCCTCGTACAAGATTCGCGCAGCAATAGCAATTGCACTCGAACCTCCCTCGAATCAACCCATTGTCTCTCTTACCGGCATCATGAACAAGCTGCCACCAGAACTCTATCTTGAGGTAAGTGTCACTTCAGCTCGCCTTCAACTTCAAACTTCTAACATTAGGATACAGATCGCGTCCATATTTGAGACAGCAGTACCATACGACCCTCCCCGCTCAGCATACCCACCAACACGAACAAGTTATTATAAACTCATCCAACAGTGGTTTAACAAGAAGCCGAGACCCGACGTGAAGAACCTGCGCAACCTCCGCCTGGTTTCGAAGGCTTTCAATGCTGCTGCCACAGTGGTACTGTTTCGCTCTACCAGCGCGAGGTGGTGGCTCGGCGCTGCTTGTCTAAGGGGCCAACTGAACGCGTCAATCCAGAACTCAATCCTGTCTCCTGCGAGTCCTCTCCCAAATAAGATCAAGTATCTCGACATTGATTTTCGCCATACCGGTTTGAGGTTGCTTGATTACCCGCCGACGAATCCTCGATCCCCAGCTCATGCAGAATCGAGGGAGCTCATCTACCAGCTTTCAAACGTATTGTCCTCGATTCCTGACTTGAGGTCCTTGAGTATCTCAACAGGGACGTGGACCAGCCACATGGAGCCCGTATTCTACGACAGTGACGACGACGTGGACATTCCTGCGGAGCCTTACGCCGAAGACGTGGACATACTCGCAGTTTCAGCTTTGATGGGACAAATATCCTTAGCTTTCAGTGCAATGACATATCCCCACTTGACAGAGCTGTGGTTGTCTCTTCCATGCACGCATGACTTCTCAATGTTGGGAAAGTCTTTACCATTATTCGAGCAACTGAAATCCCTATTCCTCTTAGTAGCGGATGAAACGGGACCGGGAGGCTCGCTGCCGGTCACCGGAGAGCCAAGCCGATTCAGCGATGAGGATGATGACATGCCTTCATCAAATCTTCAACAACAATATCCGAACAAGGATTATGCCGCGGCCATGTTTGAAGTTGTATCTCGCTGCACAAATTTAGAGATATTGGGACTGAAATGTACTCACAAACTGGACGACGATCTCTTGTCATTGAACACTTCACGACTTCGGTGTCTTTCGCTTCATCGTATGACCATTAGCGCTTCCAAGCTCATTGAGCTACTTCCGCCCTCGACTATAGCCAGACTCTGGTTTGAAAGTATTGAACTCACGTCGGGCACGTGGGCCGATGTCTTCGGCCATCTTCAGAACTGCGAGAAAGTCGAGTACATCAATCCCTCCAACTGTTCATATACTAGGGATGGCTCATCCTCCCATTTGATACTTTGGGCAAGAGGACCGTGGAAGGATTCAGAGAATGTCTGGAGTACCCATCGCCCAGATCAAAGCTCCCTGGTGGGCCTAGTTGAAGGGATTATCGACAAGTGGGGAGGCAGAGAGAACTATCCCAGCCTAGACATGGAGCAGAGCATGTTGCCGTCGGAATCTACAGACAGCTCTGAGGACAGCGAGGACAGCGAGGACAGCGAGGAAAGCGAGGATAGCGATGATAGCGATGATAGCGAGGATAGTGAGAATAGTGAGGACAGTGAGGACAGTGAGGATAGCGATGATAGCGAGGACAGCGAGGATAGCGAGAATAGTAAGGATAGTGAGGACAGCGAGTAGAGTGGCGAGAGTTCGTGGTACAGGTAGTCAAACTGGCGCTCATGTTTCTAGGCACAAATTTCTCCATTGAATCATAAGAAAGGAAGTAAAGTCCCGAATTGCAAGTCCCACAGAATGATGATGTCCGTCTCACTATTGTATTTCCGTAGCCGAGGCTCCAATACTGACAAGTATCCATGGTGTCGGCCCCACCTAACCGATGTTGGGTAACAGAAAAAGTTGCACTAATCCCAGACAAGATAATGCTGAGAGATGAGTGTGTCAGCACGGTTGTAGCCGGCGGCTTGCATTGCCCGCGCATCTCAGCTGCAACTAATCAGAAGAGGAAGATGGGTCAACCACTAACACCCCTTCCAAGAGCGATGAGTATTTCGTTCATATGTCCAACATCATGCAACTTACCCCGCTATTAATAAATCATATGCAAACGGCATTTGCTCATTGCCCACATTGGAGATAACGCATCTCAGCATTAGAAATGCAAAGTCTCTGGAATCCTCCTCTGATTCTACAACACATTAGTTCAAAGATTCAGTCTTTTTTTCGGAGAGGAAACAGGAAAGGGAAGAAGTAACCATGTTGATTCTCCAGTTTGATGAATGGTCGGCAAGCCGAATCGTTCTTGCGTCTGTTCTGGGGTATTTCCTTTACTGCGTGGGCGTTGCCATTCATCGTCTTTATTTCAGCAAGTATTCAAAGTTTCCAGGTCCCAAGCTTGCAGCGATTACATATTGGTATGTGTTCTGGTACGATGTGGTCTCAGCCAAGGGTCAATATATGTACAAGATAAGAGACTTGCACAAAGAATACAGTAAGTTGTATTCTCGAGTCCCCAATCAACTTATTGACTCGAACATAGATAGTCCCATTATCAGAATCAATCCACATGAACTTCACGTACTAGACCCCGATTTTTACGACGTCTTGTTCGCCAGCTTCCCAGCGAAACGTGACAAGCCACCTACTTGGTCTCACGCATTCAATACCCCCGACTCTTCATTCGGAACTATCCTCCATGAAGCGCATCGCCTTCGACGAAATGCTCTCGCTCCATTCTTCTCAACTAACTCTCTCCGCCAACTCGAGCCCCTGATCCAAGAAAAGATCTCGAGTCTCATTTCAGTCTTTCGTCGTTACCAGAAGACGGGCGAACCAATTCAGCTCCGCTCAGCGTTTGGTGCTTTGACTAGCGATATTATTGCCGAGTATTGCTTTGGACTTCCAGAGAACTACATCGAGGCGCCTGGCTTCAATGCCGTTGTTATGGAGGCTACTGATGGGTTAATTGAGAACACCCATGTCATGACTCATGTGCAATCGTTGCCGAAGGTACTAGATATGTTGCCGGATGTAGTTATGGAGACTTTGATTGGGAGTGGGATGGCACAATTCAATGTCATGAAACGAGTGAGCTACTTTCCTCTTTAAGATTCGTACGTCGTTGCTAATGAGATATTAGCATTGCATCAAGAAGATTCAAGACACGATCGCTACTCGAGACGATTTCACCAATTTAAAGCACCGCACAGTTTTCCACGAGCTTTTGGACAATCAATCCTTGCCAGAAAGTGACAAGACTGTGAACCGACTGTGGCAGGAAGCCCAACTGCTTCTGACAGCGGGGACCGCAACGACAGCGGCCGCTCTAGCTTCGGTATTCGTGTATCTTTTGCTTGATCAGGAGAGGCTTGCGGTTCTGCTAGAAGAGCTCGAATTCGCAATGCCTGATATCAACAAACCAATCAGTGCAACTGATTTGGAGCGCTTATCCTATCTGGTACATGATTCCTCCTCACTCCCTGTTCAAGATATTCTAACGAACCTGGTTGGACAGCATGGCGTTGTTCAGGAAACCCTCCGCCTTGTCTCGGGAGTATCCTACCGTCTTACACGATCCGCACCAACTGAAACTCTTCAAATTGGGGAATGGACTATCCCACCAGACGTGAGTTGTCTCGTAATTCTTCTAAGCCTAAAATTACTCATCATTTCAGACTGCTGTCAGCATGCACTACCCCCTAATCCACCATTCACCTGATATCTACCCCGAGCCATGGTCATTCATCCCCGAACGCTGGATTCCATCGCCCGCACCCGATACACCATATCATCTACCTTCGCGCCCGAAAGGCATCCCTCAAGCTAATTCAAAGTACTTGATGCCTTTCTCAAAGGGAACGCGCAACTGTCTTGGGTACCAACTCGCTTATATGGAAATGTATATGGGCATCGCTCAGTTAGCAAGAACATTCTTAAGAATTGAGAGGAATGATGAAGGGAAGGTTCTGGGAGTTGGCGGGATGAAGTTGTATCAGACTGATAGGAGGGATACGGATATGAAGAAAGATTCGGGCTTCCCTTTGCCTGAGGATGGGAGGGGAAACATGAGGCTTGTGGTTGAGTAATATTATGAGAAGAATGGCGATATGAAGCGCAGGGCGGATGTAGTGAATACCGCATGCAGTTAGTTCAAAGATTGCATACCCATGGGGAAAATTAGATTGATCTTGACTTCCTTTTACTCTAGTCAATACTTTGTAAAACAAATACACTTCAATATCACATCGTCACTTTCTCCTAGTCCTGTCTTTGTTTCCTTTTCACCACCGTGATCTTATTATCATCATACATTTAAACCTACCACTTCAGCTATGGCCACTCCCACCACGGACAAGGTCCCCCAGCTCCCTCCATCCCTATCTCAAAGGTCAGAACATCCAAGCTGACATGAGGATTCCAACTATCTCTTACCTCTCACTTTATCACCCAACCAAGCAGCCGGAACATAACATTTTGCTGGACTCCTATTCGTCTCCAGATTCTGATACCACTTACTACATCGCGTCAGCTCAGCTCTGCAACTCGTCACTTCCATCAGTCAGCATACTTATTCCCCTCCACCTCCGTCCCTTCAACCCAGCAATGCGTAACCGTCCACTCCCACTCCTTCATCACAAAATCGTCCTCCGTATCCGGACTAAGAAAACATTTCTGCCCCGCCTTCCTCTCCCCATCCCAATCCATATAGTCCGTCTCATGCGAAATATTCCCATCGAAGATCTCATACGGCCTAATGGGTCCACACCACGGCAACAACTCCTTAAAGTTCTTCGGCAATGACCCATTGTAATCTTTCTCCCATTTTCCCGGTCCCAGGTACTCGGAATTGATATAACAATCTTCCACTAAACGGAGGAAGTCCGTGCCGGTCCAGGTAGTGTGGTTTTGCCAGCAGAATACTTCGATGGTGTTGTTTGGTGCGGTCCAGGAATGGGTTTCTCCTACTTGGATTTCGGGAAATTCGCTGCAGCTGCCGCGTTGTTGGGGGTCGCTGGCTACAGTAAGAGTTCGGGGCCATTGCCACGGGTTGTAGCTTGGGCCGTAGTTTCGTTTCATGAGAGAAGTTGATGGATTGGTGAAGTCTCTTGAGATTAGTCCTGCGTGAGTCAAGAATGGGAAAATGCAGATGAAAGCCAAAGTCCGTAAAGCTGCCTGAGTGAGCATGTTGGCGCTTCCAGGTCAGTGACGAGATAATGAAGATGTTGACCTATCTTTAAATATCTTGAAACATTTAAAGTCTTTCAATGGAAGCAGTATATTTCATGCGACTCCGGCACTCGGAAGGAAGTCCTCCATAATCCGAGATAATCGAGATTCGGGTCAAGAGACTTATAGTGGAATGCTTCCATCATTTGTAAGATTAAGAGGTTATATTAGTTGCGCACAATGAGGTGTAGCACTATGCCTACTGCGGCGGAAATTTCGCTGTTCTATATTGGATATCGGATCTTCGGTTCCAACAATAGAAGTTTCGGAAGAGGAAGAACGTTTATGAGTATGTTGTGCTACCTCCGTCAATCTGGATGAATTCAAAACAACGTTAAAATGGCTGCAACTTAGTCGAAGACTCTGCAACGTTTCCGAAAGGTTCGCTTCGAAAACAATGCGACGTGGCATTGATGAGCATTCTCGATGCAACTTGTCTCTTTGCATCCGTTCTTTTCATGACAGGTTCGCGAGAGAGTATTCCTGAGCTCGCTTTGTGCCGTTTTTATGATAACCAACTTGAACTACATTCACAGAACCACGTGAATAAAGTAATTCTGTAATTGAAGACATAATGATACCTAAGAAATAATAACTTCAAACCAGCAGATTCTAGTGTGAATGGCAGCTTTAGACAATCACCATGCTCCAGTATTCCGAAAAACTATATAAGAAACAGGCTCTATTAAACTTTCTCAACTACGAACCGACCTCCACTTCATACTCAGAGAACACAAACAACTTTCCCTAACTCAAGAAAAGCACGGTAACAATAATCATAAGGTCTCTTCCAATCCTCGAGGCCCACCATCAAAGCCAACATGAAGCATCACCTCTCGAATATGTTACTTGTACTTACAGGCTTCTTAGCTGCAGTTACATGCACCGCCATCCCTCTATCTGGTACACAGCGCGCCAATACCACCAACCATATCTCCCCAAGAACAAATGATGTCACAATATATGACTTCGTTTATACAATCGCTGGAGAATCAAAGTACAAAACTTATATCTGCGAGGTTTATCCAGAGCCCAACGTTTGCATAGCTACCATGGTCGACGTATTTACGCAATACTCACATTCAGACTATGTCCAGATGTGGATGTTCGACAACAAGTGCAACCAGATCGGAAATAATGGCAACACGGTTACCAGAGACGATCTCGCCGCCCCCGGCGGATGGGGCTTCTCTTCTGAACTCGAGGACTTTCTTGTCGTCCATATCCCCAGGGATTGGCCAAATTCCGGTCAAGCTACTTTCGATTACAACAGTCAAACCACGCTGCAGCCGGACCCAGACAATCGTTATAACAGCCAGATCTCGGTGGGTCCACCCTCACAAGAAGAAACAGACGGATTTATCTATACTCTTGTGGGCCAATTTGACTGCACCTCTCCTACTCGAAGGTGAAACTTACTGTACTCCTGTTGTCGATAAGGTTGAGGAAGCGTAAGGCAATTCAATGTCCTATCACTAGAGGATCACCGTCAGGTTACGGGATGTATGTGCTACAGGTTTTTTTTTGATGTTAATGAAACCCGTTATTCAAAATAGAGAGCCTCACCTTTCGCAATCGAACCTGTGCTTGTCCATGAATGATTATGTGGATGTCCTTGTTATGAAATCAATGGAGCAATGATTCACATGTGATATGATGATGCAAGAAGTAAAGAGTCATCGTGTAACGAAAAGGATCGTCGTATTGAAAGAGCGAGATAAGATCTGTCGTCAGATGCCAAGTCCAATGCTTTCAGTGTTCCACGCCTTGGTCGTCCCACAAGCTTCTACTTCTTCGAGTCTTTTCCACATAGTCTCGTGCACGTAACACACCTCGCGCTTCCCTTCGCATCGATGTATTTTTTCCGAAAGAGACATGGCTTCAGCTTCGTCTCGAGATTCGCCAAGCACCACATGATGATCCTTCCTTCTTCCCGACAACCGCAAGCATAGATCGTTCGTTCTGTGACGCACATCTTCGACTTCGAGATCGTAATTTGATAGATGCTGATGTGCTGAAGGACTGTTGAACCGTTGTTTGTTAGATTCAACAAACAAATGAGCTCATATTCCTCGTACCTGGTGGATGTGTTCAAGTTTATCAAAGACGATCGCGTGAATGTTAAGCTGAGATATCTTTGTATCAGAACTAGAAAGATTTTCTGCATACGTACTAGCTACAATACCTTGCCTAAGTCAAGGTGAATTTGCGTAGTCTTCCGACCCCATCTCGTACAATCTTGAGATTGCTCTCCCTACTGCAAATCCAACATCGGTTTCCCCAGCCCCTCCACTTGCCAGCGAAGCTTCAGCAAGACCCGTAGCAGACCACTCCATCTCGCCAATAAACGTACTCATCATACTCGAACTACTTCCTCCTTCCCTTTTAACAGTCATCTGTCGAGCTAGATCCTCCTGTAGCTGTCCTCCAACACGGATTTTCTTCGGCACTATCTCCGAGAATATCTCAAAGAGTGGCACACTCGACAAGCAAATAATTCGAGTCTTCGACTCATATGCCAGATCTACCAGCGTGATAAATCTTCGAACGAAGTCTAGTTCATGGGCTCTGAACTGGCGAACCCCTGTCAGATATACCGTTTTCGTGACCCGACACAACATAAGATAGTCTGCAGAGCCCAGAAAATTCTGACATAGATCCTCAAAGGTGCTCCTCACGATAAGCTCTCCGTCCCAAATCTTTGCAGCAGCGATTCTTAGCTTCCGGCCCATTTGGACAGGAAACTCCATTGCTTCTAACTCTAGACCACCGACGGCCCCTCTGAAGTCTCTCTCAAAGTCATGTGCCTCAGTAAAGAAGACATTCACTCGTCTCTCTCCACCGCTACTCATTCGATAGTCTTCTTTCCCTTCCATCTTCCAGACCTCACACCTTCTTCGCAATTCATCGACAAACGGTAAAAACAAACTCCGATTCAATCCGTTCTCATATAGCTTCTCGGGTGGACGATTACTCGTGCTCACCATCACCCCACCACTCTCCCAAATTGCGCCAAACACCCTCCTCAGGATCATAGCGTCCGCGATATCCGTGACTTGAAACTCATCAAAGCATAACACTCGACTCTCATTCCGTATATCACGTCCGATCTGAATCAATGGATCGCCTGCATAGAATGCTTGGGGATGGGCATGATGCAAGCGCATGTGAATGTCCATCATGAATTCGTGGAAGTGTATTCGTCGTGACGAAATTGATGGAGGGAGAGTAGCAGCAAAGAGGTCTGCAATGCGTGACTTTCCAATTCCGACATCGCCGTATATGTATACCCCTTTTGGTGACCCTTGGTTGTGATTCCGCAGGGCGAGATCAGCTTGCAGGTTGGCGAGATGCGTGACGAGAGCTGCTTGGCAGGGGTTCTGGAGAAGGCGTTGATGTTTGAGTAATGCTTTATAGGCGCTCTGGAGAGTGCTCCTAGACATTCTCACTAGTTCGTGGAATTATTTTCATTGTGTCGAAAAGACATTTGGAAATTGCTTCGCTCGCTTGGAAGCGTCATCGAAATCTGAGGGTGAGTTTATCTACCGAACCCACAATTTTGATAACCGCACCTCACTTGGGTCAAGGCAGAGCCCTTCGATATGCAAAAAGAATGCGAAATTGTGAAAGGGGGTAGGGATGAGTGGGACGTAGAATTCGAGAAACCTATAGGTTTGAGTGAATGTTTGAAGGAGTATTGCAATTTTCCCAAACAGTCCTGATAACCGCAGACCCACCAGTAGGTACAAACGCCAAATGCCATCCAAGGTATTCACCAACACTGCTCTGATCTTTCGTTTCTTCATTCTCCATACAGGCCGCATATCTATTCACTTCTAAAGTCGCTTATGTCCTCACCCGCTCCTTCTCTGCAAGTGTCCTATTCCAAGGCTTCTTCTCTTTCGCTTGATTGAGCAACTTTGTCCGATCGAAGATTGTGTCTCTGCAAAGCCAAAGTCAGACAGTGCTCTTCTGCAAAACTTAGAGAAGTAGAGAAAAGCGCAACATACAATCGATCTTGCTCTGGGTGAACAATAGTATTATAAATTTTCAGATGTCCCCTCTCGTTCTCCGCCATTTGTTTCCTTATCGCAATATTGAAGATCTCATACACGGCAAAGACCCCACCAACTGCTGAGCCGGAAATAACCACGAAGTTTCGCAAAATCTTGCCAGCGACTGCCGATGGAATGGATGCCATTATGATTGATTAAATTCAGTATCTGCTGCGGAAAGCGCTCGTGACAGTGTTGCTCGTTACCGAAAGATTGTTTGGGAGTACTTGGTACTGTGGAGTCCAGGCTGTTCGCATGAGTGCAGAGAAACGGATTCCTGCATCCCTTGGGACTTTATAATACACATAATGGCAACTCAAAAGTTGTGTTGACGATGTTGTGGTTCGTGGACTTTCCAAGTGGCATGTTCGGGTCAGGCCGTGGCGTGAGATGAAGTCATTCGCAGTTCAGGGCGTTCGGGCTGAGCCGAAATATCAGCCGATGAGAAGACCACAACTTACACTTTTCGCATGACTATGAAAATATTCTGAGATGAGCGACTTACAGATTCTCAGCGTTATGGAAGATTTCGGTTCAACAAGCAGAAGAATAGTAGCCGAGATAGAAGGTTGAAAATCGGATTGAATGAGGCGCGGCGGTCCAAAATTCCAAGGAACGCTTCAGGGGCTCGCTTAGCACTTGGCATCCACTGCTTCCTCCACTTCATCTTCATAGTGCAACTTGTTTCTCCCGAGTCAGTAGCTGCCTCGCCAAGCATCCCGATCACAAATTTCATACGTAAATCGACTTACCTATACTGCTCCTTCCTACCTTCAGTGAGTTTCTACACGTCGAATCCTCCAACCCTGATGATCAATCCTCTGTAGAAGAGATGACACATGGTCCTTATTCGATCGAAGCCAGTAACTCCGAGAGTTTTTGGCTCTTCACTCTCTTTGCGAATTATATTGTTTAGTTGAATTCTTCGTGCGTGTCGATGGCAGAAATGCGTCAACAATTCAGTGGTCAGGGACTTTCGAAGTAATCGACACCTGAAGGTCAATCTCATGCCAAGGAAGAGCACAGTGCGCAGCCACCCCTCCTCTTGGAGGCTTAGCTATCTGTTGAAGCAATTCTTGTGCGCCACCAAGCCAGTGTTGCAGATACATGACTGCCTTCGTCCTCGGACGACGCCAACGATGAGGATTGAGAGTCTAGAAGGTATAACACTTCGCATTCGAGGCATTTCCGACGAGCTAAGCTATCTTGTAATCTTCAAGCTCCATGTACTAGTCTCAACTATTACATCAAGTGTTGTGGATTCGGCTAGGGGTGTTCAGTTCATGATAGTAGGAAAGAATCTATCGCTTTGAAGGGTAGTGTCCTTCGCGGTCTTTCACTACTCGACGTCGTTCCATATTACTCTCTGGATATCAAGTTTTTATTCAGGTTCATTGAATCATCTTCATAAATTTTGTTTGTGATTCCATTGTGAACAATTTCACGTTAGAGGGGTTTGAATCGTCGGTTGTTCTTCTTGTCAGAAATTAGCGATGATCAAGATAAATTAAGGTTACAGCACATCACATGCAGGGTTTAGCAGAGACTCCTGGATGCTTCCTCAGCAATATTCTGACCTCAAGTGAACTTTTCCCCAGAACTCGTATTGAACTTATCGACCTTTGCAGGGTTCTTCCACGGGTGCCTTGAAGGATCTGGATTGCGCCCCACTTTCGCTGTCACACCCAGAAATCGCACTTTAACTGCCATTGCTTACTCATTCCAACTGTCGATCAGTGGTACTGCCACCTCAGTGCCGCAATCGTCGGCTCTTATGTGACCGACTTCAATAGCAATATACTCAAGCGAAAATTGACTTACGTGCAAAATGGCAATGCTTAGCTTTCGGCCGACCGTCTCGGACCAACAATGTTGGCACAAAAAACGGGTGCCTATTTACGTGGGCCCTTTACCTTGGCGCACCTCGTCAAATGTCACTTCACGGGAATCAATGTATGCAAGGCTTGAAGATACTCAGCCTCGATTGAGTTGTAATTCTCTTCGATGCTTGGCTTCTTGTCATAAAGAATCCTCCGACTCAAACCCGGAGATGGCACGTGACACCTCAGGGCAGAGTCTATGAATGTTTCCACTTACTCATGCGTATATATCGCGGTCTCCAATCTGCCATGTCATTGATGTAGATAACTATGGCTCGCAGAGACGATTCACCTCCCTCCACCGAGAGTAGTGGTGCCAGCATTTCATCATTCACGCCGCTCGAGGAATCAGTCCCTCACTCACCCTCGCGAACACGACACCTTCCCTTTCGAATTCCAAAATGGAGACGACAAGCCCATTCCGAAGGACCTTTTCTCAATGAAAAGCGACGAATACATATCAGACAACTGATCAAGTCAGCTATATTAATTTTACTTCTCACTTCTCTTGCCATTGTGTAAGTCACCTTGCAATCCTTACGATTTTGCTTCGTTGCTTGTGCTCACACACTCTGCAGAACATGGCTTGCCCTCATACTCACTGTTGCGAATCGACTTCGAATACCTCATCTCAACAATGGTCTCCAAAAGATCTTAGAAACATATCACGCACCTAACTCTACACACGCAGCATATCCAACATGGGTTGAAGACTTTAGCAGAGGAGTCAAGCCAGTATCGTGTCACTCACATAACGACTACTGGCATCGAATACCCCTCTATGAAGGTCTCGCTGTCGGTTGTGTTGGCACAGAGGCAGACATCTGGATTGGCAACCACGGAAATGGAACGGTTGACCTCTTCGTAGGACATAACCAGAAGTCCTTGACTCAATCACGAACACTGAGGACTCTGTATCTCGATCCTCTCTACGACATTCTTTCCAACCAAAATACTCTTTCATCAAGTCTGCCAAATGTCACAAATGCGACGGGAACGCAAGACGCCGTCAGCGGTTCGCCAACGGGCGTCTTCTCAACTTCACCAAGTACTTCACTTATCCTCGCGTTGGACATGAAAACAGACGGACACGCAACATGGGACACTGTCATCGCTCAACTTGACACTCTTCGCGTCCAAGACTGGCTTACATACTGGACCCCATCGCAAGGTGTTGTTCAACGACCAATTACTATCGTGGGAACAGGAAACACACCTTTCGACCTTGTCATATCGAATTCATCATACCGAAACATATTCTTCGATGCTCCACTCACTTCGCTATCTGACCCGAATACTCCATATAACAGTAACAACTCTTACTACGCAAGCTCATCCATAAAGGCTGCTATTGGCACAGTGTCATTTGGGAAACTGAGTGGAGGGCAGAGAGATAAGGTTACAGCGCAAGTGGATAAAGCGAATCAGTTGGACTTAAGGAGTAGGTACTGGGACACAGTCAGCTGGCCGGTAGGGTGGAGGAATCGGGTTTGGGAACAACTTGAAGACCTTGAAGTAGGGATACTGAATGTTGATGACTTGGCTGCGGGCGCAAGGTGGGATTGGGAAATGTGTGTTGTGGGTGGTGTAAATATCTGTAATTCGTAGAAATCCACGAAATGCTGTTTTCGTCCAAGAAAATCAGGCTGGTTGTGATGTGCTGAATTCGATTTTCATCTGTTGATTGTGAAAGCTTTACGCACTTGAAAGTATGTCCTCAATCCTAAACGCGATTATAGAGTACAGAGTGTACAAACAAGAGCACGGCATCGACTAAGCTGTATGAACTGAGTATACTGAATGCGCGAAATGCGCGGATTGCGGGGAACGCGCTGAGTGCGGAAAATATGCTGCCGAGTACAGTACAGTACTTAGCATCCGGCCAATATAAAGTAGAAGACAATGAACAAGATTTTACAATACGTAGGTTGACTCTAGCTATCTAATTTTCCGCTCCAATCTTCATATACACCCTTTCCAATGCAGAATATCCCAACATTGGGACGATACTCTTGATGATCCCTGCATGTCAAACCTCGCTTAATCCAGGGGCTCAACTGTTTATACATTTCCGGGAGCAACATCTGAATCACGATTGATGTGAGAGTCATATCTTCTCAATATAAATGGTTCATTGTTCGACTCTATAATATCAGGCGTGAGACTAAATCCGTCTTTAAAACCAAGGCCCACAACCACAGTCTCTGGGTGCCAGAATTTGACTATACGTCCGACATCATGTTCTGCCGACTGCTAGGTTTCTCTTTCCACATTTCCTCCACAACCAAGTCTCGAATTTTCCAGCCTTCGCCAATCTTTCCAACCTCTAGCGTGCTCTCGTTTTAGGTTCGTGCTTGTTACAGAAACTAGATCTAGCAATTAGGTGTGAGATTGAGCAGCCATTGGGACAGTAGATCATCTGTTGAGTTTGTTGGTGCACAGACGCAGTCCATCTTTCGACGGGACATTACGCTTACATACTTTGTGATGTAGTATGATGATTTCGCACCTAGTGGATGGTACTTGGAAGTCCGAGATGCTTCAGGGGTTCTTGAGTTTCTCGAAGTAGATATGCGGATCGAGATATTGCTTGTCTTCTGTTTGTGATGAGGGTGGGGCAAGAGAAGTTGAAATTTGGTTTCAGGATATTTAGTAGACCTCTTTGACATGCTCATCTTGTGAACGTTTGCATGATGAAATGACGGCGCGTCGTGAGTAGCATTTTGTCCCATCGACGATGTGCATCTGAATAATCTTCCGTCCAATAACAAAACTGACGCAGCAGAGATCATTTCCTCACCTGCGAGAAATCAGAGGCTCCTGTGTCCGCTATATGACCGGGACGGCAGCATATGAGCTGCTTAAAGCTTACACAATAGCAAAAGGAAGTTTGGCAGCTGAGTAACATCGTAATTAGAGCAGCCATGCATTCAAATAACAACTCAAGCATCTTGTACTTTGCCCTGAGTCTTTTCCGTAACAAGTGATGAAAGCAAATATAGCTTCACCACAGGGCACCAGGTTTTAAACTCTATATATATCTTCCATGCTCCTGAAATAAAGAATTTAGAATAAAAGTTAATGCATTATGCCGATTGTGTGTTGCCGCTGTTAGGAGCTTTCTTTTGTATTATAGATACTTGTGGGCCTGTGTAGTTGATTATTGATGCTTATAAGGAAGGGCAAGTTGGTGAGTTTATTCTTTATGATCTGTTATAGATAATAATACTGATTCAAATGTAAGTTTTCTCTTGTTTTGAAAGCTCAGGCTCGACTTAGAAAAGGCTCGTATGAGAAAGGTATAAAGGAATAAAGATATTTAGATAATAGGGATACGCCAATTTGATTACGATCTGTTACTGCCCCCTTCATTGGTCGAGTGATTAATCTTAACGAACATTCTTTCTGGCTAAGGTACTCTGTCTCCATCAACCACTTCGCTGTTTCAAAGGAATCTACACTTGTACGTTGTTTTGCTCATTTCAGACATTTTGCCCCTGTGAAGTGGTTTACTCCAATTCATACACCCCGTTAGGCTGAATCTTTCAACACTACCCTTTCACTCGACACGGAGTGTCGAAGCGTCAGCCAAATCGCCTTTCTGGAGCTTGGAATAGTATGTATATGGCCGTTATCTATTTAGTTCTGCCATTTGGATTCGATTCCCCGAAACCTGGTGCGAGGTTAGCGAGAAGAAAAGTAGCTATTGAACGATTGTATGAGCTCTTTGCATAAACTCTTCCCCGTCCTCAACGTGAGACTTACGTTTCGAGTTGAGAGAGCCACCATCTCAATTCTCCGAATCGGCTTCATAGTTTTCGAATTGATATGAATGTTGCCCCGTCGAGGGAGGTAGAAAACTTGATTATGCACTGGAGCCTCAACATCTGGAAATTGAGCCTAGGCGTTCCTTCCCCTTTCCTTGAATCAAACCACGGATTAGAAGGGCAGAGGACTGTTGTCATGTAGTCGAGTGCATGGCATCCAAGACAATTCTTCATTTTATGGGAGACCTTGATCCCCCATCGGCTCCGCTTCAATTATGTACAATGATCAATCATTTAGCGCAAAGATGAAATCATTACGCCCCTCTGTCCCCTCCTTGATCCTTCTGCTCGTTTGACTTTCTCTTGTACTGTTTCAAAATTCTCGAAATGATGGGATGGCCATTTGCTGCTGCCAATTTCGCTGCTCTTTGACACCGTGCATCGATGCCGTCTCCATCAGCATCGTTCTTCAGAAGCAACGATACCACGTCTAGACGGCCTTGCTCTGCTGCTCCTTCAAGAGCAGTCCTCCCTCCTCTTGTTGATGGTGCGGCATTTATCTCAGCCCCAGCTCGGAGGAGTAACAATACAATAGAGCTCCTACCCTCCATCGCCGCAAATTGAAGTGCGGTACCACCACAAGACTCCGCCGCCAGCGCATTACAGTCTGCACCATGTTGTAGAAGCAGCTTGATGATGGGCACATAACCGCGTTGGACCGCTGCTTGAAGAGCGGTTCTCCCATTGTTAGCACTTGCGGGCGCATTTATGTCAGCACCAGCATCTAGTAAGAGTTGAATAGTGTCGATATCGGGTCCTTGGCATGCTTGCTGAAGAGCGGTCGGTCGACCTGGCAACTGTCCATTCACATTTGCCCCGGCATCCAGAAGACGTTGGGTCAAACGACGATTTCTTGCTGCGGCGGTAGATAGTGGTAGGCCATAGATGCTACTCTCTCTGTTAACATCCGCGCCTGCCGCAATCAAGTCCTCAACAATGTCTTCATTTGCCGGAAATCTTGCCAACGCGAGACCTAGGGCTGTAATTGCGAGACTTTTGACACTCGAAGTCAGATTGGCGTTTGCGCCATTTGCAAGCAGAAGAAGCACGATGTCCCTCCGGTTTTCTTTGACTGCAAGTACCAAAGGTTTCAGAGGGACATCGTTAGTGGAAGCATTGGCATCTGCTTGAGCTTCAAGCAATATGCGAACGATTTCGATGTTTCCACCTTTGACTGCTGCTTGCAAAGCGAACTGTGACTTTCCTCTCTTTTATCCAAGGGCATTAGCATTGGCGCCTGCCTCAATGAGAGACTGGACGACAGCAGAGTTTCCACGTTTTACGGCCTTGACGAGTGGCGGATGTCGACTTGTTGCTCCGTTGGGATCTGCAGTTTCCAAGAGCTTGAGAGCTAGTGTCAGATCATTATTACATACAGCGCCATATAGAGCTGACATCCCCTTCAGTGAACTAGGTGGTGCGTTGATATCTGCGCCCGATTTGAGAAGAATATCAACTGAAGCGCTGTCGTGCCCTTGAATTGCTGCTTGGAGCGCAGTTCTCCCCATTTCACTGGCAGCCGGAGCATTGACCTCGGCACGAAACTTTAAAAGAAGGCGGATCATCTCAGCGTCACTATTCTCAGCGGCTATTTGAAGGCAAGTCCTTCCACCTCTAGGGCTAGCCTTGGCGTTCACATCCCCTCCAAGGTCCCTGAGTGTTCGCAGAATTTCTCGATGGCCTCCCTGGGCTGCAGCTTGCATGGCCGTCCTTCCATATCTGTACGCAGGGAGTGCGTTCACGTCGGCACCCTCATGTAGCAGTATCTGTACAATACTGTCGTTTCCAGTGTATGCCGCAGCCTGAAGGGCAGTTCTTCCGCCATTTTTGCCTGCAGCAGTGTTGACGTGGGCGCCATTTCTGAGGAGGAGCCGTACCAATGCAACACTGTCGTTCCTCGCAGCTATTTGTAAAGGTGTGTCTCCACAATTCTGTGCATTCGGATCAGCCCCGGATAACAGAAGTAGACGAACAAGAATAGTATTCTGGTTTGATACGGCGTGTTGCAGCGGCGTCATTAGATAATCGACATTGAAATAATCGTTTTCCTTATCTACATCATCCACAGATTCGTTCCTTGGATTCTGGATATGCCCATCTACATTCGCGTCCAGATCCAGTAGTATCTGAACTATCTCAACGTTGTCATTGTATGCTGCAAATTGAATCGGCGATACCTGGTGCTTGAACTGGCCGTCCTCCGCTGCTGCCACACGAGCTGTCTCGTACCGATATCCGAATGGAGCATCGACATCAGCTCCGGCATCGACAAGAATCTGCACGATTGCCACATCATTGACCAAAGCTGCTGCTTGTAGCGCTGTGATAGAAGACTTCGTCATCATGTTCACCTCTGCTTTCGACTCCAAGAGTATTCGAACCAAAGCCGCGTCGCGGTTCAATACCGCAGAGGTCAATAGCGTATGCGGAGTCCAATAGTCGATAGGCGCAACATTCGCGTCACCTCCTGCATTGAGCAAGATCTGGATCAATTCATGGTTGTTGTCTAATCTTACTGAAGCTTGTAGTGGAGACTCCTTCTGGTCGAGCGTAATACTTGCATTTGGGTTTGCCCCCGCATTCAGCAAAAGTCGAACGAGGTGCACGTCACGTTCCCTCGTTGCCTGATATAGCGCAGTCCTTTTGTATACCCGGCCTATTGGTGTATTGACATCTATCCCATGAGCGAGAACAGCAAGTACCATATCAATCTCCTGCAGTCTGGTTGCATTAAGAAGTAGGTGTGACAGGAAGATCTCCACTGATGGTGTCTTGATCTTGATCAAGCGTTCTATGAGGAAGGATTGATCAGTCTTAATCATCCACTTGAGCAACTTATCAATTTGTGAATCGAACAAAAGATTGTTGGATGAGAGGAAAACGGTATAGCGTAGAAGCTGAAGTGATGCATCGACCATCGATGATAAGTCAAATATTTTCTTGACATTCCGCACGAGCTCCCCGTCTTGTCTCTCGGGTAAGAGTCCAGCTAATCGTGAAGTAACCGCGTGGGTGGCATCCTCATCATTTGAAAAATAAGGATCCCCTATTATATCTGCGAATACTGATCGTGCTTCTTCGTTGGAGGTGTGTGAATTGAAGGGACTTTGGTTTTCATCCGCTACTTCAACAGACGGGCTTAAGTATCTAGAAAGAGCATCGCCGGGAAAATCAAAGTCAAAGCCTGTCTGGACATTTGTTTCGATTTCGTGGAAGTTCCATTGTTCCTCGGGCAGTGTGAACTGAGGAATGGATGAGTTGACGCTGTAGATGTCAAGAGACCCAGGAAGGTTCCTGTCGTCGCAGGGGACGAATGCAGGATATCGTTGATGAACATTGCCCCGCGGGAAGTCGACTATGGCATATTAGAGGAGATCAAATAGAGATGTAGAGTGGGTACAAACCATCTCTATGAATAAATTCCTCGAACTCAAACCACGGAATATGAAGGTAGTCCACAAATCGAGGCTCCCAATCTCCTCCTCGTGGCGTGCAAACTTCGACCCCAGTAGGTGTTTGTAGAATCGGTGCTGGCAGACTATTAACTGGTGGAATTTGTCAAGAGCTACTTGTTGAGCGACCACTTACATGTGCCGAGTGTATTGTAATAGGAAGGGAGAAGATATCTTGATGTTTCCTTCTTGATCTTCTTGTTTGGGATTAGTTTCCCGTTGATATATGTCTCGCTCTCCTTGCCATCGCGCTTCCGCTTCTCCAATTCTCGAGCCACAAATTTCCATTTGTCACTTGTAGAATACTTTGAAAAGTTCCATTGCTTGAATTTCCGGGTGTATTGAGCTTTCCTTCAAATATGTCAAATTGATTGTGTGTTTGGGTGTTTGTTTGAATTTTGGGCAACTAACTTTGCAATGAAGCCATGGTCTTCCTCCATCAGAGACATGACTTTGCTAAGCGTGTGGTTCTGGTACAGCCTTTCGATAATCTTTTTTTGCACTTCCCACTCGGCATCTGTGATCGTTCGAGTGTCGGACATCGTTGGTCGTTTGAAGACTTCACGAAAGATAGACAGTGTGTCGACTGCATAAATCCTGAGATGAGGTAGGACGAATAATGGGCATTGATGTCTGGAGAACTTTGATGTGAGCATAGATCCACGAGGTTGGTCCAAGCCAAAGTTCGCCGCAAGTGCGAGCCTAGGTATACCCTGTTGCAATCCTATTGGTAAGGCAAACCCGCGCATGGAATATGCCGTAGACCGCCGCGTGCCGCCCCTAGCAGCTCGCCCGGTTTGTATGCTCAGGTCCCGCGTCTGCTAGGCATCATGATTGGATATTTCCACAATTTTGTTGTGTTCGCAGGCCACCAGATGGCAGGAAGCCGCATAGGTCACAATTCGAGTCCCGCTGATTGGGCTTTCCCGAAATTCTGCGTCCAAATTCATGCACAGCTTTCGGCTTGTGCCAAACGAGACTTGGAAAGAAATGTGTCGGGCCAGAATTTGCGACGGTCTAGGTAATGGGTTTTGATATATTGGGAGGTGCATCTTGATGTTGACAGAATTAATTATACCCAATTAATTACTCGCGACACAACACAAATTCTCTCTCTTGTGAATGGCGCTCTCCAACAAGACAATTATCGCCATCCTAGCTGGATTACGCGGCCATCGCGCCTGAACATAGCATTTAGCTGTAATAAAGAAGATACACGTCTTTAGAATACTCTTTTCCCCACTATAGATATGTGGTAAAGAAGGTCACACTAAGATTACCATTTCTGGCTTAGCCTCATCCCTCCATAAAACACCTCCATTTACTTCAGCGCTTTCATACTCTCAAATCACAAAGCAAGCAAATTAACTGTCCCAGATCTTTCTCGAAAGTGTCCCCGTTGGCTTGACTTGAACTAGAAGACAAGCATATACCTTTGTCGATTGCACGTTATCATTCAAGGCGGACTCGGGTAAACTTTATTTCTCTTCATTACACAAGATTCATTTTGGGCAGTGGGACGGGTTTTGCGGGTTTTGGAATCTTAGGCGAGAAAAGAGACTGCACCAAGTTTCCGCCCAATCACTTGCACAGGGGGATTTGTGCGGCTTTTGGAAGAGGAGTTAGGTATTTGGACATGCCGTGAATCCTGGTGCTTGATAATGTTACATCTCACTTCCCCACAGAACTCACTCATATAAAAATGCATTCCTGTGTCTTCAGTAACAGACGGCGTACTCATATACTACACTTCACTGACAATGGCTACTTTAAGCGATAAGAGACAATTCCTAGGCGGACAGCTCTTTGGATCGACATATATTCCCAAAGATGCAGACTTGTCCGGCAAGACTATAATCGTCACTGGCGCAAACACAGGAATTGGGTTGGAATGTGCGAAGCATCTGTACGTCAGCCGTCCTCGTCGAGCTCAACAGACTGGCTAACCACTCCAAACTCCACAGGGCTCGTCTCAACGTTGCAACGCTCATCCTCGGATGTCGCAGCCTTCAGAAAGGCAACTCGGCCAGAGATATCATCATCCGCGATACGGGTTGCAAGACAACGACGATCGAGGCCTGGGAGCTTGACCTCGCTAGCCATCAATCAGTCCTCGCTTTCGCTAAGCGCGTCCGAACCTCACTTTCGCGCCTCGATGCATTCATTGCTAATGCCGGAGTGAGGTTGATGGAGTTCACACTGGCTGAAGGGATCGAAACGACAATCACCGTGAATGTGATTTCGAACATGCTCCTCAATATAGGAGTGCTCCCTAAGCTCCGAGAAACGTCTGTAAAGTATGGCATCCCCACCACCCTGTCTGTTGTTGGGTCCATGATGCATATCTTCGGGCCACCAGAGAGCATGGCGCCTCCTTCAAAGGGCAAGGATACATTTGACTTGTTGAGTGATCCTTCGACTGCGGACATGGGCCCACGGTATTCGCTCAGCAAGACTTTGATTCATGCTCTCTTGGCCGAATTTGCGACAGTTGCATCAAGGCCAGGAAAGCACGAGCAAGTGATCGTCAATTGGGTCAACCCAGGGTGGTGTGCGAGTGACCTAGACCGACACAAGAAGGCGCCACCGCTAATACAACGATTTGCGTTTGCTGTAATGGGGAGGACTGCGGAGGAGGGAAGTCATACACTAGTACATGCCGTTGTCGCTGGGAAACAGACGCATGGTTGCTATCTTTCAGAGTGTCGGCCGAAGCCTGAGTCGGAGTTTCTGCGCAGCAAAGAAGGCGTCGAGGCGCGGGAAAGGCTCTTTCAAGAGTTGATGGTCAGAATCGGGAAGATATCGCCTGAGACCGCAGGATTTATTGAGTGATGTTTTTGCACTTGTTCAGACCCCATGCCGTTGATCACTAGAGTTCTTTCAATACAGACCGTGTTCCCAATCGAGTGGGTAGCCCATATTGATACTATCCGTGAACGTGAACCAGTTGAATTGCGCGTCGCCACTCGTCGCATTGACTTGGTTGCCTTGAAGGATACCGTTATTCTCATTCTGACTGTCAAGGCCCAAATCAAGGGCAGACGTTGAGAAATTTGAAGTGGAGGAGCAGCCTGGCGCATTAACATCGCGCACACTGGACAGGTTCGAAGCTTGACACGATATGGTGCTTGAATGCTTAAGTCGCTGAAGTCGACGCATGAGTTTCGTGATAGGTTTCCACAGCATTCCCGCACTAGTGTCGGCAACCAAACTTGAATAGTGATTGAAGCTCTGAATAGCAATTGCATAAGCCATATCATAACTTTTCCCGGGAGGCTGGCTACACAATTCAACCAGTACGATAGCCAAGGCATTCCAGCGGACCCAAGATTTCCATGCCCACGGAGCGAAGTCTGCTGATTTGGTGACCAGCTCCTGCTGTAGAAGTTTCGTTGAATGCTCCAACACATTGAAGTTATCCGACAGAGGAACGAGTCCGGGCCGTTGCTTGTAAGGCGGTCTTCGAAGAACGAGATGCATGCTAGCGATAATCCCTTTCGCCACTTGCTTGGTAAACCTCTCGAAAGGGTGTGCATCTTCACCAACGTTGAAATAATCTTGTTTTACGGACAGCTCAAATGAGGACACAAGTTGTAGTCTGGCTGACCATCCATCTTCTGCGCTGTCCGGTATGCTCGTTATCTTTTTCTGACACACCATGGCCCGGAACATCAAAGCCAGAAATGACATGTCATTGAAAACCGGGGATGAAGATAGTGGTACGGTGGTTCGTGACATCTCGTCGTCGTTCAAAAGAAGAGGAGCCGGACCCAACTCGTCCCAGCGAATCATAGAAGGAGTGCCTCTGTCGTAAGACGCATGGGTATCCAGCAGTGCGATACAGTACCACAACCTACGGCGAAGTTGCAATTCCTTCGGGTCGAATTCTTGCTGCTCTTCCTGTCCAAGACGCAGCGCAGTGCCAATTCTTACGGCTACTGCTAATAGAGTCCACCATGTTGTCGAATTGTAAAATGTTCGATGACCAACCTTCATTGTGAGATCAGTAAAACATCTACACGAAAACGAGATAAGTATGGAATCATACCAAGTATATGACAAATGCTTGGAGCACAGTCACATTCGGTTCTTGGAGCAAACCTGCCTGTGAGAGAGCCCTTTCCGTGGCGACACGATACTGCTCCATTAGGCTCAACTTGTCACCGAGACCGAAATTCATTGCTTCCTCGTTTGTGATACTGCATAGAGATGTGAAATATATCGACAACTCCAATGCTCTGAAGGGACTCGGATTGCAGCTGTCTTGCGCCTCGGTCCCGAGGCACGGAATGTCTGCCAGCACCGTAGGCCAGTGGAGGATCTTGTACAGACAGTCGACTCTTTGACGATACAAATACAAAAGAACGTTTCGTCTTTCCTCTGATATTGTTGGCCATGGAACAGGAGTGCATCCGTAGATACAAGATGGAGCAGATTCGAACAACAGTGTGTGACCACTTGCAAATACACCTGTTTTGTTACGATTTATTGGATCTGGATGAACTTGGTCGTCGTCTGAGTTGTCAAACGTTTCTCGAAGACCTGCAACCTGACAGTTTGATCAGCATAAAATCCAGACGAAAAGTTCATCCGATCCATTTGAAGTACCGTACCTCTTCTGAAAGAGCTGCCCAAAATTCTGGAGCTACAAAGTTGCCTATCCGATTGTTACGCAGAGATCGTGACTGCACTGGTTCCGTAGAATCAGGAGGACCTGAGCACTTGTCACCTGAATTTTGAACCTGAATTTGGTCAGTCTGACATACGAATCGCGGCTCTAAACGTGGTCTAGACCTGGCTCAGCAAGCTCTCGAGGCGTGCGACACGCTCTTCTAAAATACTCTTTCTAACTTTGCCGCTCCGGCCTCGAGGTAGACGTGCACGCTGGACAAAATCGCAAGTCGTATGAGAGGTTTCGCACGCTGAGCATGGATTGCGTTTATCGCACCGGATTTTCCGCCTCTTGCAGCGCTCGCAGCTGAGTCGGGGCACTTGCTCCATAGATAATGAAAGGAAGTGAAATAATCAAAGCCAAGAGAGTTGAAATCTTAGACTGAAGGAATGTCTCTCGAGGTGAGATCTCTTTTGTTGTTATGTGTTCATTCAGCGTTGCTGACTTCACTTGTCGAGTCCAGTGACTCGCCCTCGCTTCGCTTACAGTGCTCGTACTCGCTTACAGTAAAGACTAGTCCCACCCCCGATTACCCCGCGCTCAACCTACCATACCTTAATCTAAAGCCATGAGCTTAATACAAGACCTCCTTAGAGTCTGACTTAGCAAAAGTTGAACAAGCATCAACTTACCTGAGTACAATGTCCTCGCCTACTTATATCATTGTCGGCTCTGGTGTCTTTGGCGCATCAACCGCACTTTATATGATTCGCAAATACCCCCACGCTTCCGTCACACTGATCGACCGTGATAACTTCACTGCTGCCACTCGCGTCGCAGCATCATGGGATTGGAACAAAGTCATACGAGCCGACTACAACGAGATCGTCTACACCAAATTAGCCCTCGAGGCACAACAACTTTGGCGGACAGACCAAATCTGGCAACCTTTCTATCACGAAAGTGGGGTCGTCTATATCACGCACTCTAAGCTCGCAGAGAAAGTGATCAAGAACTTTGATGATTTGGGAGTTAAGGTCGATGTTCGTGCATGCTCTGTTGAGGAGACTCGTACTTTGTATGACGGCGCATTTGCTGACGCTGATTACACGAATATCAAAGAGGTACTCGTGAACAGAACCAGCGGGTGGGCAGAGGCGAAGGAAGCATTGCAAAGTACTATTCAGACTGCCGTTGATCTTGGAGTCAAGTATATAACAGCTGAAGTGACGGCTGTCGAGTTCGTGGGTGGTCCAGAAAACCGAATTTGCCGTGGTGTCAAGACTTCCACCGGAGAGATAATTACCGCAGACCACATCATTCTCTGCACGGGAGCTTTCACCCCAAGGTTGCTTATGGACAGCGCTCCAGAGTCAGCAGAACTTCACGCAGGCAGTAGGATACAGGCTTCTGCTGTTACTGAAGCCATCGCTCCGTTGATTGAACAGCAACGTTCATTTCTAGAGACCATGCCCGTCGGCGTCAACGACAACCCCACTGCAAACGGTATGAGTCGACTATATACTGCTTCCTGTTGCTATGCTAACTTGTTCATAGGATGTGATTATGGATGTCTGCCTTTGCCTAAGCTGAATGCTTTCAAGTATTGGGGTCAAGTCATATTCCGAAACACTGTCGAGCATCCCATCACTAAAGAGTCTCTGTCCATGCCACCAAGCGGGCCGAACTACAACCAGTGGGACGTGCCATTGGCTTTGAAAGAGGATGTTCGTGGAGGACCTAGATCTGTTCTTGGCAACAAAAATCTCAGTGACAGATTTGAAGAGTTCAGAATTTGCTGGTCAGTTGCCTTCCAATCTTGCCTTTCTGACTCATGCGTACTAATGGATGATCAATGTAGGGAGGCTCTGACTCCAAGTGCGGACTTCATCATTTCGCCTCATTCTGCATGCAGTGGTCTGTTCATTGCTACTTGTGGGTCGTTTCACGGTTTCAAGTTCTTGCCAATTCTCGGAAAGTATGTAGTTGAAATGCTGGCTGGCGAGCTGGATCCGAATTTACAAAAGAGATGGGCATGGGATCGAGAGTTGCCACCCACAGAAGATAACAAGCAGTGGTCGACGAAGGAGTTGAAAGATCTTTCAGGCTAGGGAGTGTCATCTATCTGAAGAATGAAGCGATTTTCAGCTGGCATTGTAAAGAACGTTCTATCACCCCGCCATTCGAGTGGATGTACCAAAAGGCTCAATTTCCTTGTCGGTTCCAAAGCAAAGAGACTATTTCGCAAGATGTCCCAGCCCTATGTTGCACTAAATCTCGGTTCTTCATACGTTATCGAACCATATCACCAAAAGTCTCACATTATGACCCATGTTATGTAATTTGACATGCTCCTCCCACCCACGCCATCTGCTTGTTCTTCTCCTGCATCAGCAGTCCTTCTCTCCTCTCAGCCTTCAGAAACTCTCTCTCCCTCTCTAAATCAATTTCTTCGAATGACTTGCTGTGGGCAGCGCAAATCTCTGAGCACTCTCTTTCCCGTGTGTAGTGAATTTGTTTGAGTCCTTCACAGGTTGAGCTCCTCTTTCCGACGCATTCGACTATGCAACTTTCTTCATGACCGCAAGCGGAGCTGGTGGTGTATTGGTTGCATATGTTTAGAAAGACAACCTTAGGCTGCAGATAGCAGTTTATGGTTGGCGGTTTCGTACTTTGCCTCTGCAAATGATTTCAGCTTGACTTGGTTACCGCCGAGAGACCAACTTAATTTCAGGGTTCTTTGCTTGAATGGAGGTCGAGAGGAATGTTACCATCTCCGGTCCCTGCGTAATGATACCTCATGTTGAAGGTTACTCATTAGCTTCTTGTGAATTTGTCTGTTGCTTGGTAACTTTGCCTTGAAAATCTTTTCAAGCCATGGATCTAAATCACCCTAAAGGAAAAATGTGACGATTGAATATGTTCAAGGTCAAGCAGTCTATAGAGCGGTATAGGAGACGGAATAGATATTATCACATCACATTGCAAGAATTATCTTTGTTTCCACGAAGATCAAGGTATTACCATGCGGAGCTTCTGTCAGTGGTTCGCGCGTTTGCTGATATCCCTTGATTTTCTTTATGGAATAGTGCTCTTGAAGCCTTGAAAATCCCTAGGCCTTGCACAATATCTATGCTGCTTGACCTCAACCACGTCACACAAGTTTCCAGCTGTCTCTCAATTCTGATACTCGTACAAAGTCCACGCCCAGCACCAACCCCAAATCCATTATCCAGATAAAGGGTGGTGTCGCACATCTTGCGTTTCTGATGATCGAATAGGGTTTGGCTCCCTCGTCCCAACAAATCACCCTTTTGATTCACATTCGAACTAAAAGATCGAGTCAGACATTCACGATCGAAATGCTTTTAACTCTACTACCAACCAACCTCTCTCTCTCATCTACATCAAACCCTCCACCCTCCCAACTTTCAAGAATACCTAACATCCCCATCCAAAAACCCCCACCACTTTCCCCTCTCCGCACAAGCCCTACAGACATGTTTCACACACCTATGCTCATGGATCTCCACCTCCCCCTTGCTACAATTCCTGGCGTCACCTGTGTGGTTATCGGGACAGAGATCGTGGCTGCGTTCTTCGAGGTGGGAGCAGATGCAGCTGTGTATTGAGAGTTTGCACATATTGGTTGGTGTTTGTGGGGGGTGCTTTGTTTTGGGTTAAGTTGATAGGAGGATGAAGGTTACACAAAGTTTTGCTTTTATAGAGAAGAGGAGTGGAGTGAATCGCCTCAATTGCGCCATCAATGTTGGTTGAATCGCAGTGACGAAATGGGAAAGGAGAGATTGTGCGAAGATGGAACGATCATGCAAAACACTACTGTTCTTTACCAGATTTTGGTATTTGAATGGAAAGAATAAGTATTGCTATTACTAGCCTCAAAAATCTTCTTGCTACTATATCCCCCAAACTCTCAAGTATACCACGTAGGCTCAGGAACCTATTCCGAATTAGCAAATATCACACACAGATATCCACTTTCCAACTCACCTTATCAAGCAGAACATACTCTCCCAATTCCCTATTCTTGTACGCCACCGGATCATGCAACGTATGCGTCCTAACATCCCTCCAAAACCTATCCAACCCAACTTTTCTCCCCGTCGCCCTACTTCCCGTGACCTCAAACACCCCAGCCGTGACCCTCAACGCTGTGTCAGTCGTCACAACCTTCGCGCTCGCTACCCACTCAGCTGCATCTCCACGCTCGCGCTCTGTTACTGTACGAGCTTCACCATGCTTGGTGTAGATGTCAGTGATAGCGAGTCCAGCGCGATCTGCCAGAGTTTCAGCAGCGCGGAGATGGGCGAAGAAATTTCCGTAGCGTTCGAGGATGTAGAACTCTTCGGTAGGGGATTGTTTGTTGTCACCTCCATAGGGCCATGCTCGAGTTGAGGTGGTTGTGTATTTCGAGGCGAAGTCTAAGCTTCCCTGGGCAATTCCGAGGTAAAAGTTGGAGAATACGAGCTGAATTGTTGGGAGAAGGAGAGTTGCGAATGGGATTGCAAGGACGGTTGGGTCGGGAAGTTTGGTTGATACGTCCCACCCGAGAGCATCTCCCCATTGTACTCGAATCTGGTTAATCTTTACGCTTCCGGATTCAGTGAGACGGAGCCCGACATTGTTCCAGTTGTGCTGTAAACTGTTGAGTCAGGGCCAAGATTGGTGGGCTGAAACTTACTGCAAACTGAATGCCCTGCTGTTCAGTGGGAACGAATGCAAATATGTGGTGTTCAGTTCCAGCAAATACGCCCTCAAGAACAGTCAAATCAGACACCACACCTCCAGTATTGAAGTTCTTGAATCCATCGAAGACAAGATGATCACCATGATCAGTGATATTGAGGTCATTGTCCCTCGGGTTCACAGCGCCTACTCATGATCAGTACCCCAGTTCCCCGTTTGGAAAGAGTTCTCACCTCCAACAAAATAATTATTCTCAATGATCAACCTCTGAAACCTATGTTTCTGCTCCTCCGTCCCAACCACATTCGCAGTCGTAGACCACAACAAATGATACCCCAACAACATTCCCAAACTCCCATCACCCTTCGCAACTTCTCTGATAACCTTATAACCAACATCCCACGTCTGTCCGCCCCCACCAAAAGCATGTGGTCCCAGAACTTTCAAGAGACCAGAGCTCTTGAGAAGAGCTACTTCAGCTCTTGGGGATTTGTTCTCGATGTCTCGGGATGCGGCATCTATTGCTAGGATCGCGGAGACTTGACGAGCTCGCTCGATCCATGCTTCAGATGAGGAAGGGAGGCCATCGCTGATGAACTTTTGGTGGTGGATATCGTAGACTGTGGGGTCTGAGGTTGGATTCGGCTTGACTTTCTTTGCATTGGGTTCTTGGATGGTGTCGCCATTCGAAGCCAGCAGGTCGTTGACTGAGGGAGCCATATTTGTCTGGATTCAGAAGAACAACTTTAGGCGAAAACGATAATTTTCAAACGAAAGAGCAGCGTGGAATTGGAACACACTTGTGCTCATTCAAAACTCTTGGTGAAGGCCAATGCTTCCAAGAAATGCAAATAGACGCCATTCCCCCGAGCTTCCAATACCCCACCATAGCTTCCTCATTGTACTACAGCATTGCGTGCTTTACTCTCGCAATTGTGAGGTGACCCCAACACGCACAAGCTTGATGTACTGGTCAATGGCAGTCGCCGATCCCTGAGCACGTCAGTTTTGGCTGCATCGCGCTTGTGATCTTGGTATCTCGGCAGAGCTCGAATCCGGTCCCTGCCTTTTCGTGGGCCATGGACTTGCAGCATTCGAGGTTGTTTTATGGGGAGTGAGTTGGTTTGTAGAAAGTTTTTTGATTGCGTGGGGGTGAGAGCTAATCCAGATTTAGATGAGGGGTATTTGTGTATTTGTACCCCTCTCGTTTTCTATCGTCACACAATGCACCTTGTTGTCCACACTATCGAGCTTTTATTTGCGCTTCTAGTGATCAACTCACACCTATCCTGCTCACTAAAGGTTCTAAATATACCCTCTTCGAAAGAAGATTCTAACACTTTCACTCTAAGCCTTTGCTTCCCTCTCACTCTTGCTTACGAAATACTTACTTGTATCCCCCATTGGAATCCGAAGAACAGCGCAGTCTGACACATCAAATGCGCAACAGTATAATACCCTAACAATCCCGCCAGGAATGCAAAGACACCACCCGCTTTCTGCAATGCGGTCGCCGCACCTGGATACCCATCCGCAGTAGCAAAGTAAGATGCTGCTAATTCTACGAAGAAGAAGATGCCAATGTAGACGAGGTTTCTTTGAGTAAATTAGACAAGTGAAATTGGTTGGAGGGGAAGAGCGTACATGGGAAGAGAGCCAAAGAGAAAGAATAGGTTAAGCATTGCCCACATGACGAAGAATCCGAGCGAGTTATTGTACCCAACAGTATCGTCTCCGTATGCTTCCTTGACACCAAAGAAAGCAGTAATGATCGCTCCGAAGCCACCATAGAAAAAGCCTGAAGAACTGTGAGAAGATGGCCTGTCAAACAAGAAATCGGCATACCAAATGCGCTCAGTGCAGTGTGGCAAAGGAATTTCCAAGTACCAATTCCCACTGCGCAGAGACGACCATTCCAATACCAGCAACTTCTCACGTCAGCTGGAAAGCTCTCGAAATAACTTTTGAGCATACCGAAAAGAAGTTTCCAATGAAAACATTGTCCACTGTGATATTCCGCCATCCCATTAGAGCCAAAGAGAGGGTGGTCAAGGTCGTTGCAAAGGCACCGATAGCCAATGCAGTCTATCGATACTCAACATTACCTCGAAAAGCTTAGGGTAAATGCTTACTGGACTCCCCAAAGTACTTTTCACAGTACTTGGAACGAAGAATGGATATGGCTTTCCATCAGGAGTGTTAAACCCATTATTCGCAGTTGTTTCTTGAATGAGATTTAGATAAATACGAGTTGCATCTTCCAGACTGCTGCGCCTGACAACATTTCGTCTCACACTGTCTGCTGTAGCCATGCTTTCAAAAGATTCAAAATTCGTACAAAGTGAACCATTCCTCGCGGGCGCAACATGACTTCATGTTATCCCTCCTCATCAAGTAGATGCATCGAAATGATTCTGTGCCTTAACATAGTAAGACGCCGTTCAATGAGATTTTCAGCTACGTTCTGCTGGACGCGTACAAAAGGATAATTAGCATCTCGAGACGTTGGAAAGGAACTCATCGCGACGAAGACCGAACACTAGATCTAGAAATCATATATGCCGCAACCCACTTAGTTCTCGAATTGAAGCTGGAGGTGGATGCATGTGAAGGGGCAAATATGCAACTTAGCTTAGCCCTTATCACGCCATTTAGCGCTTGCGTTGCTCACCACTCATATCCACAACCACGATCGATAATCATCGCCAAAAGTGGGATTGGTAATATTTAAATACTGCAGAACCAGCGTAGCATGTTATGACCTAAAGAGGGACCTAAGCCACACGAAATCAACCCAGGCCCTCGGATTCCTGATATGACGTTGCGCAGTGATATGCTTGCATCTAGAGAGACTTTTGAGGCGAACCCTCCGAAGAAGCAGTTATCCCCGGTCTATCAGAATGTCGAGGGCTTCGACGTCGTCCGCTGCAAAGCGAACGCTTACCAATATCTCGAAAGATGAGATATACAGATCTCAATCTTTAGAACAATCATTGACGCCGCCAAAGACTCCCCCAGGAGAAGGGGGCCAAGTCAAATTATATCACAATTGGCCTGAGCCAGATATTGCAATAGAGGATGATCCGGCGGCAAAACGCAGAAAAATCGACAGAGGCAGAGCTGACCTTGTCGCGGCCGAGGAGTTCAACGTACTAGAGCAAGATGTTCTACTTCTTCATGGACCGAAGCAGAGATACGCACACACAAAGAAACATCCCGTCCCGAACTTGGAAAATGATAGAGAAATGCTAGTAGCAGTCGATGTGGTGGGCTTAAATCCAATCGACTGGAAGGCACCGTGAGCAATGAATGCGCCTGACATGAATCCTGCTAATGTTGTTTCCAGCGATTTCGGATTTGGACTTCCAGACCTGCCATGTATAAGCGGAAGAGATCTCGCAGGCCGAGTTGTCAAAAGTCCGGCTGCACCCTCCCGATTTCGTCGAGGGGATAAGGTTGGTTTTTCTCAGCTGTGTTGGTAGCATTCACTGACTTTCGCGGGTCATGGCAATTTCGACAGATTATCGAGACAACCGAAAGGCAGCATACCAACAATATACCGTTGTCTCCGACTTCAATGCTTGCAGACTTCCTCAACATGTATCTGCGGAACAAGCAGCCCCATTAGGAGTTGCATTTGTTGCAGCAGCCCTCTCTCTCGGTATATGTATGGGAATGAATTTTGGACACTCGACGAATGGAGTTCGCGGTCCCGATATACTTCGAATTGTGCAATCCTTAACTCGAGAAGCTCTACCAAAAGATATTCAGGCGGAATGTTTCGACAGTATCAAGGCAGGGGAGGGAGCGAAAGCTGGCGACTGGATCGCGATATGGGGAGGTAAGGCTTCGTGGTAGGAACGTGTGAGATCGTTGACTGATCTTCTCGACAGGATCCTCTGCCTCTGGTTGTTGTGCTGTACAGCTTGCGAAGATGGTAGGGCTCAAGGTGATAGCCATCATAGATGTTGCGAAGAACGGCGAACGTATGCTCAAGCTTGGAGCAGACTTGCTTGTAGATCGTTTGGATTCGAACCGAGCTATCGAGGTCGTAAAGGGCGTCACAAAGGGCAAACTGAGATTTGGACTTGATACAAGAGGCAAAGAAAGCGCAAAACTCCTTGCAGAAGCTATGCAGACTGAGAGAGGAGAGAACGAGCCGAAAGCTCATCTTGTAGGCTTGACTAGTCTGCCCAAGGAGCCTTCCAATGGTGTTGTATATCACTCAGTGCCCATCAAAGCATTTCATGAGGCTCCGCAGGTTGGGGAGGGCCTAATGGTGTGGCTGGAAAGACTGCTGGACCAAGATATGCTGATAACACCAGATATTGAGGTGGCAGAAGGTGGATTGGAAGGTATCAACGCAGCCCTAGATAAGCTGCGTGATGGGACGGTAAACGGGCCGCGGATCGTTGTGCCCATTTCAGCATGAAATCAAGACTCCGCTGTATGCGCGGCAGATTTGTAGAATCATAGAGCATAGAACGAACATACACCCGTCGATATGTTCGCGACGATCCAAAAAGTTTACCTACAGCGCTAAATGGAAACAAGCCTAGTGCATTCAGGGGTACAGTCGCTTCCCCAAAATCGTGCCTGCACCGCAGTTCTCCTTTTTCGTCATACAGATACACCGAAATATGTCGATATGTCCAATGAGTACGTATATGTTAGGGTCATTTTAATCTTTCGTATCAGTTCGATTTCCAGCACGATTGGTGGCGTTAGATTCCAGATATTTGGTTCGGGATATCCTTCACTCCGGAAGATCAGCGACTGCACTGTCCACTTCGGGGACGAGGGACTCTTTGCTCATGGTGGGGTTGAATTGCGCCATATGCTCCAGTATAGCACAATCTGAACCTGCGTGTGCCATGGTTCGTTCCCAACTGGACCAACCTCAGTGGGTTAACCCCGAGCATATCATTTAATCTATGATTCAACCAGCGTGGGGAAGCCTGGCAATACCCCTCCATATCGGTACATGGTATAGCGTAGTTTGGTAACTGGGAACTGCAAACAGCTTTGTATCTACCCCTCGAATCTGGTTCTGGGGCCTTTCCCACTTGTATCTCGCCAGCTCCAAAGCTCGAGCTATCTTTGCATTCATTACATCTCCTAGAGATTCATATTCTTCTCATTCTTTCCGTACTCAACGCTTAAATCTCGTTGTGCACTTTAAAATGCCAGCAAAGAGACAAAGAACCGCCAATGGCAGCCATGCTGTAGGCACAAATGGCGAGGGCAATGATATTGCCAATGGCGCCCACTTCACAGCAGCTCCAGATATCAACGATGACCCTGAACGAGTCAAGTTCGCATATTGGGTCCCCAATGTTTCTGGAGGCTTGGTCATTTCGAAGATTCCCCAAAAGACTGGGTAAGGCTTGGATTTGTGAGCCTCAATTTCATAAAATTGTTAACTTGTTTGCACAGATGGGATTACGAATCGAATGTAAGATATGCTCAAACAGCTGAGAATGTTGGTTTCGAATTTGCCCTTTCTCAGATTCGATTCATGGCAGGCTATGGGGCAGTAAGTATACTTCTTCTCGTCTGCGCATCCCTCAGATCCTCATTTCGTTCAGGAAAATCAACACGAATCTGTGTCATTCTCCCAAGCTCTGCTTCACAATACCAAGAAACTCAATGTCATCGCGGCACTACTCCCGGGTCCATGGAACCCCGCGATAGCAGCCAAGCAAATCGCAAGCATAGATCACTACAGCAATGGACGGATCTCTGTCAATGTGGTTTCTGGATGGTTCAAGGCAGAATTCACAAGTATTGGACAATGGTGGCTGGAACATGCGGAGCGATACAGGTAATTCCGGCATTATCATGCCCATGTTAAAAGTCCCCTCTGAACAATTATTCCAGACGCAGTCGAGAATTCATCGAATGTCTTAAGGGCATCTGGACAACTGAGAAGTTTACATTCAAAGGCGACTTCTATCAATTCCACGACTACCCTCTCTCGCCAAAACCACTTTCCCTCCCAGGCCGTCCCCACCCTCTCATCTTCCAAGGTGGAAACTCTGTCGATGCACGTGACAACGGTGCACACGTCTCAGACTACTATTTCATGAACGGCAATACTCTTGAAGGCTTCCAAGAGCAGATCGCCGATGTCAGAGAACGAGCTCGTGCCGTGGGTCGAGAACACGAAATCAAGTTCGCTGTAAACGGTTTCGCTATCGTGAAAGAAACAGAAGCAGAAGCTATCCGAGTCCTGGAGGAAATCCAAGGCAAAGCTGATAAGGAAGCCGTCAACGCTTTTGGTGACGCTGTCAAGCAAGCAGGTTCTAGCACTGGAGAGAAGAAGGGGATGTGGGCAGAGAGCAAATTCGAGGATTTAGTTCAGTATAACGATGGGTTCAAGACCAAGTTGATAGGGACGAAAGAGCAAGTTGCTGATCGGATCTTGCTGTTGAAGAGTTTGGGAATCGATATTGTTCTTTGCGCATTCTTGCATTATGAGGATGACATTGAGCATTTTGGAGAGCAAGTTTTGCCCTTGGTGAGGATATTGGAGAAGGAGGGAAGGGGAAAGAATGCTGAGGATGAGATCAGGAGGACGGGTGATGTGTACAGAAAGAAGATTGCAGCATAGATGTTGGATTCAAGGCTGACGGGCGCAAGCAAAAGTACCGTGCATGATATATCGATTGGATCGCTTGCTAGCACTTCCCAGCTTTGCGCGATTGTGGCTTAACGCCAATTTCTGTATTTGGATGCATCGTACTTTTGTTCGGTAATGTTTCCAATAGGAAGTCGCAATGCAGAACAGCTGCAGCCACATTTGCATCATGTTTCACTGATGAGGCTGCAGCTTGGATATATTTCAGCAGATCTCCTCTGCTCGAGTTCTTTGTCATTTGCACATCATCACGAATTGCCCTTTCATCTATCTGAGCATATTCCTACACAATGAGTTCTCAATCAGCACTTGACAATACTCTTACTTTCGTTCCTGTTGACTATACTACCGTTGCTGGTCAGGCAAAAGCAGCGAGAGCCAGCAAGGCTGGTCCATCAAATGATGATTGGGAACGTCACCGGCCACTTATCAGACGCCTATATGTGGATGAGAAGAAGAAGCTCAAGGAAGTTGCTACTATTATGGCACAGCAAGGCCACAACGCAACGTAGGTATCAACATATATGTCACATCACTTTCTGACTTTTCAAAAAGTACCAAAATGTACAAAGACCGTATCACGAAGTGGAAACTCGACAAGAAGCACAAAGAAGCCGACATGCTCGCCATTCTTCGCAAGAAGGCTCAACGCGAGAGAATTGGAAAAGAGACACGCATCCGAGTTCGTGGCCAACTTTTGACAATGCAGCAAGTCCATGATTACTTCAAGCGGAAGAAAAATACGCGAGCACCAGCACTCTACGATGCTCCAACACCATCAGATGTCTCCTGCCGAACACCTTCCCCAGCGCCTACCGGATCTTTGAAGGGAAGAGAGAATCAGATGACCACACAGATTCAAGCCAATGTGAACAATAACAGCGTTACCGAAATTTTCGTGCCGCCAAACGCAATGGATGTCGCTACGGATATAGATTGGGCGCATACGGAAAACATCCCTATACAAGTTTCCGCGGAAGATGAAGCCATCATGGAATGGACGCTTCACATTATGCGTAGCATTGCCTCCGAGTCAACCATTCCCCCTTTCCCTTCAGCACCACAGGCTCTTCTTGTCTCCGAACGGATCTTTCTCACCATCAAGACATACGTGGATGGGTGTTTCGAGAAAGGGATTTGGATCACTGATGTGAACGGATTTCTTGTTTCGAGGTCGGATGAGATCCTTAAACCTGGTGACTTGTATACGTATTGTTCTGCATCTCTGGAATTATTGGAAAATGGTTCCGTCGTTGAGTTTCGCCGAATGCTTTCCAAGGCGTTCGCAACTCTCGACGCCCTAACTCGATTTGAGCATCCTCGAACATTAAATAGCCTCCTGGATGTATTTTTTACCTTACGAAGAGCGGGACGAGCAGAAATTGTCGAATTGTTCCGCAAGTTTGTTTTCGAGCTAGTGATTGAGCTGCATGGGAAGCAACATCCATGGGTTCCCTTGTTCCGACTTATCGGCATGGTTGAAGAGGAATTACTCGGCGAAACAATCACTCAATCTTGGACTTCTGTAATTGGACTTTTTGAAAGGATTCTTGGGCCAGATCATCCCTTCAGTATAGATGTTAATTTCGATTATATCAATCGAACTTTGGAAGGATTGCAGGGTATGGCCGAAGCAGAGAAGCGTCTTCGAAGACTTCTCACTCGAGTGGAAGAAGTGGAGGATGTTTCAGACCCGCGAACTGTTGCAATCATCATTGATCTTGGATGGAATCTGCTGCGTCAAAGACGTGACGCAGAAGCTGAAGATTTAGGGATGAATGTGATGGCTAGAATTGAAGAACACCATGTCTCTGGGGGGGCTCATGCATTGGAGCTCGTGGCTTCGAGTCAGTACTATCAAGAGAAGAGCAGTCCCGCAGAGAGAAACCAACGAAACCTTATACAGCTTATTGCCGACGCATGGGGAACGTCAGATCCTTGGGCTATTCAGAATATGATGGTCCTCGAAAGGTGGCTCCGCGAATGGGGAGATCATGATAAAGCAGAAGCGTTGAAGAAACAAATAACAGAGGCCATAGGGCAAGATGAGATTGACGAACAAACTACGAAATTCTGACAAGTGTGGAGAGGAGGTCTGGTGTGTAGTGGTCAGATTGATTCTGCCATTGCACTTCACTTTTACTTACCACTTCGCTTTCAGATTCGCCTTTACCTCAATCTAGAACCTGCACCTACCTTCCGCGCAACCACGCAAAGAATTTTCTATTGGTTTCATTCACCTCAACGATCTATCAACAGTACGATCTTCAACCAACTTCCACCTCTTCCTCCGCAATTCAACCACAACCACAACCAACAACCTCCTTCAACTCAACCATGGAAACCACGACAAAGCCTCAAGCACAACTCTGTGCCCACTGCCAAAAGCCCGCAAACCTTCATTGCACCCGCTGCAAGGATACCCCGATTCTGGCCGACGACATTCAACCCGCGGTTTATTGCAGCAGCGAATGTCAGCGCGCTTCTTGGCCGACCCACAAGTCTATCTGCAAGCGTCTGAAGATGCGCAAGATGGTCTATCGTGCTGGAGATATCTTGCAGGAGATGTTCTACATGTTCAGAGAGCATGTCTTTAACAAACGGGTTTTCAAAATCGAGTACAAAGAGGGGAAGATGTTCATTTTTGATGATCAAAAACCCGAGCGATTTCCAGACGATGAGATGATGGCTTGTCACGTTCCTGGACCTTTTCCTCATTCTATGTGTAAGGCGGACGAGGATAGAAAGGCACTTCGCACTCATATGGCCTGTTCCGATGCTGTTGCTTACTTGCATGAAGTTGTGGATCATGTCTTTGGTGGTGAGTTTCCGCTGGCGATGCTCATTTTATGATCTTTGATATACTGACACGCACAGGAATGCCTTGCGTTCTCACAGAGCTAGATATCAAGCCAAAGAATCACAAGAGAGAAGCAGTTAGCGTTATGAGGGGCGTTGTTGACGCAATTGATCACCAGCACAACATCATCAAAGTCAAGTTGCGCAGCAATGGGGAGGCGTTTATCCTCGATCTTGCAAGCGCTCAGTACGGCTACTACGAACCTATCACGGTGTGGACTGATTATATGCAAAACAGAGTCCGATGCCTTGTGGCAAGAGAGAAGAAGTACGATGAGTGGGGTGGCTTGCTGAAGGATTATCGGGAGAGAGAGTTGTCCCGGGATCCTAAAGAAGTGTGGTTGAGGATGGTACTGCATCTCAACGGCGTGATTTCTCAATTGCTGAAACACTCTATTCTCTGTTGGGAGGAAGCTGTAGGTACTTCGATCTTGAAGTTACTTGGCTTACCCAAACACCAATATGAGATGCAGAAGAAGGCTCTCCTTGCAGAAGTTGATGCTGATCTCGGTCATGCAATCAAGTGGGTAGAAGATCAGTGTGAAGAAGATAAGAAGTTGAGATCGGCAGGTCTGGAGGGATCTATGAAGTGGGAAGGAGAGGGAGCAGGTGGAGTTGATGGAGCCAATGAAGTCGATGAAGTCAAAATCGTCTTGAAGGAGATGGGTCTCACAGGGTCGGTCTTTGTCGTGTGATGGCCGGCTTGACAATAGGACAACAGACAGCTACTTGTGACATTGTAACTCAAGACCACTGATCTTCCATTGCTCGTTGGAGGATCTGTTTCGCAGAAATGAATTCTTCAATAAAGCTACGCAAATATTCTTGACACATTGCAATGCATATTTAGCAAGTGATCATCCGCTTTTTGTTGCTAATGACAATCATTGCTGAGAATATATTTTATGTGCTCTCTTCAAAGCAAAAAATCAAGGCTCACCCCTACTCACACATAATAACATCGAAATTAATATATCCGCACCAGGCAATCATTCCTCTCCTCCATCTCTCTACTTGCTGAAAAAGTAACTACTCGCCACAACCGGCCCCAGCTTCGCCTCCTTCTCAAACACCTTCAAATCATACCTGATCCTCGGCCTAATCCCAACCTTCTTCCCACCCGGCGAAGCAAACTTGGCAATGTCAAAGTCCTCAGGTTGTTCATACAGTATGAAGACGTAGCGATGAGGGCTGCTAGGTGGTGGTGGGCCTGGCCCTGCGTAATCCACGATGAATGGTGTTTCACCTTCTAATAATTTTACGATTCCATCGGCAGTGTTTTCGGGCTTGAGACCTGATTGGATCCCTTTGAGATGTTAGTCGTGCTTGGAATCCGTGGAATTGGGATGTACAGTGGAGTGCGGGGCCTAGGATGCTAAAACCTGGAAAGGGAGCATCTGGATCGAGGCATACAACGATATATGTCCCTTTAGCGCCGTGGAAGCTTAACTCTGGAGCTGATGTTGCGTCTGGTGAAAGATTGGGTTAACTGGTTGTGTTTTTGAATCTCAAACTGAGGTCTACTTGCCTGCTTTGGGAACATGTTGTCCTGGAGTGACTTTCTGCGTACCAAAAGACAAACCAAGGACTTTTGACTCGTCCTTGCACAGGAGTACAGCAGCCTCGATATTCTTGGTATCTGGCATGTCGAGAAGATTAACTTCGCAACAAATAACTCAGGCATCCTCTGATTGCTGTAGACTTTATACGGCCATATTGAATGTTGATGTCTCGGGGATTGTCCAATGAGAAGGAGGCGTGGGGTTAAGATAATTTGCTGCCGACTATCGCCACGAGGGTTCCGACTACCGACAACTGAGAAATTGAGGCTGTCGGGGCGATCGCGGGCATTGTCAACAACATGAGTGGTCACTTTGCCGAGAGATTGGAGGCGGAAATCTCAGAATGACTGGAACAATTGATTGAATCTTGATTGAGAAATCGAAATCTCGACATTGACACTCATCCCAGAAGCTCATTCGGCTTCCACAACAGCTCTGTTAATTGCAGAGCATGCCTTCTAATGCTATTTTTGCTTTGAAAATGTTTGGATTTTGAAACATACTCCGTACTTCTTCTCAACGTCTAGAATCATCACAGAATTTCGAATGAGTGAATGCCCTGGAACCAGTGGAGATGTTCGAACTTCAGTCTAAAAGTTAAAAATGAGCTTTGTTACCAAGCTCTCAAATTCACAGTCTTCACAGACTCGTGTGGACTCGGTATTCAATACAAAAAGCTCCACTAAGCGTGAAGTTAGTTTAGAGGGGTATAAACACCGGTACTTGCCTTTGCTTATAATTTTCAGCGGACGAACTTTCCAGCCAGCCGTAGAGCGAGAGAAAGAGTAAGCTTGTGACCCAAGAACAAACGCCGCTTCCGGGCAGCTCCTGTTTGCTGATACTTTCATATTTAACCATGTTTGAAATCTTTCTTGGCTTTATATATTCCTACAGGGAAAAATGTCCAGCTTTCTCTCCAGAAACCCATCAACATATTACGTACAAAGCCCAGCAAAGTCAGAGACATATGACAAAGCAAATATAGAGCACACCTGCATGTGCTTTCACCCCTGTCTGCCAAGCTAGCACCTGTGACCTAGCAGCCTAGCGATTGGCCCGCTGGCAAAGTCACGAGGTTTTGTTGCACATCGCAACCTGGGACAAATTCACACTGTGACATTTCAAACCCGGGACAAATTCGCACTGGGACCATTCAACACTGTGACCATCCATCCACACACTATCTATCTATCCACACATCGATCATCCACGCACTGTAAATCTGTCTCCCCAGAAGACCGTTTCATGCACATTCTTAGAACCGAAATTCCGTTATTTGACTTTTGATGGATCTCTGTCATATCACCCAAATCCGAAGAATCAAACATCGCCTGCACTTGGAAACCAAAATCGAATTTCCAGACGCTTGAAAATCAGGAATCAGTAGTCCTGACGTATCAATATCTGAAATACGATTCAATAGAATACCTTGTGAAAATATGGAGAATCGCGATGTTCAATAAATATCGATCTATCTGTTTGGTCCCATAGGAGGGAGGATTAAGAGGGGTTCGCTTACACAGCCAAAGCCTTGCAGAGCTCACTACTCGAGTACCTCCAGTCCTGCATGCTGATCATCTAGATATCTCCGAGTGCAAACGCAATCATCATCATGCGGCTCCTCGCAAACTCGCAGCCATATCCAGTTTTGAGTTAAGCTCACTCTTCGTGCCACAGCATCAGTCTGGCCACAGGTCCTTGCGCCTCGCCAAAGTGCTTGTTTGGTGCAGATCATGTTCCGACACACGAAACGAAACAAGCCACGCATCGACAGCCAAGCGATCGCCACGGCAGAGGCTCGCCCGGGTCCATCTGATAATGTCATTTGAAGAACTTTATGTCGTTGGTAAGAAATGTTGTCAGAGAAGAGGCCGGTGAGACGGGTTCCGGGTGTGCTGCTAGAGGGACCATGTACAAAGAAGTGTTGAAATTCGAGATTCCCACTCTTCTTCCTCCTTCCGTCGTTCTTCTTTCTTACTTACCATTCTTGATATTCAATTTTCGTGCTGTGCACTTTCTGTTCTTTCTATTTTTGTAAGCTGGGCTTCTTTATTATATCTTTTAATTACTTTCGATTTTCTTGCCAATATTCAAAATGAAGTACGCCGTTGTTCTCTCGCTCGCTTTCCTCGCGGCCGCTGCGCCTGTCCCACAAGATGATGTTTCCTCCATTCTAGCAGCACTTGAGGCCAATAGCCCAGATGATGCAGCAGCGGCCCAAGGAGCTGTTAGCAAGCGTCAGGATGATGTGGCTTCGATCCTCAGCGCTCTTTCGGCCAACGACCCGGAAGATGCCCAGACAGCTCAAGGAAGCGTTGCCAAGCGCCAAGATGATATGGTGAGTTCAGATTCTCGGAAAACTTTCTTCCTTTCACCACCGAGATGCCTGCTTGTTCTTGCATTCATCTCCTCGGATGTTCAGAACCTTTTGATGGACTCTTGCTTACTTGATGTTAGGCCAGCATCCTAGCGGCCTTGTCAGCCAACGATCCTGCTGATGGAAGCGTCGCCAGCGGGGCCTCCAAACGTCAAGACGACCTCTCTTCCATCCTTGCTGCTCTATCAGCAAACGACCCAGAGGATGGAAGCGTTGCTAGCAGTGCTTCTAAGCGCCAAGACGACTTGGCTTCCATTCTCGCCGCCCTCTCAGCCAATGACCCAGCTGATGGAAGCGTTGCCAGTGGAGCCAGCAAGCGTCAAGATGATCTCTCCTCCATTCTCGCCGCCCTTTCTGCCAATGACCCAGCCGATGGCAGCGTCGCCAGCGGAGCCAGCAAGCGCCAGGACGATGTTTCTTCCATTCTGGCTGCTCTTGAGGCTAACAGCCCTGATGATGCCGCTGCTGCTCAAGGCGCTGTCAACTAATTGACCGAATTGGGTTCGAGAATTTAGGGGAGAGAGGAGGAGGTAGATATTAAGGATAGATTGTATATTTGGGAGGAAATGGTATGTTTTAGAAGGTAGTCTGTCTTTAAAACATTAGCAAAGATCTAAGAAATGAAAAGATTGTATGGAAAAATGAGGCCTAGCCAGTGATCATGTAAAGTTCTATGATGATGCTGTATATTGAGATAAAGCTCTTGAACGGATATCGAATCACCGAGAGTCGACACAGTAAGCAATCATAGAAAGTATAGGACTTCGACGAGCAACATAGACTTTGAATCTAAGGGCATGTCGTGTACTGGTACTCTAGGTTGTTTCGGTCATTGCTTCAGAGAGTAAGGAACATCTTTCTGCGGCTTTCCGAATTGTCATCTGCGACTTTCTTGGAACGAGACTCGGCCTGATGCTTTTTCCAACGAGCGTTTACTACTCAAGAACACTAGCAAAGAATAATTGGATGGAGGATGAGTTTTGATGCCGCTGTATTGCAGAACTTGATCTGAAATACACGGAATAAAGAGGAAGCCAAGCACGTGACCACTGAGACAAAGTAGCTTACAACAAGCTTCTGCTTTAAGAAGACTGCCATAATCAGACACAAGGTAGTACCTAAGAGTTAGTGTACAATGAAGTTAGACAGCTCTTCTCATTCGACAGACATATGCAGGGTAATCTTATTGTATAGAGACAGATTCCATGAGCAGGAGTTGTTTGAAAGGTTAAAGGGATGTGTTGTCATTTATACTTCTACCAATAGGATTTGACAAGATATCAAGTGCTTCTTGCCTACGGAAGCTATCTATCTCTCGAATGATCTATTTTATATGAAATTAACAGGAGCTTTAGTGGAAGAGGGAGCAGACATCATGACAAAGAGATTCTCAGGCTTGAAGTACAAGCTATTTGGGTAGCAAAATGATCCCAAAATCTTTCGAGTATCAAACAGTTGGAATTCCCCACACCTAAACTCATTTCGTATCATTGGGACAAGTCTTCAGATTGGGTCCAACATTTGCATCATCCGATCGTGTGATTCTCAGGTTTGAAGATCCACTTTTGCGGCGAAGCAAAACTTCGAACAGACAAGCACACAACAGGAATTCTTCGAAACCATTCAAACAATGTCAAATATGACTCTTGGACACTGTTCTCGTCACTTGGCAGGACAGTAGCAATGCAGACAATCTCGCAAGCAAAGAAAATGACATGACATCAAGAGGAAGATTCTCGACTAAGAGCCAAGACAATAACATCCTATTTTCGGACCCATAAGAAATTTCTTTTCCACCGGGCGGCCGTCGCATTGAACGGAAGGATCGGTCCTCCTGCGATCTGCCCCTGATCTTCAAACCCCGCGGCTCGAAAACATATCCATCACCGACGTCAATTTCATGTTCTGACGACATGATGGAGAAGCGCAGATGTTGAAGTTAGGTAAGAGGTGAAGAGGAAATAAGCTTCTTCATAGCTTTGCGCTGATCGCGATGATCTTTAGGATAGACTTTTAGGTTCAATGGGATCTGAACACGGATCACGAACCGAAATGTGAGCAATAAATTTACGATGCCACGGAAAGGGATAGAGAGAGGGGACTCGAGTGGATTTGGGCAGGGGAAGAGTGGATTTCAAGCGGTTGCTGAAAAAGCTTAGCCCGTTCCAATAGTGCCGGTAAGAAGGAGACATCATTGGTGGAAGTGCGCGAGCTACCAGAAAGAGTTTAGTCAGGAACCCGTCCAAGCGCTATTGCCCCTTTTCACTTTCTTGCCCTTCATCTCATCTCATCTCGCCAACTCCGTCGCCGTACGCCAGTCCAGTCTTCTCTTGGACCGCGCTCAACCGCACCAGAGGAGGATCGAGAACGGCGCAGCAGCAGCGAAAACGAGCAACACGCTCGCCGTCCAACAACAGTTATTTATTGGGTCCTGTTATCGTCGATATCACCGTCAGACCAACTGCCATCTGCAATCTGCAGGCAAAACGCTGAATTTAGGCGGAGTATAAACACAAATCGTTTCTCACCAACACCACTTCTACTTACCAAACACACACACCTTCTGACTCGACATTTGATCCGAATGCGATCATGGAGAGATGGTTGACGGACGGATGACAGCCCGATCTTATGTCCAGGATCCCTCACCGAGAATTGGGGATTATTTTGAGGGCCTTGGTCATCCGCGCTCCCCTCGAAGCGCGTTCCAAAATACTCGAGTGAGGCCAGATTCGGATCCCTAGGCCGGGACTAGAGCTACTATGGACGGCCGGTAGGCATGAAATATTTGCTTTCGCTTGAACAAAGTTGCAGCAGCGCCCTGCCAGCTACTTTGGTTCGTCCCAAGAAACGCCATAGTCATGTTTCCGGCTGTGTGAGTGGTTCATTCGGACCAAAGACTGGGGGTCATACACTGTGGCGGGGTCCCAATCTCGAGACGAGATGTGCCTGAATTCAAGCAACCACCATGCTCAGCACGCTCCACCCGCCCAAACCGTCCCTCAGCCTTAAACGAAGCCTATCGTGAACCTCCCGTCACCACCGCGGCCTCTCACCCGCTCTTCCTGCCAAGCCCCCCTACAGACCGTCAAGGTCATCACACGTTTCCTAGCCGCATGGCCGTCTGTTTGGTGCTTTCAAGGCGGAGGACCTCCATCTTAGCCAGGTACCAGCCGTATCCCTGGCAGCCCAGGTCGGCTCACGATGTCCAATTTGCCCTGGCTAGACCCTTTCCATTAAGTGATGGCGTTCCCACACCCTTCTCCAGCTTCTCTTTCTTTTCTCTCCTCCTCCTCCACCGACATCACCAACCTCATACCTCCCCAGCGGTGACCGTTTGTGCCGTGCAGACTTTGGTTTGCGTCCTTTCTTTGACGATCAAGTCAATACACTCTTTACAGGCTTCGGCCATACCACAATCTTTTTAGGTTATATTTGTCGTTTAATCTTAGCATAATGTTTTCCACAAAGTTCTTTGCTGCGGCGGCAGCCTCCTTCTCTCTAATCCGCTCTTCCACGGCCGTTTATGATCCAACATCGCAGAGGAATTTGGCTATGTACTGGGTATGCAGAGTGAGAAGGAAGTGGTGATTTGGTGCTGATATTGAGTAGGGTTCTGGTGCGAATCAATATAATTTAACGTATTATTGTGAGCAACCGAACGTCGACATTATCCCTATTGGATTCATCAACATCTTCCCACCTCAAGCGAACGGATTAGTGGCCGAGACTTTTGGAAATCAATGTTGGAATGGAAATTACTCTGGCTCTGGTTACAATGGAGTCAACAACCCCAAGAACAACTTTCTGTATGAGCAATGTCCACAGCTTCAAGAGTCCCTGTACTACTGTCAACAAAACACCAACACGAAACTTCTTCTCTCGCTTGGTGGTGCTGCCGGTGATTACTACTTGAATGGACAGGCAGATGGTATCTACTTGGCCAACTTCCTTTGGGGTGCATATGGACCATATAATCCCAGCTGGACAGGTGTTCGTCCTCTCGACCGTGGTTACAACAATGACACGGCTGGGGAGACAATTGACTTTGATGGTTTTGACTTTGATATCGAGCAAACCACACCTGGTAGGACAAATGATGGGTGTACAAGGTATAATCGCTAATTCTTGGCAGATCAACAAGCCGGTTACATTGCTTGCATCCAACAACTGCGATTGTTATTCGCTGAATACAAAGCTGCAAACCCAGGCTCCAAGGATTACATTATCTCGGGAGCTCCTCAATGTCCCTTGGATGAGCCATACATGAGCACTGCTATCGCTGGAGCCCAATTCGATATCCTTTGGATCCAATTCTACAACAATGGTGCCAATGGATGCACAGCTCGCAACTATACCGATGCGAAGGCCGCTGGAACTATGTCTGGATTCAACTATGATTCATGGGTGACCAAGGTCAACGGTGGCGCAAGCGCAGGAGCGAAGTTGTACATTGGTCTTCTCGCCGGACAAGCCGCATCTTCCGGATCACCTAACGATTATATCAATGCTGCTGCTGTCCAGACTCTTGTCACTCAATATCACTCGCACCCTCAATTTGGAGGTGTCATGCTTTATGAAGCTACGGTTGCTGAGAACAATGGTCAATTCTATAACCAGATCAAGGCTGTTTTGAACAGTATTGCTCTTGGTGGAACTTCTACCTCTTCTACTGTTCACAGCACCACTACCTCATTAAAGACATCGTCGACGAGCTCTTCTATCAAGACTACATCCACGTCTTCATCGAAGATTACAACATCGTCAACTTCCACCAAGTGAGTTTTGGAAATGCACTAGTTTAAAGCTATTTGCTAACAAAGCGTAGGGCAACCAGCACCAGTGTTTCTTCTACGTCTTCCAAGACTAGCAGCAGCTCAAGCTCCAAGATTACAACTAGCTCGTGAGTTTTGGAAGTTGCCCTGTAATTGAATCTCGCTAAACTGTCTCAGTACTAGCTCATCAAGCAGCACTTCTACCAAGTGAGTTTAGGGAGATTTTAGACTTTGATAAATATGCTAAACAGTCACAGGACGTCCACGACTAGCTCAAGCAGCTCTTCAAAGACTAGCTCTTCAAGCTCGTAAGTCTTATTCTTAGACGCCCCAGGAAATCGTACTAAGTTGTCTCAGATCAAGCTCATCGAGCTCTAGCTCAAGCACACTGTCTTCGTCGTATGTTTTCCATGTCTTTCTCTTTTAGGTCACTGCTAAACAACTGAAGGTCGACTTCTAGCACTCTGAGCAGCTCCTCGAGCAGCTCTTCTAGCTCGTGAGTCTACGACCTTCTCATGTTTGTAACTTCATACTAATATAGCATAGGACAAGCTCAACCCTGAGCAGCAGCTCCAGCAGCGCGCCTTCCACAACCCCCACCCCAACAACTGTCCCCTCTGTCGGCCAGTGCACATATCTCGGCTGCTATTCCGAAGGAACTAACGTCCGTGCCCTTTCCGGAGCCACATATGTCAACTACACCATGATGAGCGTCGAAATGTGCGCAAGCTTCTGTTCCGAGTTTACCTACTTCGGTGTTGAATACGGTGGAGAATGTTACTGTGGCGATTCTTTCGGTCTGGGAAGTGTTGAGGAACCTCACATCGATTGCAGCATGACTTGTGATGGAACGCCAACCGAGCTGTGTGGTGCTGGAAACAGATTGGATGTTTACCAATGTGGAAATGCCACCACAACGTCGAGTGTTTTGAGCTCGAGCACTAGCTCGGTTTATAGCTCGTCTTCTGTCGTTTCCAGCAGTGTGTCGAGCAGTGTTTCATTGACCAGCAGCTCTTCATCAGCCCCAAGCTCTTCGTCAACTCTCAGCTCAAGCAGTTCCGTGGTTAGCCCAACGCCCAGCTCGTCATCCTCCTCGGTTTTGTCCAGCTCCAGCCTTACCAGCAGCTCTGTGTCATCCACATACAGCCTATCATCAACGTCATCGGTTTTCTCGAACACAAGCAGCTATGTTATTCCAACCTCGACATCGAGCGTCTACAGCAGTTCCAGCATTGTTAGCCAAACCTTGACCTCATCCTCAAGCCTGACAAGCAGCTCCGTGATCCCAACCACCTCGTCAAGCATTTACCTCAACTTGACCATCACAAGCTCATCGACTTCCAGCAAGGCATCTGTCTGCTCCCGGAAGACACACACCAAGAATGGAACTTCAATCACTTCCTCATTGAGCTCATCTTATACTTTACCTCCTTTCACAAACAGCAGCTCAACCGTTGGACCTACAACCTCTGTTAGCGGAAGTGTTTCGATTACAAGCGGGTCATACACCCCTACATCGACTGGAAGCGTGACCTCAAGCGGATCCGTGATCTCTGGATCATCCTCTTCGTCTGCCAGCGGAATCGTCAGCACCCCATCATCCACCCTCTCTGGATCAACCTCCAGTGGAGCTGTCAGCACGCCTTCCTCAACTCAATACACCACCTCAACAGTATACACCACATCCGTCTACACGATCACCAGCTGCGCCGCCACAGTCACAAACTGCCCCGCTCGCTCCACCCAAGTAACAACCGAGACGATCGCTCTATACACAACCGTGTGCCCCGTGACAGAAACCGAGACAGGAAAAGGTGTCCCAACCACCACCCCCTCATCACCCGCAAGCACCTCCACCCCAGCCCAGGAATACACCACCTCAACCGTGTACACCACAACCGAATACACCATCACATCCGTAAGTCTCTCTCCCTCCCTTCCCCTCTCCTCACCAAAAAACCAAAACTAACAAACACCCCCAAAAGTGCGCCCCAACAGTAACAAACTGCCCCGCCCGCATCGGCTCCGTAACAACCGAAACCATCGCCCTCTACACAACCGTATGCCCCGTAATCGCCACCCAATCCGCAACCGCAACCCAATCCCCCATCATCCCCGGCAAAGGCGGGAAAGGCTCCTCCTCTGCGCCAGCACCAACCTCTACCGGCGAAGCGAGCGGTGAACATCTCACCACGACGCTATCTTCCACTACGACGTCGTATGTTACCGTTAAGGTTGTAGAGAGTACCGCAACTGTGGTTGCTATTCCTTACAGCACCTCCTCTTCTTCGCCAGTGGCTCCTTATCCCACTGGATCAGCTGTGGGATCTGGATCTGGGCCGGTGGGAACCGGAACCGCGGCGCCGAGCGTCTCGTTGTTTGTGGGACAGGTGGGAAGCTCGACGACGAGCGCGGGGGGTGTGGCTACGAGTTCTAGTAGCCCGGTGCCGAGCACGTTTACAGGTGCGGCGAGTAGTGTGAAAGGGAGCGTGGGGATGGTGGTTGGTGTTTTGGTTGGTGGGTTGATGTTGGTGGTTTAGTGCGAATGAGACAAGGAAAAGAGGAGTGATTTCTTTTGTTTGTTGGTTGTGCATGGTTTGGTGTATGGTTTTGTTTTGATTCTGTGGTGAGGGGGTGGGTTTGCGGGGAGTAGAAAGGAGAGAGAAAAGGAGAGAGAAAAGGGGAGAGAAGGAAAAGGAGAAGGAAAATGTGGAGGGAGAGTGTATATGTATGATTCTATGTATGCATATATGACCATATTCTTTTATTGTGTTTTTGATTTGGTGAAACGAAAAAGGCTTAGTATATTGCCAGTTATATTCTAATATGCACATCTTCTTAGCTCTGCAGGCTATTGCAAGAACTCGTCCACTACACACTGAAGGAAATGGAGATATCGCTCAACAAATTTTCAATATAAAAATACGCGCACGATACTCCTCATTGTCTCGCTCGAAGTCGCTCCCATCTACGCAACCGTGCTAGAGGAAAACCGACTACAAGACTTCATTCAATCTCTCTCTGGAATACAAACAATCCTCTTCTCTCACCCCCCCAAAAACGGATTTTCTGCTCTCTTCTTACTACTCTTCTCTTTGAATCTCTCTTCATGACTTCCTTAGAGAAGGCAATGAAACTCACCCTTGATATGGTAGATATTCTCCGCCTTGCCCTCCTTTCCCGCAAAAGATCATTCAGCCCATATCAAGACCGCGAATTCCACCGGTTCCGCTAAGAGCGATTTCGAACTTCTCCTATTATGTAGATAGGTTTTAGTCGGTCAAGCTTGTTACTGATGCTATGACCCTTTGCAAAGACAGTAAGGACTGAGGGGTGTGGTATTTCTTGACGGATAAATTCTTGCGCTTGTTCCCATGGGGTTCAGGGGTGAGGATGGAGTGAACGATCATTGGAATTTGGAGATGATATGAGATAGATGAGAAAGGGGGATGAAGAATAATTTTGAGAGTGACTTTAGAGGTAAGTTTGTGTTATAATGTGTTGGTTGAGAAGTGAGCTTCTTGCTACCAGTAGCAGTCATCGAGGCCTTGAGACTGAAACTTATTCTCTTAAATCGGAATAATGCCTGTGTAGATTCTTGCTAAAGAGGTTCTCTATTGATTTGTTGTTTTAGTAGACATGGCATAGGGAAAGCTGTGGAACTCTCAGAAGAAACGTGGGTTGGTGGGCGTTCAGATAGACAGGGGAATCGTTCGTCTTTGGTAATTGTGAGTGTAATGGTTATTTGTGTGTGAGGGTCTCGTACACAAGCAGCGAGTGGAGATTGGATCAAGGTCAAGTGAAAGATATAGAGATCTATGCTTCTTCTATTCAGTAATAGGGATAGGGATAGTATATGCAAAGCCAAATACCCAAGATCCTCGCTACAAATGCAACACTCATATTTTACACCAAAACTCGTCTCCTATGCTGCGGCTTTACTTCTCGACTTCTCCATATGAGCTGTATGCATCTGCTCCACAGCAGGGATAATCAGACTCTCAATCTCCATCTCCGGTTCCCCTTCCGGCAAATCCTTCGGATCGAGAGGCTTCTCGCCAATTTCACCACCGCTGGCTGCAACACCGACCATGTTCTCTACTCCGCTGATTGTTTTCTTCCGCCTGCTTCGCGGTACGCGGATCCACTGGTCTTTTTGTCCCGGTGCTACGAATACTACTTCCCATTTTCTGGTGGACAATAGGTTGCCAATCACAAGATGATGTTGGTATCTGTCTAGAGAGTATTGTGCTTTGTGAACCAGGATCTCGGGATCGGTTTCTAGCTTGAATGATACGATCATGCCTTCCGGTGCCCAGCCATCTACTAGGTTCTTGAGGAATTTCGGTACAGGGTCGAGATCAACTATTAATCGTTTGCTTCGTGGGACTGCAGGAGAAGAGTCGAAATTATCGAAAGCCTCCTCTTCTTCGTTTTGTTTTTGTGCCTCTGCATCTTTCTCTGCTTGCGTATCTGTCGCGTTTGTAGATTGGATTTTATGCTCTTGCATCCGTTCTGGAGGAACGAAGAAGTCGGATACTGCTGCTGCGAGGTAGAGGAGGCCACTGGGACCTAGAGGTCGCATGAGCTGTGCAATTGCACGGAGGACGAAGAGGTAATCGGTAATTGTCGTGAAAGGGAGAGTAAGGAGTAGGTTCTTGTTCTTAGCATCGTTATACTTTCGCAGCACCGTGAGCATCTTCTCGCGGTATTCCTCATTGGCTACCACACTCCCATCGGGTCCTTCGTGCAAGAAATCGAGAAAACAATCCGTCGCATGGCTGTAGTGGCGAGAATATGGCAGTAGACTGAATTGCCTGTGCAGGAATATGACCGCATACCCGGTCTCCAAAAAATACTCAGCTGATGTTGCACCTCTGGTTCCAGCACTGAAATTGTCGATGAATCGTACGGTTTGCCTCTCGAGAGGAACGGTTGTGCCACCGGATGTCACCAAGACCACACGTCTGCCAGCAGCTGCATGGAAGTCGATGAATTGTTTTGCTAATGCTGTATGCTTGTCGAGGGCGGCGGGTGCGGGGTTCTCTGAGAAGTAGTCCCGCTCGGCGATATCTGCCGTATTCTGTCGCACCAGATCTGGTCTCGAACTCGAGGAGGACATTGTGCTTCGTGAGGATTCGGAGAATACGGAAGATGCTGGGGAGGAAGGTCGTGAGTCGGGAAGGTTGAAGGAGAGTGAGAAGCTCGAGCTTGAAGGTGGGGTCGAACTTCTTAATGTGGGGGAAGAATTGAGTGGTGAAGGACGCTTTGCGCCCTGCGACGCCATTGAATCAGTCATTGTCTCCGCAAAGGCGTAGCAGCAGAGCTTGGAAGGGATGGGATGGGATATACCTCTTATAACTCGCAGATGGACTCGGCGGGTTTAAAGTCAGCCTCGGTCAACTGGATGAGGGTTTGGAGTCAGAGAAGCCTCGGACCGGCGGTAAAGGGATAGATAAGCTGATGGCAGGATGAAGATCAGGATGGCGGATCTGATGGCCGAGTATCAAATGGAAATGGCTGTACACATTGTGATAGTACAGTAGTCAGCAGGAAGCAGTGCTGGATCTGATGTCGGCGTTCCTCTATTGTTGTTGCTGTCCTCGCCATGCGATGCTGTCTGTGCCTGGTGTCTCGGTTCAAGGGACCAGAAGTGAAAATACTTGTAGGGGCCTAAGGTTAAACCTTAAATTTTAGTGCTACCATAAGCGAATTCTGGCTGGCGAGGCCGTTGAGCTTTCGCGGGCGCATCCATTCCCATTTTGCCTTCTTCTCCTCCCTTCCTCTTCGCATCTCCATCTCCTATCATCCTCATATATTCTGCGACCACAGAAATTCAAGAGCCAGATGCAGACTGGATGATTTATATTCTCTGCGTCTTGCATGCATCCCTCTTGACGGCCTGCCGTGTTCTGCCATCCAGAGACAGCCATTTATGGCGAGTACATTCCCACAGGGCTGATAGGTGGACATCCACCCAACTCGTTTGCGCGTTTGCGCGATCTTTTTCCTCCTGTACCACGCCATACCGGTGCTGGCATGTAGATTGGCTACAGCAGCCCCGGTGATGCCTCCGGTGCTGCACCATGGGAAAAGGGTCTCGGGTACCGTAATCATCAGACGTCGATACTCGTACTGATGCTCCGCGGGACGATCATCGTCATAACAGTTAATCAGATATCCACTCAAACCCACTGCTGATCCCTGATGGCTCGCCCAGGATCTAACAGCTCTCTCCTCAGGAGTCTCCCCATCATTATTATAACAGTTCCAGTCATGGGATATCACTCCTCCCCATGATTCTTGCATCTCCTCTACTGTACCCTCGAATCAGTACCGGCGGTCTGCCTCGCTCGACCCATCAGATGTTTTTTTCTCAAGTCCACTCGTTCTAGGGTATTCCCCTTCTTGTACGACACATCGCCGATGGATGATACCTAGAAGCCGTTCCTGTGTGCCACTAGAGACTAAGTTCTCACTTCACTCCCCAGACAATCGGGATGGTGGCGTAGTGGCCACCACGGTGAGGGTCCTCAGCCATCCCTACCATGCGGTTCCATTTCGTTTGCAGGCTCCGGAGCTCGGCTCCGGCCCTGTGACGACAGCCATCTGGCCCTTCTTTGTCCTCCGTCATGAACTCATCCTATGGGAAGCCCTCTCGCGCTGCCGAAAAAGTCGTTGATGGCCGAGACTTGAGCTCTTCCTCGCGCTGTTTGTCGTTTCATGTCTCTGGTTATTTGACCACCCCCCCTCGATATTGCCTTATCTTTTTCCCAAGGTGGAGTGATTTATAAACCCACTCTGCCATTATTTATGCTTATTTTCAGTGTCTTGAAAATTGTCAGTGGACATTACGACCGCACTTCGTGTTGATCTCGTCATGGCTGGGACCCCCCATTTGCGAAATTAGAGGTATGCTACACAAATTAACGGGACAACGATGCTGGACCCCTTCGCCCATTGAACAGATCTAGGTTACCAGACCGCTGTCAATCTCTCCACTCCCCTTCGAAACCATCATTGCTGCAATATCCTATTCACCACCCCCTCGGTATCCACGGCGTTGACTTCCACTTCCACCTACTGTGACCAACACAATACTGGACCCCACTCGGCGAGATCCGAGCTGTAAGCACATGTCTTCTCAGCGCAGGAGGGGTCGGGGCAAACGTCCTCGGGACGAGAGCCCACACTCAACCACCCATCAAGGCTTTACCACAGACACCCACCAATCGGAATCTACTCTATCATACTCGGACTCGGGTGTCTACCAAGGTCAATCGTTACAAAGTCCCATTTCAATTGGCCCTGCCTTTTCGCAGGCTCAGATACTTTCTCCCCGGAATGTCACTCATGCTCCGCCTGGGAAGGTTGCAATCCCAGCTTTGAGGCAACCACAAGTGGCAGATTCGTCTCAAGATCACAAGAAGGGAAGAACATCACACGCATGTGACCATTGCCGCAAAGCAAAGGCAGGATGTACTGGAGGTCAACCATGTGTGAGATGCAAAAATGCAAACATTTCTTGCGTGTACGGTGATGGGAAGCGGGACAGGGAACGAAAGTAAGCATACTCGCTGGACGTACAGTTCGGATTCTCACACTTTCTAGGAAACTGTCACAGTTGAGCAATGAGGCAAATACCCTTAATCAGCACAACTTGGACATAATCGAGGCACTTCGACGCATTCAACTAAATACAACACTATCGTCGGAAAGCATGAGGACAGCTATCAATGAAGTTCTGTCAATGGTACGGTCATCCTCTAATGGGGACTATATGCTCAACTTCCTAGACTCCTCCCACACACAACTCCCTAACAGAAGTCGAAGAAGCTCCTCTCGGATCTTCCCAATTCTCACCCGAACCCGAAGAACTCGAAGGGGAAGATCAAGACTCGGATGTAGGATCAACTGGCTCGCTAGACGCAGTCAATGTCGATACCGACCGAGATGAGACGAGAGCTACAGGTCATCTGGGCAAGGCATCTGCTGTTGCTTGGGCTAAAAGAACAGCTCAGGAATGTGATACCAAGTCACAGAAGAAGACAGCACTTGGCACACACGAAACAGGCTACACGTTGGCTTCATATCATACTGAAGATGATGATGTAGAGTTTATAGACCTGAGTAATGTGAGTGCCTTTGATTGGCCTGATTACGAGGCAGCAAATACTCTTGTGGGACTTTATTTCGATAGCGTGCATAGCATTCTTCCTCTTTTGGATCGACAACAATTTACAACGAGGTACAACAATTTTGCCAGAGGGACAATGAACCTTTCATCGGATGATTCAGTATGGCTTGGAAGTTTGAATCTCGTATTCGCCATCGGCGCTGTCTATGGGCAGCTTACGAAACGTCACGATCGAGGCAATCACCAAGATCATCTGTTCTATTTCAAAAGAGCCAAGATGCTGTGCTTGGATGACGACCTCCTTTTTCGAGATGCAAGGGTGTCTACATGTCGTATGTTAGGACTGCTATGCTTCTACTTTATCTCTACCTGTAGACTGAACAGGTACGTTCACCAGACTGCTTTCTCGCTTCTCATTTACTGATACTACTGTAGAGCTTGGACCATTTGTGGTCTTGCAATTAGGCAAGCTATAACTCTGGGATTACAAGTTCGAAGCCACGTAGAAGGCCTCAGCGATTACGAAAAGGAGCAACGAGTCCGGCTGTGGTGGGCTCTTTATACCCTCGAATGCCTCTTGAATGAGTTGACTGGTAGACCAAGTTGTGTATCCGATCAGGATATCAGTGCACCTCTTCCTATCAACATGAACGAAGATGAATTCGACTCCAGCTCGTTCATAAGCGAAAGAAGCTCCTTTTCAAGTCATTTTAGTCATCGAGCCTCGAAAGATTCTCGGGGTTCAGACAGTAAGATCAGGTTGTTCCGCCGATGAGCTCGCTAACCTCCTCAAGCTCGTCCTACCGCGACGTATCAGATGCCAACCGGGATTGCCCAAGCCTTAATATACAAATTTCCTCCTCTTTCACTTCCAACTACAACTTCCACTTACTTCATCTATCGCATCCAACTTTGCATCGTAGCTCACGAAGTAGTAACACAGCTCTACTGTGCCGCAACAACCAAAGCGAAGTGGTCCGAAGTTCAAGATACGATCCGACGTATCGATCGTCGTCTCCTCTCTTGGTGCGATACCCTCCCACAGGAATTCAGCATCATCTTCGACAAATGGACTGAACCAGATTGGAACGATCCCTACATCTTCCAACGTCTAGGCCTCGCAATGATCTTCAACTCATCCCGCATGATCCTCTACCGACCCTGTCTCTGCCGCTTCGAACGCCGAGTCGAATCCCACTCCAAACGATCCCAAGACTTCAACCAAGAAGGAGCAGAGAAATGTATCCACTCAGCACGAACCATGATCTCCCTAATGCACTGGTCCGCTTCCAGCGTCGAAAAACTCTACGCTATCACCCCCTGGTGGAACACCCTCCACTACCTCTGCGAAGCCCTCTCAGTCCTCATGCTCGAGATGGCTTTCCAAGCTCAACACCTCCCCAACGAAGCAGCCTACATCCTCGATGACGCCAAGAGCGGCATCCGCTGGCTGCGTACCATGGCTGGTGAATCCGTCTCTGCTCGAAAAGCGTGGGAGATCTTCGATTGCCTGATCCGTCTCGTTGCTCCTATGATCAGTTGGAGCGTCTTCGATATGCCAACCGAAGCGCCCATCCCGGCAGGATACAACTACGGACGCTTCACCTCGGCAGCAGCGATGCCGAGTAGGAGACTGAATGCTGCGAATCTGCATGAGTTTCAGTCGGGGAGCAACATCGTCGATCAACCGGCCGCGACGACGGCGTGGAACCAAGACCAGAATTTCGTAGCGTTTTCGGCTCCTAGTGATGAGCAGGCGGGATTTGGCTTCGCGGGCGGTGGACAGGGATTTGAGCAAGTGAGGAACCCGTTGGATCATGGGACGGCGGTGGAGTTGTTTGGGAGTATCGGGCGCGTGCATGGACATTATGATGAACCGTGGCAGCATATGTTTGGTGGTGGTGGTGGTGGGGGAGGAGAGGAGATTGAGGAGAGTGGGGTTGGGGAGCCGGATCAGGGGATTATTGGGCCGGGTGGGTTTGAGGGGTTTGGTGGTCAGGGTCAGGAGGAGGGGGGGGTTGGGTTTTGATTTTTGATGAGAATTGGGAATGGGAGGTGGGGTCTTGGGGAGGGGAATCTTGGTAATAAAAGTGAGCGAGCGTTTGTTTTTGATGGTAGAGAGGGATTGATGAATAATGACAGTATTATTATTCAGCTAATAGTGTTAGTAATAAATAGTGTTAGTAGTGTGGAGACATGTAGATATGTCTCTGCTTTATGATATCTCACTTCACAAATTCTTAAGTTAAGTAGGAAAGTACAAGGACTCTTCTCAAACCATTTAATGCTTCCATCGTCGACATTCGACCATCCCCAGAACTAATACCCCCAAAACCTCACCCTAACTACAGCACATCGTATCCCGATCCCCATATCAATTCCACAATATAATTATGAATCTACTGACCAAAGAATCTTCTTCATCTCCTAATATCAACACATGCTCTCTCCCGAAACATAACCCAACCCCCACGTCAAGACTTAGGAGTCCAAGGTTACCAATACTGTGTAGCACACATGCGGAGGAGGTATTCGATTCGGCTGCTGTTTGGATTTGAGAATTTTGATGAGAGATAAAGAAGCAGGGAGGGGGTATTTCTTGAGAGTTGAGAATGAGGTTGTGTTTCCTCCTGTGTGAGAAGCGGAGAAGATGGTAGATAGAATACGTTGAAGCAACATGGATATATGTTCCATTCACTATAAATGGCCAGTTGTGATCGGTCATCTATTTGTGGAAGAGCCCGGGACTTGGTGCTATGCGGACGTTGATGCAAAGGACGGAAGGGTTGGTCGAGGAATTGCTTGTTTAGGGTTGTGGTCAGGAAGAATACAGATCAATTGGTAATGGGTAGGAAGTTGACAACAACCTTATTTATTAAAATGTCAGTTTTTTTTTTTTTCTTCTTTTCTTGAGCGGGTGGGAGGCAAAGGTAATTAGTTCTTCGCGCATGAAAGAGGGGAAACACGGGCACTGGCATTGCGCACCATCAGTTGGTGGTGATTAGATTTGAGGTTAGAAGAATGAAGGGCAGGTGGAGTTATTTATACTTGATGAGGGATTCTAGGAGAAAGAGAGGAAGACGGTTCAGCAGGTGGTAGGTTGATATTCACTACAGTTGGTCCGTTTTTGAAACGCTCAATCCAGCTGATTCGAATCAAGTTGACTCGGAATCAATTCAATTCAATTCTATTCGGAGTGAATCGATTTGAAAGGACAACAGTACGCAGTTGTCTGGATGAGGAGAAACGTGGAAGTGAATCAGGTCTGCTCTTAGCACGTGATTGAATCATGTGATGCAGCTCAGGTGAATCCTGGGAACTGAAATTTTCCTTCTCGGGCCTAAAGCGCACGTCATTCTGAGTTATCAACTCTTTCCTCCCCCTTGGATCAAACCTCAAACACACGGATTTCCCGAAACCCAAAAACCAGCGTACTGTACCTCCCAACAAACGCAGCCAAAACCCAACCTCCCCTCGTCCGATTTCACTCACTCAAGCCAAGAAAAGAAAAAAAAATTTGGTTGATACCCTCAGACAATCACAGACCCTTATACATGTACTCTCAGACGTATTTCGCGCTGCCGAAGACGTCTGACACGGTCTGATCGCGCGACCTGAGACCTTCTGGAAAAAAAGGGAGAACTAAGGTTAGCATCGTCGAGTGACTGCTGATCTCTTTGCCTACCCCTCGAGTTCGCTCGCTCTCGGACTTTCGTTCCCCTCATTCTCTGAACTGGTTGAATGTAATAGTACTATCTCATTATATATCGTTTGAGAAGATTACCAAAAAAAATCTTTCGGCGTCCCCCTGCATCCGATGCCGATATTCAAAGTTCTGATGCTGAGGGTCTCGACTTATGCACGAAGCCGCAGGCCCGTGTTTGCAAGTCATGGAATGCCTGTTGAACAACGTCAGGATTTTTTTTCGCGCGCTTATCATATCTGATTGCTGTGTGAAGACGGCATCCCGGAGGCAATCATGGATGTGGCTCTGCGGAGTGAGATTAACGATGACGGGAAGGGGAGATCTTAATTCTCCTAAGTAGAGAAATTGCGATGGAAGCTTAATTCGAGATCTGTAGATAGATACAAGGAGATCTGGGGAAGTGAGATGAGACTTGAGATGTGTATTGTATATTCTTTCTTGAGATGCATTCTACAATTGGGCTTCAACAAGGTGATCCGGAAATTCTATATCAAGCCTCTCATTGCGCAAGCAAAGGTCGTCCGTTTCTCCCGTCAAAGTTCGTTCGCAGGTTGCTTGCTTGTTGATCTTTGCCCTCTGCTCCACCTTTGCAGAAGCCGAAGTCTAATCCAGGATGGAGTGTTTGTCGTTGTCTGGTTTGATCTGGTCTGGGTCTAGTATTAAGAACCGGCAAGTCATAAGTGCGGTGTCTCTGGTGCTGGCGTTGCATTGAATTGAAGCGATTGGATTGGAGAAGAGAAGAGAAGAGTCGGTCAGGGCTACCAAAAAAGAAAAGAGCCACAAGCCGAGCCAGGGAAGAAGGGAAAAAAGTGAGGCTAGTCGTAGTCATCACCCGTCACATCTTCTCTCTCAGCGCATCCACTACTCAAAGTTGCTGGCACTTGCACTTACAGCACTTGCAGCTGCACTTGCCAGCTGATGATCATCTATCTTTCCATCCGTTCGTCGTGTAACCTACAAACCATCAACTCACGATGCACCATTCACAACAAAACAGCAATTGACAATCACTTCGCTTCGTCAAAATACATAGAGTGGCTGTCGCTCTTCGCTCGCCTCTCACCAGAATCCTGGCCTGGCGACCTCGATAAACCCCACTCAGTGATACCGCCTGCCGTTCGGATGCCGACAGCACGATTGACCACCCCGCTGCGCGACCTGAGTTCTACGCCTTCGTCCTCATAATGGGACCCGTCACACGAAAGCGATCGCTGGCAGACATGCAGAATGCCGCAGCAGCAGCAGCGTCGGTGGAGTACAATGACGATGAATATGTCCGCGAGGTCCTACAACTCGATGCCGGGAAGACAGAGCCTCTATTCGACGAGAGCCTTGCTCAGGAGGCTGAGAAGCTGGGCATCACCATCTCGAGACCTTCGACGCCCAAGAACAATCACGAGAATCACATTTCCATGTCGAATTCAGCCATCACGGTTGGGTCGCATCGGCGAACGACATCTTCGAGTTCGCAGGAAAGCGCCTCAACCGGAATGACATCAAGATCGTCAAACGAACAAGCAGATCATTTTCCACTCCCACAAGCACGAAAGCGAGCATCTGCCAGGAGGAACTTGTCATTTTCAGAGTACGAGAGATATTTGGCGCAACATGACGCTCAGGATATCACCAAACAAATATTTCCACCGCCAATACCTGCCGAACCTGCGCCGTCACTATTCTCGGTATCGACGAGGAAGTCCTACAATAGCATCAAGAGCACTATCACCAGAAGATTCAAATTGCGCCGATCGAAATCCTCACAAGATGACATGAAGTAAGTCTATGCGACATGTAGTGATACATCATCTGACCCTTTTAGTTCCTGTATTTGCTGTCGAGATGATTTCAAGAAGAGCAAATCATTGCAGACCCTCCCATGCGGACACAATTATTGCGATGCATGCCTTCGAATCCTTATCACCCAAGCTGCGAATGACGAATCGAAAATGCCTCCTCGATGTTGTACCAGAGCTATACCGGGTTCTATAATCAAGTCAGTTTTGACCAAGGATGAGCAGCATCTCTTCATGAAAGCCGTCCTTCAATTCAGCACACCATGGGAATCTCGAATATTCTGCCCGAATCCTGCATGTGGCGAGTTCATTCCAAAGCGCAAAAAGATCGACCCAAAGCATCCATTTGAAGTCGTATGTCGCAAATGCCGGACGAGGGCGTGCTCGATTTGCAAAAGGGCCGCACATGCTTTTGGACAGGATTGTCCAGCAGATTGGGAGCTTGATGCTGTATTGCAAATGGGAGAGAAGTCTGGCTGGAGACGTTGTTATAAGTGTAGGAACTTGGTTGAATTAACTCAAGGGTGTAGTCATATCACTTGTCGATGCAAAGCGCAGTTCTGCTATATTTGCGGGGCAGTTTGGGACCCTGTGGTGGGGTGCCCAAATTATTGCAATGGGGAAGAAGAACTAGAACGACGACGCTTGGAAGAAGAGGCTAGGATGGCTGAGGAGGCAGCTGAGAAAGCTGCCAGGGAAGAAGCTGAGCGTCTCGAAGCTGCAGAGAAAGTTAATGCCGAGAAGAGGACATTGGAGAGCTTGGAATTGAATGCTCTTCGAGCTCGACAAATCAACGAACGGGATCGCTTCGCAGCATTCGAACGGAAACAGAAATGGATTATGTGGACTTGTCATGGACAATCCAAACTTGACATTCTGGAACGCTACGAAGAGCTTACAACGAAGATGAGGGAGCGCCATTCCCGAACAGCGACACACCTGGAAGACCGTCAAGTCGCAGCAGAAATGGAGCTCAGGGCAACTCTCAAGCAAGCAGAAAGAAGCGTGAGGATCCGACTACGACATATGGAAGCTTACTGCGACGGTCTTGGCCGAACTGGCGACAATGCTAACCCAGCACGAGTTGTAACAGAACGGGATCTCCGGGAACTGGGTCAACAGTACAATCTCCGTGACGACTTGGATCGTCTTCATCAGAGCAAGATCAACGTTATGCGAGACAAGCAAGCCAAGCAGATGGAGCAACTTCTAGTTCGCCAAGAAGAGGAATTGGATAAGTTATCCAACAAACAAGCTCTCGAAGTGGAGACCTTGGAAGAGAGTTTCGGCAATGAAGAGGATGCTTTTAGCATCGTATTCGACCAGAGGAGAGACCGCTTACGACGGAGATGGGTAATTGTCGAGGAAATTGAAAGGAAGAAACTTGAGCTGGAGAAGAAAGTTCGATTTGCGCCAATGACTCCAGTTGAATGGCCAAGCTTAGAGCCAAGGGTAGATGAAGGCCTCACATCTGTTACAGAATGAGCCACTCAACATTTCTTTACATGATTTACGATTGCGATGATTACTCGATCATTACATGTGCGTATCCCAGCACATATCATATAATTACCGTCTCACGACAAGACACCACTCTGAATATTAGTTCTTTTGTGGCATGATTTGATTGGGATTAGCATGGCGCAACGAGGGCGCATATTTTGGCCAGGTTACAGTACCCATTGGGGTTCATCTTGGGCATTTTCACTTTTTAGATCGTGGCCTTGGTGATTTTGGGAGGACTTAATCTAGCAAGTTGAACGGGATAGGACTGTACATCATGACGACTTTGGGATGGGAAACGACGGGATGGGAGCAGAATTTATGAACGAGGCAGGGAAGTCTGCTAGTACAGTACATTACAACGTATATACCCATTGTTCATATGTTAGCTGAAATCAACCATATATTGAAACCTACAAATACTACATACCTGCCGCTCTTCATTACCTTCTCCCCCAGTAATGCTCACACAGCAGCAAACTCAAAGTGTGGACCCCTATTCTTTCGGTCAGCACCTTGATCCTCTCGGTATCCAATAATGCGATTTGCATCTCGATCTACGTTCGCCCCTTTGAGGCTCTGGATCTTACTGTCAGTAATTCTCTCTCGGTAGAAGCGGATTGCCGAGGTGCATTGCATGCATGACTCGTGCGAAAATGGGGCGTGACCCCGCGTTTTGGGGGACGAGCGGAGCGTGTTTAGTTGGTGGAGGGCTGATGTCATTGGCGCTATTGTAGCTGTGTTCGTAGAGTAGAGGATCTTGGGATGTTGTTCAATACTCACTCTTATGATTGTTTTCGGTCAGAAAGGAAGAAGGGAAGAAGTATGGAGTGTTTGTGAGACGGACTTGATCTTGTTTGCTAATTTCTGGTGTTACGAGGTACCCCGCTGTTTTTCGACGACGACGACGACGACTACGACTACGAGGATATAATGAGAGATAGAGATCCATTATCCATGATCGAGGCTCGATAACAGCGATAGCCAAAGCAAACGAACTCCTCATATACACTACAAAAGAAGAGAAAATAAGGGGGGAAACAGAGTTCAAAATGCCGCGCCAAATCCCACGAATAGATATCCCGCAAACAGACCTCTGGACGACGCTCTTCGACAGGAAAGAGAAGCCGTTTCCTGATTCACAGGGTATGTATCTCTCTTTAAGTTCTAAGATATGGATATGAGAGAGAGGAGATGGGACTGACTGGAAAAAATAAAAAAAAGTAATTTACCAAGACCCCTACTCGAATCGTCATTACACCTACGCCACCCTCAAACTCACAACCCAGAAATTCGGCTCAGGGTAAGGTCAACCCATACTCATCCTCATCCTCATCCCCCTCCTCCTCTCCCACAACCCCAAAAAAAAAGAACAAACACTAATCCACAAACCACAGCCTCCGAACCTCCCTCTCCTTCAAAAAGGGAGACGTCCTAACCCTCTTCGCCCGCAACTCAATCGACTACCCAGCCATCGTCTGGGGCGCCCACTGGGCGGGCGGCGTCGTCAGCCCCGCGAACCCGGGGTACGGGGTTCGGGAGCTGGCGCATCATTTGAGGGATAGTGGGACGGGGGTCCTTGTTACGGAGGGGGGGTTGTTGGGTGTTGCGTTGCAGGCGTGTAGACAAGTGGGGATTGAGAAGAGTAGGGTGTTGGTGGTGGGAGAGGGAGAGGGAGGGGATGGGGATGGGGTGAGGGGGTGGGTGGAGATAATGGAGGGGGAGGTCAGGGGGGAGAGGGAGAGGTTGGATGCTGGGAGGGATTTGGGGTTTTTGGTTTATAGTAGTGGGACGACGGGGTTGCCTAAGGGTGTTAGTAAGTTTGGGTAATTTCCTGTTCTTCTCTTTCGTTGGGTTTGAGGTGGTGCGAGTGTATTTGGTGGCCGCGTTGAAGGAAGATGGGGCTAATGATTGTAGTGTTAACTCACAGGAATGTGGTTAGTGATCTTTTTATGGTGAATAGTAATGAGGGGCAGATATTGGGGTGGAAGGATGATAGGGTTTTGAGTGTTCTGCCGTTTTATCATATTTATGGTATGTATGGTTCTTTTGAGAAGAAGAGGGTTGATGAGGGCTGATTAGAATAGGACTTCAGTGCTTGGTGCATTTCCCGGCTTATGCAGGGGTGACGACGTTGGTTATGCCTTCATTTGATCTTAAGAAATTTTGTGAGATTATACAGGTGAGCTTGACTCTTTTCGGATTTCTCGGAAAATCGTCGACTTGGGGACCTCAGCTCGTGCAATTTTTCATTCATGGAAAATTCCATGCATTTCCAATCTTTAGAAAGTCTATCAAGAGAACACTAACGAAAAGCAGAATCACAAGATTACCTATACATTCGTCGCCCCTCCAGTAGTCCTCCACCTCGCCAAATCTCCTATAGTATCAAATTACGACCTCTCTTCTCTTCGTATGATCACATCTGGAGCCGCACCACTTACAAAAGAACTTATCCACGCCGTACACGACCGACTAGGAACGGAAGTCAAACAAGCATACGGACTCAGCGAGACTTCGCCAGTCACTCACATGCAAGTAAGTCTTCCCCTCCAACACTCTACTATTACAAGCCTGACAACGCGATACAGCGCAAATGGAACAAAGGCCTCGGCTCCAACGGCCCTGCTCTCCCCAACCAAATCTGCAAATTCATGTCCCCAGACGGCCACGAAGTCCCGCCTGGCAAAGAAGGTGAGCTTTGGATCTCAGGCCCCAACGTCTTTCTCGGGTATCACAACAATCCCGAAGCCACCGCCGCGTGCAAGACTCCCGATGGGTTCTTCAAGACGGGGGACATTGGGTACGAAGATGAGGATGGGAATATGTACATCACGGATCGAGTCAAGGAGTTGATTAAGTATAAGGGGTTTCAGGTCGCGCCCGCAGAATTGGAGGGTATTTTGGCGAGTCATGAGATGGTTGCTGATGTAGCTGTGATTGGCGTTGAGGATTTGGAGAGGGCGAGCGAGGTTCCGCTTGCGTGTGTGGTGTTGAGGGAGGGGGTTGAGGGGAGTGAGGAGGTGGAAAGGGAGATTGCGAGGTGGATTGCGGAGAGGGCTGCGAATCATAAGAGGTTGAGGGGTGGAGTTGTGTTTATTCAGGAGGTTCCGAAAAGTGCGTCGGGGAAGATTCTGAGGAGGGTGTTAAAGGAGGAAATGAAGAAGAAATTTAAGGTCAAGGCAAAGCTGTAGAGGAGATTATTGTTTGCATTTATAGGAGCGAGTGTTATCAATACAATAGCATTAGCATGAAGTCCTCTGTTGTGGTCTCTTGAGATCAGAGTTTGAGGTCAAACTTCTCTCCAACCATCTCTTCACTCAAAGCCCAGCACTTCTTCGCATTCTCCGCATCAACTGCATAAGCAGAAAGTTCTTCCGGGTTATCAGTTGGCACACAATCACTAAGAAAAACCAGATCCTGGTCCACCAAAGCCGGATCAAGAGATGCTCTCAGATAAGTGGCACACCCCTGTTGCAAGCTACCCGAGGCTTTGGTCAGCAATTATCTCTCGTGTCAAGTCCAGATTAAGTCTCACCTCTTCCTAACAGGCGCTGCTTTCCCAGAAGCAATCCAGACCTTCATCCCCTCTTCTCTCATCTCTTTCGTAACGAATCTCTGCAACCCCGTATCGACGGCCCCAGGTGTCGGCGAAAAAGCTCTTACCTTACACCCGCTTTCTTTGAATCTTCGATTCAACTCCACACTGAAGAGTATGCAAGCAGTCTTACTCTGTCCGTACGCAAACCACGGAACGTATTTTGTCCCCTTCTCGAAATCGGTGGATTCGTAACGGACGTCGGAGACCGAATGGCCGGCGGACGACACGTTGAGGATCCTCGCTGGTGGAGAAGCCATCAGGAGTTTGGGGAGAAGAAGGTTTGTGAGGAGGAAGTGAGATAGATAGTTGATTTGGAAGTGGGATTCGTAGCCGTCGGTTGTGAGGGAGTAGGGAGCAGCCATTATAGCGCCGTTGTTGATCATTACGTCGATCTTGGGGATGGTTGAGTCGTCGAGGATGGCTATGGCAACGGCTCGAACACTGGTGAGGGAAGCTAGATCGACAGGAATGTATTTGACTAAGATGGAAGAGTTGATGGCTTTGATAGCGTCGATTGTGGGTTGAATTTTGGTGAGATCTCGACCGAGGAGGATGAGAGTGGATGGGGAGGCATCAGCAAGTGAGATTGCTGTTTCGGCACCGACACCACCTTGAGATGGACCAGTGATGAGAAAGGTCCGTCCTGAGACTTGAGAGGGAAAGGCTGCCACTATGGCTTTGCCTTCAGTGTTGATGTTGTATTCGACCATTTTAGCGAGTTGAGTTGGAGGCTGCTTCGAAGAAAAGAAATAGAGTGCTCTGAATGTTCAAGGTCTTGAATTCAATATTGAAGATGCTAACGAAATCTCTCTTTCAGGTGTTAGGAAGCTGCATATATACCTGATATTGTTATGTCCGATAGGTCAGTGGACTTCGACTAGCTTTCCTCTTCGAGAAAATGTGGACCCGGAGAAATCTGGAGAAAGGAAGAACCTTAATCCGACATGAACCTGTAAACCTATTACCAAGTCAGCGGGTGGAGTTTAGCTATGTCCGGAACGATGAGTAAAGAATTGAAAGTAGAGTTGATTGTCCTGCGAAGGTTTGACAATTTGGCGATCGACGATGTCGTGGTCGAAATTGAGCCCCGTATCTCCCCTGAATCCTTAAGCGAGCGAGCTGCTTGACAGGCGGGAGTAGAAACGAAAATTCTGCAAAGATGAGTGAGATATTTTGCATACGGAACTAGGTACACAATGTTGGCATTCAATATATGCAGAAGAAACCTAATCTCGAGCTCAACATAACTCATTCCAAACTTTTCAGCCTCATGTAAAGGCCCACCCCAGACCTTTCAACAATAGACATTGGCTTTACATTCTTGGTCGAGCAGTGGCTGTAGGCAAAGCACCCAAAGTTTCAACCAGAGCAGAATATGCAGGCTTAGTGGCATACGCGGAATTGAAAAGAAGTGGGTTGTTGGAAGCTCTCCAAGAGTCGGGGTCACGAACACCCCAAACAGTAACACCCACGCAGTTAGTGATATCGACACACGCTTTGACGGTCTGAACATATTCCGCTGCGGCTGCGTTTACAATGTCGACTTCCGTCAGTGCGCATTGAGGAGCAGCAGCACAGAGAGCTGCAAGCGAAGCGGCAACGTTCTTCGATTCTCCTGCCATCAAGTGTGCTTGTGCTCCGATGCCATCGATGGGAATACCGGCTGCGATCCATTTTGTGACATATTTGATCATGCCAGTGGTCTTGGCATAGGTTGCTCCCTTCTCAACAGTACTTGAGTTTGTCAGTATAACCGTGTAGAGAAAGGAACGGCTTGACTGACTTGTAATCGTTGATGAAAAGCTTCGCAGCAGGGTCGGCTTTCTTGGCTGCTTCGAATGCAATGCGAACGAAATCCTCGCCAAGGACTTTTGAGAAGACTGAGGACCGGAGTCCACCACTTTCATCAAACATCTCGTTTACGACGTCCTCGGATATCATCAGTTTTGTGAAGAGACTCAACGAATGGGATCATGGCTTACCCATTGCAAGATCTTGCCCGCATATCTGCCAATCTCTGTGCTGACGTGGGTTTGGATGACAGTAGTGAGAGTATCTTTGCTGGTGATTGCAGAGACCCATGAAGGCAACTGAGAGTACCAAACAGTGGTATGTCCACGAACCAATTTGTTGTTTGTCTGCGCCCAGTTCACCAGAGTGTCGAGACCGTTGAAGTTAAATTTGCCTTGACTGGCCTCGGTGGTATCCCACTTTCCGCTATCAAACAGTTAAAGACTGTCTTTCAAAAGGAACATTTGGCTCACCTGTTCTCGGGCGTGACTTGTCCAAAATCGGCCTTGATAACATCGGCATTGTCTGTCTTTGCCAAGCTACCGGCATCTGCGCAGGTACCAAAGTACAGCTTGCCTAAGCTCTTGAAGATTGCGTCTATACTCTTCTCAGATCGAGCACGTTTCTGGAGGCCATCGTCGTCGCTTCGTCCGAGGAGTTCTCTCTCCCAATCGACTTGATTGAATGGGTGAAGTTGCTCGACCGTTGGTGCAGCAAGGGTGCTAATTATTGGAGCTATCAACAAGGAGGAAATGATTGAGCTGCGCATTTTGATTCTACTTGGTGATCCTTGTCAGCACGCTTTCAGATGTTCACAAAGAAGCTTTCAGAATATGCTAAGCAAGCTGTCCTCGAATATAATTGTAGCAAACACCAGCCCAGAAAGACGCTGAAAGTGACAATGGTGACAACATACTTTGTTCTGAAACGTAAAGAAGGAAACAGACTGCTCTCCCAAATGGCGATTGTACTACGAGGAACAATTGGATAGAGGTGGGATGGATACCCCTCGAAAATATGAAAACCTTCTCGTCTGACCTACACATTAGGCTGGAACTGCATCATCCGAAATCTTTTTAGGACAACATTTCATGTTTATCCATTCCTCGTCCCGAATCGAATACGAATTTGTGTTCGTCCTAATTCTGACTCGCAGCCTGGGCTGTTTCAAACAACGATGTTTCTCAAGCGAACCAGGGGTGTGGTGTGGGGTTGCCGAGACAGCAATAAAGTTTTGTGGGGAAAAATTTCCTTTGTTCCACGAGCCGGCAATGTCAAGCCGGTAGAATATATCGCCTTTATGCGAATTCACGCAACGTTGGATTCTGTAGGCGTGGGCTCATTCAGAAGATAGAGAGTAGCCGGTGGGCGTGTATATTCTCTATGCCTGAATGCACGGATTTCGCGCGGATATAGATCAGCTGCCCCAGACCGAAGTCAGGTCATTTCTGCCACTGAAGCCAAGCGCCAAGAATACAGGAGATCTTAGACAGACTCTGCAAGTTTATTAATTGTCGATTCTTACGGAACTGATACCCGTTCCCATTCGCGGGGTACTGTCCATTCTGGTGCAAAAACGAGCTGGGAAGAACGGTCCGAGATATACCATTCATTTCGCAGGAATAGATTTTGTCCTGACAACTGACGGTACCGTTGTAAAGATGTCTCTTCCATTTGTCTCTAAGCTGACTCCCCAAATGCGCACGTGACTTCATTGCATTGAGTTGATTTTCGTACAAGATCAATGTAGAATGAATCTGAGTAAGAAAATTTCATATTTGACATCAGATGAAGCCCATAACATAGACTAAGAGGATCATGAAAGCTTGGGGATGTCACCTGACAAGGTATAAAAATCTACCCAAGAATACAAAGCAGATAGAGACGATAAAATCTGATACAAGGACAGAAAGATACATCTGACTGATAACCGATAGAAAACAATGTATGTGAGAGCAATATACAACCAAAGCAGATATCGTTTGAACAGACTATCTGTCGCCACGCAAGAACTTGCTCGTGGGATTTGAAGCAAGTGATTACCATAGGAGAGCATTGTTATGAGAGAATCAGGAACTCCTTGAATACAGGGTATTGACGAAAGTAGATCCAATCATACAGAGCTTCCAAATTATCCCAGAGGCAGACCCGAGGTTGTAAGCCCTCCGGTTCGGCCACTGCATGATCAACATTCTCAGCAATCATGCCACCACAGTCCGATCCGGTGAACTCGAGAGAACTTCCCCTCGGTTCTCATCCTGTGGCGCATTTCCAGCGACCAATAACGCGGTTTTCGCAAAGAGAACAGGCCAGATGCAGGTCTATGATGAAATTTTTAATATGCGAAATCTTCGGCAGTCTTCGGGATTGTGTTTCGGGGGAAGTTCGCACGTCACGTGGGTGGCACTGCAGGGGTCTCGCTTGTTGTGATATATAGGTCGAGTATCTCATGGTGAGACCTTACTTTTGCTCTTGTTGGAACCTAAATACAAAGTTAAATGATGCCTGCCCTCAAAAAATTCTGGAATACTATCTCAACTGGCTGGGTCGTCGAGTACCCAGGCCGATCAACAGATGGGCCAAGAGACTTCTTCGACAGAAGGAGTGATGGACCGAGACAGAATCAACGACTACCACCATACCAAGAGCAAGAATGGGAACGGAGGAAGGAAGAAGAAGAGAGAGAAGATGCCATTGCGAAGTGGAGCGAGCAGGTCAAGGCAAGGGACTCCCGGGATTCGAGGCCACAGTCAGCTGTAGAGAAGAGCCCTTGAAAGCTTCTGAGTATGTAAAAACGCAGCTGTATCAAAATAAAGTAGCGCTAACTTGATTACCCTAGAAAATATTGAACAAACTCAGACGACCTATAAAAATTCTGCAAGGTAGCATTTGAAGAAAGTCGAGAAGCAACAACACTCGAGCATTGTGGAGCATTAGCGGTGCTTGGTAATCACAGATTGTTTTGATTATACAGATGGACATTGGTATTTGGATATGCAGCCTCAAGGACGGGGAGTAATGAGATACCCCGGTTGGAATATGGAGTAATTTCAATGTACAGCGTCTAACATTGACAAGTTAACTTGCACAAATGTTGTAATGGAATATCGACTAAGATGCCTGTGTAAATGTTCTTCAAATGACACACATTTGAAGTGTCATAAGTCTTCTAGAAGCTTCAGTCCCTCCAAAGTGTTGGAGCTGAATTTACCACCTCAGATCAAACTCTTATTACTATCAAAGACGGACATTTTGACACTCAAAATCATGCTCAGAGCTCCAACAGTTTTAAGCAAATTGTTGCTTTTAAGTTTGTCTGATCTCCCAACGCTCTTCCGCACATTATTGTCGCTAGAATATCTATTGTCACCAAAATATTTATCGCCACCACAATAGTTGTTATTAACGAACCACTCGTTGTTAATAAACCACAAGTGACTTAGCACCTCGTCGGAGCGTGCATGCCCTCACTAGTCGACTCTGGAACTTTGGAAAAGAAAACTTTTGAGTCTAACGGCTTGGGGAATTTATAACCCTCCGACCCGAGTAGAAATTGGATCTGAGAGTGGAAAGAACTCAATTGTTGAGGAATATAACTCAATTCACTGTGAATTGCTACTGGATGTTGCTAACTTTCTAGGTTTTGAAAGTGAATTGATAACCAAGACTTGAACCCAAAGCCTGACTCTTTCGAAAGAGAAATCCAATTCACTTCCACGTCAGATATTCAACAACATTCTACTGCTGACATTTAAAACAAAAGGTTTAGAATTTGGGCTCATGAAGAACATTGGCACGCTGAGAAACATTCACGGCGGCCGCATAACGATGACAAGCGCAGTCTTCAAAACGATGAATCAGCCAATGACCAACCAGAATCTCCTCAACTGTGCAACGTACAATCTGGGACCCATAGTCCGACGCCAAAGTCGGAGTATCAGCGCTAATTTCGGCAGCTCGCATTTCTCGGGTGCAGGTCTAGGGACAATAAGCACTAGCTCATAGGTATTTCTGAAGATCAGACTTTAAAATTCGAGAAGGATTGAACTTCACTGAATTTTTGATAAAAAGATCAAAACACCAGAGATAATCATGTCTGCTACTACAGACTCTGTCATTCAAGTCGCAAAAGAATTGAAAAGTTCGTTGTCGAAAAATGCTCAAGTGTTGCTCGATCCTCTAAGCGAGGATTTCAAAATCTCGATGAAGCGATGGAGTGAGGCGGATGTTAAAACCCCAGGAGTTATCTTCAAACCTGCATCAGAAGAAGACGTCGTCACAATTGTACCCATTCTGCTTGCACCCAGAAAATGCTCTTTACTGACAATAACCAGGTGAACGCCGCAATCCGATCCAAAGTCCCCTTCGTCCCAAAATCAGGAGGAAATAGCCCCTGGTCCACCATCGGAACTACAGGATGGATCATCGACCTCTCTCTCTTGACATCCATCAACGTCGACTCTTCAAATGAGACCGTAACTTTGCAATCAGGTGTCCAGACCAAGCCCCTCAACATCGCTGTTGCCAAAGCTGGTTTCGTGATCCAAAGTCCGTCCGGCGGCGGAGTAGGATACATCCCCTTCATGCTGGGCGGCGGCTCCAATCAATTGGCAGGGATGTATGGAATGGCTTGTGATTCTTTGGTCAGTGCCAAAGTCGTTACTGCGACGAAAGGGTTAGTGATTGCTTCTGCGACCGAGAATGAGGATTTGTTCTGGGCTTTGAAGGGTGCGGGACAGTTTTTTGGTCTGGTGGTTGAGGTGACGATGAAGATTTATAAGTTGGAGTCAACGATCACGAGCTGGACTTGTTTCTTTTTAGAAAGTCAGGTTGGAGAGGTTGCGGGTGTGTTGGAAAAGGTGATTAATGGGGTGGATGGGATGTCGCCGGGGATGTGTGCCATTGTTGCTCCGCCTGGGCAGACGAGAGTAGGATCTCCTTCTTTCGATGACGAAGTTTTTGTTGATTTTGGTAGCCAATGCTCATGGTCAGCGTGACAAATTTGCGCCCCGAAGCCGAAGCAGAGAAGTTCATGGCACCATTGATAGCACTCAAGCCAGTGCAGAATATCAAGAAGACCGTCGAGTTCGGTAATATCACCGATCCGAGTGACGTCTTTGGTAAACCTGGTCTGAATACACTGCTTTCATGCGGCCTTCAAAGATTTGATGGCAAGCAATTCATCGAAGCTCTTGATAAGTGGAAGAAACTTGTCGAGGAAGCTCCGGGCGCTGCTAGGACTGTGTTCATGTTCACTTGGTACTCGAATGAAATCTTGAAGACGATCCCCGAAGAGACCACGCCTTGGAGTCATAGAGATTGTCCAATTTGGTTGTAAGCATCCTTGAACACATGGTGTCGCAGCTTTGCTGACCAAAGCTAGTATGAATTTTGTTGCTGCTACAGATATGGATTCGAATAAGATCGCTTTGAGGAGTACAAATGAGTTCATCGCACAATGTCAGGAAGACCAAAAAGACAAGCAGAAAGCTATGTTTCCGAATCACAGTCGAGAAGGCAACGTGAAGTACAGGTATAGAGGTGAAGCAAGACTGCAGAAGCTATGGGCATTAAAGAAGACGTGGGATCCCGAGGGGGTGTTTACCAAGCATTTTCTAGATTAGTCGATGTCTGTGTTTGCAATTATGAATGTTGAAGGGGGGGTTTTTTTTTCTTTCGAGTCTGCATCTCGTATGCAGTAGTCGGAAACCATCATGCCTTCGATACGCGGTCAAGGGGCCGAATGTGCTCGATTCACTGGGGGTGATTGAGTGGCGCTCATGGTGTTGCTTTGATTCTGTAGCTGAATGTTGAGCTTTGAAGAACGTCAAAATCTCCAACGGGAACTTGGAAAAGGCAATTACCTTCATTCCTCCCATCTCTGACGTTCCTCTGCTCGTGCTTTTTCTTGTTCTTCAGGTGCAAGTACCCACCACTGTTGGCTGCTGAAATTTGCTAAATGGTATCTTGTCCACTTACCCGTTGCCACACATTTCAGAGCCTTCCCTTTGTATCGTCGACTTTCAAGTATGGGGAACGGCGCTCCACGACTACGGTGATCCCAGCCACCCAACTCAAGTCTCACAAACGGCATATCCTCATCGCACAACCCTTCTTCCAAGAAGTCCAGAATGCATTCTCCGAAGCCTTCACAGACCAAAGCAGCGAATAGCTTTCTTGCATATTTGAAAATCTCGACTGTTTTCTCGTGAAGCTCTGTTTCTGCGAGGGTCACCCCGCATCTTTGAAGCTCGGCAAGAATGGTATCAACATTGACAACGCGATCGAAGTTGTCTTGGGGTATGCAGTATGGCTCTGAAATTCGAGGCAAAGCCATTTGTGCACGTAATAATCTCACTTCCAGAGTTACATGCTCTTCCAACAGCTCTTCCGCAAGCTCTTCCGGCAGATCTTCAAGTGATTTACCTGGCATATCTTCTTGGATGATACCCATCAAGTCTGTATCAATGTCGGGCTTTAAGTGGTTTAAAATCGATTGGGCGTGATGAACACGGTTGATCGATTGTCCAGCACGGGCATCTTCCGAATACAGAGCTCCAGTCCTAACAAATCTAAAGTCGCCCTGAATCGACGGATCTCTATGCGAAACATCTGTTGTTTCTGTGCGTGCTGTTCGACGTGAAGTTGATCCCAATGGAGCATTAGGCGCCCTCGCAGAGGTAAGAAAATAATCCGTGGCTCCGAATATTGTAGAACGAACACGTGGTGATAGTTCCGAAAGGACGGACTCATCTTCCTGGAGGCGTTCACATCAGCACCTAGAGTGCATATTAAAGTTTTGAATAGGGATTGACTGAGGCTGAACAGATTTGGAACGAGGTGTAGGTAATAAAACAACAAAAACATTTTCCTACCTCGAACGGAGCAATATTGTCTAGCGGCGAGGGATTTGGAACAAGATTACTTTCCTATGACTTATGTATTAGTAGAATAGTTATGTTATCGACTTAGGTTGCTGACTTGTAACGGTGGAATAGCAGGACCATCTTCCTGCAGAATATTATATCAGCATCGCGACTGAAACTGCCTCGAAGTTCGAACAGGATACAGACACTAACCTGTGGCCAAGCAGAGCTAGGGCGAGGTAGAAGAGTAGGCCTATTGTCCTGCCCAATGTCACACATCAACATCTCGATCGCTCATCGTTGTGATTCCAGACACTAACCTCTAGCCGAGAAGAATTGGATCTAGGAACAATCAGAGGCTCACGTTCCTACAAAACAAATATCATTAGCTCTCATGAATCCCGCTTTAGGTAGGCAACAAACACCAGGCTGAGCAGAATCGGAACGAGGTTCAGACCGCCGCCGAAACCAGGACCACCACGTGATTGGGAAGCAATGCACCATGACAAAAATGATGGATGATGTATAAGACGATTGTTAATGTGATGAAAGGATAGCCAAGTTACCTATGGTCTCAAGCAGCGAGTTTGATCGAGAAGGCTCCTTCCTCAATGCAAGTCGACCTCAGGCAGGATGACACGTCAGGCGGTTGTGACACCACAGCCTTGTCAGCCACCGAGCAGCTTTGCCCTACAGTAGCCTACACATTGTGCAAACATAACGCCTTATATCCCGCATTGAGACTAGATTCAAACTCATATGGCAGGTTTCCATTGTGTTTTCTCAATTGAACTCAGGTAATTTCGGTCACTTAAAGTACTCGAGCCCGCTGTAGTTTAGTCCATGTCTGTGATTGGATTGTGTATCTTGCCGGTGGGATTCACTTTTACGCTAGAATCTGCATCTCGCAAACCACAGTAATCAAATATTAATTATGCCATCGATGCGCAGTCGAAGGAGTGAATATACTCAGTTCATTAGGCCGGGATGTGTGGCGCTCATGCTATTGCTTTGACTTTGTAGCTGAATATTACGCCTTGGAAGTTGGAGGGGTCCAATGAGGAAATCTACGAAGCGCTGTGGACAAACTGACAGAGGCCAATGTCATACTCACGTTATCTCCTCTCACATATATATTCAGAACTTGATGAACTGAACTGTCATAAAATCTTCAACTATTCTTACAATCATTCAACATCATAGGAAATATGAATCTTCCAGGATACTATAGTCGTGATAACTATGATCTAGAATATAAACGTAAACTATACCCACCACTATATTTTTCTCGGAGAAATTTGGAACGCTCTACCAAACGTGCCCGATATCCTCGCGATTACCAAATTTGAGAACGCGCTTTAAGATTTGTTTAGTAAGAGGACCCTCTTTCTAATCGAACTAAGTCAGGATCTCAAGACGTGCATCGACTGAGCGCATTTCCTTTCTGACCGCCCTAAGGAACTAAGACCATGCTCGATTTTTAAGATATCACCAGAAATCTTCCGAACAAGGAGATTCAAACATCATTACGATGCATCAAATGAACGCACTGTCTTACAGTAGCGATTGAAGAATGCTCTGGGGTATAAAAAGACCCTGCATACGAAGCTTGAAGCTTTCATTATCGATAAGTTTGGGACCCGTCTACCTCGCTGGTCGATTCCACGTCCAAGAAAATGGGGGCATGAGGATTATCCTGAAGGCTTTGATGCCCGGCCTTCTTCATCCGCTTGGGCTCCTTCTTGTTCTTTAGGCTCAAGGACCCAGCACTGATCCCGAAGAAGTCCTTCCAAATTGGCCCTGGTCCACTTAGTTGTTGCCATGCATTTCAGAACCCTCCCTTTGTGTCGACGACTTTCAAGTTTGAAAAGACCCCGGCCAGCTCTGCCATCCCTCTTTTCAAGCCTGACTCTGACAAAAGGCATATCTTCATCACACACCCCTTCGTTTAGGAAATCCAAAATGCATTCTCCCAATTCGTGACAGACTAGCACAGCAAACAGGTTTCTGGCGGTCCTGGCGATCTCCTCTGCTTTCTGCTGGAGCTCGGTTTGAGCAAAACCTATTCCGCATCTTTGCAGCTCCGAAAGAATCGAATCAATGGTAACGAGACGCCTGATTTCCTCGGGGGGTATGAAGTACGATTCTGGAACTTGAGGCCGGACTTTGACTGCATCGAACAGCTTATCTTCTAGACGAGTCTCGTGTGGTGGTACTTCCGTGATAACAGCCAGTTCCTCAGCATCCCGAGTTGCTCCTTTAATCGAGGGGTCTCTTCGCGAACCTCCTGATGTCTCTGTTGGATCGTCTGGTTGCGAGCGTGACACGGGTATGTCTAGCATGGGATTAAACCCAGGGTTCATGGTTCCGTATGTTGCAGGAAGAACATCATCATCTTCTGGCATATGACTTTGCATGATGTGAGTTTGAAGGATAGGAGCTTCTTCCTATATATATACATATCAGCATCTCGATCGTTCATGATTTTAGGTAACATGCATCCGGCTGAGGACATTTAGGACGAGGCTCAGACTGCCGCCAAAAACGAGTCGACCACGTGAAGGGGAAACAATGTTCCATGGCAGAAATAGTATGTATATAGCGGGAAAAGACCTGCAGTGATACAGACACTGGAAGAAGCGAGTGTCAGTAGACAGTAATCGAGATCAGCCAGGTCAAATTGTTTCATTGACAAGGCTACACAGTGCGAGGCACGTGGATGACACGTCAGGCCGTTGTGACACCACAGAAGCCTTCTCAGCCACCGAACAGCGCTGTCCTATCGCATTGGGCAAACAGAAAGCCTTCCAAATTAAGGCTACACTCAGCTCATATGATAACTTCTCTTTGGATTGAGGGTTTCTGTAAGGAATACGACATCAAAGTTTAACAACTCTGCATATGGCAGTGAAGATAGCTCAAGAAGCAGAAATGAAACATCGATCAACAAATCGTCCATCCCAGATGACTTTCTCACTTGCCAGGCGAATCTTTCGTGGGAGGCTCCTTCGAGGATCCTCCACCATCTCTCCTCGTCTTCGCACCCGCCTTCAATTTCTCCCATCTCTCTCTGTATCGTTCAACCACCTCTCTCAGCTTCCCATTCTCCCGACCCAACCTCTCAATCTCCTTCCCACCTAAAGCTACATGTTCCTCCAACTCAAGAACTCTTCGTTTCAGAGCCTCATCTCCACCTCGACTACCTTGATCTCGTGCAGGACTCATGGTGCGTGCGAATCTCATACTCTCTTGCAAAGCCATGGTACTTTGTTGAGCTGATGATTCGAAAGCGTGTAAGCGTTTGCTGAGCTTGTCGATGCAGTCCTTGAGACTCTTATTTTCGATGTCCAGTTCCTCGACCTTGTTTTCTAGAGCTCGGTCATTCATCTTTCTGCCGCTAGTGCCTCTTCTAGATGTCGTGGGTGAGATTGGCATTGGGGTCTCGCGAGCATCCACGAAATCGTCTTCTTCGGGATCCGGGAAGAGGTCTGCGTTCTCGCTGTGCATAGAGGCCGCAAGCCTTCGTTTCTCTTTCTGGTCGAAAGATAGAATGTGCGCATATGATGCTGTATGGCCTGAGGTAGGAACTACGTAGAAAGAGTCATTGCCAGAATGACCATCTCTTGCTGAGGCTCTCAGGGCCGCACGCGAGATGTACTTCGCCAGATCTGGTTCGGCATCGATCCGTTCCTTGCTCTGGGGTCGTCTTCTAGGGGCCTTTGTAGGCTCAGGGGCGGCGGGCTCAGGACCTTCCTCAGTAATGAGGGGCAAACCTGCAAACGCAAGAGGGGCAGATAGCTTTGAGAGAATGTTCTCGAATGTATTGTAGAATCTTGAGAATCCTTCATCGTTATTTGCAGCTACGACAGTGCTAGGATCTGCGACCTGAGGCTCCACGATTTGTGTAGCATTTTGCTTTGGTGGAACCCAGCTGGGTTGAGAATGCTCCGGAATACTGGCTGGAACCTTGGACCTCTTGCGGGGAAGCGCTTCTAAACTACCAGGTGCCTGTTGCGTAGATACACTAGGAGATAATGGCTGTCTTGTATAATTCGCACGTATACCTCTTGCGGACGCAAGATTGCTGGCAATAGAGGAGCTGAGGTCCCTGGGCGGCAAACGACGAGGATGTTGGAGGCTGGGAGGGTTCCGCAACGGCGAAGAAGATCGTGGTCCCAGATCAGACTTCGATGCACGTAGCTCCGCAACAGCAGCAGATGTAGATAAAGGCTTCTGTGAAACTGCTTGAACTTCTCCTTCGGTAGACGTAGTATTCGGAGGATTCTCTACGGGGTATCTCAGGAGTTCCGACAATCTCTGATGATGTTGCTCCAAAAGCCTCAGCGTCCTCAAAGCCTCTGCACTCCCGGTCCCTGATGCTGCCTTTGCGAATTCTCCTGCTGCGAGAGCATGCTCGTTGATCGCAACCGTCGTATCGGAGCTTTGGGTGGCTACAGAGGCAGCTCGAGCATGGTCGTGAGCCTAGACCGATACTCAGCTTGGAACAGAAAAGGTAGGATAATGTACATACTAGTATTAGAGGAGAAGATTCCATCTTCAGCGTTGATGTATTAGTATGGCTTGGGGTGTTGCGCTGGCATCGCTGTATGTGTTGTTGTATGTTGGCACCTGTAAAGGGAATGGAATGTGAATGTTTGAAGCATCACGAGGCTGGCTGAACTCAAGCAACTTCAGCCCGCACTGACTAAATCTGGGGTTGCGGTCGGACACTTTGCTCCCGCCAATGACGTTGCAGATCTCAACACACCCAAAGCCAGATACGGATGCAAAGGGGAAAGAGGGAATTATAAGGCATTGTTCAAAACGAAATGGATAGCTTCTCTTCACATGAGCTTTCGTGAATGATAATTCTTCAACTTCTCCATCGCTGATTCTGCTATTCAATCCTATTTGCTGTCACATCACAAAGCTGTAGTCCTATGCGCCCACTCTCCTGAAGATAAAGGAGGTTGCGACGAGGCCTCACCCATTTCAGCTGGTCTGGTCCCTTGAGGCGGCACAAAGAGAGTTACGTTTACAGCGACGACATCGTACAAGCTCATTCTTGGCTTCTATTGCAACTCGACGCATCTGCCACTCTATGCAGCATACGATAACATCGATCGCTTCCCCATGACCCGGCGCATCTGCTGCGAGAAGTCTAGGTAGCTACCGACCTGATGTCGTTCACCATGGAGAGATCGGAGTCTCCTCCGAGGAACGGGCTGTCCCAGATGTTCTCCAAATCGCGCAGAGACAAGAAAGGCAAGGATTCGAACTCGACAAAGAGCAGCGGCAGCGATGGTCTAGGTGTTCGAGCATCGATCGAAGACGCAGTTGATAAGCTCAAAGGGAACAAGGACGGCGAGGACGATAACGAATCCAATGGCATCAAGAAGCTTGTGTCAAAAGGTATTGGAGCCAAGAGGCGGCAGAAGAAACAGGAGAGGGAAGAAGAACTGCGATTGTCGGAAGATGCAGCTCGTGGGAGGAGTGTTGCAGAGAGAGGGACCTTGGAGAACGATGTTCCCAGCCTGGTGCATCAGAGCAGCTCTGGGGATGGCAGCAGTTTGATCACATATGATTCAGAAACCGAATCGTAAGTCTTGTCTCGGTCTCTTTTCTTGTTTTTGTTTCTGCTTGCATCATTCGCCTCGACCTTTAGACATGCATTATCCCTATCTTTTTAGAACCTTATTCGTATGCAAGTACAAGCAAGAGAACCGCAGGTGGGACAGCAAGTACCAGCCACACAGGAGCTGAAGCGAAGATGCGGAATGTCCCATCGCAGACTCTTGTCGACAACCTTCACTTCCAGCTCTCTCCTATTGTCAATATAACAACGTCACAATCAACGACAATTATCACAACTTCGCCAGGTTATGCCTGCGAACCTTCTCGTTCTGCCTGATACTTATTCGTCAATCCATGCGCTGCGAGTTTGTTTTGCATTAATCGCGGCAGCGTCTCAATTCCCGACTTGCTTAATTACGTGTACCCTGTTCGCTGCGTGCTAACTCAAGTGTCACCTCCACAGACCACTCGAAGCACCTCCTCTTCAAACGCATCCGTCGCACATTGGATACCTCACCACTTCCTCCCCTCTCGTTCATTCTACCACAGTGCCAGAAATCAGCTTGACTGAAGCGCAGCTCGACGGCGCGCCTACACCTCGAGCCTCGACCTTCCCTGTACATCTGAACGCCCTGGCTGCCTCAGCATCAGCTCCGTCACTCGTTGACACAACCCTCCAAGCTCCCACGAACGGCTCCGAAAAACGAAGCCCCTCGCCCGTTGGCAGATTAAAGAAGGCTCTGACATCCAGGCGGGGTCCAAGTCCGAACACAAGTCCTGAGAGGAAAACTGGAGGGGGAGGGGTGGCAGGCCTGAAGGAGTTGGAGAGGCCTGCAACAGCGGTGGAGAGTAGACGTGGAAGTGTTGCATCGAGGATTGGTTCCATATTCCCTGAACGACAATCTTCACCACAGCCATCAACTGTGTCTTCTCCAGAACGACCACAAACTGTCAAAGTTCAAACAATCGATACCAGCGCTCCACCAAGTACACCACCTGCATCCGAGATACCCGCTCCGATTATCGTGAATACCCCCCCTACTCCTACCGACTCGAGCTCCCCTCGATTTCCTCCTGTTCGAGACCGTGGCACTTCAGACCCGGTAACCTCAAATTCCAATGTTGTCACATCCCCATCGGGGAACATGATATCACATAGAAGAATACGATCAGGATCTGCCACGCTAGGTCCAAGTAAACTATCAAATATCACTTCCGCTCCTTTGACACCGACTTTGGAGAGTGGCGCCACTACGCCAAGCTCTGGAGGTTTCTTTTCAACTGTATTTTCCGCAGCGCAAAACGCAGCAAACACATTAAGCAACAGCATTGCAAACACATCAGTTGCCCCTGGCAATAGGGCTAAGAGTGGCACACAAGACATCAAGGAGGTCGAGAGCCCAGTGGTGGAAACATTTGCAGAGAAATCTGAGTCTGACGATCCAGCGGAAGAGAAAGAACTTGCTGTTAAGACGTTAGGTATGGGTGACCTCAGTTTAAGCGCCTTAGGCATTTCGGAGAGCAGCAGTGGGACAGATACGCCTGTCCCATCTAAGCCAATGGAGGAGACGAGAGGAAGATCGGAATCAACTAACGATGAAAATCGATCAATCGCCGGTCTATCTGCGCCGAATCAAGATAACGACGGTGTCTCTGCGTCTGTTGACGATCTTCAGCCTCTTGTGCGACCTCGATCGATATATGAACCTGCCACAGGAGAACAGACACCCCCAAATGGAAGCGTATTTGAAGGGAAGACTGGCATTCACAGAAGTGGCAGCATACGAAGCGCGATTGGCAACCGCAGGAAGCGCGGTAGTTCTGCAGCTACTGGAACAACGATTGGAGCTGCAATTGCTGCTGCGAACACTTCACTTGCAAACCCACATGCAGGTACACCAAAGATTACTGGGTTTGCAGTAGCAAGCAAGAAGCGAAACCGCGACTTCCATCAGCTATTCCGAAGTGTACCTGACGATGATTACCTTATTGAAGACTACAGTTGTGCATTGCAACGAGAGATCTTAGCTCATGGACGACTGTATGTTTCTGAAGGTCATCTCTGCTTCAGCAGTAATATCTTTGGGTGGGTCACAACTTTGGTCATGAGCTTTGATGAAATCGTATCTGTTGAGAAGCGAAGCACTGCACTGGTGTTTAAGAATGGTCTTATGATTTCTACTCTACATGCGAAAAACATTTTCGCTAGTTTCACTAGTCGAGACTCAACGTATGATCTGATTGTTGGTATCTGGAAGCTAGGTCACCCCAGTCTCCGAAGCTCTTTGAATGGAGTGAGAATCGAGGAGACTGGCGGGGGTGACAAGACTGAAAAGGATGATGGATTACCAGTCCCCGGGAGCCAAAGTGGTTCAGAATCTGAGAGTGAGGGGGAAGATGGGGATGAGATTTACGATGAAGACGAGGAAGACGAGGATGGCATGAGTTTCACTCATGCTGAAGGGAGTGTGGCTGGTAGCGATATTGCTGAAAAGGTGGTGAGCCGCAAACCATCAGCTGCTGTTGTACCCAACGGAACCGCGAGCGAAAAGAGTCCAGATGGCGCTACAAGCCCGGCTGGTGATTTCCCTGGTCCTGCAACGCACGCACCGACAGATTGTACCGACCAAGAGACTCATTATGCTAAAGTGATTGGGGATGACATTATCCCTGCACCACTTGGCAAAGTCTATAGTCTCATGTTTGGACCAGCATCCGTCACATGGATGCGAAACTGGTTGACAGTGGAACAGAAGTGTCTGGAGCTGACCATGGAAGATAAACGGCCTCTTGGACTGGACAACAAGGTGCGAAATTACTCGTACATCAAACCCTTGAATGGAGCCATTGGACCCAAGCAGACAAAGTGTGTGTGCGTAGAGACTTTGGACTCGTTGGATTATGAAAAGGCAATCTCTGTAACAATCTCTACCCAGACTCCCGATGTCCCAAGTGGCAATGTTTTCAGCGTCAAGACCAAATATTGCCTCTCTTGGGCTGAAGGAAATGCCACTAGAATCCAGATGAATTGCGCCATCGAATGGACGGGCAAGAGTTGGCTGAAAGGTAATCATTAAGAATAGAAATCGCTCGTGACTTCTGCTGACATTTACAGGTCCGATCGAGAAAGGTGCGAATGATGGTCAGGTCCAGTATGCAAAGGATATTGTTGCGTCCTTGAAAGCTGCTGTGTCGTCTCGCCGTGGTACAGTCAGTGCAGTCGTTGGTAAAGGTAAGAAGAAAGGTCGAAAGGGACGCCAATCGAATAGTCTTGCCAAGCAAACCGATGGAGCCTCAGAGACCAAATCTACTACCGAAGATTGGGGACTTTTTGAGCCAGTGCATGGCATTCTTGGCCCGCTGTTCGATATTGTGAAGCCTCTACTTACTGGAAATATCCTTTACGGTCTCCTTGTGGGCTTGCTGGTTGCAAGTTGGTTTGGATTCGGGTTCTCAGGCAAAGGCCGCGGACGCAATGATCTTGGCCTTACTTATTTCGGTACGCCTGAGCGAGTGGCTGCGTATGAGGAGATTTGGAGACGCGAGGAGAGTCAGTTGTGGGAGTGGATCGAAGACCGCGTCAGCATGGATCGTCTACGTGATGTCAACAAAATGCCCATCGAAACACAATCTATCCAGGACAAGCTCAGGGACGAGAAGATGGACGAGCGAGCAGTGGATGCTGCGATCAAAGTTACAGAGGAGAAGTTGAGGGTTCTGAAAGCCACGGTAGAGAAGATGAAGCGGAAGGCCGAGACGGTCAAAACCAACGAGAAGGAGACGGCATCGAAGCCTGAGCTATAGCATTATGATTGATATCTTGGGTGGACCGACTGTAAATTTAGGTGTTCGGCGCTCGGTAGTTGGTATATTCTGGGTACGCATAAGCATAGCGGTAACGACGCAAATACCATTGTTTTGATTGTTTAAAGAATCAATTCCTACTCTTTACTTTGCCTCCTCCAAGCCAAATCAACAAGCATCCAATGCCACCTGTTGACAAACTTTCAAACACCACCATTACCTTCCGTCCTCCAACTAACCCACACTCTTCCTCACGTCCATCCTCAAGGATACCACGCAATGAAAAGCATCATTCTTTCACGAGAAAATTTGTGTTCCAAAGATTCCCTACCAAATTGTCTTGAATGGTAGGAGTGGTCAGGGAGTAGTTTTCAACTAGCAAAAACGCAAGCTCGAGCGCGGCTCTCACTGCTATGCGTAATACCCTTGCACTAAGATGGAGAAGAAAGAAAAAAAAAGGATGGATTGCAAGAGGGGAAGGGAGTTTATATAGATGTGAGAGGGCGAAGGCAGCAGTGGGTGTGAGTCAGTGGGATGTTGTTGCCTGGAGGTGAGGTGAGTGAGTGCGTGCTACGCCGCCGGATTCATGTCAAGACGAGCTGAAGGGCGCACTGAGTGCTGGAATTGATTCGTAAATGCTGACACAAACCCTGAAATGAACCAAGTTGTGCAACGGAGATGTGTTGGTAGTGAAGTTCCCCTGAATTGCTCGCTTAGCGACCTGCATTTGTTGCCCCGCCTCTCCATCGGTGAAATTCGTGGCCGATTTTGCGATAAAGCCCAAATTCACAAAATATAAAATATTTTGCATAATATATTAAGTTTATATTTAATATTTTTTATTAAATATATAAAATAACCTTTTAATAAGTCAAAATTAAAGTTTAATTAGAAACAAATTATGTAAGAGTGTGTAATGTTAGAATTAGTATAGGATATTTTGATATTCTCGAGTGCTAAAATCGACTAGGAATTTCACAGATGGAGAGCCCGCTAGTGATTGCCAGACTTCTTTGCTACTTTCTTAAAAGCATTACAGATTTTAGTCTTCATATAGAGAAGCTGATGCCGCAAGTATACTCTTTATATACAACATAAGATGTTCAATATCGATTTTAGTCCAGAACGCCCTCAGGCAGGAACACAACGTAATCCAAAGGCGCCGGTTCGATCCCATTCGGCGTCCCGACAATCTTCAACACATCTCCTTTCTTAACCTGCACACCACGGATCGTCTTCCGAGTCGCCGAGTGGCCATCAAGATATATACTTGGAGCATGGCCTAGCACGTTCTCTAGATTCCCCGTCCATGACGCAATACTGTTGTTATTAAGAGAGACATCCCAACGCGAGATACCGCCAATTAGATCGAAATAATTCACACCAACGTCGTATTTTCCGTCTGGAAAATTCAAGGTCGTGTCAGCGGTTCCAACAGTACTGTTCGTCAGTGTTACAATGGCGGTGTAGTTGCTCGCCATTTCGAACGGAGAGACCTGATACGGTTTATATCCGGCCAGACTCATACTCTCGGCTTCGATTCTCCAAGGGTGGTTTCCCACTCTGTTTTCGGTATCTGGGATCCCAGATAGGTTGTGATAGAAGTTGCTGATCGCGTCGCGCCACACGATCGAGTGTCCTGCCTGGTATTCTTGCCTGAACAAGACATGGTTGTAGCGTTGATCATCAATCTTCCCTTTCAAGCTCTCCCATAACGGAACGAAGGTCTGCGCCACCGCAGAACCATTGTAATGTGCGTCGTAGAAATGCTGGATGACAGTCTTTCCTGAATGCAAGACGTGTGTATAATTCACGTGATGAAACCACAGTAAAAGGTCATCAGGGGTCGTCGAGGGATCTTCGTACATAGCTGCGATCTCTGGTGGATATTGGCCTGCAAAACCCGTGCCGTTTGAGACTGTGCGATCCATTCCGATGGTCAAGTGGTCAGCTCGAGTCCACTGTCCCCAACCGTTGTTATCCATTGATTGAGGATTTGGTCCGAAGTGCGTGTAGAGGATATCCGTCAACGTCTGGACTCCGAGATTTCCGCTGTAGTTCTCGTACGCTGGCCAAGATTCCATTGACATTTGTGTGATGGCGCGGAGAACTGTTGGATCGCGACTGAATGTGAGACGAGTCCAATCTTGGAGGATAGCTTCGGGATCCTGGGTTGGTGCCCATGCAAGACGGCCGTACGCGTAGAGGTTAGACATAGCAAGATGGCTACCAAGCCAAGTGTTATTGGTTCCAACATTCACAACTGCTGCTGAACCACCCAGGGGGCGATTAAAGCGTTTACCAGAAATGATGTCGCTGACGACAGACGACTGATTGTCAACTTTGAGATCAAAATCCAGGACAGTCTTCCAAAGCGGGGCAAGGTACACAAGGTGACATTGTTGACCTAGGTATTCTTGAGCAACCTCAAGCTCAATAGCCGTGTTTGTCTGAAGCAGGTTGGCGAATAAAGGCGAAGTTGGTTCTCGGACTTGGAAATCGATTGGTCCGTATTTGATTTGGACAACCACGTTATCATCAAATTGTCCATCCAGATCCTTGAAGAACTGAACTGCAGCATTGGCTCGATCAGCTCGCCAGTCAGACTCATTGAGTTGGTTGTAGACGAAAGCACGGAACATCGCAACCCCTCCATAGGGTTGAAGAGCTTTGGCGAAGAGATTCGCTCCTTGGGCAAGCGTGCGATTGTAGGTTATCGGGCCTGGTTGCCCTTCCGAATTAGCCTTCACGAGGTATCCCGCCATATCTGGGACTGCTTCATAGATCTGGTCCGTGATGTTCGTCCACCAATCAATTACTGAAGCATCGAGTGGATCAAAAGTGCTCAAATTGCCTAATAACTGTGGCGATGCGAAGTTGAGCGAGATTCCCAGCTGAACGCCATAGGGCCGAAACACATCTGCGACCCGTTTAAGTCCAGCAATATTCTGCGGCGTGAGAAGGGAAGCATTGGCATTGACGTTATTAATGATTGCACCATTGATGCGTACAGAAGCTAGAAGACGTGCATAATCCTCCGCGCGACTCAGATCGTTGACGATGAGACCATTTTGAAAGAAAATGGACGGACCACCATATCCACGTTCGATACTCCCATCCATATTGTCCCACTGGTTGACCCAGCGTATTGGAGCATTGGGATTGGATATGTAGGACACCTGGGAGAAGTTTCCTTGAGCAAGCATTGACAGGTATTCAAAGGCGCCGTAAAGAGCCCCTCTTTCATTTTGTCCAAGAATCTGAATTGTGCCGTTTAACGTACTGAGCCAGAAACCATCCGCCTCGAGGTCTGCTGTGTCGTCGTCATCGAGGCCATATTCTTGAGCATAAGCATCAACGGTCCCAACCACGACGGTTGAAAGTGATTCGATACTCTGATGAGTGATGGATACTTGTTTGCCAAAGATGCCTTGAATTCCTTTCTGTAGCTCCAACCCCGCTGTATAGACGGGGCTGGTTGTCGTCGCATTGAGAGCCACAATGTTTGATGGAATTGAGCCCTCAGACTTGGCAACTCCAGGTAGCGGAGCGTATCGTAGCCACGCAGCCAAGCCATCCTCCGCGGAAGCGACTCCAAGAGTTAAGAATAACAGAAGGGCTCGCATCATGATTTTTTGACACCTGCGAAAGTCCTGTTCGTCCCGACTCGAGCTCCATTCATTTATATGAAGACAGAAGAGCCATGGTTATGTTCGGAAGATTTAATAAACGTATTCCCACGTATAGTGAAAGCGTGATGTTGAGGCTGATGCAAAAGTATTCAGCCTGAATGTTGTGATCGACAAGGTACGACACCTCCTTTCAATTAGCGGGCGGGGAGATTTACAAAGAATTTAGACAGCATTTGATTCCCCGCAATATCAGAACAGCCGGGTCCCGGACCCAAAAGTGGGCGCGAAATTTAGACTTCTTGCGTGCGCCAAGCCCCACAAAGATAGCCTTGCTTCAGTAGAACAAGGTTGTACGGGGCCTTCCCCCAGCGAAGAAGAGAGTGCGCTAAATATGTTCAAATATTCCAAATGACATGCTGATAATTGAATGTTCGGCCGTAAACAAAATAAACACCGAGCAGGCGAGAATGACAGCCAACAGGTAAGCAATGCAAGAAAAATAGCTGGAAGAATAACTGTCGCCGCACATGAAAGTATATACCATACGCTGAGACTTAGCAAAACAGGGCGGACCACTAGGTCAAAATATAAGATTGATCTATTAATGGTGATGGTCCAAGCTGAAGAAGGTAGACGAGCAAATATTTGATATGACTTTGAAGTTGATCTGATTATTTTCCTCTGGCACGAGCCATTGGTCCCCAATTCTCACGAGGATTGAGCTGATATCTAACAAGCTTCTTAGTATCTTTCTCCCCACCCAGCTTCTCATCAAAGACGACCTTGATCTTCTTCTCCTCTGATGAAGCTCCCGATTCTGTTTTGCCGTCAGCTTCTTTGCTGTTCGGCTCTGGCTCGGCGAATTTCTGGGTCTTCTTGTCAAAACCCATGATAGCCCGCCCAGCGGTATGTTCTCTGATAGAGCCATCTTTAATAGGAGATCTTTGTTTTGTCCACTCTCTCATGATCTCCCAAATCACTTCCCAGGGCGCATCAGTCTTGATGCTTCCAGGTTTGGTATGACTTCTCGTATCTCGATAGCCAAGATGCCTCAAAGCACCACGAAACGCATTCTCTATGGGAGTGACGCAGTGGATGACTTTAGAAAGTGCAGACGGAATGAAGAGGAATGGAGTTGGATCGATAGCAGCCGGGTCGTACTTCTTCGTCTTTGACGTTGCCGTTGGAGATATGTCTGCTTCCAGATCTGGCAAAACCTCTTCTAAGGCCAGAGTAAGCATGCCTTCGATTCTGGCGGTGGTATAATATGTATCTTTTGACACATTAGGGAGTCCAGCCAAAATTTTCTTGATGAATTTGGGAGAATGTATAGGACCTCCATACATCGGGCCCGCAATGTGTGTCTTGAATCCACATATCTTGCAAGTTTCGTTCGCCGCAGGTCCTTGTGCAAAGACATGTTTCCATTGAGGATCACCGTTCTTATTCTCAACGACTTTATTCCTAGCAACCATCTGTGTAGTCCAAGCTCCGCACCCAGTGTCACAATTGTACACCATCATCGTTTTGCCAGCCAAGAATTTGACATCTGCAGGTGACTTGTAGACACGGACAAATACCCTAGCGTAAAAGTCGATTGACAACGAGAGGAGAGGCTCAATTGCAACGCCGTGTCGAGCGGCAGTAGTTGCGATAGAATGAAGAATGAGTCGGAGCCCAGCTTCATGTGACATAGGGCCTTTCATTGCCACACCACCGTAAAGCGAATACGCCTTCTCAGGGTATCCATTGGAAGCCCAGACTCCAGCATCTGTGCAAGTAACGCATAGGAGACCACCGTCATCGCGCACAGCTTGAATCGCAGCATCCAAGAATGGTGCTGCGGTGCCATATGGATCTAAGTCAATAACATCGTATTTCTTGCTATTGCCGTCCTTCACGTCTTCTCCGACGAGGTCATACATATGCTTAAGAGCGTTTCCTGTTACAGCTGTGATCCTGTCCTCCAGCTTGTTATGCTCCACGTTCAACTTGATCATCTTAGTTGCTTCTTTGAGTAAATCGTTTGCGGTGATCGATGTTGCGAAAGGTATTTCTTGAGCATATCGAAGAGCACGTAGACCTGTAGCAGAGAGGGCATCTAGAATCGAAAATCTGATCTTTGGTGGTGGCATCTCAATTTGCTCAGTAATTGTGGAAGACCCTTCGTTGTTGGCCACATCGTCCATCTTGCTCTCCGGCGACGTTACCTCAGCCTGCTCAGCCTGCTCAGTATGTGTGGAAGGTCCTCCGTTGTTGGCTATGTGGTCTGTCGTGATATCTAGATCGTGCCCCACGGGCTCAGGATCTCTTACTTCGTCAAAACGAACGGTCTGCTCAGCAATGGAGTCTGGGGCTATTTGTGGCTTCGCGTCCATAATATCTGGCCCAGCATTTGCTTCCAACGTAGCTGATTCAGGTCCCTCCAGTTTTCCTACCTTCCGCGAAGCATCATCGTCCTCGCCGTTCTCTTCACGCTTCCGCTTCTTTATTCTCTTGGCCTTGAACTTTGCCCGTCTCCTTTCTGCCGCCCTCTTCTTCGCCTCAACGACCTCTTCACCATATGCCTTGATCGCTAGGACGCTCAGGTCTCGATTGAATTGCTGAATAGGATTGTAGAAAACTGATTGCGCGGAATTATCGCCTCTAGGGGTGGTTTGAGGAACCTTCGGACCTGAAGCCGGCACAAGAATATATGCCAGTCCTTCTTTGATTGTCGTGTATTCCTTTTCATCGTGCACAACGTGCTGGTCCACAGCTGGTAGAGCTGTGATGTCTGCAGCTTGATTTGCAGACATTTTGGGTAAGAAGGCAAAGGTCCGTATGCGCGAGAGCTCACCTAAGATCGCCAAGCTTCGACTCGCCCTGAAGCTCTTCGAGAGTACTTGCATGCGCGACGTCTGGGTTGTCAGTTGCGGAAGCTTGCCAGAAGCTCTGATTATTTTTGTGGGCTAAGAAAATTCTGCCACAATCTTCTCAAAACAGGGCTAGCGTTTAACCTTAATTAAAGGCGGTGAAATGGCTCACATCATCATGGTATTCAAGGTGAAAACGTACATCAGGTACGAAAATGTTGTTTGAGAAGCCTGTTTAACATGAAAAGCCAGTTATTTTCAGATGAAGAATTGTATTCACGATCAAGAATCGCGACACATGCTATTTCCTCCATTCCGGCCGGCCTATAACTCCTTTTCATCTTATACGTGCGTATGAGGGGCAATATCAAGTACCGTTTGAACCCTTTCTGTCCCAGTCCATTATTTCAAGACTCCTTGGATCTCATACCTCTCGGCTGAACCGTAACCGATCTGACCTCCATGGCTGAGAGAAGTCCGGATGACTTACCAAATGTCAAAGATGGACTTCAGGCATCAGGAGACAAAAGGGTCAGGAAGAAAGCTTCTCGACCAAAAGCTCGAACAGGTTGCTTCACTTGTAGGTATGTTGTTACTGTTGCTAGCATTGTAGTCATTCTTTGGACAAAATGATAGAAAAGTACCATCAGTCAGTTTATTGGTTTGCAATTTACATGGCACCAATCATTTTTTCATGTATCGCTTTAAACTTGAGACCTTAATGGACAAGCTTTCCCAAGAAAAGTAATATTCCAAGCCAAGCAAGGAATCTGCTGATAACTGACACAGGGTCCGAAGAATCAAATGCGATGAGTCTAAGCCAGCTTGCAAGAGATGCCTCAAGTACGGGACGACTTGTGCTTACCCGCCTCCGGCCGGCCAGAAGGCATCCCATCAAGAACCTTTGAGCATTGCCCCTCTAAAGTCTCAGTCATCTACCTCGCCTCTTCCATCAATCCTCAAAACCCGTTACAAGAACGAGCGAGAGTATCGATGCTTCCAACTGTTTCGCGAAAGGACGATGTTAGACCTTGTTGGGTCCGATGACTCGAATGTGTGGAGCAAGACAGTTTTGCAAGCCTGCGAGCATGAAGACGCATTTCGGCACGCTGTCATAGCCATTGGTGGTCTTGATCGAGCCCTCGAGATCTCCCAGGCAAGTGGCAAGCAATGCCCTGTCGGCCGGACTAGTATCGACGACGAGTCCCTTGCCAATCATTACCATTTTGCACTTCAACAGTACGACGATTTCATAGTCCAAATGCGCCGACGACTGCCAGAAAGCTCTCACGATCTTAGAAGAGCTCTGATATCGTGTATGTTGGTCGTTTGCGTCGAACTTTATCAGGGCAATCAATGTGTGGCTCTGACCCATGCTTCAACTGGTTTGAACATGATTAAAAGTACCTTGGGGGAGCTTGGTACAATGGAGAACTCTTGGGGCATAGAAACAGATCTTATCCGAATGTTTTTACGGCTGGATCAAATATCTTTGGCTTCTGCTCTTCCATCTTTGACAAGGACCTATGTTAATATGGAGACACATTTCCACGGGATGGTTGACGATAATATTCCTGCGGAGTTCACGTCTTGCAAAGAAGCCCGCTCGTTCTGGATGGTCACTGTGAGACGTATATCCCGTGCAACCATCGTTCCGCGCACACAAAAGAGTCCAAATGATGAGCGTCTCTATCCAGACGCAAGCGTAGGCTACCTCCGGCAATGGTCTGGAGCCTTTCAACCACTGCTCAATGCTTCGAGAGAAGAAAGTGGGAAAACTTTCCGCTCGAAAGCAGCATTCCTTCAATTGAGGCACAACACTACGCTTCTCGCCTTGGTAGGATCACATTCTGATTCAGAGCTCGTTTACGACAATTTCGTATCTCTGTTTCAAGAGACCCTCTGTCTTGCTCGCGATGTCCTTGACGAGCCTCATGGGGGGTTGTCCGGACGGCGACCGATATTCACCTTCGATATCGGGGTTATTAGTTCACTATGGGCTGTTGCAACTAGATGCAGAGACAGTGACATGAGATGGACAGCGGTCTCGTTGCTGCTCCAACACCCGAGACGGGAAGGTGTGTGGGACAGTGCAATGATCGCAGCATTTGCGTCAGTATTGATTCGAATCGAGGAAACCGGCCTAGAGAATGGATCTATCCCCGAAAGCGCACGCATCCAAGGAGAGTCGTTCTCATTCGATCTGGTCCAAAAGAAGGGTCAACTCATTTACTCCCGTTTGCCTGAAGGATCGAAACTCGGATCAAAACGTGCCGTCGAGGCCGTGGATGTATCGTGGTAGATGTACATCGGATGTATCAGCCCAGTATCAAGAATTAAAGCCGGTACTCGACATAGACGCTTCTCTAGAATCCGATCAGACCTGCGCAGTTTCGTGGGACTTCAAAGCATCTTCCGAAAGGGCACTTAGCTGTCTTACTGAACCAACCCCCATCTCTGAGATTACGTCCACTCCCAATGATCAGCCCTAGTCGAAGAAAAGTGGAAGGCGGGCGTACAAGAAGTGCGTTGTGGGGTGAGCGCGACTCGGAGCTGGAAATTACCACGGCATGGCTTTAGTCACCTCGCTGGGTTATCTAGTCTTGTGAGAAGCAGATCGAGATCCCCAGCTTCTACAAGAGGAGATAATATCCTCACCGTTAAGTGGAATGGGTCTCATCTGAAGGATCAGTAATCGCGCATGTATCCCACGTGTCTACTAAAGATCTTGCGCCTTCCCGCAAAGCTTAAGTTACACAAAACGAATCAGTCCCGCTACATCCGTCGACGCACAACACCTTCTAGCCTTCGTGTGATCTCACATTCTGAACACCATTTGTCGTGCTTATGACAGATTAAACTTACCTGAATTGTCTCGAAAGATGTCACTGTTCTTCACAGCAGAGACATATCGGTCTCGGATCTCACTCATGAGAGATTTGCCATGAGAAAAACTGTGCGTCTCTACTCGAGACCAGAACGGGCATTAATTTGGATTGCTCCCAATGTCAGTATAAGATCAATCGAAATATGTACAGTCGCACCACTCAGCGAAAATCGGAATCATTGTGGTGGATTTCCATGCATTCGTCCTGAGATTTGATCAAGTGGTTTCCGAGACAGAATGTCAAAACTATTTGCATCAACGGTCTTGCAAATTTTGAACCTCTCGATCATCAATCGAAATCCTACCAATATGTCTTGTTTATTTTTCGTCTGCAGTCTCATTCAGCAAACGTCCTTTGAGACCGTCTTCGCTCCTGCCCACAGTCTTGGTTCAGCTGGCACATCATATCGAGAGTTGACCGCTTCCGTGGGACCAGAATCTGCCTGATGTGTAGCATTGGAGCATGACTCCGAGTTAGGAAAGATGTACTATTCTGCGTCCTCCTCGCTCGTCCCATCAATATCACGCCACACGTATTTAAAGATCCTGAAATCGCCAGAAGTGATCTTGTTTAGATTAATATTTAACAATCAGAAAATCCAAGAGCAAGAGAAAAGTATCATATGCAATCATGAGATCTGCAATTGCATTCGTCCTGGCGAACGCCATAGCCGCGAATGCGGCTACTGTAACTTTCAACTGTATGTCTACCGATCCTGCGAGGCTGCGTGACAGGAATTTGCTCGTTTCTGCTCATTCTTGCTCATGCCAACTCCTTGGCTTACATACTGACTTATCATAGGGAACGTTACTTGGGTCTGGGTAAGCTGCGATACTGGTTTAATAGTCTTGGAACCTCGCTGATGAACCTTTAGGCCAGCCCTGATGGATTCGGTCGACCAGTAGTCGGCATTAATGGACAATGGCCACCGCCTCCTATGATCGTGAACGTCAAAGACCAGGTCATTGTTCAATTGTACAATGGACTAGGCAACGAAAGTACATCACTTCATTTCCATGGCCAGAACCAAGGAAAGTCGCAGCAGATGGAAGGCGCTCCTCCAGTTTCTCAGTGCCCTCTCCCACCAGGAATGTCGATGACCTACAACTTCACGGCTGGTAACACTGGTACCCATTGGTACCACGCCCATTTTGGTGGCCAATATATGGGTAAGCTTCTTATGCATTGGACGTGATTTCTAGGCTGATGTCCCTACTTCCAGATGGTTTCCGAGGTCCTTTCATCGCTCTGGATACCACAGCACCATTTGCCAATGACTACGATGTTGATGTATGTTGGTCCATCCTAGCGAACTTCCATATCTGACAGTCCCAGTACACATTTCAAGTCTCCGACTGGTATCATGAACAAGTCCCTTATATGCTCAATTGGTATCAAACCGTTCCAAAGGCTACAGGCCAGGGAATGGAGCCTGTCCCTGACTCTACCTTGATCAACAATCAGCTGGACCCCAAATTCCCAATGGTACCCGGCAAGAGATACCTGTTTAGAATCATCAACACAAGTGGATTCGCTTCACATGTTATCAAGTTTGCTGGACACAACATGTAGGTTACTCGAACCAACCTCTTTTCTCAACCATACGACGACTATTGCGGACCAACTTCTGACTTGCGAGTCCCGTTCAAACCATTCACTGACTTATTAGGACTATTGTGGAGATGGATGGCGTAGCAACGGTGCCAACAGTCACCAAGAAGATTATGATTGCTGCTGCTCAGCGGTATTTTGTCATCGTCACTGCACTGTCTAATGCTACCAAGAACTATGGAGTTGTCTCTGCTATGATGCCAAATATGTTTGGTAACAATATCCAGCCCACGGACATTAACATGAACGTAAGTTGGGTAACCCATTACCCGAAGCCTCGCTGACAGGAACAGGCCACCGCGTACCTTGTTTACAATACCACTACGCCTTTGCCAGCCCAGCCATTACTCAAGAGCTACAAAGCGATCCATGAGTCTACCATTCCTACGTTCACAGAAACCCCGATCCTGGGTCCAGTCACGCAGGGTAAGTCTCGAGATCAGCGTTTTCCTCGATGGTGACTAATACGAGCAGTTGTGAACATCACTTTCGACTTCGCATTCATCAACGACCAGACCAGAGGTATGACCAAAACTTATTTTGTAGATCAAAGCTGTGCTGACGAAAATCTCGTAGGCAGAATTAATGGAAATACATTCGTTGCGCCTTTGGTTCCAACCATTTATACCACCCTATCTGCCCCAACAAATTACTCCATCAACTCTACAATCTATGGCCCATCAACTAACACAGTCGTCTTCAATAATCCTGTTGGTGTTGTTGAAATCAACGTTGTTAGCAACGACAATCGAGATCATCCCTTCCATATCCACGGCCACACTGCACAAATTGTTCATCAAGGCGACCCAGGAACGAGTGCCGTTCCTGACGTTTGGAACGGGTCTTACATCCAAACTCCAGCCACACGTGATGTTTTCATGGTCAACAAGTTCAGCTCCACAGTCATCCGATTCGTAAGCAAGAATCCAGGCATCTGGCTTTTCCATTGCCACATCGAATGGCACATTGAAGCCGGTCTAGGTCAGTCGAGCTCACCCCCCAAGCCTTAGATCTCGCTCCAGTGCTCTACTCTATACCTTCACTGTGCTTCTTTGCCCCGAGTCTTTGGGACATCTCAAAAGCAAGAGAGAACCAACGAGTTCCTTGTCTTGCAATCACCAAAATTCCGGGAGCAGATGCTAATTGATGGACGGTTATAGTGATGCAACTTGTGGAAGATCCAATTCAAATCCAAGCTCTGAACCTGACAGTTCCACAAAATATGTACAACGCTTGCCAATCGCAAGGCATCCCCATTACTGGAAATGCTGGCGGAAACAGTGTCAACTGGTTCGACTTGTCAAAGGCGCCGAGTAAGCCTGCTGCGAGTCCATGGGGGTAAGTTTCTGTTTACCAATGCTTGAGTAAGATGTACTGATCTTTGACAGTGCGTACGTTGGTATTCCACCAGCGCTGAAGGTACCATACTCGCCTCTTGTCTAAACGGCTCGAGTGAAGCAGCGGAGAAATGTTCGGGGTGTTTTGTATTTACCTATTGCGAGTATCGAAACGATTTGACGGCTGTGTCGATTGATGACTAGATGAGATCGATTGCTTTTGTGTTGCACGAACGTTATGAGACGACGGTATGAGATGTTCTTGTTTTGTGCTTTTTGCTAGCTTGATTTTGCATGATTGATTGATGAAAAAGGTTATTGCTTGATATTTGCTATAGATTACTAGTAGTAAATGGCAGAAATATATTCAAATGTACGTCATGAAATGGTAGTGCGGTTGATCAATCGCTGGCGCAGCTGTTCAACCTTGGCGGGATCAACAGCAGAGAATGTAGAATGTTCACAGCACATCTGGATCAATCTGCACACTACCTCCATTGGATTGCAACTACCGCAAGTATCATACCGGATCAGCTATGGGTTCCTGTCAGCCGACCTCGAAGTTCCTGTTGAAAAGTGGGGGACTGAGGTGAGGCGATGGACAGGAGGGCGCACGCCATTCCAAAGGTATTGTTTGAAGCACCAGCAACTTCCCCACACATGCAGCTTTTGTAACGCCAACGCCTGCTGAAATCAGGAGCAGAATCTTATCTTGCATTCTTTATCTCAGATGGCGAAATTGTCTAGGTATTTGGTGTCACAGATTAGACCTGAAGTTAACGGGTTGTCGCATATGCGATCGCCATCATGCAGCATGCTAGTACAGTATATGATAAGCACTTCTCTATTTATCCATGGGTATTCCCAGCTTCGTGTCTGTCCCATCTGATATCTCTTTTGATCCGAGCACCCAAACCCAGAATATGGCCCGTTCCGCTTTGGTTCGGCTGCGCTCCTTTCTCTGGGGAAACGACCCCAAAGACGCCCCACTTCTTGTCAAGCTTGACTTCACTATCTTGCCCTATTTCTCCCTGATCTGGTTCCTCTTCGGATTGAGTAGGTCCAGCTATGGATCGGCATACATTAGTGGGATGAAAGAAGCCCTTGATTTCAAGGGCAAAGACTACAACTACTTGAACACCACTTATTTAGTCGTGTATACAGTCTGTCAGATGCCTGGAACTTCACTTCTGACTATTGCACCGCCAAAATATGTTTTCGTGGCAGCAAACGTCACGTGGAGTGTCTTGACTTTGATTACATTCAAGATGAATCATGTATATCAGATAATTGTCTTGAATGCTTTTGAAGGCGGGTTTTCTGCTATCGCTTAGTAAATCATTCCGCTCCACCTTATTGCCCAGTATTGATAATTGTTAGTGTCGGAGCTCATTTCATCTATGGATCCTGGTAGTACGTCAAGATGCGCCCTCAAAACAGCATTATCTCACGCGCCGAGCTTGAGTGCTTGAATTCTCGACTGCTCGAGTCTCTTTGGACACTTCTCGGAACTCGATACTGACTTGTCAATAGTAGAAAGTCCGAGCTCGGGACTAGGGCCGCCGTCTTTGTATGCTTCGGCCATCTGGGAAGTATGGCAGGTGGCTGGATTCAAGCTGGCTTGTTGGAGTCATTAGCTGGGAAAGACGGTCTACCAGCGTGGCGCTGGATCTTTATCATTGTATCAATTATTACAATACCGACAGCTATCTTTGGTAAGGTCCAACATGCAGATAGTGAAATTGGCTAATTCAAGTCTTCAGGTTGGTTCTTCATTCCAGATCTTCCGTCGCACCGAAATGCTTGGTATCTTACTGCTGAAGAGAAGGAGCATGCCGCAACGAGACTTGGACAGCCAAGGAAAGTCCTTTGGAACCGAACTGTTTTCAAACGGGTGCTTCTTAGCTGGCAATTCTGGCTTCTCCCGACAATTTTTATGTGTAAGTTTGATTGAACATTTTCCAATTCATACCAGCTGAACTCTAGCAGTGTATTCACTTGCAATTCAGATGGAGCTTAACAATGTGTTCCAATTATGGATGGCATCTCGTGGCTACACCATAGTGCAACAAAATAATTACCCCACTGGTCTTTACGGCGTCGCCATTGTCGGAACAATATTCTATTCTGTCATTTCTGACAAGATCCAGTCTCGGTGGCAGTTTTCTCTAGCCATCGGAATAACTTTCATTATTGGGAGTGCTATCTTAATAGCCAATCCTCATGCAGATACAGGTCACTTCTTCGCTTTCTATCTTTTAGGATCAACATATGCACCACAAGCTTTGTGGTACTCCTGGATGGCGGATGTCACTGCGCACGACTTTCAACTGAGAGCTATAACGACTGGTTTCATGAATTCTTTTGACTTCGGCTTCTCGACTTGGTGGCCACTCATCTTTTATCCCGTGACCGATGCACCTAACTATAGAAAGGGTTATATTGCGAGTCTTGTCACTGGATCGTTGATCTTACCTTTGGTTCTCTTAATTGCGTACTTGGAAAAGAAGGGTATCCAGAATGGGACGTTGGAACGGAAGTTTGAGGCAGAAGAAGCCGAGTCTTTTGAGAATGAGGCAAGTAATGTGGAGCAACATTTGCCGGAGAAAGTATGAGAGTGAAATTCAACACGTGAACGCGATTCCTGCGCCTCGTGCGAGTATTATCGAGGTTGGTCTCACTTTGGAAATTGTTGGATCTGCCGAGAACATGAAGAGGAATGATCTAACATCATGAGGAAGTTTGAAGAGTATTCTGTTTAAATGGGTGACAATGAAGCAGTCATTCGATTGTCTAGCATGGAATAGCGAGACCATTAGCAGTACCGAGCACCAGATTTCATGCATGCTTCGCAATCTCAATCACAACCTTCTTCGCCGAAACTCCTTTTCTCAGAATGTTGATCCCGTCTTGGACCTTCTCCAGCCCACCTTCAATTATAAGTGGATCAGGCTTTGTTTGAAAGCTTCCAGCTGCCAATGCTTGAGGAATGTATTTGCCCCAAATAGCACGTCCGAGATCGAGATCAACAAGCCCTGGATCAAGTCCATTGACTGAGAAATATATGAGCAGTTGCGAGAATTCCGGGCTTTTGGGACATACCGAAAATTGTCTCGACGTTATCATACCTAGTTGGTAGTGGCTTGTGAACGACAGGCAGTTTACCACCACCAATTTTGTTTATGATCTCTGCACTAGCCTTTTGCGAACTCTCGGTACTTATGACATCTAGGGCTACATCACCCTTCTTGAGGACTTTCAAAATCTTCTCAACAACGTCGGGATCTTTATGGTCGAAGCAATATGCGGCTCCCAAACTCTTCGCGTACGCATGGTTTTGTGGACTAGTCGTGGTAGCCACAGTCAGTCCGGCCGCCACTGCCAACCTATCACAAGATTCAGGTCAGCACCAGCCAGAATAAATGGAGTGTATGGGATTTCACGCACTGAATTGCTGTTGAGCCAACGGAAGAACTGCCGCCCCATATCAAAATAGCCTGTCCTGTTGGCTCTGGGTGTAGTGACGGAAGAGGCAGTTTCAAAGCCTTGAAAAGCCCAGTAGATGCCGTCGAGATTGAAAGTGGCAGAACAGCAGCACTTGACAATGGAACCGAGTCAGGTAGTTCAGCGACTAGGATCTCAAGGCATGTAGAGTAGAGTTGAAAGCCAGCGTTGGTCTTCTTCTGGGTCAGGATGCTGTCACAGTGCCCTATCACTCGTTGGCCAATTTTGAATCGTGTTACTCCGGAGCCCAATTGGACGACTGTCCCAGCAATGTCGGTCCCGAGAATGACAGGATATGTTAGTTTGAAGTAGGGGGAGTCTTGCATCTTCCAGTCCGTGGGATTCACGGCTGCATAGGCCACTTTGATCACAACTTCATTTTCGGCAGGATTGGGCTTGGGTCCTGGTGCGACTTCCATGTTTGGAGCCTTTTCGTATAGAAGCCATGCGGCCATGTTATTCTTAATGGGATCCATTTTCTGGTCTGTAGAAATGCAGATGGTTTAGTGATTGAGAGAAGTTCACGAAGAATGTGATCGACTTCTTATACTTTTCCCTTTCCCCACCATGTCTGTATTAAGAATACGAGCATTTTGTCGATTCATGGAACTCCGTGTTGTGGCACCATAAGTAGGTTTTTGCGAGTAGGACGTTAGTGGCCGGACCGACCTTCGTCCCTCGATTTGTAATATTTGTGAGTGGATAGTATTTTTCAAGTGTAGTTTATGGATCCGACCACGCCTCTAGCACGCAAGGTTAAGTCATAGCTACATGTCTAGGTAGATAGGGGATGAGGAGGATCACGTGTGCCAGTTAATAAGCGAGACTTACGGAATTCCGTGGTTGCCTTCCAATGTTTCATGCTTGCTTACAACAGCGTGTAGAATTCCATACCACCAAACTTTTCCGCTCTTTAATTGTATGGTGATTATCTACACCCGAAGAGACTCATCATGGGGTCTTCGGACGAAGCACAGCCGCTATTAAAGTGCAATACTTGTGGCAAGAATTTTGACAACCGTAGGATGCCGACCCCCATTCGCCACACTTTCATGTAGCGCAATCCCTGCTGATCTAATCGTCTAGGTAAATCTCATCTTCGTCATAAATCCTATTGCAAGAAAGCAATTACTCGGGTTACGACACGGAAGAAGTCTTGTACAGCATGCACGAAAGCCAGAACACGATGTGCACGTGATACGACTCTTCCAAAATGTTCCCGTTGCACTGCCAAGGACCTCACATGTGACTACGAACAGGATCCGCATGGCGGTCTTGTGGCACTCATACCTGTAGAGCTCTCTGCGTCGTCACATTCACCTTCAGACAGCAATGTGCGACCTCTCATTGATGAACAACCCGGTCTCCCCACGGACTTGTTGAGGATCGAGACTATGAGCACTTCAGAGTTTGAAAATATCATTCCCAGAGTTCCAACAGCATTTTCGGCTCGAGAAATTGAGCACAACCAGCTCTCTCTCAACAGAAGATATGTGCTATGCACATTAAAATCTTACCCATATATGCTACTTCCGGGCCGGAACCTACCTCCATTCATACACCCATACCATGCCTACGGCCTCAAAGATTCGGACAACAACTCTCAAGTTCGCAAGTATACTCAACCACCTATTCAGAATTGCGCTATGATAATACGATGGCATTCTGCCGACGACAAAAACAATACTGTTTACATCTGGAAGACTATTAGTCTGGAACTGGAAAAGTTTTCAAAAGAGGTTGGCACTTTCACTTGACGGAGGAAGATGGTAGCTCATTCGATCACAGTGCCCTGAAAATAGCGACGAGAATGCGGTAGCAGCTCTTCAAGCCATCACAATCTACTTCCTTCTCCGCATCTCGGAAGATATGGATGAGGCCGCCGTCTATGACATGTTACTCATCCATACAATGGTGGTAAGACAATTTCTATTATCAAATCCGAAAACTGATTGATTTATCGAACAGAAAGTTGCTACCAAAGTGAAAGATCGAATTAAAAGTAACAATATTCGCGCAGACAGGTGGGAACATTGGATGTTGACCGAGTCAATCCAACGGTGAGGATAGTACCAGTAGAACTATTAATATAGCAGCTGATAATCATACACAGAACAATAACGGTCATCCTCCTGCTTGATATGCTTTTCGAAATTTCCCCCTTCTTTCCAGCCCGTGAATGCGATGGGACATTGCTAGCAGACATAGCTTTACCATGCAGCAAAGGCTTATGGACAGCATCTACAGAAGTTGAATGGGAAATAGCGCATTCAGCCGAAGATAAGCAGACCTCGAAAACGCTCACCTATGCCGACTTGATGAACTTCCAGCACCAAGAAGAGGGAAGTCTTGACTTCTGGCTGTCATACATAGACAATTTCGGAACTCTGCTTATGGCTGCTGCCAGCCTTCAACCTCCAAATAATTTTTTATGATTTCCAAGCTCAGAAAATATGAAGACCAAGCGTGGCGTTATTCGACCCTCACCCAAGATCCTCGAGCCATCGCCAAGAGTTGCTTCATTCACGCGATGACCGCCCCGCAATGCTCAGACTTTTCACCCCATCTCAGGTGGAACACGTAGCTATTCCGCCTAAACTACGGCACGGTAGGTTTTGATGCAGCTTATACTTCTTCTGTACATTTACTTTCACCAAAAAAATCATCCAAAGAAGAATTTCATGCAACACGCCGATCGACGTCTACAGTCTCGGTAGCGCTGTCAGACGGCCAACAATTCGCTGGCTAGCCGCCATTGCAACGTTAAATGTGCGGAGCCTCAACAATCCATCGTCGCAATATTCTTCCATTGACAGACACTACTCAGAAAAACATAGCTAGCGATATATATACATCTGAGCTAGTCATTAAATTTGTTTGTACCTAGGAGTCGAACTGAGAAGCCATGTCGTCTCAAATCGAAGAGCTCATTCCCCTCACTGTGGCAAAGGTATGGCTGATATGGGTGTGCGGCTGAGCGCCTTCTTCACACTCCATTTCCTGCATACCGGACTGACAAGTTCACGCTCAGGGAAGCACTATGCGTACTTTCATTGATCACGTAGGTTCAACCTTACCATGCTTGAAAGATTTGATATCGGAATGTAAACAATGTGGAGCTGAATATTTTTAGAGCAAGCCCGACGAATCGCCTGAGCATAATTGGGTCGAAGTCGTTTACGACGGGAAGGAAGACTCAGAAGTCTTCGCCATCCCAAACCATTGGCACAAGGTACGCCTCTTATCTTGCGTGATTCTTTTCTTCTATTGTTCAGTGATGGCTAATGTAATGCAGTACCACGATGAGATAATGGAGGTTTTGGAAGGACGAATGATTTTCTACCTCGATGGAAAAGAACTTGTGACTTCTGCTGGCGACCCACCTCTCTTTATTGCACGCGGGCATATCCATGGCTTTACCGCCAGTAAGTACCCAACCACTCGCTGGAGTACATTGGCCCCCAAAACTCGGCCGAGTAGACGGGATGTATATTCCCGAGACATTATTCCTTGCGAAATACATGCAATGTGCTGACAAGCCGAACCGTAGTCAAAGGTGAGCGTGTAAGATTCACGGAGCGAACACAACCGGCGGGAACCTTCAAGGCTACGTTCTTCCAAGATTTGTTGCAGCTGCAACGCTTGCCAGGGTTCCTCCTGATCATGCGGGTTTTCTATGATGGAGACACTTATCCTTCTCTGCCTGGAGGATTCAAAACACTGGATTACATAGTGAGTTTCTCTTCCCAAAATTCTAGTGAGTATGGCTAAAGCGTACAGTTTATCACACTGGTGGGACTCATTGCCAAACCTTTCGTTCCGGCAACGCCAGCTACGCTGAAGCGGATTGATTAGTGATGAAGATGATTGAATTTTTTGGTGAGCTTTGAACAGCGAAGGGGGAATTGAGAGCGCGAGTCAACACAAAGCTTCTTTTCAAAACATCAGATTTTCCTTCATGGCAAGTGTGTCCAGAGTGATCTCAAGAACTTACAGAGCAGTAAGAGGCACGAGCCACTTAGATCAGTAATCTGCAGCGGCCGACAAGGAGGAAAAATACCTAGATAAGTGACGATCCGAAAGTAGGCACTGCTCGTACTCATTGATGCGTTCTCTACTGGAGTTTTGAATCGCGATTCCTGCAGACTCGCGAGTAGGCCACTGCTCACAGAGAGAGCAATCTTGACTCTGCTCACTCTCAGGGCTGCAACCTAACTGTGGGGCGAGAGCTTACGGATCGCTACCATGAATCTACTGTCCACTCAAACATCTAGTCATAAGTATCTGAGCTGTGCCTTTGACATTCCCGAAGTATGCAGAGATATACAACAATCTCGGACCTAGCAATGCACATGACTGGGGAATCTATAGCAGTAATATACGCTGAAGAAATCAGCATTCGACAAAGCCTCAACCTATCAAGGATTCACGATAGGGTTTTCCAAAGAGCGGGTACCGACAGATGATAGGCAACCTCAAGTGGCACAAGAGGGGAAGCGAATGCACTAGACCACGAAGAGTTAATGCTCAGCTCGATTCCGCATGTTCCGCACTTGACCCCGCCATCTTCCTCGGCCAGCGAATTGTCCTACCCTACAGTACGGGTAAACGAAATTGGGACCAGAGATAGAAGTATTTTGTTTCTCAGTCATTGAAAGTGGGTTCTACTTGTCGAGTCTGTTCTTGGTAATCAATAAAATTAAAATTTGCTGCATCTCACACCCATACTTCTCCTGATCACATCTAATTTCAAAATCAACAATAGAGTACTTCCATACTTTCCAGAATTCGAATCAACACCGAAGATCCTGAAAGCATGGCTCCAGCTCGTGTAGTCACAATCTCATCAGGACCAGATCCCGACGCCATTATCCCCGCCAGCGATGCACACCACGAAAACGAATGGTACAACCAAGATTTCACCGGATACCGCATAACAGAGCAACCACTGCACACCAAACGGCGTCTCCGAATGATATGCGTCGGTGCTGGCGCCGCCGGACTCCAGCTCGCTTACAAAACCGAACGACTCCTTGAAAACGTCGAGCTTCAGATTTATGAGAAAAATCACGATATCGGGGGAACCTGGTTGGAGAATCGGTATCCGGGGTGTACGTGTGATATCCCGAGTCATAGCTATCAGTTTACTTGGGAGAAGAATCCGGGGTGGAGTCATTATTATTCTTCGGCTGAGGAGATTTGGAGGTATTTTAAACATGTCTCGACGAAGTACGATTTGGAGAAGTATATCAGGTTCAATAGCAAGGTCAAGTCAGCTACTTGGGATGAGGATGCAGGAGTTTGGCGACTCGTCGTCGTTGCGAAAGATGGGAAAGAGTTTGAGGATCAATGTGAAATTCTGGTCAACGGATCTGGCATCCTAAAGTATGTTGGTGATATTTTACATACCGATAAATGCTTATTAAGTGAATTTTAGCTCCTTCAAATATCCTAATATACCTGGTATTGGCGAATATAAGGGAAAGCTGATGCATAGCGCAGCATGGGACAAGGAATATGACTTGACTGGCAAGACCGTGGCGATAATTGGGGGAGGATCAAGTGCTGTTCAGATTGTGCCAAACATTCAACCAGGTAACTAAACATCAATTGAGCGGTTCGAAACACTCTCACACTAGCAGTGGTTGGCAAATTGATACCATTCTTGCGATCTTCGGTGTGGATTACGACAGGATTTGGAGCAAAGTATGCAGGACCTGGAGGAACTAACTTCAAATGTGTGTGGTGGATATTTAATATCTGGTAACCTACGATGCTGACCAGTACAGACACGGATGAGCAAATCAAAGATTTCAAGACAGATCCTGCTGCCCTCGCGAAGTACGACCGTGAAGTTGAAGGAGAACTCAACAAGCGTTTCACATTGGTAATAAAATTTCCAGAATACATCAAACTATAATCTAATCATACGCAGATGCATAGGACAAGTAAAGACCAAAAAGTATCACGCGACTTGGTAGCTGAGATAATGAAGGAGCAACTCGATGACGATCCGGTGCTCACAAAGAAAATAATTCCATCTTTCGATCTCGGGTGCCGAAGGATGACACCTGGCTCAGGTTATTTACAGTCTCTGACAAAGGGGAATGTAGAAGTAGTCACGGAGTCCGTCGTGAAGTTCACCAAGAATGGAGTAGTCGACGAGTCAGGAAAAGAGCATTTCGCAGATGTGGTAATTTGCGCGACTGGCTTTGACGTCTCTTTTACCCCGCACTTCGAGGTCACTGGCAGAAGAGGCGCCAATATGAAGGAACAATTCGGAGAGCTTCCAAAAGCGTATTTGAGTATCACTGCTCCTAACTTTCCAAACATGTTCTGTAAGTAGAGAGACTCGCTTAAGTTCGCTACCCCTGACTCAACTGACCCCACATCAGTATTCATCGGACCCAACGGACCAGCAAGCCACAGCTCCCTGCTTCCAATACTGGAATGGCACACCCGATACCTATTCCAAATGATCGAGAAGATGCAGACGGAGAATATAAAAGCATTTGAGCCCAAACAGGCCGCGGTCGAGGAATTTTACCAGCATACGCACGAGCTGATGAAACGTCTTGTTTGGTCGTCGGCTTGCAGGTCTTGGTTTAAGCAGGGGAAGATACATGGGCCTGTTACGGCTATTTATCCGGGGAGTCGTCTGCATTATTTTGAGATGTTGAAGAATGTGAGGTATGAGGATTATGAGATCACGTATCGGTCGAAGAATAGGTTCCAGTTTATGGGGAATGGGTATACACAGTGCGAGTTGAGTGTCGATGGCGATCCGGTTTGGTATTTTGATGATCCGTTTGTTCGAGTATGAATATGAATCATGTTCATTAAATGACCTAAGCGGTCTCTAGTAGGATCGTGCCAAGTGTCTTGAATGGTTTTGCTTTTCCACAAGTTAAAGACTGGCTCAGAAGATACCAAACAGTCTTGTGATAGCATATGAATCACGGTCTTTGAATTCAGAATTCTTTTATTGTGATTTTAGTGTCTTTGTCAATAAATCAACCGTAGAGATATAACCGTCAAAATCAATTCCACCCAAATCGCTCTGATTATCAGGACATAAACTGTCTCAAAACCGCTTCAAAACCGCTTGCAAACCGCTCAAACCACCAACCTGCTTAAAACCACTCAAAACTTGACTTTTTGCGACGTGCAACAGAAATAAAATATGGTCACGTGGGAGAGTAGAGTTGAAGATCAAGTCACACCTACAAGATGAAACATGCATTTATGAAAATTAGATAACTCTAATCATGACGTGTATTGGCAGCACGAACATTAAAATGCACGTCTCATATCTCTTCACGAGGTTCTGATTAGCTCGCGGCATGACACCGGCTTTTAATTCCTCCGTTCCGGAGGCTTGACATCAATCGACGTGGCGTTCTTTCCTGATTCGTTACAGTCCTTCCACATGTCAAAATCAGGCAGCTCATTAACAACGACTTCATTGGACCTTGAATTAAACCTGCTTGCGCCTCTGTTGCGTCAGCTTCAGCCTCGCCGCGCATCACTCTCATCAGACAATTGTTAGAGCGAAGCTCATAATAAGCTTAACTCCATAACATATCGTAAGTTGCAACTCCTTTCCATCGACTCCGCTCATATCATCTATGAAGCTTCGGAAACCAGCCCCATCAACAGCCTCCGCCAAAATGACGCTGATTCCAGCCGATACCAAGGACGAGAAACGACCGTTGGAGAATGCATACGCTGCACCACCTCGCGCAACGACAAACCCGTTCCCAAACCCAATTATCCAGAACCAAACATACTCAGAATCAGACTTCGATGAACATCCTCCTCCTTACACGCCCACAGACTCGCTCTCCTCATCAACACGTGATTTGCCTCCTATCAGAAATCCCGAACCATTCACGGGTTTCACGACTACTCCTGCACAGAAGATTCCAGAGTCCAATGCTATCAATGCGCATACGGCTGTGAACATCACTGGGCCGTTGCACATCCTTGGAGCTGTGAAATCGAGCTCTAATGTTACGTTGGCGAAGAACATCCTCGTTGACGAAAAGGTGTCGTCTTCGTCGTGGATTTTGCTAGAGAAGGATGTTGAAGTTAGAGGGAAGGTGGATAGTAGTGGGAAGATTACTTTACGAGATAGGGTCAAGGTTGGTGGGAAGGTTGATGCTAGTGGTTCTATCATGTGAGTGTCCTTGCCGTGGCCAGACTTTCTGTTGTTGACTTTGCAGTATCCAAAACGGCGTCCGTGTTGGCGAGAAGGTTGATGCGAGTGGAAGTATCAATATTGATGGAGGAGAGCAGGGTGTTTCGATTGCGGGCAAGGTCTCTGCTAGCGGGCGTGTGGATATCACGGGTTGGGTCGAAATCGGAGGTGATGTGCAGGCCAGTGGACCTGTTAAGATTCGGAACTATGGTACCCAAGGCGTGAAGATCGGAGGCAAGATCTCTTGCAGCGGTGGATGCACGATTGAAGGAGATATGACTACCGAGTAAGTCTTGCTGATCCGAATGATATATATGAAGTGCTGACAGAAATAGGAATCTCGACATGTGTGCTACACTAAAGTTGAATGGTCGATTACATGTTCGAGGCGACTTCGAAGCAAAGGGATCGGTCAAGATGAAGAAGGGTAGTCAGCTGATCGTCGACGGCAAGCGGACTATACATGGAAGCATAGTCGAGGTTAATAATCTATGAGTAAAAGTGCTTGGAGTTCGTAGAGGTGCAGATACAATGATATTGTCTCAGCGAGCCACGCTTGCGGGCGTTTTTGCTGTGTCACGTGTTTCATATCCTTATGACCCTTGAAAGTTCTATTTCTTCCAGGTACTTTTACTTTTAAGCGTTAATTGAGCTATTTATTCTTTTAAACGAGGCAATTTATACTTGCTACAGTGCCTGGGAATAGTATAGTGTTTACTGCCTTGAATTAAGCACTCAAGTCAGGCAACTGTTGATCTTTTGAGTGAGAGCCGCGAGCCAAGCATAGTTGTGTTTTTATTTAGCGATAATTTATATGAGTGCAAGTGGTCCGGTCCATATGCAAATGAGGCTGAGTATCACATCTTCACTCGAGCTCCAAGAGGAAGTGAGTGGTTTTATTACAACCCTGACGTCGACCTAGCTGCCTCGAGCCTACCTTGCCTCAAATCTCAAGTAAGCAGAAATGCCCCTTTTCCTGGAATGTTTTGTGACGTGCGCCGCAGCCGTGTGCATTAAAAAGCCTGACCGAGTACGGCTTCTGCGGGACGGCACAAGAAAGCCGCCCGGAAAGCCTGACGCCCGGGGAGAAAATATCTCACCCGCACCGGCATTGACTTGGAACTCCTTCTCCTGTTGCAACCTCAGATGGCCCCTGATTTCTATTGTCATGTCGACCAATTTCGTCAAATATGGATTGTGGGCGGATTACAATCGGTCCCCGATCAGTCGTAAGTGCCTCAAAGTTATTGTATCGCAAGTCCCTGAATCTTGCAGGATACCAAATCCTTCTCACTGACTGGTGGGCCGGCATACTCACGAATGCTCTTGCTGTCTTGATTACCTCTGCTGGCCGCCCATTGTTCACCTTAACGGTCGGACTTTACAACTGGCTATGGCGCAAGATATCTTCTAGGTGGACAAACATCCAGGCAGCCTCACTTCAAGATGCCCGCGATACCCAAGAGAGCATCGGAATCATTCTCGAGCCTATACGCCATGGTGGGTTTGCCAATGTTCCTCTCGGAGGACCTCCCATCGGGCGAACAAAGGAGGCCATCGAGATCATCGGTACAGGCGCTATGGTGTTGATTGTGCTTGGTCTGCCTGTCATGTTGATCACGGCTTCGATAGTCTCAGCTGGACTAGCGACCGATACAACGGCCCTTTCCAATGCTTACACATGTGGTAAATATGAACACAGACTCCCAAACTCGTCTGATATACTATTGGAATACGATCATAAAGCGGAAGTTGAAGCGAACATGTATGCAATCGACTGCTATGGTACTTCTCCTCTAGTCGAAAACTGCAATCGTTTTTATAGTCAGAACATTACGTACACTGTCAACTCGGCGGGGTGTCCGTTCAAGGGAAATGTATGCGGTGAGTCCCAGAATGGCTCCATTCGACTGAGCACTGGGTTGACTTCCGGGTCCGTCCTTGGAATCAATGCAAAGAATCCTTATTTCTTCAGCCGGACGATGATTTGTTCTCCTTTGGTGACGGACGAGGAGTATGTCGGGATAGGTCTGTCTAGCCGAGGAGAGAAACAATGGGAGTATTGGTATGGTTCGTCGCTTAGCAATTACACATGGGTAAATCCTGTGCAGAAGAGTCCTTGGGAGATCAAAGGATACTCTACAAGGTATGAAACTATCAATACACTGTTGGAGGACGTCACGTCTGACGGATATTAGCATCCACTGGTGGGATCCTATAGCACCTCAAAGTCCTTTCCATCCTCTCGATGAGTTCACAGCTGGTCCTTACCCAGTTACTCTCAATTTCATCTCGTCCCACGCCATCTACTATCACAACTTTCGTAACGACAGCGTATTTCCAGCTCAAACCAAAGCTCGCTTTGCAGATGGCTACCCAGGTCCAGACCTATACTATAACAACTCCACACGCGCAGGTGTTCTGGGCTGCGTGGATCAGTATCAAATATGTGAAAGCATCAATGGTCCATGCTGTAATAACGGCAACATCACATCCCTCCTAAACAAACAATCCCCAACTCGCAATCCGAAGCCCAATACGTGACCTGGCTAATCCTCATCGCACTCAAATACTCAACAGCCGCCGGCTCAACCCAATTCACGGGCTCCGAAGCCTTGGACGCGCAGTCGAAACTCAACCACATGCTCTCTATGCAATTAGCAGACGAACAATGGAAAGTCGAAGCAGAGAAAATGTTCCAAACGTCGCTGGCGCGGATGCAGATCAATCTCTTCGACTTCGTTAGGGGGACCGCGGCGGGTTATCCGGGGGCTTATAATACTCTGCCGCCGGAGCATCGGGGGATGTGTGCCATGGTCGAGATACCCACGGTTGGGTGGAGGAATGTTAATTTGGTGGGCTTTTTGGGGACGATTGCTGCGTTGGGTGTCGTTTGGGGGGTTAGTCGGAAGCGGAAGGATGCTTCAGGAGAGGAGATTTTGGTAGTTACCATTATCTACAACTCGCTGGTCAGAATAGTTGTCTTTATTTGGCGAGATATATTTCGTCCAGTGGGTGTTCTATTTGGGAAGCTCTTTATTTCTATAGTGTTGGAACCACTTAGGAACTTTATGTTGAAATCGGTGTGAGCATTAAGGAATCAACACAAAGCAGCTCTTTTGCAAGATAATAAACCCATGCGTCAAGTTCTCCATTGGTAGCTCTTCCTATGCTAAATAATAAAGCTCGTCAAATAGCAATTAGCTATAAGTGCATCTTCAACCCAAATTGACTCGGCGCCCGTGTTTTGAATCGGCCTTGTAATCTACCAAATCGCGCTCCGCAGCACTTTAACTCTGGATCACAATTCATTGTACTCGCGGTGTGTCTGACCATCTAGAAAACGAATCAGGAACACTCCCAAGAACGCCTTAGACTGATCAAGGTAATTTTACTAACCATCATCAGTCCATTGATTGTATGATGCTCCACTATCAGGCACATATCCACTACCACCAGACCCAGAGTCTGGTGTGCTTTCCTCTTCGTTTGATGGGTTCAAGGATCCGACGGAGTCCGAGCCTCGTGTTGAGTGGGGGTCTCTTGTGTACATACTCTGAGGCTTAGATGACTTTTTGGATGTTGCTTTTTCGGTTTCAAATAGAGTCTGCGAAGGAATGGTTGGCGAGGAGAAATGAGAGAGAACGTGAAGAGGGGAGAGCGCGAAGGTAGTGATTGTGGAGGCTGTGCATGCAAGTTGGACCGTTTAGTCATCACATGCAGCTTTGCGATACCTCAAACTAACCAAACATCAGATATCTCGGCAAACAGAAAAGATGTAGCATCAGAGTTCGAGAAATTGATTACCTGCAACAGAAATACTTTCTCAGTCTTTGAGCGTCTTCCTGATTACATACTCAATTGGGCTGATTGTGAAAATTGTTGCGAGTCGTGATCTTGAAACAGCTCTGCAATCGCAATGTGCGAGTATGAGGGAGCATTGGCACAAGAGCAGGCTCTGAGGTGAGGACCGCAATATGCCAATCATTAGCTAGACTTTGATGATACTTGATCGTGTCACTATTTAGACTATGCTATTCGTCAAAACTTGTAGATACACGCGCAAAATAGAGCAGCTCGTCGCCTGAGGGCTGGCTAAACTTGCTTTGAAGTCTCCTTTATATCCAGATCACAATCATCTGTAGCTACGATGGGCTCGACCAGCTGAATAGTGTGTCAGCAAAGTTCACAGAGAAAGACAAGATCGAGTGGAAACTTCAGAGACGGCTGGGAGGAGTATATGACTAACCATCGTCAATGTGCAGCCGATGGCTCGCTCCACTACTTGGTACATATCCATTTCCACGTGAAGCTTTCTGACGATCTGGACTCTTCTGGCGATTCAACGGACTTGTTTGGTCTGAACTACCTGAACGCGCTGATCTTCGTGATTGACGCTCTTGGGCTTGGAATTGTGGATATCTTTGACAGAATTCTGCACCGCTCATTGTTTCCCTTGTGGTGAGACATGTCCATGTGTTGTGACCGTCGAATTCCCAGTCCTGCCCAAACTCATCTGTGAAGAACGACGACCGCATGGTACTATTCTTGTGTTGCCTGAAAGCTGTGAGAGATGTAGGTTATTTTCAAGAAGGGTGCGGGAGACTGAGAAAATATGAAGTGGGGGATGTGCATGCAAGCTATGTTACACAGTTGTCACGGTTCTGGTGATATCATCAGGTGTATCACGTGAGATGTTTCATTTAGCGTTTAAGCTAGTGCTGAGGATTCAACTTATCTGTCCTCAGCACTCTTCCACTCTCTTAGTTCTCTGTCTATTATTCACAGATTAGAACGTACGTCCTGATTCCTAGTCTTGAGTGCGTGCTGTCACAACAGTCACACCAAACTAGCCTATCACAGAGAGCATGCGAAGACAGCTAAACTGGGCGTGAGGAGAAAGAGCCTTATTAAATTTATGCAATATGATTGACGATCAGCTAAGTGGCTTGCCAAAATCCAGAGGGTACCTATTCATAGTGGGGCGCTTAGTAAAAGCATATGACTTAGACTTGCTTCGAGTCGAAAAGACTGCTAAGAGGAAGGCGAATCGAGATGATATTTTCTAGCGATAGCATCTCTCACTAAAGCACGCTGTAAATTAGCGGTTCACCGCTAAACTACAGGGCACTGATCGCTAAATCTTAGGCTTGCTTACCTAAAGCTTGAAAATACAAGTTCGTTAGCTCGCTTAGCTATGGCACGGACCAGTGTAATCTTGACGGCAGCAGATATCATAATTTTAATTATAAAATCTTATCCACAAAGGCTAATAATAGCTAAAACTGTATAATGTGTTGTGTTTAGCTTAGTAATAACTTCAATGCCTAGCATACCGTAGTTGGTCCCGGCACGAAAATCCCAAACAAAATCTTTTCATAACTATACACTACTGCGCTACGATTTACGTACTCAAGGTTAAACTTGCATAGCCAAGGCCTTAACTACGAGAATGAACCCAGCTCAGCTCCCTCTGAATCAACAGCTCGTCTATCTTCGTTCACTCCTGACCAGAAATAAGACCCTCATCACAGTACTTACACGCGCCCCGGCACTCAATCTACCCAACTGGTATCTTACAGCCGGCGCAGTATCTCAAACGATTTGGAATGCAGTTTCGTCACTACTTCCCGATACCGGGATCGATGATTACGACCTTGTCTACCACGATTCTTCGGACCTCTCTTACGAAGCCGAGGGCAAGGTGATCCAAGCTGGTAGACTACTCTTTGACAATCTACCAGTTAAGGTTGAGATCCGCAACTAGGCGCGTGTCCATTTATGGTACAGGAAGACATATGGGATACACTGCGCACCTCATCAGACTGTGGAGGCTGGAATCGACTCGTGGATATCGACGAGCGCCATGATAGGAATTAGATTAGAGGACAGCGGAGAATAGAGTGTATATGCGCCCCGGGGACTTTCAGACTTCTTCAATATGAGACTCGGGCCTAATACTTAGATCAAAGCTGAGAGTGTCCTTGCTGGCTGTCACAGGCTAGGTGAATATCAAATCGGCGACCTTATGACAATTCCAAATCGTACCGTTCGACATGACACGCCATCCGCCAATTTTCCTAAGAATGATAAAGCATAGTAATTTCACAGATATTCAATACAGTCATGAAACCACGAGTGACGTCGCATCGATGAGCCATTTAGAACTTGAAAAATAGCCATCGTAATAGGCGCATGGATAGGCGAAGTGGTGGTATTGTCAGGGGCTACGATGCACGGTGCTATGATTTTCCTCCGTTAGTCTCAGCCAATTCGTAACATCTGTTGGGTAATATAGTTGAAAACCAATTACTATGTACAAAATATGCTTAGGTCTTGTTTACAATACGAGAGGCACATTGAGTAAGGAGGTGGGGATGCAATATCGAGAAGTGGTATTACGAGAATTTCAAGGTCTTCGGCTATTTAGCCAAATGTCAAGGTAGCGAGCCACATAGCCACAATCACTTACACCACATACAATGAATATAAGCTGCATCTTTTAAACCAGTCACAATGCATGTTACCCATGCTACCATAGCCTAGTGAGGCGGTGCAACTTGAGAATTGCAAAGACGTTTCTCGTACCAGCATCCATCATTTGCGTTAATTTTTGATCGAAGCCAATGACGGACCAGAACTCGGGTGAGCCCTGAGTCTGCCTAATCTCTAATTAATATTTGTTCATCGAAGGTTCAATCATTCATATATGTAAGTTGACCACGACCTTTGAAAAAGTCGAGAAAATCGAACAGTTGCACGTCAATGAAGATTTTTCATTAGCGCTATCTTTATCGACTACAATGGATGACAACCTGGATGATGAAGATATTAAGCCTGATGACAGTGAAGGTGCTACAAAGACTCCCTTAAGCACAGCAATTCAACGTATATCACCACCGTCCACCAGCATTGACAGCCGCGAGGCTCTGGACGCCGATGAATCTTGTACCAAATGCTCCAAGCCTGACGATCAGACAGACGAAGTTACCTGGGTCTCTGGCCATGAGCTAGCAACAATAACTAATTGGCCACGTTCTCCAATGAGGGTTGGAGAGATAAAACGCAAATTACTGGAGATATGCTGTCTCGTTTTCTTGGCACTCATTGCTGTAATGATATTGTGTGAGTATAATCTTACAGCTCAAACATTGCAACCATTAACCTTCCGCATTTTAGTATTTGCACTGCTTTCCGCGAGCGTGCATGATACATACCCTGGACGAATGACAAGATACTTCCCAGGGAAGCCTGTAATGCTCACCAATATCTCGAACATTAATGGAACGGATCATGACGTGTTTCTGGGATCCAGCGGAAACTTCGACTATATTCCTATTGCGACACACAATTTGAACCATAGGGTTCTTCAAGCCGCCAAATTGAGTCCAACAATTTGTCCAATAGCCTTTTCGGCAATTGTTGGTAGTTTCTTGCGAAATTTGTCCCATTGGAAAGCTCAGAAAGGATCCAAACTTCAAGTCTGATCCCTTCCTCCATCTCTGGTCACGACATTTCTAACAAATGTTTCCAGACTTTAGAACTCCTTATCAATTCTAGATCTCTGTTTAACACAATATCGACTACGGTGGCATTACAATCTCTTCAATGGTTGAACATTATTCTCATTCTTTTATGGTGTTTATCTCCATTGGCTGGCCAAGCGTCCCTGCGAATACTAGAGACAAGACAAGTTTCCAATGCACAGTACTCAATACCATGGAGTGTATTGAACATCGTAGACACAGGGGCGAACGACTCATCATATACTGGGATGGCGGATAAAGCTTTGGATCTTCAGCAATCATGGCTGTTATCGTTGACATTTGGCGCCCAAAATCAAGACCAGTTGTTCAGTAAATCCAATATTTCAGATATGCTGTTTCCGGTGCTGCCCATCGATGGTTCTAATATGGATCGCATAATGGAAGGAGGGTTGGCTCCTCTCAATCTGTCTTCCTTTGCAGGTGCATATATCTATTGTGGGCTTAACAGGATGTACCAAGTCCATGATACACTACTCAGCCGCTACATAGCGATATGCAGCGGAAACCTGACATATCCCGTCTGGAAGCGGATTGGATGGTCTAGATAGGACGAAGTTGATGGAGAATGTACGGGTCAAGATTGGTGATGTGCGCTACTCTGAGGAAGTTGGGAAATTTGCTCTCGCTATCGAGGGGTCGGGAGTGGCGGAATACCAAGGAGGGAGGAAAGTCATTTGAGTATATTTTATCAATTGTTACTTGTACCAATATGTAGGCATAATAATCCCATTATCACTGCACCACTTCTCTATCTCACATCTGTAATTGCACAATAATAACAACCAGATGAAGAGTTGTGTTGCCAGATGAGAAAACTGAGGGAAGATGGACAAATCTCCGACCCGCTTTGTGCATGCTATTCAGAATATATAAGTCTTTGGTATTTACGTATTTCGTGTTATGGATTGTGTATATTATAGTTTTAATACAAATTTGTCTATTAAGAACTGATACGTACATGCACTATATTATGCAATTGTAATCTTATTAAAGTAGCTTATTGAGATCACACGAGAGCAGCTAAATGAGGCATTAAAAAAGGAACATCTCTTAAACATATCCATGATATTAACATTTTCTCTACTCATTGCATAGCATAATTATTGCTTTGGAACTTCGCGTCCACCTGCTCCGGTGACATCTCGACATTGTGTTGTCGTTGTCAACTGTCAACTATTGAATATCAACAGAAGTCCTTTAAACTCTAACAATAGACGCATGGTTTTATATAACCGGCAAAAGTGCAACCAACACCAAGAGCAGGCAAATCAACATCCCAATACAGCCAAGGTCCCGGGCCTCCCGGAGCAAGTACCTCACCAACCCAGAGCTGGGCGATGTTTGCTAGGTATTGGACAAAGATAAAGGTGCAAGTACGGAGGGGCGACTGTCGATTTATAGTTTTGCGACATGTAGAGTCAAGAATCTGTGTGTGAGTCTGACGACTTGCGTGAATCTCTGAGACGCTTGATAATCATACGACTTAAGGGGAACCTGAATCTGTATGAGAGCCTAGCAAGCTGGGTGAATTTTGGATTGCTTTACAGTTATGCGACTTAGGTGAATCGTGAATCTGTACGTGAATCTGACGACTTGCGTGAATTTTAGTCGCTGTTCAATTCTGGGGTATTGGAGCGTATAAATACTATAGCATACCGTACCTAGATACTCAACAAAGAAGAAGATACGGCTACCACCGGTACTACAGTTGCCACTACGTCCGGTACATATCTTTGACAAATTAGGTGTAAACCTAATTCCTAGCTAATATTCTCAGACCCTAATATAGCTACCATTGTCTGCATACTCCACTAGAGATTGACAGCATGATCTTGAAAATCCGAACATCACTAATATCTCAACCTTTGGCTTCAAGCCAATAGATTGACTTGCCCGGCGGCATTCGGTATGCCGAATTCTTGTCCCAATATCAACGGTTCTGCCATTGCCAACAATGTTGCCATTGTCAATCATTAAGTTCAAAACTCTATCCTCGCATTAATTGCATTCTCCTACTGCTAGATACAGAGATTTTCCCGGCCTCCTATTCGTCCTTCACACCCGGCCCGCGAACAGCACCGAAGAGCAGACCCGGCTCTCTGCGAAGTGTTGAGTGTTTGTTGTGTTTGTTTGTTCTATGTTACAGCGTGAGAAGAGGCGTTTATATAGTCGCCAGAACGCTACATGATTTCGTGATGGATGGGTGAATAGGCGGAACGAACAAGATAAAGATATTCACTGCTTTTTATGTAGGATGTGAATATCTCTTTTCGTTTCGAAAAGCTCGAAAGCGTATTTCTGCATGTGACCCAAACTCACGCCTTCCAACCAGCCGATCAGAAAAGGTGAATAATTCAAAAAGGATCCATAGTTTCAGGTAAGTTGTTAAATACAGTGTTCTGCGCAGCGACAAGAGCAGACAATGATACAAGTGATTAGAGAGTTGCAATGGTTGCTGAAAAGAGCCGGGTTTAGTTTGTGACTGTAGATGTGATATGTCATCACGATTTTAGAGTGCTACCAATATTATCTTTTCACCAGCCATCAGTTAACTTGTTCTCCGTATTGAGAAGGGATGAAAGTACTTGCTTTCATCCAATGGTCCATAGATGGCAGAATGGAGATAAACCTCAAAATAATGTCTAATGAACAGGATTAGAAGTATAGAATTTCCTTCCAAGCTATCTATAAGACGGACGTGAAGTTTCTGGCTTCAGGGCATTATTAAAGCAGCAGGGGTCTGGCCAAACACAGCAGTTGCACCTTCTGTTGATTGGATTCATTCCCTCATATTATCCTACACGTGTAGACGAGATTGGTTATTATAAAATCCTTCTCTGGTTACCGATGGCAAGGGACTAAAGGCACTTGCCTTCATCGATTCTAGAAGTCACTTTCTGGGATGTAGAAAACCAATTTTTTGTACTCTACATTGACTCTACGATACTCTACATAATCTCTGTACAGACATAAACACAGCTATCACAAACACAGCCACCACCAGGCTCCACCTCTAATATCGACACATACCACTTCGTTCTTGCATATCATAGCCCAAACACAGAAGGGTATCATCCCCAACGCCTTGCTAAATCAAACACTCAAGACCATAGATACTGATCAGGCAACTAGTAATTCTCATCCCCACCATCAGCTTCATCCTCTTGGTCATCTTCTCCATCATCAAAGTATCCCTCTGCATTGTAGTCCTCGCCGAGATCTTCGTCTTCGTACGCATCGTCGACATCTGGACAAGGTTAGAAACGTGTGCTGCAAGCAAAAGAATACCTTACCTTCAGCATCCTGCTCCTCTTCCAGTTCTTCGTTATCCTCATCTCCGGCCACCTTGTGAATCTTCTCTAGAAGGATTTTGGTCTTGGCTGAGGCATCGGCACCAGCACCTTTATCGGCTCCATTATCGGCTCCATTACCCGCACCACTACCGGCACCATTCTCGGCAGCTTTCATACTAGCAAGCATAGCTTCCTTCCTCTCCATGGCCCGATTGAGATGATTTCGCACTTCTTGACCTTCTTCACCTTCAAGTGTAGACCATAGTTCTTCAGGGAAGAGGGTTTTGTCTAGTATATGTTAGCATTCGTAGATCGAAACAAGGAAGGTACTGACTGAATGGTTGATCCGACAGCTTTGGGAGAGTTCTTTGCTTGGGTGCGTAACGCATAGAGTATGTCTCGACGCCATGGAAAGGATCCATATTGGCCTTGCTATTTGTACCGAACTGCTTATTGAATTGCTCCTCCCCAAAGGTCTTCGCAGGTGCATTAGGGTCACGCTTGGTTGGTTGGGTATAGAGGGGGCCACGGTGGATCTGGTCCTGCAGCTTCTTGAAGTTGTCAATCTCTCGTCTCTCCTTTGTCGTGATGGGGGCAGGTTTGCGCAGGTTTGGGTGTTTCTACAATCGTTAGCAATTGCAAACAGGAGATAAGATGGGTATACTGACAGGAAAGAGATCGGCAGGCTTTGACTCCAGTTGGATTGATGCATCGTATTCCCATGTTGCTCCTTTCAGCTGGCCAGCACCAGCACCAGCACCAGCACCACCTCTGCCACGTCCACGGCCTGCCATTTCGTTCCCCGCGATTGAGAGAGTCTGCTGCGCGCGTGGCTCAGAGGCAGATCTGGGTCGAACTCGTTGGGTGGATCGACTGTTGGTAGGTTGGAATGTACTTTCAGATTCTCGATCGGTCGTGTCTTGATTCTCTGGGTTTGTCTCTTGTTCTGGTTCTCCGGTGACTGATGCTGCTCTGTGATTTCTGGATGGTTAGCAAAATAATTCAGGTCGCGACCCACCCTGGAAATAGTTGGAGTGTGGGGTAGGTGCACGGACCTCTTGGGCTGACTTTCTTGGTCACCGTAGTATTGTACCCCACTTGATCTAGTGTGACCTGCAGGCATCAACTCTGGGATCCATTCTTCAAATCTATCATTCTTGTACTGTTTTCTGCCCTCCACAAAGTTGTAGTGGTGTTGGCTGTCACTCATTGCCTGCGAATTCCACCTTGATGTGCGGTTCCCATTCGACTCCCAGACCAAGTCCCCAAACGACGTACTCTTTCGAAAGAGCTTCTTGTTGTTCTCCATCTTGAGATACCTTCGGAGTTTCGTTGATACCACTGGGTGCAGTCAGGTCTCAAGGAATGCCAATTGATTGTACCTCACACACCTGCTGAATACAAGAACCACCAGGATGGAGGAGATTCCGATTACTGGCCTTGAAGAACTCGAAAAGCACCTCGATATTCTCCTTGAAGCTCCGGATACACCTCTGGACGCGAAGCTCTTTGATGAAGTCGAGTTGCAGTTGAATGGTATGTTTGTTTACGCGTCTTCTATGAAGTCAAAGAAGCGTATGCGGTTTGATTGGGATCCTTCTCTCCTTTCAAGAGCAGAGCTTGTTCAATGGTTTGCATGCGACGGGATTTTGTCAAAGTTGAGGAAGATTGCTCTGAGTGTTGTTGGACTTGGGAATTGCCGCCTCACTTAAGCTCTCCAGATGCTGATAAGCTCGCAGATCCCAACATACCACCATTAATTCCACGCTTGCTCCCAAAACTCACCCAAATTCTGCTCACCTACACAGAAGATCCTACTCTCCTTGCAAGCCTTTCAACGAAGCTTCTACGCCCTATCAAATTCACACAAGCCCTCACATTAGCATCTGAAGATGCCCTCATATCCGCTCTGCGCTCGCCTGCACCCGCGGCCGCTATATTGGCAATCACTGTCATCGAGAAAGCGACCAGAAGCCCTGGTGATACAGCTATACTCTCGATCATGAAAGGTGTGGTGGAAAGCTTCCTGAGAACATGGTTGAGCACACCTCATGTGGGAGTTGGAGAGAAGGCTACAAAGACTCTGGGCGATCTGCTAGAAGTTGATTGTGATCGCAGAAATTCTGCTGATATCGATACCAAGATGAGTGGTCTGCAAATTGCATCTGGTATGCCCCCTGGTCAAGGTCTCTTATGGCGCCGGATATTTCAAGATCGTGGGATCTACGATTTGATCTTCTCGCTCTGCAGCTTCACGACAATGGGCTCTGGAGAAGGTCAACTAGACGAAAGACAAAAGTCGCTGGCCCAGGCAAGATTATTACGCGTCCTTCCAAGATTGGCCGTCCTAGATTTCCAGACCATCACTCGCTCTCACTTCCCGGATATCGAGGCAAGATACGGCATACGAGAGCAGGGTCTTTTGTATTTTGCTTGCGCGGAAATGGTTGATAAAGAAGAAGATCTGTTGATGCACATCACCTTGATCGATTTCTTCGTCGAATTTCTCGATATGATGAGCAATACAGCCATCACAAAGACAACTATGGACTATCTAGCTGTCCTCATGAAGAAGGTTGCAGGGTCGGATTCGACGTTGTATAAAAGCCTGGAGTCCTTAGCACTGTCGCCAGACACATCTCCCGAATTGGTTGATCTCTTAGTCAAGCTGAACGAATATGAGCGATGATCGTTATCAGGGTTTGAGCTTGGAGGATGGAACACGACTCGAGTTGAGATTTGCGGAACTAAAATTTGGGGGGATCTGACCTAAATGAGCTTAATAAGCCCTCCTGACACAAGTTCTCGACACAAGAAGATGTGAGTTGTCTCCGGCAATAGAAGCTGACCTGAGTCACGGCGAGGTTCGTCGTGGGAGAAAGGAGAAGCATAATTAATGCAAGACAATGTCTAATTGCCGAAATGACGCAATGGCCGCAAATTATTTTCACTTTGATAGGATTTTCGAGCTTATGGCTTCCGCTGGAGTATTCAATAGCATCGCCAATGTGCAAGGCAACGTCCTTGGCCTGGATTGAAACTACCGCATATATTGCCATCTCCATGACTTTCTACCCCTTACCTCTCTAAGACAATGTAAGGTATATGGCATTCTGCACAATTCCATGAGGGTGGTCGATACCATGAGGACTTGACATCATTTCAATTCCTCGGCCGACTCGTCTGTCTAGAAGAATGTTGAAGATAGAGTGTACTGTGGAATCCTTTGATACAGCCCAAGGTACTAAGGCTGAATCATTTGGAGCTAATCAAATCCTCAAAGTTTATTAATCAGTACAAGAGTCTTGACTTTCTTGAAGAAGTTACGTGATGCCAATTGGTAAGTGGACACAAGAGTGAGGAAAGACGCCGTGTTAGTGAATGAAGAAATAAGGCAACATATTATAGGGCAACGTCTCGACCTCAGCGACCAGATCAATAAACCGGAAGGGCCTCTACATTATCACATTATCGACACAGGGCGACGCGGCAGGGGCGTGTGAAAAGCACGTGATCAATCTCGCTAAATCTGAGACGACATTTCTTTTCTGACCTGATTCAGCTCCTCATGCAGAATTTTCATGGAAGCATCGATGCAAGAAAGCTCATTGACTGTTGTCCAAGCTGTTGTATCTTATGTATTTGTCTGATATTATCATTGTTGAGTCCTCTTTATTGTTCCAATCCATTAAAAAGCAATTGTCGTCCCCTATCCATCTCAAGTCTAAGACAATGTCAGTGGCTGATTCGTACCTGCATCCTGAGATCTGACAAAGCCCCGTCCAGGCTTAAAATCAATCTCCACAACGAGAAAAAGGAAGTGTTGCATTTGGAGCAAACTGAACCCCTTTGGGCTTCCGTTTCTGGGGAATTGTGCAGATATGGAATATTCTACTCAGGGATGAGCCAATGTCTCTCCAAGAAAACCTTATCTTGGAATGGCATACTGAAAGAAGAATGGCTTCACCCATACCCATTTGTTCTTTTCGGCGTAGTGAAACCCACAAGATGAAGCTTCCGCTTCCGTGGCTCAAATCCTTCCTCAATATATATTTCCAACGCCCACCGCGCGGGGCTTGCCTTTTCCTATGAAAGTTTGAGTGTTTCCCCGGGGTTACAAGCATCACTCGTTCTGCTTGAACAGACCGCATTTTCCCTATGATGGGACCACCCAACTTGGCCCAGCTGTTGGTGCTAGGCGCGACGTTTGGATTTGCGGACGCGAGAAAGGGGGGATTTTTTCGAAGAGCGGCAGCTTCTTCGTCTTCTTGCGACCCGGTTACAACAACAATATACCCGACTGTTACGGTCAATGGGGGCGGAGGAGTTACATCGTATGTCAGTGCTGGAACAATAACGGAATGGGTTACAGTTTCGGCAACGGACTGTCAGTCCAGCTCCAGTCTTTCCAGCGCTGCGATGTCGTCCTCCTACTCAGCAGCAATCTCGTCGTCTGCATTTGCCTCGTCCTCGTTTTCTTCTGGATCGCTTTCTTCCTCAATTTATACCTCAAGTCTCGAAATTTCCTCCTCACCGGCCAGCTCAACGGCAGCGGCTTCATCTTTGATGAGCTCGGGAGCTAGTAGTAGTATCTATAGCACAGAGTCATCAGGAGCTATATCATCCACGTACAGCTCTCAGGGATCCTCAGCTTCCCAGAGTGCAAGTCAGAGCTCCTCCCAGGACCAAAGCCCATCGAGTTCACAATCTGCGATGGAGTCCAGCTCCCCAAGTGCAACTCAGTCAAGCAATTTGGCTGCATCAAGTTCCCAAGCTGCCGTTTCCACAACAACACCGCCTCCGCCAACATACACCACGCCGGAAGGCCCATTTGTTGAGCAGGGTTGTTATCAGGATCCAAATGACTCTGGATACCCTCTGGAGAACGTTGGCTACCAAACCCAAGTCACTGATGTCACGGAGTGTCTTAACGACTGCTCGGCAGGCGACTACACTGTTGCCGGTGTGGAAGGAACTACCTGTTTCTGTTCAAACTCTTACGAGGAAAACGCATCGACTTCCGATGATCCCAGCTGTTCCACACCTTGCACAGGAAATGCTAATCAAGTTTGTGCTGGTATGAGAAAGAGGAGTCTCGGTGCCCGCTCTGGAAAAGCTATTGTCGTGTACAAGGTAATTTGATGTTTATATTCGTCTTAGATTTCTGATATCGAAGCTAATCTCCAATAGGTGGTCCCACAATCATCTACATCGGCCGCAATGAGCTCAACTTCCTGCAATCTGCCCGATGTCACAACCACTATCACGCCAAGCGCAAGTCCGAGTGCCGTTACAGTGACTGTGTCTGCTTCTGGCGTGACGTCTTACCTGTCTGCTGCAGGTTCTGCTGTTACTGAGTTTGTCACCGCGAGTTTCTGCTCGAGCTCATCCAGCTCATCGGCTGCACCTTCTTCTAGCCAAGCCCTATCATCTTCTTCTGCTCAACCATCTAGCTCTGCAAGCTCATCGACGGCTGCTGCCACTTCCAGCCAAAGTCTCTCATCATCATCTTCTCAGCCATCTGCTCAGCCATCAAGCTCATCAGCCGTGATTCCGTCTTCTGCTGCGTTGTCTAGCCAAGACCTTTCATCATCTTCAGCTCAGCAGTCTTCCTCAAATATGGAATCTTCTACAATTTCTTCGTCGGCTCTATCATTCTCCGCCCAAGTTTCGGTCTCGTTTTCTTCCTCTGATGTATCATCAAGCCAGATTTCATCATCGGCGCTCTCAACGACCATCCAATCTGTGGCTGCTCAATCTACATCTAATTCACTGGCGGCTGCAAGTTCTAGCACACCACAGGCCGCTGCGAGCTCTAGCATCCCATCCAGTCCCGTGGCAACCTTCGTGCCGGATGTCATTGTTCCCGATGGAGAATTCGTCGAGCAAGGCTGCTACGAAGATGAGACGGGTTCCGGTTACCCGCTGCTTTCGGCTATGGAAGTGAGCAATGTCGGCGACATTGCAGATTGTATCTCTCAATGTGATACAGACTCTTTCGCCTATGCAGGTATTGAGGGAGGCAGCTGTTGGTGCGCCAACTCAGTAGATAGCGGAGCAACACAAAAACCTGGCTCTTGTGATACTCCTTGCCAAGCGGATTCCTCGGAGTTTTGCGCCGGAATGAGAAAGAGAACTGGCGACCATATCATTATTTACAAGGTATGTTCTTTATCTGACTATTTGTCGCAATACTAACCTTTGATAGCTGGGACCTGCGCCAACACATTCGAGCAGTAGCAGTGTAGTCTCTTCTACGGCTATGCCTTCGTCTACTCTGGAATCTAGCAGCATGGTGGCAACCTCGACTTTCATATCATCCGTTGTGACGACCAGTACCTCACTGCCATCTTCATCAATCGGGTCAAGCGCTGCGGTCAGCTCGACCGTTGAACCTAATGTTTCCAGCTTTGCCAGTCAATCAGCCGTAGCCTCGCAGATTTCTGCACAAGGATCGTCCTCATTGTCAAGCAGCCTCGCAGCTCAAAGTTCAAGTCAATTTCAACCAGCTAGTGCTTCAGCGAGTGAGTCCGCCGGTCAATCTGCGAGCCAGTCTCAATCTGCCGCAATGTCTTCGTCCCAGCCTAGCTCCGTGGCTGCTCAAAGTTCAACTCAGGCTCAAGAGAGCTCATCAGCTACCCAATCCGCCAGTCAAACTGAATCCAGTACTCTAGCCGCACAAAGCTCATCCCAATATGGAAGTGCATCAGCAAGTCAGACTCAATCTGGTTCCTTGGCCGCTCAAAGCTCATCAGCGAGTCAATCCGCCAGCCAATCAGTTTTTGCGTCAAGCTCTGCCCAAGCCTCGATAATTCAATCGTCTAGCTTCTCATCAAGCTCAAGTCAAGCTAGTGCCTCCGCCTCGGGGACGACATCTATGGACATATCCTCATCTTCAAGCTTTAGTCAAAGTGCCAGTGCGTCAGCCTCTCTCTCTTCAGAAGCAGCCTCAAGCTTTTCAAGCGCGAGTCAAAGTGCGAGCGCGTCAGGGACTATTGCAGCTTCTTCAAGCTTTGGTCAGAGTGCTAGTGCGTCAGGGACTATTTCATCAGCGGCCGGATCATCCAGTGCCAGTCAAAGTGCGAGCGCTTCGGGGACACCCAGTACTTATGATTCGTCCTCTGCAGAGTCTTCCAGCTTCGGTCAAAGTGCTAGTCCTTCAGCGTCTATGTCTTCAGAGATCTCCACGTCGAATCCCTCGAGCGCCAGTCAAAGCGCAAGCGCCTCAGGAAGTACCTCCATGGACCTGTATTCCTTGCTGTCGTCTTCAAGTTTCCCCTCATCCACACAAAACTTGGCTGCTGCTTCGTGAGTTTACGATTTCTAAAATCCTCCCTTCCAAACAAATATCCACCATCACCCATCATATATAACCAGATGTCCATTGTCTGGCTTCTTCCGGAACTTCTCCATAATTTCACTAAAGATAATGACTAACCTTATCCTGATATAGGTCATCGATTGTATCCACGGGAGTAGGAGCGTCTTCAAGCATGGAGGCCTTTAGTTCAGCCATGGCTTCTGCCTCTGGAAGCAGCATTTATACCTCGGCATTTGTCCAAGACTCGAGTTCTGCGATGGTAACGTAAGTGAACTCTCATCTCCACAAGAGCACCCTGTTCCTTTCTTCTTGACTACTAGCATAATTGCGAGGGTCAGAACCCGAGATAATCCCCCGATTAAAGTCCCTACTGAATCCGGACTTGGAAATCTTTGTTATCCAACTTCCTCTCCACCTGCTAATATGTCCACCCTTAATGCACAGATCGTCAGCTTTGCCAACCTCTTCAGGATCAAGCGCCGCAGTGTCCACGTCCCTCCCTCTAGTATCCTCCAGTGCAGAGCTAAGCTCGACGGCGATCTCGAGCTCTGCAGCAGTCACGTGAGTTGTTCTCTCCTCGCGTCTTCTCCTCGGTCCCTCTATAGAGAGTCCTTCATTTCTATGTCCTGCCTATTGGCTGAGTGTTTGTATGTAATACATCATTCATCGGTTAGGATTGGGTCTTTGCGAATTACCAGCACATGCTAACAACATTTTTTTGTTTGGCTTCTTAGATCATTAACCCAAGCCTCTAGCTCTGAGTCTTCATCGCTAGCTGCCTCAGCCTCGGCCAGTAGTATGTACTACGGTAGCTCTAGCTCAAACTTGGGTGCTGCCTCGTAAGTACTCTCCGTTTCCCAGATATTTATTTGCAAGCTTTGTGGGTTAGAGAAGATCATCAAAGTCACGCTAAATTATAGGTTCTTTTCTATCCTGCGGACCTCTTAAAGTCCTGGTATCTGTCCAACTTCCAAAATGGTGCTAATTCAATTCATCCCAAACTTACAGATCCTCAACTTCATTCTATGCTACAATTGCCTCATCGTCAATGGCTGCTGCTGCGAGCGCTTCTATGAGTGTTTCGCCTGATATTAGCTCTTCTGCGCCTTCGTACGTTCCCTTTATTTGTCTATGAACCTTTCCTTTCAGCCTTTCTTTGTTTTTTGAGACGGATAATCATGACTCGCCGTGTCGAGATATGGTCCTGAAGCCACGATCTTGGTAAGCATAACGTTGTTGACAAATCCATTTCTAGGTCGACTCTTGGTGCTGCTAGCAGTTCAACAACCCCGTCGTCTGCTTCTGCATTGGGATCAGCAAGTCAAAGTGCAGCATTTTCGTCTTTCTCTACCATGATCAATAGCGCTTCTCAAGGTAGCGCTTATTCCTCATCTGCTTTCCCATCGATGACTGCGAGCCAGAGCGTGGCCATTAGCTCTTTCCAGACTGTAGCATTTTCGTCCTTTTCGACGATAATCGAAAGCGCTTCTCAAAGCAGTGCTTATCCGTCGTCCGCTCCGGCATCGGTACCTGTAAGCCAGAGCGCGGCTATTAGCTCTTTACAGAGTGCGGCATTTTCGTCCTTCTCGACCATGATCAGTAGCGCTTACCCATCGGCTCCTTCTGCATCGATATCAGCAAGTCAAAGTGAAAGTATCAGCTCATCACAGAGTGCAGCTGCTTCTTCCTCCAGTATGATTGGTAGCGCTTCTCAGAGTAGTTCTTATCCGTCATCTGCTTTCCCATCGGTGACTGCGAGCCAAAGCGCGGTTGTCAGCTCTTCCCAGAGTGCTGCATCTTCGTCTTTCTCTGCCATGATTTCAGCAAGTCAAAGCGCTGCTTTCGGCTCATCACAGAGTGCAGTAGCTTCTTCTGGCTCCACGGGCCTCTCGGCAAGTCCTAGTTCCTCGAGCTCCCCATCCTCAGTAACACTTTCGGCTAGTCAGTCTACCACCTTGTTTCAATCATCCTCTTCGAGTTCAGCATCCCAATCAGCGGCAGCATCCTCACTATCATCACAAAATCTGGATACCACGTCCTCTGTTTCGTCAAGTTATGCAAGCGCTTCGCAATCGAGTGCTTACCGATCTTCGGCTTCACAAACGCTAGACACCACGTATTCTGCTTCTTCGAGCTACCCAAGCTCTTCCTTGTCAAGCTCAGCATTTGCCTCAAGCTCGCAGACCCTGGAATCCTCCTTGGCCAGCTCTTCAAGCTTCGCAAGTGCTTCACAATTAAGTTCTTATGAATCTTTGACCGCAGCATTAAGCCTCCAAATCTCTTCGAGCTACCCGAGTGCTTCGCCATCGAGTTCTTATGAATCTTCTAGTGCTGCATTTAGTTCACAGACTATAGAATCCTCAATCAGTTCCTCGGCTCTCGCGAGCGCCTCACACTCCAGTGCCTATGAGTCTTCAACTTACACGACTTTGTTTTCCTCGAGCTATCCGAGTGCATCACAATCGAGCTCATACGGGTCTTCAGTTTTAACGTCCTCCTTGTCCACCTCTTCAAGCTTTCCAAGTGTGTCACAGTCGAGTGCATATGAATCGTCAACAGCCGCATTCAGCTCGCAAATCTCTTCGAGCTACCCTAGTGCTTCGCAATCGAGTTCCTATGAGTATTCCAGTGCCGCATCGAGCTCAGAGACTCTGGGGTCATCCCTCACAAGCTCTTCAGCGATGTTGAGTGCTTCACAATCAAGTTCCTATGATTCTTTGACGTCTCCAGAAAGCTCACAAAGCACGGACTCCATGGCCAGCTCTTCGGCCTTCCTGAGTGCTTCACAATCGAGTGCTTATGCGTCGTCAGCTTATGGAAGCTCACAAGCAGTCAGCCCACAGACTGAGGAATCCTCAATTAGCTTTTCAGCATTCCCCAGTGCCTCAGAGTCGAGTGCCTATGGATCTTCTCTTGCGCAGACCAGTAGTTCTTACCCATCCAGCAGTAGCTTTGAGAGCTCTTTGGCCTCGTCCACCCAGGCCGCGAGCAACAGTGTTGAGAGTTCTTTGGTGTCGTACACACAAGCTGCGAGCAGTAGTGCTTACCCTAGCAACGGTATTACAAGCTATTTAGCCTCTTCGAGCCTGGCTGCGAGCAGCAGTGCATACCCGTCCAATATTGAAAACTCTTCGACCTTCTCGTCAGCGCCCCCATCTAGCAGCAGTGTTGAGAGCTCTACAGCCTCGTCTTTCCAAGCCGCGAGCAGTGGTGTATATCCGTCCAGCAGCATTGCAAGCTCTTCAGCCCCACCGAGTCAAGTTGCTAGCAGCAGTGCTTACCCGTCCAGTGTTGAAAGCTCTTTAGCCTCTTCATCCATACAAGCTGCAAGCAGTAGCGCATACACATCCACTAGTAGCATTGAAAGCTCTTCCGCTCCATTGTCGGCATACCCGTCAAGCAGCAGTGTTGAGAGCTCTGTATCCTCGTCTACCCAAGCCGCAAGCAGTAGTTCATACCCATCCGGCAGCAGTGCTCTTCCTTCATCTACTCTAGGCGCGAGCAGCAGTGTATACTCATCCAGCAACATTGCAATTCCTTCAGCCGCACAGAGTCAGGCTGCCAGCAGTAGTGGATACCCGTCCAGTATTGAAAGTTCGTCAGCCTCATCCATCCAATCCGCAAGCAGTAGCGCATACCCATCCAGTAGTAGCATGGAAAGCTCCTCGACCCCGTCAGCATACCCTTCTAGCAACAGTATTGAGAGTTCCTTAGCATCGTCCACCCAAGCTGCAAGCAGTAGTGCATATCCATCTAGTAGCAGTATTGAAAGCTCTTCAGTCTCGCCATACCCGTCTAGCAGCAGTGCATACCCGTCATCTAGCAGCGCTATTGGAAGCTCCTCAGCCTCATCGAGCCAGGCATACCAGTCCAGCAGCATTGTGGAAAGCTCGGCCGCTCCTTCGTCTGTATACCCATCTAGCAGCAGTGCTGGAAGCTCTCCAGCCTCATCGTCAGCATACACGTCTAGCAGCATCATTGGCAGCTCTTCGGCCTCGCCATCAGGAAATCCGTCTAGCAGTAGTGCGTATTCGTCGTCCAGCAGCGCTATTGAAATCTCTTCATCCTCATCGAGCCAGGCCTACGCGTCTAGCAGTACTGTTGAGATTTCTTTAGTGTCCTCGTCGACATACCAATCTATTAGCAGTGTTGGGAGCTCCTATGCTTCCTCTGCGGCATACCAGTCCAGTAGCACCGTTGAAAGCCCCGCCGCTCCTTCCTCTGCATACCCATCCGGCAGCAGTGCTGGGAGCTCTTCAATCTCATCCACGGCATACCAGAGCTCTTCTGCCTCGTCGAGCCAAGCTATGAGCAGCAGTATTGAGAGCTCTTCAATCTCCTCCTCGGTATACCAGACGTCTTCAGCCTCATCAAGTCAAGCAGCGCGCAGTAGCATTGAAAGCACCTTTGTTTTGTCCTCGATATTGTCGGTTTCCTCTTATACCTCAAGCCAGACGGAAGCCTCGTCTTCTTCGGCTATGGAAAGCAGCAGCCAAAGCTCTGGATCGCCATCAACATCAACATCGGTTTCTTCTGAATTTACAAGCCAGACAATGTCAAGCTCTGAAATTTCATCCACGGTATACTCTACACCGATTGAGAGCTCAACAGTCTCCTCAATGGACATGAGCAACACCATTTCATCATCTGTGCCCAGTAGCACTGTTTCTCTCAGCTCCGAGACCTCTCTGGAATCTAGCAGTGTGGAGTCGAGCTTTGTCCCGTCTAGCTCCTTGACTTCGACAGTTCAGTTCGGCTTCACTAGCAGTTCTATGCCATCTAGCACTCTCAGCTCGACAGCCCAATCCAGCAGTACAACGGTGTCCAATAGTGTGGAGTCTAGTTCTATCCCGTCTAGTTCTCTGACTTCGACAGCGCAATCCAGCTTTACCAGCAGCTCTATGCCTTCTAGCAGTTTAACTTCCGTCCAGTACAGCAGTTCCTTGCCATCAAGTTCATCAGTTGTGGAGACGTCAACCCTCTCAAACACTTTGTCTTCCACTTCATCTGAATTATTTTCTGTGAATGTGGGGACGTCCACGGTAGTTTCATCGTCGTCAAGCCTCTCGTCCAATCTTGGTACATCAACATCATCAACAAGCGTTTCTTCTGGTCCTGGGACATTAGTCACCTCGTCTGTACTTACCTCGACTGAGTCATCCTCATCGATTGTAGTCAGCTCAACATTGTCCTCCAGTTCGTCTGGGGCAATGGTTTCAAGCACTTTGTACCTAACTCCATCCGGAACATCGACACAGGCTTTTTCGACTACAATCATTACAAGCTCCATAACGTCCGCACTTTCTTCGCAAACAAGCTCAATTTCGACCTGCGCTAGTCCTATTCCAGCGCCAGTGTGCATGGACAATCACAACAACTGCTACAGGAACATGTTGAAGTATGCGGCGGACGGGATAGGATTCTGTCAAACATATACCACAACTATCAATAACGCTGCTGTGACTGCCCTTCCAACATATGCCAAGAACTGTAAAAATCCGGCTGCAGTCTCATCTGCTTGCTCTTGTCTCTTTGCTCCCACAGGAGGCTGTGCTGTCGCTAGTGCTACCGCTACTTCAACCCCAGCAGTCAATACCTTGACGACATTTGCTACAAGTACGTCTCCTGGAACACTCACAGGAACCACTATGAGCGCCACGCTTCCTAGTTCAAGCACTTGTGCGCCAGATCTTATCAATGGCGGCTTTGAGACCGGCTCAGTTGATCCTTGGGCTTCCTATGGCTTCTCTTCTGCAGTCTCCATCGGATATGTACCTGATACCCATGTTGATGCAGCCGGCAATTATTATCTGTAAGCAAAACTTCCAATCATTCGCTTAGACATAGGCTAATACCTTCTAGTGTTACGTCAGTGGAGGATGGAACTACCGGCTACATTTCCCAGACGGCGACTGTGTGCCCAGGGACGACGTACACAATGACAGCTTCCGCACAACTCGCCGAGCTCCCACCAAGCGTCAACCATCACCGCTCACCAACCTGCACCATTCAAATTTGCGACACGGTGGGTGGAAAGTGTTCTCGTGAAGCTTCCCTCAAAGCCACAGGATTCTCCGAAGTTTCGAAAACGTTCAAAGCAACAAAGACGCAGAGATACGCGACCGTACAAGTCAACATCAAGTGCCCGGACATCGTGCCAGGAGATAGCAACACCGTTTATGTAGACTCTGTCACTCTGGGCTAAAACCGTCATTCATTTAGACATAAATTTTCCTTTGCTTTTCTGGGATAGCGGGTAGACCCATCATCTTTTGTTTGGGATGGGTGGTTTGGAGTAAATACGCACAAATAGAAAGTCCTTTACGATATTTTTTGTTGTGGGATTGTAATAGCATGTTCATTTCTCGTGCAAATCATTCTGCATTGGGTTTCTATGAAAGTTTTCCAAACACCCCGACTTTTGGTGTCCCAAACTTCGGTTGCTCTGGCCGTGATGCTACTCTTTGACGGGGAAAGACCACCAAATCACCTTCAACACCATCACCTAGCAGGCTACCATGACCTTTGCGACGAAATGTTGGTAAATTGGTAGAGCCATGATGCTTATGTTTTTCTCTTCTTCGTGGGACGGGGATTGATGTCATCGAAGGCGGTGCCCGTGAAGTCTGGCCCGGTACCAGGAGTTACCGCAGACGAACCAGAGGCGTTTCGTGCACTAGGACTCTCGTTCGTGCCACCAGCATTATGACCAGGAGTTCCCACAGACAAACCAAGGACGTTTCGTGAACCTCCAGAACCACCCACGTTCTTCCCGCTACCCTTCCGACGGTTGCCATGTTTGGACGCCTTCTCTTCGGCTAGTTTCAACTTCCTCGACCGCTCAGTCGATGCCCGCAGAAAGCATTGCCAAAGGCGATTCAATGCACCTGCTGGCGTGAAGCCTCGCTTATAGAGAAAGCCGTCTCTATATTCCACGTTATAACTGTACATGCGGTGTAGGCAGTTGCGGCATAGTCTTCTTCGACCCAATCTGACTTGTCGACATCAAGTCCCGTGTACCGTTTGATTCCGTTAATCTCTCCGATATGATACGCCGCTTTGACCGCTTCGAGCGAAGGTCCTGCCAAGTTGCCTTTGTCCTTTCGAGGTTTGATACCCTTTTCCCATAATTCATCAAAGAATCGTAGGAATCTGTTCTGGTCCTCCATGAAGTTGGTCAGCTTCTCGGGGCTATCAACCGCGTAGTATCGTGCCATATTTTCCAGTCTGCCTTGATAGGTATTTGCAGCGCTCTCAATGGACAGGCAGTTTTAGCGTGTCCGACAAGAACTGTGCGTCTAGGCTGCTTATGGACATAGTTTTCAAAATGTCCGTCATCTTATCGGCGGACACGGATATCAGTTCAAAAAAACTGCTAATATCCGACTACCCGTCTACTCTAGGGGTAGAAGCCGGGGTGGAGGCTAGGGTGGAAGCTGGCCTAAGGATCAGAGAGATCAAAAGAGCTTAGGGTGCTTGCAACGCCTTAAATATAGGAGGCCTGAGGTGGACGTGACAAGAGCCTGAAGTTTGAGGTTGAAGTTTGAGGTTGAGGCTTAAAATCTAATGTTTGAGACTGAGAATATACTATTTAACAAGTTTTATTTGTCTTGGCAGATAAAACCGTCTATACCCATCTAGAATCGTGATGGTGACGGACATTGGTCTGTCCGGATCCGTACTAGTACAGGTAGTGATGGTTCAGGGCTAAAAAGTGTCCGACCTACCCATTGAGAGCGCTGGGTATTTGCTGGCATTTCCACGTCGGGTGAATATATCACAAAGTCCTCTCCACTGGCTGGATGAGTGCATACCCGGCTTGAGAAAGCTGCGGCATGCTCAATTTGGGTCAGAACTGCTTCCTTCTCCAACGCTTTCCTGTTCACTGTTACCACTAGTCATAAGATATTGGACAGGCTTATACATACTCCAACTCCTGTTCGATCTCCTTGTCAAGATCGGCTGCATCCTCATTCTCCATGGTTCTGGGGACTTGAGCCCACATTGAAGATCGTTGCTGCAGTTCGTCTTCAGAGTTGCGCGTACACACTGGTTAACAATCCTGTTCTCAAAAGCCCTTGTTGTCTTTGTTACATACTTGATTGTGGTGTTTTGACTCTGAGAGTCCATTTTGTGAGAGGTCGTACTCCTATCTTGTGTTTGTCTGTAGGAAGATTTTGTCGCGGAGTTGGAGTTGTGAATTGTCGAGTAAACAAAATAATAAGGCTGTGTGGAGATATGGCAAGGCTGTGACCTATACCCGTTTGGGTTAAGCGCTAGTGCGAGCCCACGGGACAGCGCGTGCCCTCGACAGATAGTGCAGCTGGTGTGTGAGAGATGTTCAGAGACGAATATACTCGATAGTGTTTCGGACAGGACTGGAAGGTGGATGGATTACTGTTGCCTGCAAGTGCAACTGTTCCCTCTTTTTAGCATGACAGCCATCGAGGCAGACCGTTTTTACCTGCGGGTTCAATGCACGCATAGGCTTTTTTTCTTTAATCTTCGAAGGTCAGAAGACGAGTATTTGGCTCACATGAGCGGGAAAGGCGGTTGCTGCCGCAGATCTTTTGGCGTAACGAGAAAATACTTGATTTAGCGGATCCTCCACAAGGTTAACATACTTGGCGCAGATACGCGTAGTTTTGGCTCAGCCTCAATTGCTTTTTGGTATTGGACAATCGATGAACCCGATCCATTCCATCAATAGGCTTTAGCTCTATGCCAATAGGATTTCGAGTGTCGTACCTGCACCAAGTGTTTAGCTCAGCCTTATATGGACGCCTCCGTCCCGGCCACTTCCTTCACTGTAACTCAACTCTCTGCAAATGGATTTCATAGATTATTCCACGTAGAATAATCTTGTCTTGCGGGTGCGTCCTTCTTTCGTAAGCACTAATATCAACCAAGAATGGAGCGACTTGGAACTTGGTTGAAATCCGCCAACAAAGATTGAAGTGGGATCAAGAACTCGAATTTTATGGCGCTTCCAAGTCCTCTGAAGATGTCGTCTTCGTGGAGTTCCTGCCTCTGGTGTCGAACTATGACATCAGTCTCTTGTGTTGAGCGACATGCTTGTAGACTGTGCCTTCCCATTGCGGAAACCCATTTTTGATCTCATGTATAAGAAGGCTTGTTCTGCCCCATGAGTCTAGACAAATAACCCGAGTCTACACATAATATCAGCGTTTCCTTCTCGTAATGCTGCATTCGATATCAATGTATCTTTACTCCAAGATGTTCAAGAAGCTACCAGCTCTCCTCATCTTGGCGACTTCCACGAGCCGCCTCCTCGTTCACGCTCTACCCACATACAGCGACAAAACGATCATATGGTATCCATGCGGTGACAGTACCACAATTCCATACAGCTGCGGAAACTTAACCGTACCACTCGATTACACTGATCATTCTTCTGCCAAGACACTCAGCCTCTCCCTCGTCAAAGTCAACGCAACGAAGCAACCTTCTCAAGGTAGCATTCTCTTCAATCCTGGCGGTCCTGGAGAAATAGGAACGAGCTTTGTTGCGGCGACAGCGGACGTTTTCCTAGCGTACGTTCTATTCTGACATGTATTCAACCTCGAGCTAACCAATGCAGAGTGACAGGTGGAAATTATGACTTGATTGGATTTGATACACGGTAAATGATACCTCAACTGTGCAACGCTCTGCTGAATCTTTTCAGTGGAACTGGCACAACGCTTCCATTCTCATGCTACGCCAGCGATGACGAACGAGTAATCTTCGTACTCAAAGGCCCATTAACGACGAACGCGTCTGCCACTTCGCTCGGAGAATCCTGGGCTGTTGGGCAAAGTCTAGCGCAGAATTGCTATGATAATGCTCGAGATGTGGGCGAGCTTAATTGGGACCGCGTTCGTTGCTAGAGATATGATGCAAATCGTGGATGCATTGCAAGAAGATGGATTGCTGCGTTATTGGGGTGAGCTCAATCATCGTGGGATCAAGAGTGAGGAAGCTGATGATTATAGGGTTCTCGTAGGGTACTGTATTGGGCGAAACGGTCGCGGCTATGTTCCCGGAGCGGATGGACAAGATCGTACTTGACGGTGTTCTAAACCCCACGCAGTATTATGAAGGCCGGTGAGTAGTCCAAATCCATATTCCATACTGATTACCCTTCTTCACCATGCTGACCAGCCCTTCAGTGACATCCAAGAACTCGCAGCCAGCGAAGCCACCTTTGCCGGCTTCTTCGCTTGAGCAGCCTTCGTTGTGTACGCTCGGTGCTATTCGAAGTTATTTTGTTAATGGGACGTTGCCTGCCCCAGGTACGGTGTGTGAACCTAGTGTGGAGTTGTTTTCCGAGTGGACGCTTAGTGGTGAGGCTTCTCAACTTGGAGGTGCGGAGAAGAGAGATCTGAATACGGAGGACGAGGAGCTTTTGAATGCATTGTTGAAGTTTGAAAAGAGGTTCAGGGAGGGAGTCTTTTGATTGTTGGCTTGTTCAGGAGTTGAGACGATTGACCTGGTATAGATAACCAACAACAAGAGAAGATTCTTTCTTAGTGCGCTTGTGGTTAGAAGTCAACTCTCTCTTAAATGCTCTGTACTCGCCTTTGACATTTCACTTTACACCATGAGTCGGGGGACAAACGTGCCATTGTAATTCTCGTAGAGGATTAAGAAGTAAGGTTAGTGGTCGTTCTTTCCCTTCGAACTTGAGACAATAGAAGTAAACGTTTGGGCATTACCCCAAACAGCAAGCACTTCTCACCGGGTGCGATGACCCCTGCTATCAAAACGAGAAAGAACGAGGTAAAGTCACCATTGGGTGAGAATGCTGTCTTTGACTTCTTTCCAGCAATATCTTCACCCAACGTCAACATAAACAACACAACAACATTCGTTTAACAATCACATCACATAATCTAACCACATCTCACTTACCACCGGATATCAATACACACAACCACACCAGCTAACCACAATGGAAAACGTCTCGTTCAATAAGATTAAAGCCCACGGGGAAGCCGTCGATCCACAACCCAGCAGTTTTCATACATGGTACTGGGTCCACGATCAGAATGAAAGATCCCATGTTCCAGAAATCACCTATCTGTTCTCAGAAGAAGATAGACGACAAATACAGGCGAACCCTGCTGCTAGCACTCGCTCCGGCAGACCTTTCAAAGCAAACGTTCCACCACCGCTAGAGTACAACGACTTCTGGGCAGACCAGGGTAGCAGAGAACTTGATGGATATATAGTGCGCCGAGATATTGCGTCCGAGACGTTGGAGCAGCGAAAGAGACGAGCAATTAAGGCAGAGAAGCTCGAGGAGCGCAGGGTGCGAGCTGAGGCTCTCCAGCGGAAGATACACTGGGCTTTCATTGATGCCAAAGCGACTGAGCTCACTGAGGACTTCCTCCGGGCATTGGCAGCGCCGGTCAAGAGTGAGGGTGATAATTGGATCTTAAGATGGTACTGGAGCTCGGGTTTGAGTCTGGATTTGACGATGGAGCCCGACCAGTTGAGGAATGCAATTTGGCCAGATCAATACCTTTCCAACAGATATATATTTGAAGCTGGATACGAAGAGCGTTGCAGGAAGATGGACCACATCGAAGATGCGACCAGACCAACGACTCCGCTGAAGAAGCAACGCATGTGTTCTCCAACAAGGATCACGCAAATGGGAGTGGACGAGGACAAAGCTCTTGACGAGAGGGAACCGGTGTTGGTCCATTATTACAACATGATAGGAGGGGCGTATGTCATTCCTGCGCGGAGGGCAAGACAACAGGAGTCATTCGAAAGGTCGCACATTCGATCGAGTTCTAGATTCGACTTGGTTAATGGACCTGTCAGGACAACAGAGGAAGAGAACAAGACTCAAGATTCGCAACAAGCCACAGAGAGGCCACCCAGCCCTTCTCAGAGAAAATTCATCGAGGTGGGGCTTGCACTTATGCTCAAAAACAGCAAGCTTGGAAAAGTCAAAGGTTTCAAAATAAAGGAAGAAGAAGTCGATGTTGAAATGGTTGATAGAGAGCAGTCAAGCGCAGTTTCCGCCATCGACGAGATCAAGACCGAGGACACGATGGAGATCAAGACTGAGGATATGATGGAAATCAAGCAGGAGACTCGTTCGACGGTCAAAGAAATCTCCTCGGTCGAATCGGCGTGGCATGACATCGCATAGTGTGTCACACACAAAGTGTGAACCAATCACTCGTTGGCTTTCTTCGATGGAGGATCTCACTCAGCAGCCCACTTCTTGCTCGTATCGCATTTCACTGTTCCACGTCTTTCTCGTCGCATTGTTTCCTCTCTTGTTTTGATTTGACCTTTGGCGAAATTACTACTTGGCTCTTTCTCGTAAGTCAATCACCGAGGGGCGCCCAATCGATTGCCCAACAAATGAATGAATGCACTGCAGATGCTCGGATGAACTGACAAACGCTACACCACTGCAGGTACGAGGCGGAATCTCGCGGATATCGACATGGTGGTGGACTGTTGGACTAGCCAAGGCTGGAAATATGCTTAAAGGGCAGCGCCTCCAGCGCCGGCGTCAGTATAGTCAGGGGTAAATCTGCAGTTTCCCCGCAAATTTTCAGCGGTTGGAACTCGGAGACCCAGTCATTTGGCGATCTCTGGGCTCAGCTAAGCATTTTGGGGAGGTGATCACCTTAAGCGACAGCCTTAGCTTACCCCTTTTTGGGCCAACGCAGCGGAATACGATCATAGCAATTTCCCATAGCCCGGAACGTGACATGTGGAAATAGAACTAGCGAGCAAGTGCTTGCGCGAAGGAGGCGTCGAGAAGAGAGAAGTGTAACCTCACTTGCCGGTAAGCGTTGCCCCGTGCTCCACGTTTTCTCTGCTACTCGTGCATGCAATATGAGGTAGGTATATAGAGCTGCTCCCATCTGTTTGCTCTTCCTTTCTCTTTCTCTCTTTCCTCTCCAAGCCAATACTTCACCACACTCATTTTTGTATCTTCGATACAGTTACACTCTTTACCCACTACTTAATTGTTCCTCTCTGAAACTCTTTTCAAGATCAACTTTCTCCCACCTATCAAGATGAAGGCCTCAATTGTTTCTGCCCTCGGGCTCGTTGCTGCTGCCAGCGCATGGAACCAATCCACCACTTCCACTGTATACACCACCTCGGTCTATACCGTTACGTCATGTGCTCCCACTGTGACTGATTGTGAGTTGCTTTCCCCTCTTTCATAAGATAGGTGACAGTACTAACCCTCTATAGGCCCAGCAAAGATCGGAAAGGTCACCACGGATATCATCTCGCTCTACACGACCATCTGCCCCGTCACCGAGACCGAGAAGACCAGCTCCGCACCAATGACCACCTACACTCCATGGACCACCTCGACTGTCTACAGCACCAAGGAGTATACCATCACCTCCGTAAGCCCTCTCTATTTACTCAACGCCAAAGCATAGCTAACAAGGAACCCAGTGCCCACCAGAGGTGACCAACTGCCCCGTCGGCTCCAAGACAACCACAGTCATCACCTCCACCACCTCCTGCCCCATCACAACCGCCACCTCAGCCCCCTATACCGTAATCCCACCCCCAGTCTCAGTCTCCAGCAGCGCGCCTTACACCGTTGTCCCGCCTCCCATCTCCCTCTCCACCTCCTCGGCACCATACACCGTGGTTCCTCCCCCCGTCTCCGCCAGCAGCTCGCCAGTCTTGTCCACAATCACCATCTCAACTTGCGTACCATCTTACTACACGTCCGTCATCACCGTTACCGGCACCCCGGCTTCTAAGACCTGGGTTAGCACTGGAACTGGTGCCCCAGTACCACCTAAGAATACTACCACCCCATACGTGCCTGTCACTGGTGGTGCGGGAGCTGTTAAGGTCGGAGGCGCAATGGCTATTGTTGGGTTGGTTGCTGCTCTTCTGTAAATGATGGGAGATTGGGATTGGGAAGGATGGAAGGAAGGATTCGGGTGATGAAAATATTTACTTTCTTGGTATCGATCTGTTGTGATGCGATGATGACTCGATGAGCTTGTCGGTCGGTCGGGTGCAACAGAGATGTATTTTTGTGTGCTGCTTTGGCATTTTAGTGGATGTATTGTAGGTATGAGGACAATTATTTGATAATTTGTATTGTGTTTTTTTGATTTCGTGGGTGTGAGATGTGAGATGTGATGAAGTGACATGTGGAAAAAGTGATGAAATAAATGGTGGCTGAAGGTGGAAGAAATTGGTTTTTTTTTTCTTGGTCTGAGACGGTGGGTTTCATGGCTTTAAAGGCTGAGATGGAACTCCTTGCTTGGGGTTTCGGAGAGAGACATTGACTTGTAAGTTTGTGAATGTAAACGATTCGAAGCCTGGAAGAAAAGATGCCAGAGGGATTGAGTTTTCTGCTGAGCATCTGGTGAGGAGGAATGACGGTGTTGCTCTTGATAGCGACTCGACTCAAATCACTCGTCAATGAGAAGCAACCTCTCCCAGCACAACTTCTCGAGCTGGAATTGGATCACCATTTTCAATGCATCCAAGAATCATCAAGTAACTACGGAAGATAGCAATGTGATTGCTAAGCAACTGAAACGAGAACTTTCGCAGACAAGACACGAAGTAAGAGAGGAGTTTGTGAAACTTCACTCGAAATTTCGCGACAAGGTGATATATTTCGCGGAAATTGTCAACGCGAAGTATTTCAGAATGCATTTCAGGTATTCGCGCGAGCACGAACTTTGGGAACTATCCGCTGCTGAGATACATCTGGTAACACGAAGGGACAACTTAAAAACAGTGTTAGTCAGGAGAACGAGGTAAAGCGCATGGTGAAAATCGAATGAAGAAGAAACATTTTCAAGAACAACACGTAGACAATCAATACTCCCCTCGCGCAAGGGATACTTGCTCGACCCAACTTCTCGTGAAGATATATCGAAATCCACCCCTCGGCAACCACCTAAGAGTGTACTTGAAACCCCCTTGCATTCCCCCCTAGATTTTTAAATCAACAACAACAACCTCTTCTCCTCAACACCTATACACAAATCCTCCTCTCATCCATCAACAGACGAAATGCGTCTCCCAACCCTCCTCTTCCTCGCTCTCGCAACTCTGGAAGCAGTAGCAGGCCTCGCGTTCGAATGCGGCCACGGCAAACGAGCTATCTGCTGCGGCGGCGTGACTTCGACGCGAATTACACAGGATGTTAAGATTAATTGTATGATTCCCCTTCCCTCACAGATAGAATTGTTGAGCTGATGAGGAGAAAATAGGCCATCCAGCGCATGGAGATCCGGGGCAGCCGTCGGTGTGTATGGATATTGAGGATGCGAGGTGTTGTGCGTCGTTTGTGAGTGGTGTTTCGTTTTTCTTTTGAGAGAGGAGGATGGGGAGAAGGGGATAGAAAGGGCTGATGTGGGATAGGTCGAGCCGGATGCGTGGTTTCGTTGTCCGAGGACGAGAAATTGGAGAGAGTTGTAGGGGGATTTGGGTTTGGGGGGTTGGGATGAGGAATGGCGGTGCTTTGGATTCGAGGCCAACTAGGGTGGAACATATTCAATCGGGTTGGGTTGGTGGTACTTTTCGCTCAAAGCTCGTGATGCTGGATGTTGGGGTTGAGATGCATAATTAGAAGGGTATGGAGACAAGGGTAAACTGAAATTCTGACCTTGAAGTTGTTTTGAGATGTGGTCTTGAAGAAAGTTCGAAGTGATGGCGTCGATCTGATAGCTTTGTAACTCACCACCACTTGTTTCCACCGACTTTTGTAGTCTTCACCAAGATCGTTATTGTTATAGGAGAGTGAAAAGCTCAAGAAGTAAGGATGGGAAGCAAAAAACATCGGAGCAGGGAAACTTCCCACAAAGGCACTAGAAGCTGGACTCGAGAAGCTTGCATCTAAGAATAAAGATAAAGTGAACCATGTCAAGAAAGAGCCAATTCAGATTATACCTCACGTCCCATAGGGTATCTACCAGAACCTAACAAGCTTTCCACTCGTAAAACTCCAAACACCGACCCAAAGCTCTCAATATATTCCCTCTCGCAATCTTTCTCCAATACCTTCCATCCCACCAGCACAGACTCGCCTCTCAACCTCTCTATCTCTCCCTTCCTCTCCAATAACGACACACTTCTTGACATCTCCCTTATCATCCACAACCGCTCTCCCAATCCTCCCATCAACCCACTCAATCCTCACTTGCTTCGCCTCTGCATCAGCAACACTAATATCAGCAATAACCCTCTCCCTCTCCTTCCCCTTCCTCGAAACCTTCTCATCAAGCTTGAACTCCTTCCTCAGACCTTTGATAACCGAAACCCTATTATGATACCCCACAATCTCTCTCCTCAACGCGCGCACAAACCTAGTCAGATCCTGTCTCTTCGCTCCACTCTCCTTATCACCCATAGCAGCGGCTCCTTTCCCATGCGGTAGATACCGATCCGCGAGCGAAGCAAGTGGTATACAAGAAGGAACTGTATGTCTATGGATCCTCAACAATGTCTTCCCAGCCCAAGGTTTGTTCAGCATAACATAATACGGTCGCACGAACTTCCCCGAGGTCGAGACGTCGAAGCGTATCCCGAGCACGTTACCATCATCGACGGCGTTTGGATCGGGATCGCGGATACGGAATGTGGTGATGCCGGCGCAGGACCGGTAGAGGTTCTCTTGGTTGTGTGCCAACTGTGCAGTGCTGGTTGAGAGGAGAGGTGAGATGTCTGTTTCTTGGGAGGAGCGGGTGGAGGTTGTTTTCTGTGAGGCGCGGAGACGAGATAGGATTGTTTGGGTGGTTCGTGAGGATATGATGGTCGTTGATTGGGTCTTGCGCTGGGTTTTGAGGGTTTGAACTGCTATTGTTAGATGGGTTGTGGTGAGGAAAGGTATGTTTACCTTGGGCTTTTAGTGAGGCTATTTCGCTGTCGAGTTGCGCGCCTATTGTATCCTCGAGGACGGAATCATCGGTTGACGGTAACATGGTGGTAATATCTTGATATTTGCTTGATTGAATGAATTATATCGCAACAATAAATCTCGTTGTTTGTGACTGTCGAAAGTCAACGCGTCGTCGCCAATTGTCGCCAACTGTCTACGCCTCAGCACGTGTAAATAGTGGGGAATCCCGACCGAAGCCCAAGCTGTGAACAGATAACGATGAGGCTCAGATTCGAGTCCTTTGTCTCATGTATGCCCCTCGAATACCTCCAACAAAGATCATGCGTATCTATTTCTGCTTCAATGATTATCCATTTGTCATGATCTAGATGGCGAAATAAATTTATCAGCATTATTATCTTCTTGTCCCAGTCACACTCCCACCCACAAGAGGCCACGTTCGCTAGAAGCCGCTTCGTGCCTGGCGATCTAAAAGTTTCCCCGTATCCTGGACTTTTAGAGGCCACCGAGTCCTCTAAAGGACCATACAACACCACATGGATGCCGACCCCTCTAGGCGACACACTCCCTTCGATCACAGTACATTCTCAATCTTCTCTTCATAATTCCCATCTGCCTCTTCACCACGACGCCCAATTCCCACACGCGCAGGAACTAGACGAGCTATCTGCAGAAGGTCAACGTCATAACAGAAACCCTTCCATCTCCTCTCGCAAGTCCCAAGAAGATACTGCACACCTGCTCGCCACCGATTCCGACGACGAAGATTCTTCTATGGGTACCAAGTCCCGACGACCTCGATCGCAAGAGCCGAAAGGTTCCGCCTCCTCGACAGGAGGACAGAACGGGCACGCGAACGGCAACATGAATAGCAGTGTGGAATACAGGCGGAAGAATGCTTCGCTGGAATCTCCGACTGTTACAGCAAATCTGATGGCGAGGGATTCCTTCTCCTTGGATGAACATGTGCCAAGGACACCGACGATAAATAATCATGGCTTCTTTCAGCTGCCCATGCAGGACAGGAGGAACTTTGGTCTTCTGGTCCTGTTATACTTTCTGCAGGGTGTGCCCATGGGATTGGCGACTGGCTCTGTGCCGTTTATTCTGAAAGGTGACAACCTGTCGTACAGTGCGTTGGGTGTGTTCAGTTTGGCATCCTACCCGTATTCGTTGAAACTGTTATGGAGTCCAATTGTGGATGCATGCTGGAGTCCGAAGCTCGGGAGACGGAAAAGCTGGATCATGCCTATACAAATGTTGTCTGGGATTGGAATGATTTGGCTTGGATCGAGAGCAAAGCAGATGATGGCTACTGCAGCCAGTGACGGAGGAACTGGCATTTGGGGATTCACTGGATGGTGGTTCTTCCTTGTTTTCATGTGTGCTACGCAAGATATTGCTGTGGATGGTTGGGCTTTGACGCTCTTGACCCCAGGCAATATCTCTTATGCTTCGACGGCACAGACGGTTGGCTTGACTGCTGGCCAGTTCATGTCGTACACCGTTTTCCTTGCCTTCAACTCTCCCGACTTTGCCAACAAGTGGTTCCGCAAGACGCCTTTGGAAGAAGGTGTCATGACTCTGGGAGGATACCTCACATTCTGGGGCTGGGCATACATAATTGTGACTGTTGGTCTTGCTCTTCTGAAAAAGGAGGAGAAGACCAAGAATGAAGATGGTATATGGGATGTTTACAAGGTGATGTGGGGGGTTTTGAAGCTCAAGAACATTCAAACCATCATCATCATTCATCTGATTGCGAAGATTGGCTTCCAAGCCAACGATGCAGTCACGAATCTGAAGCTTATCGACAAAGGATTCAGCCAAGAAGATCTGGCCCTTACAGTTCTGATTGACTTTCCATTTGAGATTGGGCTGGGATATTATGCTGGGAAATGGTCAACAACATATACGCCCATGCGTCTCTGGTGCTGGGGCTTTGTCGGTCGCCTCATAGCCGCCATTATTGCCCAGATCACAGTTGTTATCTTCCCCAGTAATGGTGTCGATACATGGTACCTCTTGGTTGTGATTGCAGAGCATATTTTCTCGACATTCACAAGCACCGTAATGTTCGTCGCTATCTCAGCTTTCCACGCAAGAATCGCGGATCCAGTTATTGGTGGAACATACATGACTCTTTTAGCTACGTAAGTCTCCCTTATGAATCCATCTGCTACGATGCTAACAAACACAGCGTCTCGAATCTTGGCGGTACCTTCCCAAGATTTTTCGTCCTGAAATTCGTAGACTTCTTCACCTCAGCAACATGCATCCCACCCCCATCAACCTATAAACTGGACCCCAAACTCCGAGGGCCTCTCGTGACAGACTCATTCTCCTGCGCTCTGTCAGCAGAAAAAGATCGCTGCATCCAAGGCGGAGGCATCTGTGATATCACCAGAGACGGGTACTACGTCATGAACATTGTGTGTGTGATCATAGGTATCGTGACGTTCTGGGGATACATTAAACCGGCGGCGATCAAGTTGCAGAGTTTGCCACTGAGAGCTTGGAGGATTGCTGAGGGGGCGAGCTGAGTGTTGTGGAGGGGAAAGAGGGGGTGTGTGAAGTGGAGTGTATATATGTGTCTTGTAGATTAGAATTTTGATGTTAGATGAATGCATACTCCGATATCTTACTGAGTTTTTCTGTTTCGGTTATATGTTGCTTTGAGATGTTATCTGAACTGGGGATAAAACAGCAAGTCCCACCCTTTCTTTCCAACACATAACTTACATGACTTAGACTTTAAAGTTCTAGGCTGAAACGCCCACTTTTATCATTTCTCAACGCTCACTCGCCCTCACTCTCTCTGCCGTTCATTGATCTTCAATTACACTTGTATACACGCTCTATTATTAAAAGGCAAAAGACCAGCTTCCCAAGAAGGAGGCGTCTAGTGTAGTCCTTTTAGGAATCTGTAGTGCTTATTAGGACTTGCAAATCGGCAAGTGCTTAGTAGTCAGATTACAGAGTCTCGAATAAGGGAGGAGCACAAGATTCAATATAGAATTAGCGAGTGCTCAGGAGTCCGCTTACGGAGACGGATCTCAAAGAAAGAAGGGGCTGAAGATTCACTTGCTCTCCAGCTCACTGCGTAATTGCAAGTACAAAAGAACTTCACATGCAATTTCAAGCCTTCTTAAAAGTCTTTAAGTCGACTCTCTCTCTTTCAGGTTGCAGGCTAGGCTTCACTACACTTACTGATTGAGACTCTTGGGCTTTGCTCGGCCCAATCCTTCCTTCTCACCTTCCCAGAACTACTCAGTCTTCTCTTCACTACACAAACCACTTTGGACCAAACTCCTTCCTCTAAATGGCTTTCTTCGCTCCCTTGATCATCTCTATCATACTTCTTGCAGCAATATCATCCTACACCATTCGGCTGAACCAAAACATCAAACTCGCGAAGCAAATTGGGGTACATCTCTCTACTCCTCTCACAAAACCTGACCTCCTAACCCATATCACAGCTCCCCTACATCATCTTACCCTGGCACACTGACACAGTCACTTGGTTCATCCTTGCTCCATGGACTATCCCAATCTTGAATCACTGTCTGCCATCATTCCTCACTCGAAAATGGCTTAAGTACACCTTTCAACGATTAGAATTGTTTTGATACATGTTAATAGTGTCAGGTTCATGGACCCCTTCTGGACATGGCACCTTCGTTATAGTCCCTTTCAGGAGAGAGCCAACTATTCCTTCCTCTCGGTTTCGGCTTGGGGTCTGGCCTTGAATACGTGCTCTCCGGAGATTATTGCTCAGTTTGGGTATAATCGTAGGGATTTCAGCAAGCCTATTGAAATGTATTCGATTGTGGAAACGTATGTACATCATTCTCTCTTTAAAAGTCTTTGGAAGAAAGCTGATTCTAGCAAAGGTTTGGACCTAACTTGATCTCGACTGATGGCCCTCACTGGAAGCATCAGCGCCGAATCATTCAACCTTCTTTCAACGAAGCAAACAATATACTGGCGTGGGGTGAAACCGTTTTTCAGACTACTGCACTAGTCAAGAAGTGGGTTCGTGAAATGGATACATTGGGCAAAGACGAGTACTTGAACTTTCATGATGATTTGAGACAGTTGGCATTGCACGTTGTTGCCCGGGGAACTTTTGGGGAGAGAATCTTCTGGGCCAATGACAATTTGAATGCCAAACACGGTAATACTGAGAACCAAAGCAAACATAGCATGAGCCTTGGACAAGCAACATTGGCGATTGTCAGTGATTTGAAGTGGCTGTTCATCCTGCCACCATGGATCTTAAGTAAGTCGACCTGGGATGAAAGAAAATTTCTTATCTGACTATTCGGAAAGAATGGGCACCTTCGAAACACCTTAATAAGATCTGGATGGGGTACGTGCCGCACTACACTTCGAATTTCCTTTGCTGAAGCTGCTCTAGGTATCACGAAATCGATCGACATATGCAAGAACGTATCAGAAATCGCCAGATCTCTAGAAACGAAGGCAAGGAGGAACGGCATGGACACGATATACTTGGTTGTCTACATGCCCTTCTTTTCATATCCAATAATCTGATTGGCTCCAGGTTCTCTCATCTCCACAATCCAGAAGTCGTCCTCGCACAACGATCTTCGACTAGGGTTAACACATCAGGAAATCGTTTCAAATGTGGTAAGTATACACTCCATGCCATCAATATCCATGACCTGACCGAGAAAGTTCGTTTCGCTCATGGCTGGCCACGAAACCACGGGTGCCACATTATTCTATACGTTGATCAATCTCGCCATGTACCCAGCTTGGCAAGTGGAGGTTCAACGCGAGCTTGATGCCATTTTCGGGGACAGTGGTACCGAAACTTGGTCACATGGCGAGTATATGAAGAAGTTGCAGTACAGCAAAATCGATGCTACGATTCTAGAGAGTATGTGTCGTCTCTTGAAATTGATTCGAGTACTAACACTCATTTAGCACTTCGACTATTTCCTCCAAATGGTCTGATCCCAAAACACTCTGCACTTGACCATCCTTCCATTCTAAGATACAAGGAGAAGGATATCACAATTCCACCAAATACGAGACTCTTGGTCATGATCGTCAGCGCGCATCGAAATCCCCATTATTGGCCACCGCCCAACGGCAGCTTTGCTGTTGATCAAGAAGCAAATCGGCAAGATACGAATGAATACCGACCCGAGCGATGGTTCGTGAGGAAAAGCATAGCAGAGGCATATGGAGGGAAGATCGTTGATTCCGACTCGGTTAATTCTGATGGTCAGCACGGATTCTTCGTTCCCTGCAAAGGCGCCTTCATCCCATGGTCCATTGGCGCAAGACAATGCATCGGTCGGAACTTTGCCCACGTGGAGCTGTTGGTAGCAATTGCGATCATCTTGAGAGAGTGGAGCGTTGAATTGGTGCTCGATCAAGTTGACAGATGCGATGAAGAAACTGGGAAAGGACGGTGGGAATCTGCGAGAATGAGAGCGGAGGAGCGTTTGAGGGATGGGATGTATAACTATATCACTATGCAGTTGGGAAATGGTTTGATTCCACTTAGGCTGGTGAAGAGAGGAGATGAAGGGGTAGTTGTGTGAGAGTTTTGGGGTTTGGTTGAGTTGTATTTTGATTTGAGACGGAGAGAAAATTGAATTCAGCGTTGTTTTAAAAAGTTCTGAATCGGGTGACGTTTCAAGTATGCAGTTGGCATTGTATATGTAAAGATAAGATATGCCAGAAAGTAGACGTTTCCTGCATCTCGCTGAATCACCACAAGTTATGTGTGTATGTTGGCTCATACGAGAATTTTTTGGAGCTATGTACAGTCGCAAAATGCGCATATCGCGCATCATGGTGTGAATGGCGCAAATGGCGCTTTTCGCGAGTAATGCGCAGATCTGATCGACAAGCTTACAATGTAGGTCGATTTCTCGAGCATTAGATTTGCTATTCTATGGAGATTTTCACTTCGCAATAAGACTTGGCTTATTGGTTATTGGTTTCATACTCTCCTAAACCGTGATAAATAGTGGCTTTCTTGATTATACTGTACTGCACACGATAATACGTCCCTCAGCCATGCTCTCACCACGAGACCGTGTCGGTGAAAACTTCTTGTCGCCTGTATTTTAACCTCGCTATTGATGATGATGCATCAAAGAACCCCAATAGTTATTCTGACCTGCCAGGTGCGGCGACAAATTACCCAGTGTCCACCGTTCCCGCCGTTCAAGGGCACGCCGTCTCTCAACGCAATTTCCCATTAATTCGCAGTGACCATATAAAAGACACATTAATGCTTTGCTTTCGCAGGTTTCATCCGATTCAAGGTCTGTGATTCAAACTACGTAAATATCAGAGCCTAATTATTCAGTGGCATGTCATCACATGGAACAATCACAGGCTGCATTGCTTTGACTTAGTCTCGCGGAATGTATTTCTTGCTCGAACTCTTTCCAGCTTCGAAGAATCTACTAGCTCAGTCCTCCTCCCGCGACTCTTCCTCTGGTACACCAAGACTAAGCAAATGCCGCCGCTCACTTCATTCCACTTGTTTCCAAATCTCCCTCCAGAATTGCGGAGATTGATCTGGAGACATGTTCTGGAAAGCCCAAAGATAATAGGTGTTCGATATAAGGGTAATCGCCTTCCCTACGCTAATTCCTCGAAGTCTTTGCCGTTGGTAATCTCATAAGTCAACTGCGAAGCCCGCTATGAAGCTTCAAAATACAAATTCAGGCTTCCATCAACCGCTAAGAGGAAGTATCTTCTTCGAAGACCTCAGAATGTCGTCTACATTAATCTTAAGGTAGACATTTTATGGTTGACAAACGCCGATCTTCAAGAATTTCAGCTTATGCTGGACAAGCCCGCAGAAGCTCGACAACATCTCTCTGGCAGTCAACTCTGTCGAAGAATTGCAGTTCCATGGAAATGCTTCGATAGTATTTTCAAACCAATCGCGACGGTGAACGCCGAGCATAGCTCTCTCCTGAGGTCTCTATGCAGAGCAAGATTGCAGGAGGTGATGTTAGTACTCAATGAACACCAGAGGTCGAACCGAGACAAAGTTGTGTTTTCTCCTGCTTGCCATCGCCACCCGATTCTGGGTGGTGTCTACTCATTCGGCATCTTCATTCACAGTCTATGCAAAAATGTCGACCAGGGACTTAACAACACAAATGCAGAGTATCGGCGCTTGGAGAGCCCTGGAAAGACCGAATTGGAAATTCTCGGGGGCAAAGTATTGGAGACTTTCGAGAGAACAAGGCTACAGAAGTGTAAGGAGGTCCAGGACCTAAGGGATCTTGGGCTGCGGCCTGATGAATTTGATAAAGAACTTGAGAAGAAAGGCCTCATTGGCTATGAGTACTGGAAGGTACCAGCATTCAGATTTGTATGGGCATGCTCAACATCTTGCAAGGAAGCAAGACTATGATAATTGTATTGTAGGAAGAAAATTGGTTTTCTAAACTATGTTGGCCCCCATTGGGGTACGCTCCTGGGAATTGGCTTAGCTATGCGGTTTTCCCGCAATCTCCCTGGACATGTGAACCCATGAGGACCCAAAGAAGGAATTCTTTGCACGTCACAAGCCCTAAACTATCTAAGCTCGATTTGAATATCTGTTTTAGTTTCAAAAAGCTATCGCATTCATGCAGCAGTTTCGTGTCGACGGTATAGTTGCAAGATGGCCATTGTGTATGATGGACCGCATGATGAAACGGTTAATCCAAAGCATTATTTGTGAATCATATATCTATAAAGATTTCATCCGTACTGGGAACTCCATGAAACAATATTAACTAGCCTCAATCAAAACTCACTCATGTCCTACCAGAGCAATTGCCCTCATGGACCCTCGGTATAGCTATAAATTGCTCCAGAAATCTCTAACTGAAACTCTCCTTCAAACAACTTAATAAATACTAACAACAAAGAACAGTCCCCAAAGACCATCATCAAACAAGACAAACTACGTAAGTCAAAACAATATGAAGTACTCTCTCACCAAGACATTCGCCTTTATCCTCTTTATTTTCGGCACTTTCACACTAGTGGCATCTATTCCTGTCGATGGCGATCAGTCCCTTGATCTTTACGACAACACCACTCTGCCTTCCACGGAGGCTTTACCAGGCGGTTCTACAGAGATCAAGTCAATTTTCGCCGCCCGGGTTATGGGAGTGTTTAGGAGAGATTGCGTGGGGTTTATCAACAGACGAGGCTATGAAAATGAAGCGCGGACGGTTAGCAACACGCTGCTCCTAACCCTTATGCTATTCTTTGGACACTCGATATCTGGCTAATTTTCGAATTGGATTCTATGCATGTAGGGCACGGAGGACGTGGTGACAATGCGGGCTATTTCATTTCTGCGCGCTGTCAGTCATAATATTTGTGTTTTAATTAATGCCGGTCATTGGATAGGTAGATTTGTATCCGCGTTCGCGAGATTTATCTTTGTAATCAAGAGAGATTGCTGTTCCAATTACTCACGTCAGCGCTGCTTAGGTTGCATGAATTATATTCTCGTTGAGATTATGAATTGATGACGTTGATAGACACACAATAGAACATGCCAATGTGCTCAGAGTCGACTTTATTTGTTGCTTCATAAGACACAGTAATTCTGAAACTCGTTGAAGTTCCGTGAATCTTTGAGGAGAATAGTAAGATTGCCAAGCGAGAAATCGAGAGCAGAGCGTAATAAAAGGATTAGCATTTGAACTCGGAAATTCCGCTCCCTGTTCTGATTATCCCTTCAACCAAACTGTTCTTGGAAGTCTATAGAAATAATATATCTACCTATGTTTAAGTGAGAAGTTGGAATAAACTTTTGGATTTATCACCTTCGTCAGCCCCTGAGCTAAGCGAGATCCACATCCACTCAGATTCGAAAGAGCTGAAGGCGAAATCTCTTGAGAGGAAGAGGAAATCTCCAAAATGCTATTAACCCCCAAGAATAGAGAATGAGCGGGGTGATCTGTAAGATGCAGAGGATCTGCTATCAATCCAAAGACAAAAAAGACAGGAAAAGAGATATTGCCCCCGGGCGGAATCGAACCGCCAACCTCGTCATTACAAGTGACGCGCTCTACTGTTGAGCTACAAGGGCTGTTTCTGATTGGACGATGAATAATCGCGTAATATTTTGTATAACGTACGTCTACGACCGCTTCGGTGAATTTGTGTCTAAGTGTCGATTTTCCAGCTTGAAGACGCTAAATTTTAGCGTCTACTGCCCTGAAATTTGCCATAGGCTCGCTGGAGGTGATCACTAGAACCTCAACACATTGCTTAAGGTGCGCCAACTCCTAGAACTCATTGAAGATCTGGGAATAACACTGGTCATGGAGTGATTAGAGAGCAAAAATGTTGGCTATGTACGTCTCTTCTTGTAACTAGGCTGTGGTTTCATTGCTATAAGATGCTAGAATTTATTCACCTGACTAAGAGACAATGGCCGACAAATATTGGTTAGATGGAAAGTTAATCATGACCTAGACATTGGGTGCCCAAAGCTTCCATCATCTTGCAGAACTCTTCGAAAGGAATCCTCAAATTTTATAATCCCTTGTCCTAATGACGACTCGTCCCATGTAATTCCGACAAGACATTCCCCCCAATCTCATGAACAAAGTTCGCAGTCTCAAGCTCTTGGCTAAAATTACTACTCCCTAAAACTTCATGAGCCTCCGAACCTGGCAACTGCGCAACGTTCGGTTCCAGAAGAATTGGCGAGTGCAGGCTTTCTGCAAGCTTTGTTTCTGTTTCCTCCTCCGCCTGTTGAGTTTGGTGCTTCTGCTTTCGCGATCGTTTGACGACAAAAGCGCCACCCAAGAGTAGTAAGAGACCAACAATTACACTTGCAACGACGATACCAACAAGGGCTGCATGGCTGATTTTTGAGCTCTTGGAGGTAGAGGGTGGTAAGATGGCTACTATCGTGGAAGTTGCATTGTTCGAGAATTGGGCTTGTGACACGGTGAATGTTTGGCGTTCATAATCCGCAATTATGTATGACTCCTGGAGAAAAGTCCGTCCTATCACATACTGCGAGTCTTTCGCAGCCCTCCGAAGTGGAAAATAATTTGTCGTGTTCACATAGAGCGGGTAGCTTGCTTGAAGGTCAAACGCCGCGTATGGTAGAACAATGTTGATACTCTCCCCACCATAAACATCATTTCCAAGCTGAAATGTCAGACTCGGATTTAAAGTCTGTAGTTGAGAGTGAATAGAGTCATTCACCAGATAACGGTCGGTATGTGGATCGTGCACAAGTCCAAAAGAAGTTTCAAACAGAGCGCAAGCCTCGACTGGAAGCCAAATTTCTGGTACCGTTGAGTCGATCAAGGAAATTATTCCTTTTGGCAAAAGTTCTACAACACCGTCTAAAGCATTATCCGCTTGAATTGCCTGGAGGCCGACCAATAAACTTCCGGCATCTTCAGCCCCGAAAGTGAAACTCATGTTATTTGGTTTGAACCTGGAAGAGTCATATCCACCGAGTGTGAGACTGCCAAGGACTTCTTTGTCTCGGTAAGGAGCACCTGCCGTGTAGCCAAATGATAGACTAGGGATGAGGCTTTGGTTTTTGAGCGAGTACATGTAGCTGGGTTGAGGTTCGTTAAAGTCTGAGAAATTGGTGGGAAGAGGACCAAGGCCGAAAATTCCAAGCATAAAATCTAGTCCTTCAGTCCCTAGGAATCTGTCAGACACAGATGAAAGGCTGAATGGAAGTGCCACGCACCAGCTACAACTTGGTGCTGTAATGTGAGGCCTCCGCTGTTTTGAATCTCGAGACCAATAGTTTCGAACCCATATCTCCCGTTACCAGTGTAGTTGAGGCTGTTCTCGAGTCCCAGCTGGAAGAGACCGATTGAATCCCAGGATGAGGACTACCTTTTGGTTAATCTTCAGGTCGGTCGGGAAGAGGATGTAAATGTACCTCATTTACCATGAATCCACCAGTCCAGCCGTTCTCAAACAATTGAACTCCCCTCAAATTCGAGCAGTCTTCGACGTTTTTGTTTAACAATGCACAGTCTTCAGGCGCAGGCACCCAAGTCTGTATTCCAACAGTGGAAGGAAGCACCCGAAATGTCTGAGGCGGTGTGCCTATCCGAACTATGAATGTCGACCAGGTTCCATCATTGCCTTCCCAAAATTGGCTTGGAGCGAACGAGAAAGGAGTAGGGTTGACAGCTTTCCGCGCTACTAAAGACTTGAACCACATTTTGAAATCTGAACTGATTGGAAATACAGATACTGGAGCTGTGCGATATCTACTCTCGTGATAATCTGGAAGCAATTCTCAGGGAGCCTTATCTTCGGAAAAGATACTCAGAGCCTCGTTCCTCTTCGGCCCCCGAAGCCACCCTGCTTATGTGTCATCAGACCATCCGCGTATGCTTCTTATTTGCGTTGATCCGTTGGATTGATTTCTGGTGGCGTTCCGATGGCTCTCAACTGGGACCTCTACTGGACGACGCCTCCAAGCAAACCTGTACGTGGCGCATCTGCTTTTGTCCAAGTCGGGTGGCGAAGCGAATCATAAATAATTTCATCAATATCGCAATGCACTTCGTCACATTGAGCATGTTCTTAGCTTGCATTGCATTTTCCTGGTATGAGGGGGGCGTGAGGCTGAGAAAACTTCACGCGTGCATTTGACAGAATTGAGAAGACATCTTGTCCAAAAACTGCTTCGTCGCCCTGTTCTTGCTCAGCCTGACGGGAAACAACCTCGAGCTGATACAACAAGATGAAACATATACTCTGCTTGAGCATCATTACTCTCTGCAATCTCGTTGCAGATGTTCGGGGCTGGGGTACGTATTATCGTCTCAGTGGATATGGGACTTTTTTATGACTCCACACTAGGGAATGACTCTATAACGACATCCACGACAACGTTTTACAGTGGGACTACAACCGTAAATGAATGCAATACGACTGTGTACGAGATTACGACTGTCACTGGTTCACCAATTGTAGTTACGACGATATACTCAACTGTTCCTGCGAATTACACGGCTCAAGAGACCACTTTGACCCCGAGAGGAGTCGTTCAAAGAGATCTGGTCTGGACAACTGTTACTGTACCGACTTACTCTACCTCTATAATTTCAGCATGTGTCATTACAACAACGGTAAGTATACCTGGTCAAGAGGTTACTGTGGTGAGCTTCATTCCTGAAGCTCAAGCGCAGACCATGACTAGTACCAGTACCGTATACGAAAGCACGACAACTCTCCAATGTATTTCGCCGTCGGTGGCCTTTTCAGCAACAACAGAGCCCGCATCCGCTGTTGTGACTATAACGGTGACTACTGGAGGCCCTTCGCCAGCTGCCAACAAGATGGCTCGGCAAACAATGCCAGGAAGTCCCGCAAGAGAATTAGTACACCGAGATTTGGTTACCGATTACACAACTATCACCGTACCAGCTCTCACAAGCATAGTTTCGCCATGTGTGACAACAATACTTTCAACGATCCCGGGCCAAGAAATAACGGTGACAAATTTTGTGCCTTATGTTGGACCGACTCCAACAAAATCGGCATCATCCTCATCGACTTCCTCCTCTACGTCGGTCACCCCATCAAGAACTCCCATACCATCGATTATCACTCCTCCACCAGGTACACCTACCCAATCGAGCGCACCCAGCTCAATCCAAACGCCTACTACATCAATTCAAACCTTCTCAAAAGGCTCCTCCTTTACCACCACACTTGGAACCAATCCCATCACGATATTGCCTCTCTCGGGTGGCTCTTCAGCCTTAGTCAATAGTGCAACGCTCTCCGTCGGTGGCTCAGCCACAAGCATTGGTAACATTGTCCTCACTTACGCCTCATCAGGGCTTGTTGCCATCTCAACTCCCAGTCCCATCTCGACTTCTAATTCAATCGTAACGACAATGGGCTCCAGTCCACTCACCATCATCGAGCTCCCTGGGGAAGCGATAGTAGATGGTACAACTTTGTCGGCTGGGGGCCCTGAAGCCACAATAAATGGCGTGGAAGTGACATATGCTTCAACGGGCTTAATTGCCGTTGAAACTGGGAATACGATTAGTTTAGGAGGAATAATAATGAGTATTTTCAGTTACACGGAACTTGGTAAGACAACTTCTTGGGATACATGTGAGCAGGAAATCGGCTAACTTGAATAGCTTCTGGCTCAGGAGTTGAAATTGGCACACAGACTTTGACGCCTGGAGGTATTCAAACAGTTTCGGGAACGGTTTATACCCTTCCTACAAGTGGGACTGCACCAGTGGCTTTGAGCACACAGACTGCGGCACAGACGAGTCTCTTGCAGTTTACCGGAACAGCATCGAAGAAGGGGACGTCTTGTCTATCTCATATCTTGATGCTGATGAGCGGTATACTTCAAGCAGTGTTGATACTTTGAAGACTTGTGTCAAGTTAGGTGTTGCTTATTGCGAGCACCTTGACAGATGAGTATTTTCAGACAGTCTTCTGACCCAGTATATCATGTTGCTTAAAACCCGAGGCGATGGGGCAAAGAGAATCTGGCAGATCCCACCAGCACATCATAAATATAAACACGAGAATATGTGTTTCAATTAGATTTCGTGGTCATGTAAGAATTGATGACTTTAAGCTTCACACTGTGTCGTGTCCGAGTTGGTCGTTGCTCATTTCTCGGCTACTAGCCTATAAAACCTTGTCCAGACACTTAGGGGCGACAACCAGAATTTCTGCACCATCGGATAAAGGGACCATGATACGGCACCTGTTACATGGCACGGTGCGCAAAAGAATTCCGACGACAAATACTTAGGTACATGCACTTTCCAACTCCTACGAGTCTCAGCGATGTTCAACCAGTATTCAGGATAAATCCGCAAGTCGCGATATAATATCCTTTCTCCCAAAGTATGACAAATCGCAAGTCCTTCCTTTTCTCACACTCTTTTGCTGCGATGTCTGCGATGATCGTAAGACGAAGATTTTGAGCCATTCTTTATTCTGCTTTTGCTTCTACATATTCTAGATGAAAATGACTTACTATATCCTTCTCCATCTGCTCTTCTTGCCCACAGTCTTCTCCCAAGCTGCTACTTTCCCACAATGCGCTGTAAGTATCTTCCAGACTTTCAAATCGAAGCTCACGCTAACGCTATCAAGAACACCTGCTTATCGAATTTCAACAATGGTACCAACACTGGCGATTGCGCCAACTCTGATGCTGCTTGCATTTGCGCGAGTTCGGATTTTCAAAGCGGTTGGGCGTGTTGCTTGAACAACGGGTGCAATGCCACAGACGTATCATCTGCCGTTAGCACCATGAAGACCCAGTGCCCAAATGTGCCAACGATAGGGACTTGTACCGTAGACGATGCTCAGACCCCTGGTGGATTTGACGGGAAGGGTCCTGGAGGAGGTGGTCCGGGGCATTTTGGGGGTGGTCCGGGTGGAGGCTTTCACGGCCCCGGTGGAGGAGGCTTTGGTGGCGGACCAGGAGGACCACCAGGAGGAGGCGGAGGCGGAGGGGGCAATGCTCCAAGTCCAGATCCTACGACCGTGACGGCTCCAGCTTCAACGATAACAGCTCCAGCAGATCCCGTTACAGTCACAACGCCTGTCATCATTAATAATCCAGTCACAATCGCCAGTCCTGTCACAATTCAAAGCCAAGTCACAGTCACAAACGCAGTCCCAGTAACCAGCCCAGCAACCATCACCGCAACACTTCTCCAAACCTCAATCTTGACAAGCTCTCAGGTAGTGGTTGTCACATCCATCATCTCCAACGTTGCAGCATCGTCCGCTGCTCCCTCAACGATTCTACTGACCAGCACTTCGCTGGTAGAGCAAACCAGTGTGTCGAGCACCGAAACCGTCGAGACTACAGAAACAGTCTCGCAATCTACATTCACATCTGTATCATCATCAGCAGCAACAACTTCATTCGCCAGCATTCCCGCCTCACCGGTCGCTCCAATTCTCGGCCCATCCAGTACACCGGCACCCTCGCAATCGATGGGAAGTGGCGCCAAAGCAGGGATTGCGATAGCGGTCCTCATCTTCGTCGGCATCCTAGCAACAGGCATATACTTCTTTGTGCGATGGCGGAAGCGTGCCATGGATAAGGAATTTGAGGTCTGGAAGAAGGAGCAATATGATGCCTTGCAGGATGCCAAGCAAAAGACGGCTCCGGTGTATTCAGGGGTAAGGACGACGGTTTCGAGTGGGAGGCCGCTGTATAGGGATATCTTTGATAAGCCGGGATAAGTTTTAATCATCAGGGAGTGGTGTGGTTGTGGGTTTTATGTAGTATGGCGGTTTAGACTAATGCGAGGCGTATGTTGGGAACTGGGCTTCATGGTAATGAGATATCGTTATAATCAAAAACTTGCAATTTGCCTGGTGAACTACCGTTGGAAACGTAAGGTATCAGAATATTCAGCTTTATTAGATGAGCTGTAAGCCTGAATTTCAGAAGGAGCGCGTTCCATCAATTGCTTATTGTACCCTGGATCATTGACTTGACCCACGAGAGCAAAGGAAGGCAAAGCTTTCTTTTGTAAGTTTTTCTATTAATATTGAGCGGGGCTTTGAGCAAGGTGTTTAATAGACCACATATGCTACTGCATATACACCTTTCAAGGCCAACAATCCATAATCCCTCGAACACAATCTCAAGCTAACAACACTGTCTGAAACGGCGCATTGAGTTCCACCCAACATTTCATGTATATCTGTGTGAGGCCGATTCGATAGTAGTAATCTCCCTCTCTCCGAACTATCATAGCTTTTATTATAGGTAGAACTTTGGGAAGATTCCCCTCAGAATCTTCAAAAGCGTTCTTCTGTGTCGCTTCCGCTCCCGATCCAGAGACTGACAGCGCAATAAATTCGAACTTTTCTTGGCCGTTTCGCTGAAGCTCGGCCACTTGGTGGTTAGTGTCATCGACGTACCATCCAACTTTTTCCCCGGCATCATTGAGAATTTGCGCGCTAGTCCCCGAGCCTTTGATCTTCAGCCTGGCAACTTGAGCACGGGTGACTAGGAGACCATCTTTGAGTTTGTCGGAAATGCCTTGCAACTTCCCACGTGCTCTGGTAAGTGTATCATCTCGACCAAAGACATCGTTCCAGAAGTCTGGGTATTTTGGCCATTGTTCTTGAAGGAATGTTTCCAGCTCAGCGGAAGGCTTCTCCCACTGACCAGCAATGGCGTTGTCTTCTATCCAGGATTCTACCAGTCCATGTTGCAAAGCCCTAGCCATATGAACGCGGATAACATTGTCATTCAGATAGCCTGTGGATTCGCGCCATGAAGCAGCAGCCTTTGTGTTCGCTAAAACTACTTCCAGCTCACATCTCTGGCCATCTGTAGGTCTGGGACGAAACCATAGACAAAGAGTCCCGTAGAACTCGAAATCAACGTTGTATAGGCTCGGGATCTCCGCGGGGGAAGATGCCCATGACCATGAAGGGAATAATGTGGAGAGCTTGGCTTCACTCTTGTCTTGCCTCCTGAGCCAATCTGCCTGTCGGGTCCAGAGAAGAGCTATGTCGAGCTCAGGAAGAGGAAGCCCATGGTATATGTCGGACTCGGGATAAAGGGCGTTCAGGATTCCGGTTAGTGCATTCAAGAGGTCTGATTCGTGACTCAATTTGCGGTGACGATATCGTGGGACATGCCGCTGGTATGCTTTCCATGATGACTCACCCGTAGATGATAATATGGTGCTACTAACCTGATCCTTGCTCCAACCGAGATCATTGTACGTTAAGCTCGTGGTCGAGGTGGGATAGTGATCTTTGTCGTGAAATGAGGGGTCAAAAGATGGATATGCTAGTGTCTCTTCGTGATTTATACGATAGACACACTCAAAGTAAACTTGTGCTTCGGTGAAGAATAGTTTGCGCTTTGCAAGAATGACTTCTTGATATGTCCATGCCCGAGAGTTCCATGTCGACTTATCAACGGTGTCCCACATTGGCGCCAACTGAACATTAACTTGAATGCCACTAAATATCTGTGACTTTTGAGGATTGCGTGGTTGGCTGATCCCAGATAGACCTGCATCCATATTGTCTCCAGAGGCAGCGACTATCACCAGCTTCGCAGCTGAGTAGATTCCCGCCATGGCATGGATTTGATCAAACTTGTCGTCTTCGTTATCTTGCACAATACAGAGACGATCGACCCAGATGTAACGCTCTCCTAGCTTTTCACAAACCTGTATAGCATCTCGAATGGTTTTCGGTAGTTCTAAAATATCCATAGACGTCGACATCTGGGCGATATTCGAGTTTGTCGATGAACCACTGCCAATGTCTCTGAGGGATCCCCAGACGTAGCTCAAAGCCACGTATCCTTGACTGATATCGCTGTCAGACCGAAGAACTATACGCTTATCCTTGATATCGATGAGCCTGAATTTCTCAGGTAGCCGGATGTCCGATGGTGCCTGACAGAATGAATGCTCGTTGCTGCAGTCTTGGAGACAATACTTCAGAGTGTGAATAGTCTCATCTTGCAACATTGGGCTCATGACTAGACATTCGTCATTTGTATAGATCTGTTAGTCGAAATTTTCATTCTTACCTGCTCCTCGTTCAGTCCGTTGAACGACCAGAAATGCGCCGGTCCCATTGAAACCCCAACGTTCGCCTGTTACACGCCACTGCACCTCCTGATCCCGCCATCTAGTAGGGGTAAGATACATCGGATACCCGAGTGGTTCTCTTTGTGCCGATGATTTCCCTTCAGCAACATAATCGAAGATCTGACAAAGGGGACACGAGGCATCTACCTCTGAGCGTGGTACTGGCACATTTTCCGGGAGGTCTTCGACTTTCATACAGAACGAGAGATGCTCTAGTCGCAGGTGTTGGCAAGACGTGCAAAGTGGGGTTTCTGACTCTTCTCTAGCCGTGCAAGTAACGCAATCGCTGTGGAAAATTTGAGATGCGGACCAAGAGTCTTCGTTTTCGGAAAATGTACGTGCTCTAGCCCCATCCTCGCCACGTTGTCGAGAACTCTCAGTGTCTCGAACGATGCGAAGACAATCGTTGCAGTCTGGGAACGGATCGTATTTCAACTCTGCATCAATCTTGTCTTTAGATACAGGCTCCGAGTGGGGAGTTGAAAGCATGATGTATAACCTTGCTCACTGAATTGAAACCAGCACTTTTTGAAATGAAGTAGTAAGCTCGAGCTTTGTGTAGCAAAGTAATTCTCACAAGGTCGCAAACGAAATCAAGTGAATAGGATTGCGGAGAATCAAGAACTAAAAGACCCAACTGAGAGTTGAAAGGGAAGTTGGACGATCATCAAAAACAGGTTAGGCACCTCAGAACCTAAGCACTAGTTCACGTGATATTATAATTTGAATCCTCTAATTTTAAAGAGCCTTAAGAGGAAAATACTTCTTGGGTAACAAGAGAGTCCTCAAGACATCCCCCAAAGTAAACGAATGGTCCACTCGGGGCTTTTCATTTTTATCACGTGTCAAAAGTTACTGGGTGTGATTTCACAACCCTGTCAGATTTGAGAGAGATTCCTCAAATTTTTGAGTATGGTATTCCCGCTCTTGCATGTACTTCAGTCGTAGCATGATACTGCACTGCTCGCTTTCATTTTCAAAGTAAGTTCCCAATGGGAATCCAATTCTCAAGACTAACACCACTTGCAACCGTTCCCGGCTTTTCGGTCGTAGCTTTGATCTCGGACCCAGTCGCCTCATGAACGGAAAAATGTGGCTTCGCTCTATCCATTTCAGAATGACCGTGACTTGCCCCTTGTTCGAGGCTTCTCTTGATTCCTCCAAATCTTTTCATATGGAAACGTTGGGTGATGGACGAAAATAACTTGTCGACCACTTGAAATTCTATGACTAGCCTGTCATGTTAGCGAAATGTTCTCTTAGTTGAGACAAACTGAACATGCTGCACTTTCAACAGTGTATGAGTCAATTCTTTATTGCCTGATTCACGTATTTAATTTTTTCATTCACCAACCTAGTACGACCCAGTACGACCAATCAACCTCTGATCAGTTTCTGGAATTGGGCTTTGAGTTGTCTAGACTATCAAGGGGCCGAAATTTTTAGACCATGCTCTTTCAGCTGCTTCGTAATGAAATCTACGTTCTTCGGAGAATCATGGAATCTGTGGAGCAGGCCGATGGAAAAGGGGTCGAGCATGGCTGTGCGGAGTCTTCAAATTGCTCTGTTGTATTGTGATGGGGACGGATGATTTCATGGACCAAGAGACGTCGGGTTAGGTTCGATGCGTCGTAAACAAGCGAGTTTCACGTGATCGTGTCTACCCCCTTGCTTCACCAGTCCTTTCCATTTCCGTCAGTTACATACATGTCTTCTTTGAGAGAAACGAGAGGCAATTATCTTCTCAATTGGGTGATCAATCCATCCTCTTTAGTAGGTGAAGGTGCAATCGAAAATCCTCATTATCTCGACCCTGGAATGAACCTCATCGATCCCATACTCGAAAGCTTACTTACCTATTGAATCTCTAGGTAGTCCAACAACAACCCCACACCGAACACCATTAACAAACCTGAATACCCTCTCCCGTAAAGCCAACATTCAATCCCATCAAGCCATCTAAATCTAGTCAGAAGGCACTTGAAGCGGCGAAATATTCCTTCTTTGCTGCCTTCCTTCTTCGCAGCCTTCCTTCCTGTACCGAAACAATTTCGGCCCCTTATCTTGCCTCCCGCTTATGTTCCTTTTACCTGTGAAACATTCCTTTCCGTTTTCTCGTTCTTGGCGAAGGAGCCGCATTTTCTGTTAACGCCTTTCGGTTTGTGGAGGTTTGGGGATTGATATGTGGGTTCCAATATGAGTTTAGATTTTCTTCTTTGTGACTGGCGTTTTTTTGAATAGTTTTAAAAGAACGTGTATCACTGTACCTAAATAGTTCTTTGCCTATCTTTCTCTCCTCATTTGGAAGTATAATCATTTCATCACGATGGGACACACGAGCAGTCGTTAAATGTCTCGCATTCATGCTTGCCACCAAATCCGGTTGCGGGAGGCGTCTCACTCTCCACCACTCCAACATCCTCCGCATGTCACCTTCCGCACCCTCCAAGCCACACCAAATCTTTTTGCCGCCAAATATTGACTCGCTACCTACCAGACCCGTTATCTCTTGCACGTTCCTTTGTTTTGCTCAAATGTTTCACAATCTTGGTTCTCTACTATCATGTCAGTGATCAAAAGCCTCGCTTGGCGCCAATGAAGCTTAGCCAAACAGATGTCTTGTACGGATGACTCGGATCTGCTATCTGATGCCAAGGTCTTGTCCAAAAGTCTTGATCAACAGCATTCGCGAACTCTGCACGTGTGTCACCTGAAAAGCATGTCTTCGGGCTGAATACCTCCCGAGCTCTGGAGGGAAACTTTTCGCTGGCCCCGGCTACCGTGCTCGAATCTCGAATGAACCGTCGTACCGTATGTCTCGGGCGACGTGGAACTAGGTAATCTGGTGAACTCGGTCGCGTGTGGTGTGATTGGTATGCGAGACAACAAACGGGGATGATGACAATTTAAACGCCAGTGTCTGAGATTTCGTTTTTTTTTTTCTTTCCTTCCATCCCTCCCTCGTTCACGGCAACCTTAATCTGGCGACATGTCCAGTCCAGTCGTCGACGGACCGATGTGATGGGAGAACCCTTGCGCAGGTCTCTCGTCTCGAACCAGGGATTCTGTCCGTCAAGATGAGAGATCGCCGGCTATCGAGAGCGTCTGAATGGTCGAGTTGCGTATGTACAGTAGGTTTATTCGTCTAAGTATTTTGCGCAAGCTGAGCGGCGCAGGGTAACAGGGCTGTTCGCCGAGGCTGAACCGTGTATATCAGCATCGACCAGCTAGCTCATCGAATCCGCTGCCAGAAGCCTGGGCAAACGGTGAACAGTGAAGAGAACGTTGCAGTCACAATCCATGGGCCCTGGAATGTTGTTCTGCCCAGGTCCATAACCAAAACGTTGCTCAAACTATCTCGGGACTATTACCTGGAAGCTTTCGGCAACTCTCTCAACTCTGGACGATGGACTGACAGACATGTGCTTGATTGCTGCACTGCGACTGTTGTGTCTGAAATTAAAGTACGCATGCGCAGTAATCTTACTATCGACCCCTCGGTGTTAAGTCTTCCTTCCCATGGTTCCACCCCCGATCCCCCTCTTAACTGCAGAAAACGTGCAGCGGGAGCTGGGTATCAACTCATCCGGGCAATCTTCCAGAAGTGTTCGCCAGCATTTCCAGAACCAGCGCAGAATGACTTTCAATGGTGTGATAGGGGTCCGCAGTGAGCTTAATACAGTAGTTCGTACAGGAGCATCAATCAACGTGGGCGGCAGGACCGTCTGAACTGTTCACGCTTCTGTGGCGTTCGGAAGGAGTATCCCAAAAAATGATAGAAGGCTCCGAGATGTTCGATACTCGGAGCATGCACGGGATATCTCCAGCCTATCCCTCGAGACATGTGCTTTTTGTTGCAGAGGTAAACGGGGGTTGGAGTAGCTACAGTACTTTTACACCACCCGTCTGTGCCCCAATCTCCTTCCGAAAAACAATAAAACGCGATTGAAGGTGCTCTGCGCACGCTGGTTGGACCCTCCCGCACTGCTGGTATTTTAGGTACGAATCACCATGCACCAGAGCGGGGCGGTCGGCCTCGCACTTGCCTTTTTCAGGGTACCACGGCAGGGCAGCACAGGGATTGCCAGCGAGCGGCAGGGCCCCCGGATAGCGTAGTACTGTATCAGCCATCCCTCCACCGAATCCCACGCTTATTCCCCGCAACAAGTGCGCTCTCGAAGCTTGATATCCAACGCCTGGCCCACGTGTATCTGCCAGAGCCGGATCAGCAAATCACCAGCGTCTTCTTTCGTCTGCGCAAGCTGGCTCTAGAAGCTCATGAACCTAGCACCACCACCACCAAAAGCACGAGCGCCACCACTGGCCACTGTGCTCTCGCAAATGCGGATTCTATGCAAGGCTGCTGCACTCGTCCAGAGTGACTTGGAGCCCCCTGGTCAGGTCAGGTCAGCCCATGGCTCGGAGCCCTCCTTTATCACCGTCGTCGTTCGCCCGTCTCGTTCCTCTGCTTTCCTTTTTGTGATGGGTTAAGGTTGCCAACTACTCTCTCTCCTTTGCACCTCACCATACCGTACTTTGAATCGTCCACCACCCTTCCTTTCAGTCTGTCCGTCAGTCAGTAACTCGACGAGAAGCAGAGGCCATGGCCTCAATCGATCCCATGGCAGGCGGCAATGCCGCATACAAAAACGCCTATGTTGATTTCGCCCACATCCAGGACCCAAACGAGCGTCGTCGTCTCGCGCTCGCAGAGATCGACAAGGCGCCTTTTGGATGGTACCATGTGCGCGCCGTCGTGGTGGCCGGGGTAGGATTCTTCACCGATTCGTACGACATCTTTGCTGTTTCGCTGCTCACGACCATGATCGGTTATGTATACTCGAATAAGACCAAGGGTGTTCTTCCCACGCCGTCAGATACGGCGATTAAGGTTGCTACGTCTGCTGGTACCGTGGTGGGACAGTTTGGCTTTGGAGCGCTGGCTGATATCGTGGGGAGGAAGAGGATGTATGGGCTTGAGTTGATTGTTATTATTGTTGCGACTTTGGCGCAGGCTCTTACTGGACCTGGGCCTGGAACTGATATTATTGGACTTCTTATCTTCTGGCGTGTTATTATGGGTATTGGTAAGTGTATTTATTGATGTGACTGGTGTTTTACTGGGCTAATCAGGGCTTTACAGGAATTGGTGGTGATTATCCTCTTTCAAGTATCATCACATCCGAGTAAGTGATAGCACTGGATCAGATGCAATTGGAGCGCTAATAGTTTGACAGATTCGCCACAACTAAATGGCGTGGTGCTATGATGGGTGCTGTCTTTGCTATGCAAGGTTTCGGCCAAATGACTGGTGCTTTGGTCATGCTCTTCTTGACCCTTGGATTCAAGGAGTCTCTTCTTACTGCAAAGTCTGCAGCTACTTGCACCGGTGTCTGTGCCTTGGCCGTTGACAAGATGTGGCGTGCACTAATCGGTAAGACCGTTGATCTCTTTCTTGGCGCCGCGAGACTAACAAAGCTTGTCCAGGGTTCGGCGCTGTACCTGCATGCATTGCCCTCTACTATCGTCTTACCATCCCCGAGACTCCTCGATACACCTTTGATGTTGCTCGCGATACTGAGAAGGCCAAGGATGATGTTGAGGCCTATATTGCTGGAAAGCATGAAGGTATCCCAGACACCGTTGCTCAGGCTACCGCTCTCCGCGAATCTGAGCAATCAATGGCTATCCCCAAGGCCAGTTTCAGAGATTTCATCGCTTACTACGGACAATGGAAGAATGGAAAGGTTCTCTTTGGTACGGCAGGCTCATGGTTCCTGCTCGATGTCGCCTTCTATGGTCTCTCTTTAAATACCGCTACTGTGCTCACTGCCATCGGCTACGGAACTGGTCCCCACGTCTACCAAATTCTGTACAACGTCGCTGCTGGTAACTGTATCCTCATCTGCGCCGGTGCCATCCCTGGTTACTGGATGACAGTCGCAACCGTCGACACCATTGGTCGCAAACCAATCCAACTAGGTGGATTCATCATTCTCACCATCCTATTCATCGTCTGGGGCTTCGACTACAAACACATGAAACCACACGCCCATCTCGCCATGTACGTGCTCGTACAATTCTTCTTCCAATTCGGTAAGTCCCCCTCCTCTCCTCCCTTCTCCCCACTAACCCAACCCCCGCAGGCCCCAACGCAACAACCTTCATCGTCCCCGGCGAATGCTTCCCAACCCGCTACCGCTCCACCTCGCACGGCTTCTCCGCCGGAATGGGCAAAATCGGCTCCATCATCGCACAAGCCGGCATCGCGCCCCTGCGCACGCGCGGCGCGTCCGCCAAGGCCGGCGCCTCGCCGTGGCAGAACCACGTTATGCAGATTTATGCCCTGTTCATGTTCCTGGGTATCTTCACGACGTTGTGTATCCCTGAGACGAAGCGTAAGACGCTCGAGCAGTTGAGTGGCGAGGAGCCGAGTCTGCATGGGGAGGGGGAGCATGATCACCATCATGATGTGAGTAGGGAGGTGGTGGAGGGGAAGGCGAGTCCGGTGGGGACGGAGGAGGCTGCTGTTGATGCGTAGGCGGGCTGTAATATTGTGATGGGGGGTGTAGATTTTGTAGATTGGTGGATGGATGGATGGATGCGTGGGGGGGGAGGGGTTTCTTTTGTGGTGGTTGTAAATCGGGAGCGGGGAAAGTCGAGGGGGAGATGAGATGAGATACCTTGTATGTTGTGTTGATATTGTTATAAAACCCTTTTTTTTCTCGTTGAGAACATCTTTTTCTTCTTCTTCTTCTTGATGATTTAGCTTCTCGTGATGTGTACCTACCTATCTTCCATGCAGTGGCCGAAAAATTCATTCTGGTTGGGAGAAAATATTGTGGTGTTGTGAGCACAGCATACGACGATCAAAATCAAAGGTTTAGCTACCTAGGTATGTACCTAGTTTAGCACCTCGCTAAAATAGGGGCTCGCTCGCTTGGGACTCGAGACTAGACTAGCTCACTAGCTCACTAGCTCACTATCTAGGTTGGAATTTTACAGCCCCCAACCACCGGATAACTATCTTTGGGATTTTGTCATTACAGAACCTTGGGGTACGTTTGTTTAGTCGGGCATCTAAGCTTATTAGTTCTTAGGTTGTTCCATCTCAAATGCTGGGATATAGGTATAATATAAAGACACTGAGGTTTTGAAGTTGGTGAGTTCTCGGGGTGAGGTGAGGTGGGCGTGGATCGATCGCTGGGATGAATTTAAGGAAGTTGTTTGTTTGTTGTGATTGTTTGTTTGTTTGGGGTTTTAGATGGGATGTCTGGTCCTTGAGATAGAGATCAGAGGGATAAGAGTAATTTGGTGGTCCCAACGAGATGTTTGCGGAGCTGGCTTTGAAAAAGGAGGGTTGCGGGGTTGAAGGAGGGGTGTTTTGTGATTTTATGTTGTGTTTGAGAGAGAGAGAGAGAGAGTGTGTGTGTGTGTGTGTGTGTGACGTTGGGTGACAGGGTTATAAAGCAATGGATGCTTAGCTTTTGGAAGAGTTCAGACCACGTGAGGGGATATAACAGAACGATGTGAGGAAAATAATAGAGAGGAGAGTGGAGGGGAGATCACCTCTCCTTATATTCTCTCTGTTTAACGGGTGAGTATGGTAGCTTCCACGTGACATCACAAAACACCTCATTTGCATTCAATGTTTTTGATGCATTCTCTTCATTTTCAAGGGGTTTAGAAAGTGATTTATCGAGCTTACGAAATTGTTCCTCCGGGTCATTGTCCATTCTTCCTCTTCTACCTAAACTCCTTTTCCTCAATTCGCAACATCATTGCACTCCTTGAAAACCTTGTCCACCTTCGCAATTGCTTTCTGAGCTTTCAAGATGCGTTCGTCTTTCAAGGGAGAGATTCCTTGTATGAGATGATCTGGGATGTTGTCTGTGTCGTAGATGTACTGTTCCATGGTGCCGGAAGGTTGTCTTTTCTGGGTCTTCCTGCAAGTTAAGGTTAGATTGCCAAGGCGGGAGATGATTTGATGGGGCTTATATACTTAGTAGTGGTAACAAAAGTACTTAGAGAGAAGAGTGAGCGTTGACTGTGTTGTGATTGGGGCATTTTGGTTTGTTGTTTCTGTCGATGGATAGTCTTGGTGAATACTCGGGAAAGAATTTTGTTGAGGCAACTTACATATATTAACTTAGAAAATTATCTTCCATCGCACATTGACTCGGGTGCGTCGTTCTATATATGCTTTCAAATATTCGCTGTGGTCTCGAAATAAAGCCGTTGTCGGTGATCCGTACATGTCGAGAACTGGCACCTCGCAGGACCCATGGCGAATATATGTCGAATGCTCAATGACACAAACTGCACATCCACTTGCAAGAATTTCCAGAGAGATCTGATCCATATTCATTCCGCAACACCATGCATTTCCTCTTTCTTGGCCTCCACATAAGAGTTGAGGTGTTGTCACGTGTGCCACTATGCACCGACGAATCATAGATGTGCAGTGAGTTTCGCACCGTCGTGCGAATCTTTATCGATTTCAGCCTCACCAGCTGAACATTCGTCATAGGGTTGGAAATGCCGCGACTCCCACGTTCGAGTCGACTCGAACTGAGCTCTTTGTTTCCTTTGACTAAATCAGCAAAGTATGCATTATTGGAATTTCTTGGATTTGTGCATCTATTTTCACCTTGATTTCCAGAACACACGTAGTGTGTAGCTAGATTCTAAGGGCCTGCTATCAGGTCGCGAGCGCGCAAGGCGGCAACTCTGGCTCTTTGAGTAGAATACTATTAGACAAGTACAGCCTTGGTATGCATTCTTGCTATATATAGTGCATGCACTCTTTTGAAAAGTTTGCTGACTTGTGTTTGATTCGCAGGACTCCAAGGGCGAAACCACCATTGCACCAATTCTTACCCCTGAGCGATTCAGAATGCTGCTCCTCGACCACTTCGAAAATGGAACCCAAGAATCTTGGGGTGTTGATAATATAGTGACAAGTCAGGATGGGTCAAGAAACTTGATGACAAGAATGCAGGGATTGCTAAGTGGGCATACATTCGAGTCTTCCATAAAGCCAAGCGAGAGCGAGTATAGACGTCTTCGTTGCAGTCTGGAAGAAATGGTGAAGTCACTTGGAAATCTCAATTTGAGTTGGGACCAGTCTTGCCGCGATATCGTCAAAAGCTTAGTTGCAGGCGACTCCAAGATCATGCCGCACAACAACTACTATCTGGCCGATACTAGGACAGAGAAAGACAACTCAAATCTCTACGAACAATCCACAGCATTCCCAGTAGAGACTCCCTTTCTTCCATCAGTCTCTTCATCTTCCAAGCCCGGTATAGTGTCACTTGCTACCAAAAGGGCTACTTTTACACCAGCAGAGGCGATAGTGACGGGGCAAGATATGAAAGTCCTATCCCACATACCTACGAGTATCGAAGATGCTGTTCTCAAGGGCAGTCTCGAAGAGCAGAAACATTATCTCGTCGACCGCGTAATTGGCGAATTCTGGAAGAAATACAAACATCATTTCGTTTCTTACGGAAATGTTGTCTCAGACAGCTCGTCACTACCCGAACAGGAATATAATAACAACTCTTCCATATCCTCGATTACAGATCCCGTATCCATAGCGAGTGCAGCGGCAGGAGATGGGCCACCTGGGGGGGACAACGGTCGCAAGGGGTACACAAATCTGTCAGAAACTCCCAGTAATAGAATCAGGGATGACTTGTTTGCTTGCCCTTTTCGGAAGAGAGATCCTGCCAAATACAATGTCCATGATTGGCAGACCTGCAGTCTCAACCCATATCGTTCTATTACTCTAGTTAAGTGAGTTTGTCCGGTCATCAATGAGACAATACATTGATCTAACACGGGGTACAGGCAGCATCTCTACCGAAGTCATTGTGTATTTCAATGCTCTCGATGCAAGATCACTTTCGACAACAAGGAGCAGCTCGAGACACATCAGCTTGATGCCACAATTTGCGAATTGTCTTCAGCGCCATTATCAGATGGAATTACGAGTGACATTCAGCAACAATTGATGATGAGAAAGCCTGGTGCCCGTGGCGCGGTGGAAAACTGGATGAACATTTATAGGATACTTTTCCCTACGGCGCCACTGCCAAACAGCCCTTGTTAGTGGTAATCTTTTCTTCTACTTAACTTTTACTGATAATGGTAGACTTTGAACCACCTTCAGAAGAAGAATTGACACTAGAGAATACCGACAGAGAACTCGACGACTATGAATCTTATGTACGCAGCCAACTTCCCACATCATTGCGCTCCGCACTAGAGGCAACTCCAAATGTTTCCATGAAGGAGCCTTTTGGAATGAGTTTCGAGGATCTGCTTCAAGAATGCCAGGACGCCACCTTTGCAAGATATCGAGAAGAGAAACTGGCTTCTCCATCTGTGCCTCCTTTGAGGTCCGACTCTGTAGATCCTACAGCTATATCCAGTGTTCATGTTCATGCGCATAGCGATGTCGAATTCCTGTGATGGGATTCCCGATTACTACCTAACCTTGGTTTCTTCGGTCTTTCCCTCCCCTTTGACCAACAATCGACACCATCAATGGACTCTGGCTATGGCTCTGTCCCTCCTTCTGTTTCATCCGAGAAGTCAATCAAGAAAACTGAGCCGAAACTAACAGATACTACATCGATTGATGTGAGTGAAGAGCTCGAAGACATCTGTGATATCATTTATCCACGTTACCTCCACACGCAAAAATTCGTCAGGATTAGGCGACGAGTACCAGAATCGACACGTAGACAAGCCATGGTGGACCGAGTCATGAAGAACTTTTGGTCGACAGTGTTTGCAAGAGAATGGTTACTTCAATTCACGACATGTGGAACTTCAGCTACCTCGGGGAAAAGATCCAAATCAGCACCCAAAAAGACACAAACCACGAATAAATCGAAGTCAAAATCTGGAACTCAAAATTCGTCATTGTTAGGACTCGGCCAGGACAGCCACAAGAGGAAAAGGGTCTCGACGTCAGAGGACGAGGAAGAGGAAGAAGACAGACCGAAGAAGTTGATGCTAGGTCCGTTCGAAGATGGAGACGCCTGCATCCCGGTAGACTTAGGTTTTGCTTGTCCGTATCGCAAGTACGATCCATCCAAGTACAACGTCAGAGATTGGGGGCCTTGTGCCTTGACATCTCGACCGACCATTGCTCGAATCAAGTGGGCAACCTCTCGCTCGATATGACTCTCGTTTTGCTAATTGGTTTCTGTAGGTCTCACTTGTACAAATATCATTACATCCATCAGTGTCAGCGATGCAACGGAATATTTGATGATGAGAACCAGCTGGACGACCATATAAACGCCGATGAAGCCTTCATTCGTGTGCAAAGTCTACCAGGCGGAGTAGATGGTATCAACAGATTGCTTAAAGAACTCATTCAGCCTAGGACGAGGTTATTCCAAGGCCATACCGAAGAACAGAAATGGGAGTATATCTATGGTTTGATATTCCCCGGGGCTCCATTACCGTCGCCCTGTAGGTTGCCTGTCTCAACTTCTCTGATTACTATGATACTCCAAATCCGCCACAATGAAGTGGAGCTAATTAATCGTAGACTGGGAGACCCCTGAGCTGCCAGATCGATCATTCATTGAACAATACAATGCTTTTCTCATCACAGAGCTTCCTTTAGCTGTGTCAAGAGCCTTGGTCGAGACTGAAGACGATGATCCAGATCCTACCGAGGAACGAATGCGAGACTTGGCGGTGACCCTGCTCCCAGGAGTGCTCAACATGCTGTATCACACATACCGAGCTACATTTGACCCAAATCCCAGTCGGGATGAACTCGGCTCCAATGTGGCGGTCAGAACTGCTGAACCTACGATTGAAGCACATAGTCCTCAGCCAGTCTACGAATCTTCTCAAGGCATTACAGAAACCGAAGCCGGCTCAACCTTGGTCCAATCGCAATCATCTCAAACCATGCGGAATACGACAGCTGCTGTCCCTTTCCCGACAGACTCTGCTTATTTCTCCTTGAATTCGGAGGAGGGAGACAGCTTCGCACGCATTTTGGAAGATGGCGAGAATACAAGTTCGAGAGCAGGAGAACAGAACCACATCAATTCGTCAGCTGATCCTCAACAATCGACGACCTCAAACTCTGACACTTTCGAAGACCATCTTCAGACTGCCCTACCTTCTCTTCCAAGTCAGTCTCTAGTCCAGAATGAGCAGATTACAATTTCAGGAGATAACTATCCGTCAGACCCGCCACCACATCCGCCCAGCCAGACCTTCGGAGAAGGCTTGGATACCACAGATTGGAGCGAAGATGACTGGAATGCGTTCTTCAACCAATATATTATAACATGATTGTATTTTTGCATGGTTACTATGGCAATAGATAGAGAACCACGTATCGAAACTCGATAAATATGATAATTGCGAATGCGCACTGTGATTTCCGCTTTTTCTATTCAGCTTTGAAAAGACACACCCCTAAAGATCTTACTTTGAGCCGGGAAATGCAGTATATTGTCTTTGTCGTAAATTTATTCATACTTGTCAATGGTACCGTAAGATTTGGTTTCGTGAGTGCTCTTGCTACTGTATTTAATATCGCAACTCTGAGCATCTACACGTACCTCCAGTGCTCAGCAACGTCATGTACGTCAATGGCACCGGAACAAGCTGCCCATACTTATTTTCTTGCTGGCCGCATGGTCGTTTCGTGAGGATAAAACCGAGCTTCAGATATGCTGACTTGGTAAACGAGCTAGAGAATTTTCAAACTCAAAAGAGTACTCCACACAGCAATATCGAAAATTATATTCCAACCGGGTGCCATGCGACAGTAAAGATAAATGAGGCATATCAGATTCGCAACGCTATGCATTTTATCAACTTTTAGACTTTAGCAGTGTGACAGGGTGGAATCAGGATTGCATATATCAAGAAACCTCTTATTCTTAGAATCTAAAAGTAAGGAGGAAAGAAGAGGAAAAGAGAGAGTGTGGTGGAGAGAACTCCTTACGAACATGGGGACAAAAGTCCGTGCGTTCAGGGCATCAGAATCATGAATTTTATTAATTAATTAGCTGTAGACCAGCCACATCGCTTAATTAAG